TAACGTTAACGGTTTTCACAAATTGCAGTCATGCATCACAAATGTAGCCCAATATGCATGCTATGCATGACAAATTCTGACACGTCTTGTGATGCATTTCAGCATCACCAATTCCGTTAACGTTAACACTTTTTCTTGTGATACGGACTACAGGTTTTTCAACCTGAACCGACCCGGCGGCGCGGCTTCCACAACAAAAATTGAAAAGCACTACACACTATCAAACAAAAAAGTGATAACGTTAACGGTTTCCCCCGCAGATGGCAGCCATCCATGACAAATTTTGCCTTCCATGCATGCTACGCAATACGAATTTGGGCAACTTTTCTGATGCATTTCTGCATCACAAATTCCGTTAACGTTAACACTTTTCCTTGTGATACACACCCCTTCACCTCGCGGGCCACAGTGGCCAAGTGGGGTGTCTGCAAGAGTTGCTGGTGGATACAACGTGGACGAGAACAGCACCTACTTCAAGAAGCGGGGGCACCAGCGCTTCAGATCGATGCGCAAATAGAAATAAAACCACTTCGAAGGCGGAGATGAAAACATTAGCAGAGGAAGAAGCCGCGAGTGATGTTGGTGCAGCTGCTGCAGGAGCTGTAGAAGTTCCGTCTGTAGTCGTGCAGAGGAAGATGCCGCCCTGGGATCATTCTTGTAGCAGTCCGGTAAACCCACTGCTGCTCACGGTGGATGACAAGTCTGCCCGCTACCTTGCACGCTACAACTTCACGAGCTGCAAATTGTTGCGGCAAGCGGAATATCAAATGCACATCATTATGTCTGGCGGATCGTGTGGTGGAAAGATGCAGCTGATTTGTCTTGCAGAGAGGTCTCTGACAACTCTTGTGCGGCATGAGACCATGACACGTTTTTCAGGTCGAATGTTTGTTGCAATAAACTCAAACTCATTCGTGTCCTGCATCACAGATGATCTCGCTGCCCTCCAATGAACCTCGCATCACTAATTCGGATCCAGATATAGTTGTTGCAATGTATACGGAGGACCAGTTTTTGTATGAGCAGTGCGAGAGGAGGAAGACCTCGAGAAGCCGAAGCCGCGAACCTGATAATGTGGGCGGTACGGAGACGGGCCACATCTGGAAAACGAAACTATCAAACGAAGGCCGCCAAGCAGCGATATTCCACGAACCGCTTGCGGAGCTCCTCAAAATGATCTACGACGTAGACGGCAAGACGAGGAAAACGACTAGCAGTAGCGCTTCTCGCGATGGAACAGAAGCCTCAAGGTCTCGTCCGCGGATGCTACAGATTGCTGCACCACTCGAAATCTGCCGGCTGAAGGGGCAACTGGGGAGAAAAATTTTGGAAATTTGTCACCGGGGAACCACGAGGAAGATAAGCCCTGCTGCAGAAACACCTGCAGGGGCCCCCGGAGCTACACCATCTTCCGGCAAGCTGTCTTCATTATCGTTGTTCAGTTCAGCCAGAACGAAAGCAACACGGGGAACAGCATCTGAAGAGACGGGCGCGGGGTCTCCAAGAACAGCACAAAATACCACCGGCGTTGGTGCCTTCGATTCGATATTAGCCGAGCTGAAACAGTTCCTCCTCCTGCTCTTACCGATCTTGGAAGTGAGTGTAAAGGACAGCAAACAACTTTGCGCGATTTTGGGGCATTTGTTCCAGATGAGTGCACTTGCGACTGCGAATTTTACTTCCGACGGGGGCGTAGGCACAGCATCATCTGGTGGTGGTGGGACGATGATGGAAGTCGACGTGGTAAGCGAGGCTATTAACGAATGCATGGTCGTTGCGAGTGCGACTACCTCTTCGACACAAACACCTGCGGCGCAGATGAGCAAAAATCTTGCAGCGACGACTGGCTCGGACGGCACGGTGACAACGAGCGTCCTGCTACAGCAGAACATCGACAGGAAGCCTTACCTGACCAAAACGAACCCGACCGGGCGAACCCTGCTGCAGCTGGCGATTTTGCGCAACGACCACGCGCTCGTGAAATTGTTGTTACAGTACCGCGCCGACTGCTTTCTGCAGGAAAAAACCACCGGTTGGTCCGCGCTGCATTTTGCAGTAAATGTAGCATCGTCTGCTACCGCAGCGCGTTCAACAAACTTGTTTATCATCATGGAGATTCTGTCGTCGCACAACGGCGGAAGAAAAGAAGAAGACGACGGCCACAACACGACATCGGGACGATTTCGTCCACCAACGGTGAAGAGGAGCGGCCCACTTTCAACAACGGCGACCTCCTCTTTGGTCAACCAATGCGACCGGTTTGGTTTTCCACCCTTGTTCGAAGCCATCTCGAGTTACCGTGTGGAAGTGGCTTCTACTACAGCGACGAGTGCGGCGACGGCTTCTGTTCCACTTCCTACAGAGCGTCGTGAACTACGTCAAGAACCTGTGGAGCTGCAACAGCAAGGACAAGCAGCGGTGTCTGAGGAAATCGTAAGACTGCATAACGAGAAGAAAAAACTCGCCTTCACGAACCTAGTCCAGCAGATGTTGCTTCTGTTGCACTACGGAGCAGATATAAACTTCAGAACGACTAGCCCGGATGACGAATCCTTCCTTACTGTGCTGGCGAACACGAAAACATTATGGGAGTGCACAACTCGTCCCCCTCCCCCTCATTTGTGTCACGTCATGAACAGCAATACAAACCCCAGCACGCTTCGAGCCTGTGGTGCATGACAAGTTCTTAGGCGCCGCAATAAAGTGGAGCACTGAAGACCTGTCATGCAAACCTTGCCACAAGGCGGCAACTGTATTTTTGTTTTTGCATGACAAACGAGGGGGAGTTCTTGTGCACTCTCATAAACGTTTGACAATCGCGAGAAGGACATTCTGAAGCGGATAGCCGTAGCGAACGGGTTATCCTGTGCAAAAGTATCGTACTCGTATTGCAATCATGCATTACAAATCCTTCACTTAAGGCAAGTCCGCATTACAAATTTCATTTCTCATGCTGAGGAAATTTGTATATGCATTTATACGAGTGCGATTATACTTTTGCAGTTCATACGGGTACGTCGAACGGGCGGTGGAGCAAAACGAAGGAGGTTTGGTGGAAGATGATGTTGAAATAAATACGGAACGATCCATCTCTGTTGGTGTCGGCAACGCCAACACATCAAACACTGGGTCGTGTATTGTGCCAAGAGAAATATACGACGAGTTTCTAGCTTTTCACGTTTCATCGTCGAGCAGTACCCGCTCCGTTCTCAAGATTTTAGCGGGGTCGTGATGAACTGCTACTGCAGATGGCTCCGCCCCTACGGGAGTGTCAGGTTTGATGAAAGATGAAATGGCTTCTCTTCTCTGGATTTTTGCTAGAAAAGGACGCCGTATCAGCTTTCTACGTACAAAAATTATATACAGGTTCGCTGTGAGTGTGAATGATTTTGTCAATCTCGATGTCAGTCAGTATAAAAGTGTGTTTGATCGCGCGGACCGGGACCTGAGCAGCGCAAGTTCTTGATTGCTCTGCGTTTTCAACATCTCTTACTTTTTCGCAGTGTTCATTTGACGACCTGAAGGTCTACCTTGGAGAAGCTGCATTCGGCCCGGCGAGGCTGCTACGTTGGTTCCGCCATCCTGTTTATTTCTCCATTTTTGCGACAGCGACGACTAGTACGAGAATATTGAAATTATATCGAAGCCAATTCTTATCTCGGCGATAAGCATAAAAGCTGCATTGATGTCTTTGTCTATCCGTTTCATATACAAGAATCCGCGACGGACCGAGCTGGGAGGACGTGACGAAACTAACTAAAGAAATAGAGTGAGGTTCATTCTTTGGTGTGGTATTCAGAATCGGCATTATGTTGAAGATCTTCGTCGCAGTTTGTTGTGTGTGTGTGGTAAAAAAGCAGGCCTTGAATGACAACATGATCATCAAGTTATTTCTCCGACGGAAACTGAAATTCTTTCCTTTTCAGACACAAAGTTGCCTGCTGCTGTCCAGCATGCTGTGTAAGTGTATTTTTACGAATTATAATGCCCGAACCTGTTGAAAAATCAATATAGGATCAAGGTACGAAGATGAAGAAAAGATCGAGCTGCTAAGGTGAGCGTCATGTTGTTGTACATGTAGTCTATTTCATCTAGATAGCAAGAGTCCCCTCATCTTCTACTACAACTGAACCCCGAGAACGTCATCGTTGGTGGAAGCACCACAGACAGTTTTGGTAGTGGTGGAGCTGGAACCACATTATCCTCTGCCGCGGCCACTTCTTCCCGAGAAAGTCTGATGCAGCAGCAGGACGTGCTGATTTCGGATCCGCAGGTGCGGAATGCGTGGCTGGGTTTGGTTCTCTCCGTGCTTTTCTTTGGTGTCATGTACGCACCTGCCAGGAAGTACCGACACACCGACGGCGTCATCTTTCAATTTCTCATGTCTTGTGGCGTGCTGATGTATTCTGAGTAAAAGCGTCCCTACCCCAGAGTTCTTGTCATGCCGATCTGCATGCCAAAAAGGTTTCTCATGCGGATCCCCATGAGAGCCATTTTCTAATCGTGTTTTGGAATTTGTGATGCTGGAGTCTTCATGATGCCCTAGATCCGTGATGCTTCGGAACTAGCTAGTAAAGAGGATTCATACAAGTACGAGGACAAACTTGTTATGCGAAAGAACCAAAGGTGGCTCTTTTGTCTAGCGGATTTCCCATCTTGACTCTGCTGTGGGGGCATTTTTACTCAGGATATGATGTGCGGTTTCGCCATGCAGATCTTCAGCACCATCGCCATTCGCGACGATCCGTATTTCAAGGCTACTAGCCGTGCTATGTTGAACAGTAGCGGAACTACTTCCTCTCTGTCGCCGGATGAACAAGAAAGCGCCGGTGGTACTACAGCCTCCAACCTGGTCGACATTTACACGGGGCTTCCCTGTGAAGCAGAAGTTCTTGCCCCTTCCCCCTCTGCTGCTGCTGCGGCAACTGGAGGAGCACCTGCAGCCACTGGAGGTAGTGGTCTTCTCCTTGGTGACGAGATGAAGAGGGAAACGAGAAGTACGACCAGAAGTACTCTTTATCCTGTGCAAAAGTATCGTACTCGTAGTATAATTGCAAACATGCATTACAAATCTTGTTCTCAAGCTAAATCCGCATTGCAAATTTCATTTCTCATGCTGAGGAAATCGAAATTTGTAATGCAATTATACGAATAGGAAATTTTTCTTTGCAATGCATACTCCGTCACTATCTACTCCTTCCGTAGCTGCAACTACCGCGCTCTTGTCCTCCTCGCCTACCACTACCAGTCGCAGTGCCACGAGAAATTTCTCCCTGGTGACCAACCTCCTGGAAGTTCTCGAGGACCCGACGGGCGGGGAGCTGTTGGATCTACGGAAGAAGATGATGAAGGAAGGACAAGGAGCGGATACAGCAACGACCAGGGATCCTAACAAAAAGAGCCACAGCATGAACACTGAGAACTCGTCGGGCGAAACTACACAACTGCAGGTACAGCCGACTTCTGCCTCCGTGCATCAAGAAAGCGCTTATGAACGGACAAAATACAATTTGACCCCAGAAAGAGCATATAGTGCCACGAGAATGAAACTAGCGACCTACGAGAATGAGGAAGCAAATGGGGCTCCACCCGCTTACAACTTTTCCCGCTCCGGACGGGGTAGAAGCTGCGCTCTCATAGGGCTTGCGCCCGTTTTTTCGCGCAAAGCTACTTGTTTTGCGTGCGGTTTTTCTCCGCTCGAGCGGTCGGGTGGAGAAAAACTGCATTACAAAATTGGAAAACCAGCCGGATGCAGATGCAGCTTTTCTCCCCGCAGGAGAAAAGCCGCGCCACAAATTCGCAAACTCCGCTTCCTCCGGTTGGAGAAAGTGAAAGGCCGCACCTCCGGTTCTCCGCATTACAAATGCGGAAAGGTGACCTTTCCGCATTACAAGTGCGGAAAGGTGCCCATAGCCATTGCATTTGTAATGCGGAGAGCCCGACCTTTCAAAGGTCGGGCTCTTCGCATTACAAATCCAATGGGCGGAAAGGTCGGGCTCTCCGCATTACAAATGCGGAGTGCGGGGCTCCCCAGAGCTCGGGGTTCGGGTTGTGGGTAAAATGGGGAAAGGGGAAAGCCCGGACCCTCGGGTTCTCCGCAACCCGGGCTCTTCTCCGCATTACAAATCCCCCCTTTCGCCACAAGCGGCTGCCACAGCCGCTGCACACCGTCGGGCGTAACCTTTTGCGCGATGCTATCCCCAAGCAGCAATATTCGCACTCCCGATAGCATCGGGCGTGAGGTTATGCTGCATGGTATCGCTGCGTGCGAATTTTCCTCGCAGCCATACCATGCTGCATTAGGTTACGCACGACCTGTGGCTGTCTTTTTCTGCCCCCCTTGGGCGTTGTGCAGCTTCTTTTTACCCTCAAACACGACCGGACTCCGGGAAAAGTTGTGGCTTAGGGAGGAAGCACAACTTTTCCGCGGACCACGCACCCCAAGCCGGCCCCGCCCCAAGGGGCGCCCGCGAGACACGCCGGGGCCGCGCGCAAAATTGTGGCGGTTGTCTTTGTTTCGCAAGCACGCACGCCCATGAGAGTGGCCTCTCTATTTTGCGCGCCGGCTGCATCTACTCCGGGCCCGGGCCGGGGTTCTGATTGATGGGAGGCCGTCGGCCGTTCATTCTCTTCGCTACCTAGGCTACCCAAAAGGCCGCGGCGCGCCCGGCGCTTTTATTTTGAGGGCCAACGCCCCCTCGTGCACATTTGACCCGGGGATGTCGTGCGAAAAAAACGCGGGAAACCAGGGCGGGCCAACACAAAGAAGGCCAGCAACCGCCCCCGCAAATCGGGGCGGAAGACTAACAGACACCAGGCGGGCCCGGCAACGCAATATACGGGGCGCGCCCCGCCTGTTTCTTTTCTGCAATAGAATCACCGGGCGGGGCCCGCTTTTGCGCGCCGCCTGCCTTTATTTTCGCTCCCTGCTCGTTGCCCCGGCCCCGGCAGACTTGGGCGCATTGCGCGAAGCCCTTGGCTTGGTGGGGCTTGCACGGAGCGGGACAATTGCCGCCGCGCGCCCAAAGCTGTGTGTGCGCGGCCGGCGGGTTCTGTCTTCTCTGTGGACCGAAGGGCAGGCGCATGCAACGGAGGGCGAAGGCCCCGGGCCCCGGTGCCGCCGGCACTAGATGCATTGGTGGCCACATCATGCAATAGCTCGGCTCCTGCCCGCTGGCCAACAGGCTGGCCGCGCCCGCCTGAGCCCAGCCACAATGTCCAGGGCCCGCCGGCCGGCACGGCTTGTGGCGCGCGCGTGTGGGCAGGCGGTGCCTGCGCTGCCACTGCATCGGCCTTGCCAATATCCGCCAGCCCCGCCTCCTCGCCTCCCGCTTTCGCCGTTGCCCCCGGCCCCGCTGCGCCTGGGCCCCATCCTGCGAGCGGGCGCCCGCCGAACAATTTTCAGAAAAAAGAACTTCGGCAAAGCGTTGGGGCCCCCCGGCCGGAAAGATCTTGGGCAGAAATTTGCCCGAGGGGCGCCACGCGCCTGCAGCCTCTCGCCCTCCCTCTGGCCTTCTGGCCGGCCCCGGTATTGCCGTCGGCGCGCTGCATTTTTGGCAAGCGCCAGCAGTTTTCCCCCAGGCCCCGGGCATTTTCCGTGTGCTTCCGGGTTGCTGCGGGCAGGCTCCCATAACTTGCGGCGCGAGAATGATTCTCGTGGCGGGCTTCGCATCTGCATGAAATTCTTTGCCATTCTCGCGCAAACGTAGTGCTTCCGCGAGAATGGAGAGGCGTTTCACGTCGAAAGCTAGGCCCTGCGAGAATCATTCTCGCGCCGCTCTTTCTCGGGTCCGCCCGGCGCGGTTCCGAATCCCACTTGCCCGAGCGGAAAAATCGCGCAAACCCGGCTCACGCCGGCCCGGCGGGCAGCTCCGCGCGAGGCATTGGGGCAGTGCCGCGCAGGGAGAAACAGGGAAGCGGGCGCGGCTTGGGGGACGACATATGTGGGCTGGCGCAACGAGAGGAACAAGGCGCCGGTGTGTGCCTCCCAATCTGACGACCACCAGGCAGCGGGCCCGCGCGGGCGCTGAATACAACAGGCCCGGGCGCCGGGCGGTGTCTTTTCAATCGCCACAGGCTGTGGCCGGCCGCTGCTCGACGCGGGCGGGCGGTTCTATCTGGGGCCGCCCAGAAAGCCAACCGCCCCCATTGTGGCAAGAATGAACGTCCGCGCGCGCGCTGGGAGTTGAGGCCGGCGGGGTGGGTGCAAGCCGAGCTCCCACGGCCTGGCAGACTGTCATGCCGCCGCGGCCCGGTCCCTCCGACAGGGCTCACGACGGTGGGCTCGGAAGATGCCCGGCCAAACATGTAGAAAACATCGGGCCCGGGGCCCCCGCTTCCGGTTTTCAGACCATTCGGCCCCGGCTCCGCGGTTGCGCGCGATCGAAGGTCTGAGGAAGGTGCGCCACAGCGAATGCACCGCTGGGCCTGCCATGGCAGTGGCCCTGCCCCACGAATCGCCGGGGCCCCCGCCTCCTTCACACCTCGTCGGACGGTCGCCCGGGCAAGGTGGGCCACCAAATGGTATGCGTGCGCCCGTCAGACTCTCTCCACCGGCATGCGCATGGCCGGCATCGAGCCGCCAGCGGGTCGCGCTTTTTGCAGAGGCGCCCTCCCCCCCCCCGCTTGGTTGGTGCATCGCTACCGGCGCTGCCCCAGAAACACCGCCAGCGCACCGGCGCCCCTCGTTCCGCGCCCTTTCTTTTGGCCCCAGCAGGAAAAGAAACGAAAAAACAAAACGAAAAGCCACGCAGCCTGCTACAAAAAGCGCGCCGGCTACACAACGAAGGCGCGCGCTGGCCCCTCATTGCTAGCGACCGGACCCTCGGGGCCCGGCGCAAAAACGGCAAACGCCAAAAATCGGCCGTGTCTGCGAAGGTGTATGCTTGCGAAACACCGAACGCCGCGGGAATTTGGACCATTGACTGCATGAGGGCCCGCGCGGCCCCGTGGTTTCATGCGGGAAAAGAGGCACCGCGGGGCCGGCTTGGGGTGGTCCGCGGAAAAGTTGTGCTTCCTCCCTAAAAGCCACAACTTTTCCCGGAGTCCGGTCGTGTTTGAGGGTAAAAAGAAGCTGCACAACGCCCAAGGGGGGCAGAAAAAGACAGCCACAGGTCGTGCGTAACCTAATGCAGCATGGTATGGCTGCGAGGAAAATTCGCACGCAGCGATACCATGCAGCATAACCTCACGCCCGATGCTATCGGGAGTGCGAATATTGCTGCTTGGGGATAGCATCGCGCAAAAGGTTACGCCCGACGGTGTGCAGCGGCTGTGGCAGCCGCTTGTGGCGAACGGGGGGATTTGTAATGCGGAGAAGAGCCCGGGTTGCGGAGAACCCGAGGGTCCGGGCTTTCCCCTTTCCCCATTTTACCCACAACCCGAACCCCGAGCTCTGGGGAGCCCCGCACTCCGCATGTGTAATGCGGAGAGCCCGACCTTTCCGCCCATTGCATTTGTAATGCGGAGAGCCCGACCTTTGAAAGGTCGGGCTCTCCGCATTACAAACGCAATGGCTATGGGCACCTTTCCGCACTTGTAATGCGGAAAGGCCACCTTTCCGCATTTGTAATGCGGAGAACCGGAGGCGCGGTCTTTCACTTTCTCCAACCGGAGGAAGCGGAGTTTGCGAATTTGTGGCGCGGCTTTTCTCCTGCGGGGAGAAAAGCTGCATCTGCATCCGGCTGGTTTTCCAATTTTGTAATGCAGTTTTTCTCCACCCGACCGCTCGAGCGGAGAAAAACCGCGCGCAAAACAAGTAGCTTTGCGCGCGAAAAAACGGGCACAAGCCCTATGAAAAGCGCAGCTTCTACCCCGTCCGGAGCGGGAAAAGTTGTAAGCGGGTGGAGCCCCATTTGCTTCCTCATTCTCGTAGGTCGCTAGTTTCATTCTCGTGGCACTAAATGCTCTTTCTGGGGTCAAATTGTATTTTGTCCGTTCATAAAAGCGCTACCAGACCACCAGAAGGAGGTCGTGAAGATGCTGCTTTAGCACATACTAGCAACACGAACAAAAACTACAATCATGCCAGAAAGAATGGCGAACGCGATGAGCAGGGACATGATCAGGATTTACGCCAAGGGCCAGGCGCTGATGAAAACGATACAAATAGGGAAAAGTGGCTCGACAAGAAGAACGAGGAGGAAAACAAGAACGCAGAAGGGGCCTCTATTACAACAACATCATCTCGGGTGGACAAAGAAAATGGTGATCGTGGTCAAGAAGATGATGAAACTGAATTTACGAAAACGAAGATGAACAGTAGCAAGAATTATGCTGCAGCACCGGCTACGAAAACGAACGACGACAAATATATCAGCTGCACTTCTACATCTAATTCAAATTCTAATACCGCTGCCAGCGACGGCCGTGAGTTTCTTTTGATGAACCAGCAGCAGCAGCAGCAGCGACAGAACACGTTTCATACAACAGTTGTATCGTCTACTAGAACTACCTCCTCGCAAGAAGAAGACCATCGAGGCGGACGGAGCTTGGCAGCTGCACCTCCGAGCGATTATACTGGCGACGCAAGTGGAAAAGCAGAGAAATCTTACAGCAACACAAATTACAATGACCAATACCGACGGGGGCAGTGGAAATCTGCCGGGGGTACAAGAGCAACGCCTGCCAGTGCAAACAATAATATCCCGGAGGGACAACACGATAATCTTCTTCTGCACAACAATGAACAAACCCCGTCCACCGAGCAAAAGCGCAGCAATCAGCCTTCCAAGCCGCCAAGCCACTGCAGGGAGCGGTCGCTAATGTGGGACGGATTTTTACTCATCATTCCGGAGGGCCTGCTGGGGGGAGTCTTCTGGGGCTTATCCAACCTGTGTGTGTTAGTGTCGGTATTTGTATTTTCCTTTTTTTAAGAAAAAGAATAGCAAGCTGACGAGTGATAACTTCCTACTTGTTGCCATTTTATTCTCCACTTTTCTCTTCTAGTACGACCATAATTCGTTCAGCATTGATACAACTAAGACTCCATGTGCAAAAAACACAAAACAAAGGAATAAACAACAATCAGGTGAAGTTCCTCGGTCTGGGTGTGGGTTTTACCCTTTACCATGCGGTAAACCTTAGCTTTGCCTACTGCGTCGGCAGGTTCGATCTTTTCGGCGTCCCCCCCGAGTCCCGGAAAAATTGGGTGCAAGACCTGTCGCAGGTGGTGAATGTGATTGCGTTCATCCTCGTGATGTGCGTCGAAACCAATGGCGGGGGTAGTAGTAGTGGTACTAGCAGCGGAAGGATCTCCAAACACGGCGCAGTTCTTGCAGCACAACAGGCCGCAACTTCTCCCGGCTTATCTACTACTTTGGAGAACAACGAGAAGCAGCAGCTTCAAATTACCACACAGCGCAGTCGCGGCGAGTCAAAAATTATCAAATGTAAAAATGTCTGGGTCTGGAAGAATGCAACTTGTCATGCTGCATTTGGATTCCAGAAAAATCTGTATTGCATGAGTACCGAAAGGAATGTACTTTTTGCTACGCGGAGAGGGTATTTGTCATGCGGAATAGGCATCAAAAAGCTCTGAAAAAATCTGTGATGCTAAATCTGCATGCATCACAGACATCAGGGCTCATGCAAAACGTGCATGACAAGTATCAGAATGTTCCAGACCCAGACATTTTTACATTTGATAAAAATTTCTGGCAGTAGCACTTCGCGGTCCAGTGCAGCTTCGGCGCAGACAACTGGAGCACACGAAGGTATCCTGTGCAAAAGTATCGCATTCGTATTGCAGTCATGCACTACAAATCTTTTTTTGAAGGTAAATCCGCATTACAAATTTTCTTTCTCATGCTGAGGAAATTTGTAATGCATTTATACGAGTACGATACTTTTCCACTGCATAGAAGGCCAGGAAGGCCGGATCTCGACGCTTGCCGAGGACCAGCTTCCGACTTCTGAAATGGTGGGCCAGCTGTCCTCCAATAGCGGCCGGGGACACAGTTTGCTACACTTAAGGCCAGTGGATCTGGAGGACGAAGCGGACATTCGGGAGGGCGCGACACAGGACGACGTCGAGGGAAACCTTCATCTTCCAGCAGGGCGAACGAGTACTCCGCAGCAGGGCGACGTGTACCAATTTGAGCCGAATCTTCTTCTGCACCAAGACAGCGCTGAGACTTCTACCGCGCACCAGCACCTGAGCCGGACCATGAAGAAGGCAATCGGTTTATCGTAAGGAAAAATCCCCCCTCCCCATATCGAAAACGTATCCGTCTGAAAATTTGTGATGCGCATTTGTGACCTCAAATCCTGTCTGTCTTGCAAGAAGGCAAGTCCAGAAAGCGTTCCGCATTTTGCAGGCGGTTTGTGATGCTGTTGGGCTAAGAGCGTACGCGTTTGCCATGCTAGGCGCCTACGTCAAAACCTCTCGACTGAGGCTTGGCATATGCCTGCAGTCCTCTACTGCAAGACAAATCCGATTTGTGTATGGAAATCCAGCATCAGAAACTTCGTTTCGATATGGGGAGGGGGGATTTTTCCTTTTGATACGGTTTTACCGTGGGCTTGACCGCGGGCGTGTTTTTATCAAATGCAAATATGTGGTCTGGGTCTGGAAGAATGCGAGATTTGCCATGCTGGTCTAGCATGACTCTGCACTCTGTATTGCGTGGCCACCAAGAGGTCCTCTTGCCTGTCATGCAAAAGCTCAGTTTCTCATGCGAAATACGCAGCACAGAAAGACGAAAAAGCTTGTCATGCTTGGCGGCGCATTACAGAGCACTTTATTGTTCACGGACTTGCATCACAAGTTTCCAGACCCAGCAGACATTTTTGCAGTTGATAGTTTTGCGGCCTGAACCAAGTCCCGTATTCCGTGTGGACCGGAACCAGCCAGGGGAAAGCCACTCCGTATCAAACTGAAAAATGCCCCCACCCCATGTTCAAAAGACAATTTGCGTTGCTGGATTTGTGTACACAAATGAACTTTGTATTGCAGCAAGAGATGATTGTCGGCATATTCTCAGCCCATTTGCGTACGCATCCCGCTAGCACCTGCGCATGACGAGAAACAAGTGCGACATCGGCGAAAACGCATGACAGACTGGCTGCACAATGCGCCACATGGGTGTCGTTTGCCTTGTACGCAAGACAAAGCTGATTTGTGGCCACAAATCAGCATCACAGATCTTCTTTTCGATAATGGGGAGGGGAGATTTTTCCTTACAATACTCCCGTGCACTTGTTTACCCTGAGCCAGACCCTCGGGATTTGGTTCTCTGCGGCCTTCGCGTTTGCCGTGTACGATGTCCTGCTGACGACGGTGAGGTATGCATTGCGAAAGTGTCGTACTAGTAGGAATGGCATTACAAATTCGCTCAGCATGACAACTGGAATTTGTCATGCTGATTTTCCTTGCGAAAAAAATTTGTCATGCATGACAGCAATTACTACGAGTACGATACTTTTGCATTTCATATGAAGCCCAACCCCGTCACCGGCAAGGTGTTCAATCTGATCAAGCCCAAGCAGCTGACCAAAGTGCCACCCTTTTACGCCGCCATGATCCCGGGGGTGTTGTGGACCCTGGGGTTTTACTTCGGCTTGTCGGGGGTAGCGCTCTTCGGGCTGGGTATCGGCTACGTGCTCACTGCGGTCGGCCCGGTAGCCGTTTCCGGGATGATAGCGACGCTAGTGTTTGACGAGATCGCCCACTGGAAGCAAAAGGTTTTATTCTGGACCGCTGTCGGCTTGATGGCCTTATCGCAGGCAGCGCTGATCGGGTTCTCGGATTGATACGACCACGCTGTGGTGTTTGTCATGAGTCAATTATTTCTGAAATGTGCAAGCATATTCACGTCGTGGTCGCGAGTGCTGCGTAGGAATTCAGCTATTCTCGGAGGACTTGACTCGACGCACTAGCGTTCCGGCGCTAAATTTCACACTGTAGGCCACACAACGAGGACCTCCTCCCACTTAATATCTATGAAGAGTACTACCGCGGCGTGCTGGTGGTGCTTTGTTTATTTATCTACACGCACGACATTTATCTTTTGCTAGTGGAATGAGGAACGCACTTTCTATCCTTTTCTGCACGGTGTTTAGGCCGGAGATGAACTACCCAGAGAAAATCAACGAAGCTATCGTCACTTTGATGTACTTATTCGCTCTTTTTTCGTAGGTAACGGCGCCTGTTTTTTTTTTTTAACGTTGAGGTGTAGTTTGAGACTTCAACAGCTTTAGCAGTACCAACAAAATGATCGTTGAAATCAACCCACACCAGAGAGAAATTAACAGAAATTAACAGCAACTAGTGCTATTACTTTCATTTGAGTTTTTTCAATTTGCCAGACTCACAAACAACGATTACGATTCTATTTCATCCAAAATCTTCTAGGGTTTAGATTTAGTACCTTAATTTGATACATATTTATACCTAGCGTTCGTAGTCCTTCAAAAACAACAGAGAAATCCACCGCACCAATCCACCGCACCGAGCAAGACTCGTGGTTTAAGTATTTGGCGCCACGTTTCCATCTCGAAGAAATCCACTTACCTTGCTAGAAGTCCAACTGTGCTGGTGTAGAGTAAAAAAAACTGTTCCTAGCTGCGTCATGTATGGTTGTCGTGCTCTCTACGGCACGACGAAATAGGTTGTCTTCATCCAAAAACCACTACGAAGAATCATTTTTTTTTTTATTTTGCGACGTGGCAGCCACGCCACAACAACTTAGCCGAAAGAACCGCGCCGAATCGGAGAAAGCCGCATGATGTTGACCATGCGTTCAGCAATCCGACGAAGTAGGTGCATGTGTTTGAGCTCAAGAATAAGTGGAATTTCAGTTTCCGGTCTCAGTTCTTGCTATTCCTATTAGGCGGTGCTCGCCTTCGACAAATCCTTATCTGGGTTCAAGGCCACCATATTAATTTCTGTTTGGTCCCTGATCCTTCCTTTCCAGATCTTTCTTGGTTTCTGATTCATTCCTGAACGATGTATTCCTATTCCTAAAAACTACGAAGAAGATCTTCTACACTTCCGAGAGTGCAAATGCGAGAGCGATGGTTTGTTTGCTTCTTTTGGGTCGGAAAACAAGGAAAGAAAGGCTAGGACTTTCGAGTCTGTCTTTTTGTTTTTGTTGAGAGACGCACAAAAATACCTTTCTTCTTCTGAGAAACGTTCTTGAGTTTGTGTGTAAATATTCTCTTTTCGCGTTCTGAACATGATACGAATATTGTCGTTTTTGTTTTCACGACCCGGCAAGATCAACATGGCGCCACAATTTTTTGTGTATTTTGCTTTGCTCCTTTACTTGGCCCAAGCCCGTACTTCTATCTTCAACAAGCGAAGATATAATTAACTACAGGGCTTGATTGAAGAATGTAGCGCAGGAGCAGGGTGGACGTGGGTGTTACTCGTTTTTTCTTTCTCATTGATCCTCTGCCCGCAATGTTGGAGGGATAATGTTATGCTTGAGTAGAGCAGCGAACATACTGGAACGAAGCGATGAAATTATTAAGCGCGACTATAGAAAAGGAGATGATGTCTGCTCGTGGTTGCAGCTCCTCTGGTGTTTTTTTCGGCAGTTCCGCTGCTGGTAACAAGCAATGATCTTCAGGGCCCGGCGCCCCCGTTTCGCCGCGGTTGTGCGTGTAATGAAGTCGAGGAACGAAAGCGACGTGCAAGGTTTTGCACAACTACTTCGACCCCCTGCCGGGTGTACAGCTTCAACTTGCGCTGCAGCGCTCGGGCAAAGACAAACTGAAGGCTACTTTTGAACACGGCAATAGACCTATTCGTGCACAGAAGTGAGCTGCGATGGGTTGTGGCGCGTCAGCGGTTCCGATAGCGCCCGAGGGCGGCGGAGGGCAGCATGAGGAGGAAGGGGATCCTCAACCAGCTATCCTGAGTAAAAACGTACCCACACCAGAGTCAGGATGGGGATTTTGCAACACAAAGCTAGGAGCTTTGTGAGTCACGCATGACAAGTTGAGCTCTGCAGTGTAGTGCAGGTTAGCAAGTGCAGCCGCATCACAGATTCATCGGCTCATCCTGTTCACAGCATCACAAATTCCAAAACAGGATTGGAAATGGCTCTCATGGTGATGCGCATTACAAGTCTCTCTGTCTTTGCAAATCTGCATGACAACTCTGGTGTGGGTACGTTTTTACTTAGGATACCAGCTGCACCGGCGTCAGGTATTGGAGTTTCGCCTTCGACTGTGGGCGCGACGGCGCCTTATCAACTGCACAAATGTTGTCTGGGTCTGCTAGAAACTTGCGATGCTGTGCGGTGGGCAAGAACCGGAAAAATCACACTTAGTTCCATCAAGTGTGCCCAAGCGGGACAAGTTTTTTGCACATAATTAATTTCCAACTTTCGCATGCGTACTAGCCCGCGTGACCACAAACAAGTGTGTTTTTCATCTTTCTGCAAGGACGAGCACGAGGAAAGGCCGCTTTTCCTTTTGTCTATCATGCCTCCAACCAGATTCTTCAGATTGACTTGCAAAACACGCAAGAAGGCCTGTGCCAGTTTTCTCGACCCAGACCACATATTTGCGACTTGCATGCCGATGCCCCTCCGCAGAGCACGACTTGTAATCAGCCGAAATACACCGCGACCGAATTGCGCCGCATGAGCATCAAGGACCTGAAACAAATCGGAATCGAAGAGCTGCATTTGGGCGCCGACTTTTTCCAGAAGAACCACTTCACCGAAAAAGACGAGCTGGTAAACTTTATCGCCGAGCGCGCGCCGCCTGCTGTGAGTGTCGCGGCCAATAACCACGCTGAAGATGGTGCGCAGTCTAGTACTGGTCAGAATCTCGCGGCGAGCGAGCAGGCAGGCTCGCGACAGGCAAGTACAACAGGCTTCCACCCCGTCGTGCGGAACCCACGAATCAAGCTTGCAGATTTGGTTCTACCGAAAAGAATATCAACTGTAAAAGTGTCTGGGTCTGGAAACTTGTGATGCTGGTTGGCGTATCATGAGGCGGCCACAAGTGCTGGCTTAGCATGACAAGTTTCTGAGCTTCGAGGTGTTGCCTATTCTGCATGACAAACTACGTTTCTGCATGACAAAAAAACGGGGCTCTTGGGTGACGTGCATGACAGACTTTGGGGTCATGCTGGCAGAGCATGACAGACCTTCCATTCAGACATTTCTACAATCCATAAAGAAGACCTACTGAAACAGGAGGTGGATCTGGATCCGACTTCAACATTGCACCGCTGCTTGAACCCAAAACGTGGCTCGAGCTGTCAGTGAAAGAAGTCAAGCTCTGGCTGTCCTACTTCTCGCTTACTGCGCCGCCCTATCTGCTGGAGAAGCAGCAATTAATCGACTTTCTCTTGGAAGAAGTTGGGGAAACTCTTCTCAGCGAAGTGTTGCAAGAGCGGCTGCGGCAAGAGATGTCTACTTCACACCAGGCCGGCGGTGGAAACACCTCCAGTAAAATTGGCGCGCGAGGAACGGGCACCGCAGCAGCGGCCGATAAGAACAAGACGAGAAGTGGGAGTGCAACCTCTGGCCCTGTGCCTACCCAAGAAAAAAACTGTGTTCTTCGGCTGACAGCATCACAAATTTGCTCTACATGACAGAGAAAACCTGTTATGCGTGGCTGGCAAGGGAAAACACACAGGAAAAGAGGACTTCATGGTTGTCTGGCATGACAGGTGTAGCATTTTTGCATTCTCTGCATTACAGAGTTACAATTACACAGTTTTTTTCTTGCACATTACCGGGGCTGCAGTTACTCCAGTTAGAAGACATCACCGACAATACTACGCCATATGGGTGTGTCAGGAGTGAAATCGACAAAGTTGAAATAATCTGTGATGCATAAAATGCAAGGCACTGAGTGACTGTCTTGCAGGGATTGCAAGCGAGGCTGATTGTGAGCCTGCTTCGGGTTTGGGATAGAGCTGCTAAAGCAGCATAACAAAGGATGCCTTCTTTCGATAAACAGCATGACACACTGGATTTCAGTGAGGTCGAATCTTGTCATGCGCCGCTTGGAAATTGGGCTTCCAACTGGTATCGGTTTTATGCATCACAAATTTTTCAACTTTGTCAATTTCAATCCTGACAGTTCCATACGCCATCTACCTCGGCGGGGCACAGCGGCAGGTCCGCGGGCGGAGCGGGTAGTACACCAGCTAGCACTTTTCATGCGGGCGGGGCCGCCCGGGGTCGTGGTACAGCAGCTTCTTCTAGAGGCCGCACAGCTGCGGGCGGGAAGTCTGTGCAACAGGAGCTGACCAAAGAGGAAGAGCAGCTGATTGCTGCGATTTTGGTGGTGGTGAAAAATCTGCGGCAGCAGGCTGTGCAGTGGCGGGACGTGCTCATGAAAGAATTGGAGGAAAAAGTGCCACGCTACGGGAAGTGGCAGAACCGTGACCTATGAACTGCAATACTTGGTCTGGAAGATTGCCAGGTTTGTCATGCATATTTTGCATCATCCATGATGTCTGTAAGGCATGCCCTAGCATCACAGATTTTTAGAGGGCTTTGTGATGCATCTACCGCATGAGAAATGTTGCCCTCTCCGCGTAGCACAAACTGGAGGCCTCGTCTACTTGCTGCTCGTACAATGCAAATATTTTCCGAATCCAGAGACGGCATCACAAGTTTAGAATCCTCCAGTCCCAGACATATTTGCATTTGATAGGACAGATTGTTCTACAAGAAACGGCCAGTGTACGTAAAAGACGCGTCAGAATTGCAGAGGAGCGGCCGGATGAAAGGTTCCGCGCTCGAAGCGGGGGATGATTGCGAAGGTGTCGTGAAGAATGAAACCAAAATTGTCGTGGTAATCGATATGGAAACCGAGAAGGAACTGGAAGTAGGGGCTGACAAGCTGCGCCGGTTCGATGCCGACTACTTTCCGGAGCACAAAAAATTCTCGGACATCGAGGACTTTCGGAGCCAGCTGAATGAGATCGAGCAGGCCTGTGACGATGAGGAAGAAGCGCTGACCAGTATGGGGCTCTCAAACGTTACATTCTCAACTGCTACATGGATTTGTAATGCAAAACTCCGCTAAGCCGCCAAATAATCAAGCTGCCTCGCATGACAAATTTCCGAAGTACTAAACAGGAACTGCATCTGTGCCAAGACTGTAATGCGAAAGCAGCAAGCTTGCGCCGGCTGTTCTTGCTGTTCTTGCATTACAAATTCATGTGACAGTTGAGAATGTAAAGCTTGAGAACACGATAACCAGGTTTCTGGAAGTGCAAGAGAACGACTCTGCGGGTGGTGTATCGTGAGTAGAAAAAACTGTCTCAGTCTCAAACCCCTATGCAGCAGACTCAACAAGACAAACTTGCTGCTAGCAAGAAACAAAAATTTCTGATGCGTCCGAAACACGGGATGAAAAGAACACCTATGAAAGACGACTGTCTTGCTTGAAGATCTCGTCCAGCATGACAAAAAATTGCGTCAAGGAAGTTGCGCATCACAAGTTGAGACTGAGACAGCTTTTTTCTCACCACGATAATGTGGCGTCGCGCATGACGAGTACGAGAATCTAGATCTGGAAAAAATCGCGGAGGAGCTGGAGAAAATCTCCGCGGTGTTATCAACTGTAAAAATGTCTGGGTCTGGAAGATTGCCAGGTTTGTCATGCACATTTTGCGTGGCTCCTGATGTCTGTGATCCATGCCCTAGCATCACAGATTTTGTGAGGGCTTTCTGATGCCTATACCGCATGACAAATGCTCTCTCCGTGTAGCAAGACTTGGACTCTATTTGCTGCTCATGCAGTACAGATTTTTTTAGAATCCAAAATCAGCATGACAAGTTGGATTCTTCCAGACCACCCAGACATTTTTACAGTTGGTAGGTGTTGGTCGGGACCGACTGGAAACCCAAGGCGCGACACAAACTGCCGAAGCACTGGGTAGAAAAAATCTCGACCCAGTACGGTGTGATATCAAGTACAAATATGTCTGGGCCACTCAGGAAAGAATGGAATTTGTGATGCTAGCTTTCGATGATACAAAAACCTGTATTGCAAGAGCAGCAAACGGCACTCATATTTTTGCTATTCTGAGAAGGCATTTCTCATGAAGTATAGGCATGAGAGAGCCTCCACAAAACCTGTAATGCTAAACCATGCATCACCGACATCGCAGGTGCAGGTCATGTAAAATTTGCATGACAAACAACCCCAATCTTCCAGACCCAGACATAGTTGCATTTGATATGTGAGCTACTTTTACAACACGCAAACCGGAGAAACCACCTGGCATCGCCCCGACAAGACGGACGGATCTATATCCCACGAAAAAACTATTTCACTGTGAACTTGTGATGCATGGAATGAAGCGCAAAGCTATTTGTCTTGCTACACGTGCAAGACATAGGATTTTTAAGGGTGTTTCCCCTTGGGAAGTGCGCATGGCAAATTTTCTGTGCCATGTGTAACAAACTTGTGATGCAGATCTTGCAAAATCATCACAGTGAAACAGTTTTTTCCTGCGATAATCTAGTTCATCAGCTTCCAATGACGAAGACCAGTCCCCCGGTGCGCGAAAGAAATTCTTGGAAAAAAACAAGGCCTTCGTGGAGAAATATATGAGCGATAAAAATGTTGCGGCAACATCTGCGTCATCTGCAGGTACAAATATGACACCAGGGAAGGAAAAGAAAACTAAGCACGAGATCGACACAACTTCTGGTGGTGATCTTCCCGGTGATCAGGCAAAGCGACTCACACAAGTAGAACAGACGCCCACCCCTAATTTTTCCAGCGGCGGGCGGGAGAGCGACAAGACATCGAAAAACACCACTCGCCTCCCACGAGAACCCTCACCCATCGAGAAATTTGCGGCCCAGGAATTTGGTGCGTCATCAAGAACCGGCGGAGCTGCAAATAAAGCGGGTGATGTAAGAACAACGTCCGGGGGTCGTGGAATTATCTCCACGCCAGGCGGCGATTCCGATTTTGACGTTTTATCGTCGTCTGACGAGGATGAAATTCTGGAAAAGACAACGACAGGTCAGCTCTTGAAGTTTGGGAGAAGTAGCACGAGTGGTCCTACAACTGGTGGGGGAGGACTACAGGGGCCGCAAGGAGGTCTTTCTAGTGCTGCAACCAGCGGCGGAACAAGAACAGCAGTATCAAAGGCTTTTGTTAACAACAAGGAGCAGAGCACCACGTCCTCATTGTTCGCAACTCTGGTTGTGGACAAAACAAAAATCTTTCCCTCAGGAGAAGATGACCACTCGGCGCAAGGTGGTCGCGGTAGTGCAGCTTCCAGTCTTCATGAGCAGGCCGTCGCGGCCACAGGAGCACCAGCTGCCCCAGGGGATAAAAGTAAAACCGAGCAGTATTCAACCTCTAGTACGAGTGCTTACGAAGTGAGGGCGAGTGATAAGGCACACCAGCTCGGATCAGGTAGTCATCATGACCAAAATCATCCCACCAACAGTACTAACGTGTTAGACTCAACGGGAAGGTCGGTGGCGTCGATGTCGTCTCTGCAATCGAATCACTGGGCGGAGAATATGGCGTTCTCAACGGTCACATTCTCAACTGTTACATGAATTTGTGATGCAAGAATGGCAAAAGTGAAGGGGTGGCCTTGCATCTCTCGCATGACAGATGTGGCGGAGTAGATTCTCAGCCTCTTTGGCCCTTCGGGAGTTTTTAGTCATGCGAAGCAGCTTGACCGTGTCGAGTCTGATCGGGATTTTGCATGACGAATCATGTAACAGTAAGAGGGGCCGTCGGACCGGGAAATCGCTTGCTGGTTAATATGTATGTGTGACAAGCTGGCTGCGTTTTGCATTCGTGGCAGTCCAGGAAAGAAGAAGAACTGGTGAAGCGATCGGATCGACGAGGTGCGTCAGGGGGCGTCACTCATTCATTCATTCATTCATTCATGGGAATGTAACGCTTGAGAGTCCCATAGAGAAAAGCGTGCTTCATTTCGGCTTGGGAACAACCAGCGCGGGGGGAGGGGCAGGCGGTAGCCCCGTACTAGGCACAGTAGACCACCAATCTTTCGATGCAGGAGAGAAGCTGCCCGGTCGTGGTGGACATCAAAACGTCGAAGGTATCAATACAACAAGCGGCACATCAGGTACAGCCAGCGCGGCGCACTTACAACCGCAAACGCGGTTCATCAAGAAAATTCAGCTGCAGAACCAAGCGGCCACGGTGGCGAACACGATGGCAGACTTGTTGGCCGCTTTGTCTTCGCACGGTGGCGAAGCTGGTACAGCGGGTGCGGAAGACGAGAACCGAAAGTTCCAGATTCCCGATATAACCTGCTCAGGTGTTACAATCTCAAGCGTAACAATGGAAGTGGAAACTTGTGATGCAAAAAGTGCATCGTCTAGTCCGCTGTCATGGCATTGCGCATGACAATTTATGGAGCTCCAAACCCGATGAGAATCTGGCGATGAAATTTGTATTGCGAAAAGCGCAAAGCTCTGCATGTTCCCCATGCTCTCTATGCAAGACAAGTCCCAGATTCTATTGCAACGCTTAAGATTGAAACATCTGAGCAAGCCATCCCCGACCTCCGTGCAAACGGGTTCGCACCCACGAAGAACGCGCTGCGCAAAATTGTCAAAGGCCTCGGCAGCGGCAAAAAGCTCGCCGGGAAACCGCGGCTGCTCGTGCCGCCGGATGAGATGGAGGATGTTTTGGAGAACGACGTCGACCGGAATGATAGGAACAACACGGTGGCTGGCTACAGTTCGAAAAACGTTTCCGCCGCGGCAAATTACTCCCCCGAGGATGATACTGCGGAGACGTTGCAGCAGCTCTTCACGGAGCAAACAGCTATGTTTGAGAACATGCTGCGAGAAAAAAACAACCAGCAACACGAAACATTGCAGGATGGCGGTGGTGGCGCGAACAACCAGAAAGGAGGCTCTACTCAGACCGAGGTAAGCTACGATCCGAGCTCGGTCGAACGGGAGGTGCAGCGCATTGTCTACGCGTGGCTCGTATCAAGTGCAAAAATATCTGGTTGATTGCAAGGTTTGTCATGCACGTTTTGCATGACCCGTGATTCCTGTGATGTATGCCCCAGCATCACAATTTTTTTGCGGGCATCTTGATGCCTATCCCGCATGAGAAATGCCCTCTCCGCGCCGGAGCTAAAACTCGACGCCTCGTCTTGCTGCTCATGCAATACAGATTTTCTTAGGTTCCAAAAATAGCATCACAAGTTGCATTCTTCCAGACCACCCAGACATTTTTGCAATCCATAGTTCGGCAAACTCGGAGACTTTTTCGAGCACGAAAACGAAGCTCACGCAGCCATCGCGGATGGAGGCCAGGGAACCCTCTGGTCGTTTGACCAAATTCATTCGCCCGAGATTCTGCGTGACTGCGCGCCCCCGTTTGTGGGAATTTTTATCCCACGAAAAAAGTGCTACAGTTACACATTTGTTGTCCATTCAGCAACACAAATTTCTCTGCATGAGAGAGAAAACTTGCACTGCAGAAATCCTACGGGAAAGCACGTATGAAATAAGGTTTGAGCAGAGCATTTCTGCAACACAATGTGTAACTGTAACACTTTTTTCTTGCGATAATTTTCAAGTTGGTGCTGTTAGCCGGCGGAGGTGCTGGAGGGGGTAGTTCTTCCTCTGGTGCGAAGGTTCCGGCTGGAAACAAAGCAGCAGCTACTGGCAGCTCCACTACAACTTCCGGGGGCGTAGGAGAAGTGGTTCAAAATCAGAATAGCGACAAAAAATCGTCAATCTCCGCTCCAACTCCAGCGGCAACAGGTAAGGGCTTCCGGCTGTCGTTTTTCGGGGAAGTTTCGCACCTAAGATAACAACATGGCGCGAGCCTCCGAGAGGTGCTTGGGCGCAGAGCCCCTTCCCCCAAAAGTGGCAATTTGTAATGCGCGTTTCGCATTACAAATGGCCTTCTTTTATGACCCGTCTTGGGCTCGCTCTCCGGGCCAGGTCACAAATCTGAGCCCCTGGATCAGCAGAATGCCGTGCTGTGAGGGTTCAGATTTTTGATGCAAAACGTGGCTCCGCCAAAAAACTCTGCACCTCGGCAACGAGGTCGCCAAGTGGAGGTGCAGAGTTTTTTGGCGCGAGGGGAGGAAAGTGGGGCAGATAGCTCGTGTTTGTCTGCGCCGCCAAAAAACTCTGCACCTCCGAAATTGGCCTCCAGATGAGGTGTCCTCGGACACCTCTTCGGAGCCCTCCCGAGTCGCGGACCTCCGGGGCGACAAATTTTGGCCGCACTTTTCGCATTGCCCCGACCTGAATCGAGCTCAATTTGCAGGCAGAAGCCTGCAATTTGAGCTCATCCCCGAAGCGACCTCCTCCGAGGCCGCGAGGTTTGAACCAAAAGTGAGCCTCTGCTTCAGCAAATTCAACTCATTCCCAAACAAGACACGCACTAGGTAAATCGTCAGGAATCAGGAGGGAGTGTGGGAATTTGAAGACCTACAACTGCGAACCCGGGTGGACGACGTCCACCGATAGCGAAACACCGAGTCCCCCGGTGGCTGAGCTGTCTCCTCTGCTTCGTCCGCCGAGGCCTTGCCGGAATACCTGGCCTGCCCATTTCCTTGATTTCGTTTCATTGTGAAAAAAAATAAACACACAAGAAGGTGCCCGAAAATGTAGGATGCAAAAATTTTGATTTTTTTAGCTGCAGACGTTTTTCAGTTTAGTATCAAAATCAAAATAGCGACAAAAAATCGTCAATCTCCGCTCCAACTCTCCGCTCCAACTCCGCTCCAACTCCAGAGTTTGCATTTTCCCGGACCTGCCAAGACGGCAGCTCCGTCGCGCCTGCAAGAGCCGCCCTTGCCTTTTCTGGCTTCGGGCCGGCGGCCGGGGGAATGGGCGGAAAGGGGCCACATATTTGGCCTCGAAAAGATGGCCGCATCCGGATGTCAGACCTGGCCTTCGAGCCCCCAGATCCATCTGGGAGCAGGTCTGAGAAACGAGCCATAGAAAAGTCGCTCTTTATCCACCAAATCCACCAATTCCAGACTCGTCGTTGACGAGCATGGTGGAGACACGCTTCCGCGCCCTCATGGCGCTGGCTGACTGGGCCGCACCGAATGGGGAGGTAGCTCTCGCCGTCCTCAAAAATGTCCGGGATTGTGATGGTGGTACTCGGTTGTCGGTGCTCACAACCTGCAAGCGTCTCAACCTGCAAGCGTCTTGCCAGATCTTTCCTGTTAGCTAGGTAAATCATCACAAGTGGCCACCAGTTACCTTCTGACATTCATCATTCCAAATCAATCAAAACACTACTCAGGTCTTACCTTGCCGGCGAGAAAAAAAATGAAAAAATAATGCTGCTTTTTTGTAAAAAAAGTCGTATTTTTGGGTCGAAAAACGGCGCTTTTGTGATAGTGATAGTTTTTTTCGGCGCGATATAACAAGTCGTCAATCTCCGCTCCAACTCCAGCGGCTGGTCGCGGTTGGTTCACAGTGTGGCTGCGTGCTGTTTTATTTGCAAACGCCACTCATCCCCTTTTTCGGAAAACACGCACTAACAGGGGGCGGGGAGCAAAGGCCGCGCAACGCATTCGGTCGGGCTGCTTTCAGAAAGGTCCTGCTATGGCACTGAAGCGGAGGAAGCCTTCCTGCGCCCGAACGGGACATCGGACGCAGTAAAGTACTAACCTCCACAAAGCAGAGCACTAATCGCCACACACTAAGGGAGTTCATCTCGGACGTTTGGCAGGGGCCTGGAAGTTGTGCCTATTCCGACGAACTTTTGCGCGGGCCCCAAAGTTGCCCACTTTTTGGTATTCTTGAGATTTTAGATGCACCTGAGTCGGTCGATTTGGCCAAAATCAAGGGGCCCCAAAAGGCGGGCCGGGCGTTGGCCACTTGGCGACCCCTTTTCTGGTATTCTTGAGATTTTAGATGCACCTGAGTCGGTCGATTTGGCTGATCGGATGGGGGTGCGAAACGAGCCCCAAACCAAGACACCTCCCCGAAAACCCCTCTTCGGGGAGGTGTCTTGGGCGGACCCCCTTGTTGGTATTCTTGAGATTTTAGATGCACCTGATTCCCTCGATTTGGCACTAATCTAAAATCTCAAGAATACGGATTTAGGGACCCCCTTTGGGAGGTCCCCCTTGTTGGTATTCTTGAGATTTTAGATAACGGCCAGGCTGGTGTCTCATTGTTGTAAAGCGCAGAAGCTAAATGCTACCTGTGTCGGAGGCCTTTTCTATATCTTTGTGGGGCCACTCCTTCATGAGCTGTATTTCAGCAGCCTCGGGTCCTATATTTCATTCAGCAGCCCCTGTAGACCTACAAGAAAGTAGAGCGCCAAAGCCGGCGCCTAAGTAAGTCTGTTTTTTGCGAATGATGAAGGCTCTTCATGTTAAAAAGACTGGCTCGCCTGCGGAATCGACGGGGTGCTCCGCTTTCTGGACCGACAGGGCCTGCTGGTGTGCCCTGCCGCCGCTCGGCCTTCCAGCAATCCTGCCCTCGAACCAGCAACCGGGCGCCCGCCCCTGGGATTGCTCAAGGGCCAGTGATGATTTTTTTGTTGAAATTCTTATTCTTGAACTTTTCCCGTTAGTATCAAAATGGTAACAAGTCGTCAATCTCCGCTCCAACTCCAGCGGCCGTCCTGAAAGCAAGCACGTGGCGCGCGCAGCAAGCCGTTACGGAACTGATTGAGGGCATTTTCGAGAATTTTCAGTCCCCGCAGAGCCAGCACCTGCTTGGGATCCAGCAAGTGCAGCAGGCGAGTGCGTCCGGCGTTTCGCAGCTGCCGAATATCTATCCTGTGCAAAAGTATCGTACTCGTATTGCAATCATGCATTACTTAAGGCAAATCCGCATTACAAATTTTATTCCTCATGCTGAGGAAATTTGTGATGCATTTATACGAGTACGATACTTCTGCAATGCATAATATCAAGACAGTGTTGAAGATGGTGTTGCTGTATGCAATACAAATTTCCCGTACATGTACAGAATGCATCACAAACTTCACCAGTCTAGAGGGTAAAAATTGTCATGCTAAACTAGGATCGAAGCCAAGTTTTGTCATGCAGAAACCGCACTTCTACGTCGTCGTGTGTGGGAAATTTACTGTGGATATGCTGGCCATCTCGCGCATTCTCACGATGCGAGAGTATCGCAAGAAAAAACTGCTTCACTGTGAACTTGTGATGCAGAGAATGGAGCACAGCGCGGTTTGTCTTGCTACACCTGCAAGACGTTGGATTTTTTTGCGCGTTTTCCCTTGAAAAGCGCACATGGCAAATTTTCTGTGTCATGTGTAACAAACTTGTGATGCAGATCTTGCAAGATCATCACAGTGAAACAGTTTTTTCGTGGGATAGAGAGAAAAACAACCTGATTAAAAAGCAGCTGAAGGCGTTCCACAGGGTGTACAGTGTGAAACAGCTGAAGCACAGCTATGGTGTGATATGAGAGTGCACAACTCCACCCCGCCCTCCTACTCATTTGCATGGAATGAACGGCAATAGATATGATACAAGCATCAGCAAGAGTGCCGGTTTTCCATGACAAATTTACAGCGGATTTTAGTTGTATTTGGGCTTTCAGAACTTGTCATGCAAACAGTGCCATAAGACAGCGACTGGGTTCGCGGTTCTGCATGACAAATGAGGCGGGGGAGGGGGGGACCGTGCACTGTTATAAGTGATCACGTCTTGCGAAAAACTGCTTTATCAAACAAAAAAGCGTTGACGTAAATGGTTTTCACAGAGTGGTGCAACTGCAAATATGCATGGGGAATTTTGCTTCGCATGCATGCTATGCATGACAAATTTGGGCACGTTTTGTGATGCGTTACTGCATCACAAATTCCGTTTTCGTTTCGTTTGTGGTTTCGGTCGGTTTAGCATCACAAATTCCGTTAACATTAACGCTTTTTCCTGTGACATGCTTGTGGAGATTAACAAGCACTTGGACGACGAAGAGCAGGAGTATCCTGTGAAATCAATGATACCATCCTGTGAAGATCCTCCAACTTGTCATCCAAAACATGTAGTGAATTCTGTTTTTGTCATGTAAAAAGTGGATATCATCTTTCGGATGGTAAATTTTCAGGGAATCAGGAGTTTGCCCGGAATTTCGAAAACCGGCAACGGGTGCTGATGGAACGATTCGAGTACCTGGGGGAGCAGTACCTAGATGTTGATAATATTAACTCTGGAACAAGAACAGGTAATACCTCACAAGTAAAATCGAACAACACGAATAAAGCAAAAGTCGAATGGCAAGAAACGATCCGGCAGACCGTATTGCAGAAAAACTCCATATTACACTACATTGCCACCTATCAAATGCAAACGTGTCTGGGTCCGGTAGAATGCGCTGGTTTGTCATGCACCTTTCGGATCAGGCCCCAAATGGTGTCTTATGCACGCGAAAGCATCGCAGGTTTTGCAGACCACGCCCCTTGATGCCTGTCCCGCATGAGAGACTGCTGACTTGCGAAGCAAGAAGTTGGCAGCTTTTGGTGCTCATGCAACGCAAATCTTTCTGTGTTCCAGAGTTTGCATCACAAGTTCTTGCAACTCTTCCAGATGACCCAGACATACTTGCAATGCATACCACCGATCCGGAGGACTGGCTGGAAGCTTTTATCAACGGCGCGTCCTCTATTCTTCAGTACGTATCCTCTGCAAAAGTATCTGATACTCGTATTGCAATCATGCATTACAAATCTTTTATCTTAAGGTGGATCTGCATTACAAATTTCCTGTCTCATGCGGAGGAAATTTGTAATGCGTTTATACGAGTACGATACTGTTTTGCAGTTCATAGCACGCGGTCTACTTTGATTTTTTCAAGGAAAAGGCCTTCGATCCGCGACTGATGGAGCAGGCGAAGATGCAATTGGAAAAGTGCAAGGAACGGAAGGTAATCTATTTTGGGGAAAAATGTCCCCACCCCATAGTCAAGTTGGTAAATCTGCAGCACAAACCGCTAAGTTTTGGGAGTTGCGCATGACAAGTTTCCATCTGCAGTGTAGTGCTGGTTAGCAAGGGCAGCCGCATGAGAAAGCCATTTTGTAATCCTGTTTAGAGCATTACAAAGTCCAGAACAGGACTGGAAGTTGTGCCTCTCATGGAGATGCGCATTACAAACGTGTTCTGTAAGTATACATCTGCATGACAAGATCGTGGGGACGTTTTTGCTGAAGATATAATCGAGATTTTGAAAAAGAAGGAGTTCGAACTGAACCAGTTGGAACTGAAAACCGCGTATCAAATGCAAATCTGTCTGGGTCTGGAAAGTAGATGCGAACTTGTGATGCGAATTTCACATGACACAAAAATCTGTCATGCATGGAAGCCAAAAGTTGCACATTTCTGGCCACCGAAAGAAGGGCTTTGTCATGCGGATTACGCATTAAGAAACCTTCTAGAAACCTGTGATGCAGGGGCGTGCATGATAGCCCTTCTGGGTCATGCCAAAGCTGCATCACAAGCCTCTGCATCCTTCCAGATCCAGACATATTTGCAATCCATACCGCAAACTTGGCGGCGATGTTGAAGGGCGGTGGTGGAAGTAGTAGGAACAGCAGCAGTCAGGAGGTTTTTGCATCCACCACGACGAACAACCTGGACGCCACGACATCACTGATGCCGAAGACGATTTTGCAGATCGAGCAGATCAAGCAACACGCAGACAAGCAGATCACCAGCCTGGAGAACGGCACCGATTTTTTCGTGAAGCTTTGCAAAGCCGAGTTTCAGCAGGACCAGAACTTGATCAATTTGAGTAGCACCGTCAACAAACCTTTACTGGCGAAATTGGCTCTGGATGGCTTCAAGTTTTACATGCTGCAGAACCACATTTACGCTTTATTACACTTAAAAATGCCCCCACCCCCAAGTTGCAAAAATTTATGATGCGAAGTTTCCAAATGAAAACTTTTTGCCATGCATGAAAGGAGTATGAATCTTTCTGATGCAGATTCTAGTCGTGTATCGCATCGCTTGCATGACAAGCGCCGCGCTTGCTGGGATCTTCTGCAATGCAAACTTTTTCTATTCACGATTGGAAATCTGTGATGTTGATAGATGCAAAAGGGCGAATGTTTCATTTGAAAAGGTTTGCAATACAAATGCTCCCAAGTTCGGTGGTGGGGGCATTTTTCATTGTAGTGCGCTTTCGTGTTCCAGATTTTTGATTCCCAATTTGACAAATTTCTGGACATGCAGAAGAAAAGCGGGTTTGGACCATCAAGTACATCGTCTTCAACGATGGGTGGAGGTAATGCAACCGCTTACAAACCCAACGCGCAGATCCTATCAATGAAAAAGCAGCAGATTCTGAACACCATCGATGATATCGTGAGAAAAAAGTGTTTCGCTGTAAGGATTTTGCCAGTTTTGCATCACCAGTTCGTTACACATGACAAAGAAAACTTGCCATTCGAGGTTCCTAAAGGAAAACAGTGCTAAAAGCCCAATGTCTTGCATGTGTAGTGTGTTCTATTCTATGCATCACAAGTTGACAGTGAGACAGTTTTTTCTTGCGATAGATGAAACCCTAGCAGTGTTCCCGCGGGAGCAACGGACTAAGGAGCTTTTGAAATTGATTGTCGGCGAAGATGCGTTTCAAAAATACGAAGAAGCCAAACTGGTGGTATGCACTGCAAAAGTATAATCTTTGTACTAGTACTAGAAATCGCATCACAAATTTATTGGTCAGCATTTGTACAAATGGAATTTCTAATGCGCATTTGCCTTAAGAGAGAGAGAGATTTGTAATGCATTGTTGCAATGTTGACTAAGTACGATACTTTTGCAAATCATGACTGGCGAATCGTTACGAATCCTGTGAGGAGATCGGGCAAGAGTTTGAAACAAAATCCTTGCAGGCCAATGAGCTATGCGTTGCAAAAGCATCGTACTAGTAGAAATCGCATCACAAATTCGGTCAGCATGACAATCGGATTCTGTCATGCTGTTTTTCCTTGGGATGGAGATTTGTAATGCATGATTGCAATAATTACTGCGAGTGCGATGCTTTTGCACAGGATATGAGCACTACGTGAACGAAATCCTGGTGCAGGCTGTGGCTATGAACTGCAAAAGTATCGTATTCGTATAAATGCATTACAAATTAGCTCAGCATGAAAAATTTAATTTGTCAAGCTAATACTACATAGAAAACCAGATTTGTCATGCTGGTCTGGCATCTACACGAGTACGACACTTTTGCACAGGATAGTGGCCGACTTCCAGCAAACGGTGTTGGAAAAGTTAAGCTACTTCAAAGAGTTTTACTATGCATTGCAACTATCCCTGGACCACGTCTGGAACAAGAGTGGGAACAACTTGTAATGCGTGTTGCGGGTCACACAAAAATCTGTCTTGCCTAAAAACTCGCAAAAGATCATCCCTACTTCTGACCATGCTGAGAGGTGGTGGAGATTTGTTTCTCATGCGGGATAGGCATTAGTTGCACCAAGGGGCTGCAGAACTTGTGATGCTAAGATCTGCGTTGCAGACTTTGTGGAGCTTGGAAAAATTGCATCACAAATCTCGCAATCAGCCAGACATCGAGGGTGGATATTTGCATTTGATATCTACTTTGAGCTCACGAAGTCCTTGAAAATCATCGCGGATAACATATCAAAAGGAAAAATTCCCCCTCCCCATACCCAAAGGGAAATTTGTGATGCTAGATTTGAGTAGACAAATCAGATTTGTCTTGCTGGAGAGGACTGCATGCCAATTTCAAGCCTGAGGGGGACAGGCTTTGGCATAGGCGCTCGGCATGACAAAAGTCCATGCTGTGGGCCCTGCCGCATCTCAAACCGCAGGCATAATGCGGGGGGCCTTCTGGGTTTGCCTTCTTGCAAGACAGACACGATTTGTGACCACAAATCAGCATCAAAGTGACGCCCTTTCTGTATGGGGAGGGGGGTTTTTCCTTACGATGTAACACGACAACAACTCCAGGCTCAGGCAGCGCGACACACCAGACCACGGATAGCAGTGGCGGAAAGCTGAAAAGTGCCTCTACTGCGGCCACTGCGGTGGAAGACCACGGAGAGATCGACTTAGAAACCACTCTTCGGACCCGAGCGGCAGAATCCGCTCAGACGGCGGCTATCCTGGTGTGCAAAAGTATCGTACTCGTATAAATGCTGGTCTTCCATTACAAACATTTTTCTCAAGGTAAATCAGCATGACATCATGCGGAGAAAATTTGTGATGCATTTATTTGAGTACGATACTTTTGCAGTTCATAGCGGCTTTCGAGGTGAAGTTCTTTGATGTGGCATCGACTTTCAACACAAGCGGGTTGATGATCGGAAACAACGAAACGATCAATGCCAACACGATCAAAGAACTACTCGCAAGGCGGGAACAGGACCCGAGCTTCAACTACTCGAAACAGCAATTGGATATGGATTGCAAAAATGTCTGGGTCTAGAAGGATGCAAGGTTTGTCATGCAGATTTTCCATGACCCATGAGCTTTGGAAAGCGAGACCCAGCATGACAGATTCTCTGGAGTCTCTCTCATGCCTTTCCTGCATGAGGAACTCCCTCTCAACTTGGTCAAAAGCGGACAGCTTTTGGCACTCACGCAACATAGATTTTTGCATCATTCAGATTTAGCATGACGAGTTTTAACCTTCCAGACCCAGACATATTTGCATTTGATACTGGAAAAAGAAAAACAAAAAGCCGAGCAAATCGCGGCTCAAATCCCAAAAATGTTCCGAGAACTACTCAAGCCGCTGTTCTATCCAGAGGAAATCTTGCAACAGGAAAGCAGGAACTACACCAACAAGGGAACAACAGGGGGAGCAACATCCGCGGCGCATTTCATGAACCACCCGGAACAGGTACTGGAGGAGTGGTTCCGCGTGAGCCAGTATCCTGTGAAAAAGTATCGTACTCGTATAATTGCAATCATGCATTACAAATCTTGTTCTTAATGTAAATCAGGATTACAAATTTTTTTTCTCATGCTGAGGAAATTTCTGATGCATTTATACGAGTGCGATACTTTTTCAGAGCATAGCCAGCTTGGCGAATTTCACTTCTCGTTTCACCATCTGAATCACTACTCCAGCAGCGCTAATTTCCGGTTCTGGGCGAATCTGACGACGAACAGCACCATTCCCGTCAGTTACGCGCTCGACCTGCTAACTCAGCAGTGTGCGAGTCTAGCAGTGGTTCTGGAGCAGGGAATAACGGCGGGGGTGGCGCAGGAGGACGAGACAGGGGCGGGAGAGATTAACGTACTGGAATCTTCATCAGAAGGGGTTCAAAGTAGTTCCGTGCACGAGAACTTCCACTATGCCTGTTATGCAATGCAAAATCATCGTACTGCTCGTATAAATGCAATTTTTACATTACAAATCTTGTTCCCAAGCTAAATCTGCATCACAAATTTCATTTCTCATGCTGAGGAAATTTGTATTGCAATTTCCACTACTACGATACTTTTGCAATGCATACCTCTCAGCAGTTGTTGAAAAGGTTGAAAGAGGAAAAAAGCGCACTGCAATCCTCGAAAAGCTACGACCTGTCAGTTGAAATGCCCGAGGCACATGCCATGCTGTGCGCACCTGCTGCATTATCAGTAGCCTCAACGACTATGTTGAACAATGGAGCTGCTGCTGCACCAGTCGGAGTAAAAACATCTTCACAGGACGTTCTAGTTGACAACTACAAAAAAGACGCCTTCGCCGCCACCGTCGCAGCGCTCAGTGGGTCATCGGCAAACAACATTCTGAACCAGGAGGCGCGAGTTGCGCAACTAATCTCTGAAGCCAGAAAGGGAATGAGCGGTGCTGGACTAGTATTTTCGACGTCAGGTGCGATGACGCGGGAACATAAAACAGAAGGCGGTACCCCCGTTAGCAGCAGCAGTCACCTTGACGTCGACCCCCAGCAAGAAATGAATCTAGCTGCCAGAATTGAGCAAGCGGAGCAGATGATAGAGCGGTACTGGGAGAAGCACAAATCCGGAATTTCGGTTCTGAAGGAGTGGAAACAGCAGCGTGTGACGCAGATGCAGCAGCAACTGGAGAAGTTCCGAGCGGAAAAAATGGTTTCCTTCGTGGAGGAAAAGAACTTTGAAAAAATCAGCAAGGTGTTTTCTTTCGAGAAGAAGCGGGGCAACAGCCAGGCGCCGAAATTGTTTTTTGCGAAATTATTGGCCGCACTGAAGCAAAAAGAAAATCAGAAGCAAGGAACGTCTAACGGTAGGCAGAAAACTAGTACATCGTCTACTACTAGTGCTCCTGCAGCAGGAGGAGAGCCCGTGCCCGACCCGCCGCCGAGCCCTTCTAAGTCCAAGAAGAAAAAGAAGCACCCGTTTGAAACAGACAACGAGCCGACGCAGCAGATGGCGTTTGCCGTATGGATTGCAAATATGTTACTAAGTGGAAGTTTCTAGGAATTGGGAAAATTCGAAAAAATTCCCACCCCTTCGAATTTTCTTCCGGCTGCAGCAGCTCTCCCTCGCGGTGTTCGGCTTGCGTGGCGCGCCTACGTTTGTTTGCTGTCTTTGAAAATGGAAACAACAAAGGCCTGCTTCAGACCTCAGACATATCGCCACGCAGTGAAATCATCACTGCAGGCAGGTACTTTTTCAGGCCCCACTAACCTCGAGCGCATGCATGTTATCAGCGGAGGCTCCGCACACACACAAAAGCGCTCTGCATTTGAATAAGCAGCAGCGTCCTCTGCGGGGGCATCACAGTCAAAGCACTGCTTTAAGGCCACAGGTCGTCGAGGTATCTGGGCTCACTCTACCGACCACCAGCCCGCCGAAAATCTGCGGGCTGAGGTTGCCAAACTGGTGCTGCAACTCTGGGAGGGGCCAATGGGGTCGGGCGCGTGGCCTACCCGGCGCGAGGAGGCGCGGAAACATTTGGCCGGGAAGGCGAACGACTACCTCGGCGCCTTTAAGTACCCCGACAAGCTGGGGGCGGGGTGCCCCAATAAAGACCTCGCCCTAGGGTTTCGCTCCGATACTATTTTTGCTGTGTTCTTTCTATGATTCAAATAGAGAATGGCGGTTTCCGGTGGTGATTCAATTTCTTGGGAAAATGCCGAAGAGGGGGGGTCGCGGGGGGGTCGGATTGGGCCTCGGGAGGGTACCCAAGAAAGGGGGCCAAAACCGGCACCATAGCATGGCGATTCAATTTCTTGGGAAAAGGGCGAAGAGAGGGGTCGGAAGCCCAGGGGGGGCGCCGGGGAGGCCACGACTTTCCCAAGAAATTGAATCGCCACGCTATGGTGCCGGTTTTGAACCTGTTCTGAGGCGATTTCGGGGCTTGGCATGTTTTTACATTTCCCCGAGCCCCCTTTTTTGGCTTGCATTTTTGCCCGCATGGCGCGCACGAGGCGAGGCGAAAAGCGCCACCATACCATCGCGATTCAATTTCTTAGGAAAATTGCGAAGTGGCGCAATTCAGCATCTTGGGGTCACTCACCTGCCCCAGCAGTCTGCTCCGTGTCCAGGTGCCCTATCTGTGTGGGGGTTGTGCGGCGAGCTGTTGGGCGGTACAATAAGCCCAAATACCGCAAAGGCCAGCAACTTCAGAGTGCGTCTTTGACTTCGATGCGCCCGTAGGAGTCGCTGCGCTTTTATGAATTGGGAACGATTTGTGTGTGTGTGTGCGGAGCCTCCGGCGATGGCAGGTTCGCGATCGAGGTAAGTGCGGCCCGGGAAGTACCGTCTTGCTTTGATGATTTTGGGGGTTGGTGACGTGTGCGAAAGTCTGTGACAGTCTTCTCCTCTTTCCATTTCGAAACACACCAAACAAATGCTGGCGCGCCACGCCAGCTAAACACCGCTACGAGGAGCAGCCGCAGCCGGGGGAGGGTTCGCAGGGAGGCCAATTTTTTCAAATTTTCCCAATTCCTAGAAACTTCCACTTAGTATATGTCTGGGGCTGGAAGAATACAAACTTGTGATGCGCATTTCAGAACACAGAAAAATCTCTCATGCATAGGCAGCAAAAGCTGCCCACTTTGTGTTATCAAAATGGGGCATTTGTCATGCGGATCCGGCATTGCGGAAGCTTCTAGAGACCTGTGATGCTAGAGCTTCCATGCCAGACCTTCTGTGTCATGCAAAAACAGCATGACTCTTCCAGACCCAGACATATGTGCGATCCATGTGCCGTTATTGCGTACAAAAACTGCTCGAACCTGTTGCAGTTGATCAAGGAGCTGCACTGCGAGGGTGTGGAATCGAATAGGAAAAATATCCCAAATGAAAACTACTTGCCCACCCCAGACTTGTCATGCGGATTTGCAATGGCAGAGACGCTTGTTGTAATGCGCATCCCCATGAGAGGCATTTATTTTTCGTCGTGATGTTTATGTTTTGGCATTTGTAATGCTGTAAACAGCATGAGGAAGTCGATTTGTGATGCGGCTTTATACCTCGCTCACCCGCACTACAAGACAAAGAAAAACTTGTCATGCGTGACTCCGAGACGAGCTTCTGGATTTGTGTTGCAGAGTTCATCCCAGCTTGAATATTATGGGGTGGAGAAAGCGTTTTTTCTCAGGATAAAAAAAGCGGTGCTCGAGCACGGGATCCGCATGTTTCTGGTGCAGATTGAAAAGGAGAAATTCACGGGGCAGATGAATCTGCAAATGAAGTCCAAAGTGCAGTCCAAGGGAAAGGCAGACGATCTGGAGAGGCTATGATCCACAGCAAATTTATTTTAGTTATGTCTGTACGTGTACGCGTAAGTATAAAATGAAAAATCTTCCTCCACAAGCTGCCTACGCCGTGACTGCATGACAAAATAATTTCTGCTCAAAGTCACTCAGGTAAAGCGAGTCTCTCATCACTTGTTCAGGAGGTCGAATTCGAAAAAAAAAAATGACATGCAATATTTTTACAAGACAATGGCGTGCACGGCAATCGCAAAAATAAATTTGTAGTACTGCATAGAAGCTAGAAGAGTCATATGACGAGACGTTCGATAAGCAGGGCTTCATCGGAGGTGCAAGCAATGCGAGCGGAAAATCCGTGAAGCAACTATTGGAACAGGAACTGCAGCAGTTGATCGGCAAGCGAAAGCAGCAGCTAAAACAGCAGTTCAAGCACGATTTGGCGAAGAAAATTGAGGACCTGACCAATACGTTGGAGGACCAGGCGACGGCGGAGGAGTATGAAAGTGCACAACACCCCCTCCCCCTCGTTTGTCATGCAAAACCCCAAAGGCAGCTGCTGCCCTGTCGCACTCTCTGCATGCGAGATTCATCCGGAAGCTGCGGCCCAAACAGCACTTGACTAGGCGCATGAATGTGTCATGCACGACAGGCTCCACGTGTGCTGGTGTTTGTCTTGCTGCTCCTGCCCTTCAAATGAGAGGGAGGGGGAGTTGTGCACTTTCACAGGGGGTTGCGGAGGTGCATGAAATTTTTGAAGCAGACGGAAAGCAAAGCCAAAAGGGTGAAGAAAATGGAGCTGGTCAAGCGAGTCTTATTTGGGAAGATGAACAACTATGGCACACCGGCTGCTGCAAACACAACTACATCGTCTGGTAGTAGAACATTACCTGGTAAAATAAATGCAGACCGACCAGGAGCTCCTGCAGCCCATCAAAATCAACCGCAATCCGCGAGTACTACAACTAGTGGCTTCGTAATCCTCCATATCCACAGGAAATTTCCCGTACACGTACCAATGCGGTTTCTGCATGACAAAACTTTCGTTTATTCCTATTCAGCATGACAAGTGGCATGCTGCAAATTGATGAAATTTGTGATGCATTTTGTACATGTACAGGAAATTTGTATTGCATACTCCACCAGCTGTACGTTGCGCGGGAATTGGCTTTCCTCACCTCTATCGGTTCGCCGTTTTGGTTTAGGTATGCGGAGGTTTTGGAAAAACATCTTATCCCCATCGTCGAAAGGATCGACGCGCGGTTCAAAAGTATGGCGTTCTCATAGACGTCATTTTCTCAACTGTTACATGGATTTGTCATGCAAATATAGCCATGAATATCTGATCTCGCTTACGATCTTTAAGCTGCTTCGCATGACAAGTTCGCGACTCGCTAGATAGCATGAGAATTATTATCTTCTACGCCAAACCTGTAGTGCAAAAGGCGCAGTCTTCCCCTTTTCAATTTTGCCACTCTTGCATTACACATGCACGTAACAGTTGACGAGAATGTAACACTTGAGAACTCCATAAAAAGATTGGAAAAGGAACTGAACGCAATCGAGGAGGCGAAGGGCGAGCTCTCGTATGAAATGTAAAAATGTCTGGGTCTGGAAGATTCCAGGATTTGCCATGCATGTTTTGCATGACCCAGGATGTCTGTAATGCACGACCGCGCGTCACAGATTTTGAGAGGGCTTCCTGATGCCAACTCCGCATGACAAACGCCCTCCCCGCGTAGCACAAACTAGACTCCTCTTGCTGGTCATGCAATACAGATTTTTCTAGAGTCCAAAGTTAGCGTCACAAGTTCCAATCTTCCAGACCCAGACACTTTTGCATTTGATATCTCGGCCGGTGCTGCTACTGGCGGCGGCTCAGCTGCTGGGAGAGCGAAAGGCAAGGGGGCGCAGTTGATGCGGGAACTTTCCTATCCAGTGCAAGCATGTCTGGGTCTCTGGTGGAAGAATCGCTGAGTTTATCTATCATGCTAGTCTTGCATGATGACTCTGAAGTCTGTATTGCATGGGCACAGTAGACTAGACAGAGCTCCTCTCGGTTGTTATGCAAAAACGCGGCTTCTCCTGCGGAACACCAAAGCGCAACACAGAACCGCGAAAAAACTTGTCATGGTGGGAGACGCATTACAGTTACAGTTTGAGTTTGCGCAATATTAGCCACTAGTAACCTGCATCAGAACTTTCCAGACCCAGACGTGTTTGCTGTTGACATAGCCTTGGAAGAGGAGGACGACGAGAACGAAGTCGACAGCAACGGGAACTACAGACCTCGTACTAGTACCTCTGGAGCCGAGCCCGCGGGACTGCCGGGGAAGATGAAGCGAAAGTCTTTGTCTCTGATCAAGGAATATCAAATGCAAGTGTGTCTGGGTCTGGAGACTTGTGATGCTGGCCGGCGAATCATGAAGACGCCACACATGACGGCTCAGCATGACAAGTTTCTGAGTTCTTGCAAGGTGTTGTCTATTCAGCATGACAAAGTGCGTTTTTGCATGGCAGAACATTGGGGCTTTTGGGTACTAACGCGCATGATAGATTTGGGAGTCATGCTAGCGGAGCAACACAAACTTGCACTCTTCCAGAGGACCCAGACATATTGGCAATGCATAAGGAAGAGGGCGAGGAAGTGGACTTCGATATTGAAGAGCCGGCCGCTACGGGAGTGTCAGGATTTTTGAAATCGTCAAAGTTGAAATGGTTTGTCATGCATAAAATGCAGCCCACAGAGTGCCTGTCTTGCAGAGTAGGCAAGTGAGGCAGATTGTAAGCCTGTTGAGGGTCCTAAAAACTGAGCTGCTAAAGTAGCATGACAAAAGGCGGCTTCCTTAATACCCAAACAGCATGACAAACTGGATTTCGGTTCTACCCAATAAATTTGTCATGCACCACTTCCACTTAAAAACTGGTTTACAACTTTCATCCATTTTATGCATTTTTATTACGAGTCATTTCATGTTTGTCGATTTCAATCCTGAGACATCCATAGACGCGGATGGCAATTTCGAAATCGCTGCAGGGGGCGGCGTATGAACTGCAAAAGCATCGTACTAGTATGAATTGCAATACAAATTTCCTCAGCATTAGAAATGGAATTTGTAATGCGGTTTTACCTTGATAGAACGAGTTGTAATGCAAGCCTTGCATTTATACGAGTAACGAGTACGATACTTTTGCACAGGATACGGCGGTGGACGGGCGGCTTTTCTAGCAAAGCATCTGCAAAACACACTCAAATTGCAGCAGTGCCTGGAAAATGCGAGCAGTTCTTCGGCAGGAGGCTAGACGGCTCTATTTCTTCTTCTTCTGTACAACTTTAACGAGCGGAACAAAGAACGGAAAGTGTTGCCCTTTATCTTTATCTTTATCTTTATCTTTATCTTTATCTTTATCTTTATCTTTATCTTTATCTTTATCTTTATCTTGTTCTTTATTCTGTGAGCAGTTGGCGTTCGTGGCTTTAGCGATATTTGAATAAACGCAAAGTGATGAAACGATACAGCGCATTTTGTAGGTATTTCGATTGTAATTGTTCTTTCCTATTCGAAGCAACACGAGGCAAACAAGTCAAAAGGAAGTTTATAGCAATAATAAACCGGCTCTATAACTGCGGACTACAACCCCCAGCACGGAACAAGAACTTCCTGACTTTATTGTGCGAAGTAGAACGCCGAGCATTTATTTACCTAGAGCATTTGCATTAATATCGTCCCGCGGGAAGAAGTGGACCCCACGAGTCGTCGTGTGGAAGAACCTCCAGGCCGAAGATGTGGAATTGGATGCGCAGCAGATGGAAAAAAGATCGAGACAGTACTGTCGTCTTTGTCTTGACAGGTGCTTTGGGTAGAAGTACTAGTAGTGGCTCGATCTACTTCTACTCGGGGCGAAACCCAAAGGCAAACCGTTTTGTGTTGTTCCGGCTGCTCCCTTTATTTCCGAAAAATCTGCTTGATGCATCAAGGGTACTTGCATCAAACTCTCAAGACACAAGATCTCAATATGACAAAGGAAGGAGTAGTAAGTTGAGGGCGAAGATGACCAGAGTCAACATAATTGTAGATCTCAACAACTGAAACAATCTAGGAATGGGATTTTTACGTACAAAAGCAAATCTGTCTCAGACCCACCTCAACGCTCACTGAGAAAAGTCCAGTGTCTTGCATCTTCTCTACAAGGTGTCCTTGCGGATAAAGATCCTCTTCACTTGTCTCCAGTTTTTACAAGAACTCCAACTAGCTCAAGCACGACAACAAGAGTACTTTTACATTGGTATTCACATCGTCGTAAACGACACAGCATTTTTATCGAAATTCACCGTCGCTGCAGTCACATACATCAATCATTGCGTCCCCCTAACGATCCACTTCATTCGGCGTATATCATTTTGGAGAAGACAGGGACAGCATTACGTCCTTGTGGCTTCGGAGCTCATCAACATTGAACTTCGAGTTCAAACCTTAAAAGCACACAAAAAAAAAAAATGACCGAAAAAACCACGACAACAGGCGGTTCCCCAAAGGCGGGTGCCATGAAGCAAAGCCCGAAAAAAGAGACGACCGTCAACGTTTCCGTTGTGTCGTCCAAGGCCGCTGGTGCTGAGTCTACTTCGCCCAAATCGTCGTCGCGTCAAGATGCTGATGCAGCGAAGCAAGGGCAAACGAAAAAACGGAGAATGTCGACGTCGCCGGGCGACTTAGTTGCGAGGAAAGAACACTTATCAAGTGCAAATATGTCTGCGTCTGGAAGATTGCAACTTGTCATGCTCAGTCTGGATCGTGCAAAAAAAATATGTGTTGCATGATTACCAAAAGTTGTAGCTTCTCACTTTTGACGGCCAGGTTGAGGAGGAGTTGTTTCCCATGCAGGAGAGGCATGATAGAGATCTCACAGCGTTTGTCATGCTAGGCCCTGCTGCATTCGTTCCATGCATACCTCGTCGGTGATGGAAAACCTGCATGACAAGTCTTACATCCTTCCAGACCCAGACATATTTGCTTTTGCAATCCATAATACTACAACTCTGTTGGAAAGGGACTCGACCGCGAAGCTCCGATTTGGATCGAGCACACCTGCAGATTTGAAAAGCAGCAGTTTGTATCATGAGAAAAAAGTGTCTCAGTCTGACAAACCTGTGCAGAGGACTCACCAACACAAATTTGCGAAGCAAGAAAAAAAAATCTGTGATGCGTTCAAACATCAAGGGAAAGAAACACCTATGGAACAAGACGACTTTCGTGCATGTCGAGCATGACAAAAACCTGTCTCAAGGAAGTTCCGTATCACAAGTTGAGACTGAGACACTTTTTTCTCAGGATAGTTTGTGTTGCCGAAACACTACGAGGACTCGCTCGATTACATCCTGCTGCCGCGCGTATGAACTGCAAAAGTGTCTGGGTCTGGAAGAATGCAACTTGTGACGCTGCGTTTGGATTCAAAAAAAATCTGTATTGCATGAGTACCAACGGGAATGCAGTTTTTGCTACGCTGAGAAGGCATTTGCCATGCGGAATAGGCATCAAGAAGCCCTCAGAAAATCTGTATTGCTAGGGTACTCATCACAGACATCATGGCTCATGCAAAACGTGCATGACAAGTGTCAGAATCTTCCAGACCCAGACATTTTTACATTTGATAGCGCGGCCTGCTAAACGACCGGATTGAAGCGCTGGCCGTGCAATATGGAAGCGTCAGGATTGTTGAAATCGACAAAGTAATTTCTCATGCATAAATTGCGGGGCATGAAGTGCCTCTCTTGCAGGGATAGCAAGCGAGGCCGACTGTCAGCCTGTTTGGGGTTGGAAATACTAGAGCTGCTAAAGTATAGCATGACAAAAGCAGTCTTCTGTGCCCAAACAGCATGACAAATTGGATTCCGGTGCTCGGAAAATTTGTCATGCGCAGCTTGTTGATAAGTGTGTGGGCTTCCGACTGGTACTGCTATCGGTTTTATGCATGACAAACTATTTCAACTTTCGATTTCGATCCTGACACATCCATATGCAAATGCGGCAGTTTTACGGGGACGAAGAGTTGCACGTGCTGTGCATTTATCCACTGCAAAAGTATCTGATACTTGTATAAATGCAAGTCTTGCATTAAAATGTTTTTTCTTATCGTAAATCCGCATTACAAATTTTATGTCTCATGCGGAGGAAATTAGAATTACTATCTATTATATTCATGCGAAAATACTGTTCTAGAGAGGGTAAACGAGAGGTGGCAGGGAGGTCAAAAAGAGGTCAAAAGAGGTAAAAAAGAGGTCGACAGAGGTGGAGAGGTGGCGCGGGAGGTAATTCGAGAGGGTGGCCGAGAGGGGGCGCGAGTATAGCCCGCCGAACCGGTCACCCTTTAGGGCCGCTAAGCGGCACGGAGGTGGCCGAGAGGTAAAAAAGAGGGCAAGCGAGAGGTGGACAGAGTTGCCGAGAGGTTGCGCGAATAAGGGGAGACCTCTCGCGCACCCTCTGGGCCACCTCTCGGCCACCTTTGTAGACCTCTACCGGCGAGTATAGCCGGACTATTAGCAACACCTCTCGGAAGAGGTGAAAAAGAGGGTCTGCGAGAGGGGTAAAAAAACCCGAATCCGCCCGGCACAGGGCTGATTTTTTGCGGCCCTTTCATGCAAAAGCCCGAACCCTCTCGCGCCACCCTCTCGCGCACCCTCTCGCGCCACCCTCTTGCGCCACCCTCTCGCGCCAACAGTTTTATTTCCCACCCCGGGGAATGAGGTGGGCGGGCGCGGGGTGGTGATAAACAAAGAGCAGCGTCGGCCTCTGTCTGATTCTTTCGGCACGCACCTACGCCGGGGCGGCATCTCTTCGCCCGCAAGGTTTACTGCAGCTGCCCCCTGCGCATAGCGCCGAAAGGCGCGGGAAGCGCGCAGGAGGCCCTGCGAGTTGACCTCGCGCAAAATGGCGCTCAAAGTTTCCTCGGTCCGTCACGCTGTGCCCAAAGCTTTTGTGTCGCGGCCCGATCCGCAAATAGTCAAACCCCAGCACAACAGCCTTGCGCTCCGGCGTTAGCCGGAGCATGGCTGGTTATTTGTAATGCATTTATACGAGTACCACGATACTTTTGCAGTTCATAGCATTTTGAAAGGTAGTCGGGGCTTTTTTTCCAAACTGCTCGAGATCTTCGACCGTATTCACAAGTACTCCGTTGTGACGGATGGTTCGGGGGCCGGTAAAACCACCACTAGAACGTTCAAGCACGCCCCGTACATGGAGCACTACATCCGCCTGAAATCCTACGAGAACATGCACTCTACCGGAGAATTGTTGCAGGTATGGATTGCAAAACAAGTATCGTGCTTGTACTAGTATTTTTGCAAAAATACAAACTAGCACCGCATGACAAATGAAATTTGTCATGCCGATATGCAATTTGTCATCATGATCTACCTTGGGAGCGAGATTTGTCTTGCATGATTGCGACTAGTACCAGTCTTTTGCACAGGATAGCAGGTGATGTCCGACGACTTGACTGTGCTGGAAAATATCAACTGTAAAAATGTCTCGGTCTGGAAAAATCCAACTTGTCATGCTAAATCCGAATCATGTAAAAATCTGCGTTGCATGATTACCAAAAGCTGTCCACTTTTGACCTAATCGAGAGGCAGCTTCTCATGCAGAACAGGCATGATAGAACTCTCACAGAATCTGTCATGCTATGTCCTGCATACCAGACCTCATGGGTCATGGAAAACCTGCATGACAAGTCTAGCACTCTTCCAGACCCAGACACTTTTACATTTGATAGAAAACAAACACGTGCTAATCGTCGAAGACATTATTGACACGGGTAACACTATGCAAAAAAAAAAACGCCTAACGTGTGAGTCTGTGATGCAGAAAATGCAAAACAGGTGCTAATATTACGCTTGTCATGCCCGAAGACAACCATGAAGAGTCTTCTTTTCATGTGTTTCTTCTCCTCGACGAAGGCACGCATGACAAGTTTTCTCTGTCATGTGGAGAAAATTTGTGATGCTGTCAGCCAAAGGAAGTGGAAGCTACACGAACACAGTTTTTTTTCTTGGATAAGCACCCTGACTAAATTTGTCGAGCACTTAAAGTCGTTTTCTCCGAAGACCATCAAAGTTATGGCGTTCTCAAATGTTACATTCTCAACTGTTACATGAATTTGCGATGCAAGAATGGCAAAAGTGAAAGGAAGGACCTTGCGCGTCTTGCATGACAGGTTTGGCACAGATTGTCAGCCTGTGTGGCCGTCTGGGAATTTGTCATGCGAAGCAGCTTGATGGCGTCGATGGTCAAGGCAATTTTGCATGACAAATTCATGTAACAGTTGAGAATGTAACAATTGAGAATCCCATAAAAGTGGCCAGCTTGTTATGGAAGCGACCTCAGGTTTCAAAATTCTCAAAGTTGAAATCATCTGTGATGCCTGAAATGCGCCGCACAAAATGACTGTATTGCAATGGACGTCGCATCAATGGAGTTTGACTTTTGTGGTGGTCCTTCTACTAGTTAATAACTGGAATCGGGCTGCTGATTAGCCTGATAGAAGGGCTGCACCTCGTAGTTGCATTAAACAGCATGACAGACGTGCTTTAAGACGTGCAGCCCGGCGGGAAGAAATTTGTCATGTCGTGTCGACTAATCAAAAAAAAAAAAAAGTCCCGTGCGAGTTGTCGCATCTACTAGGAACGATGTCAACTTTGAGAATTTGAAACCTGAGGCAGCTCCTTCCATACTTGTTAGAGAAGCGCATCCCGAAGGAGAAGTCCTTTGGGTTCATCGGCGACTTTGTCGGGTTTAGCATTCCGGACCTGTTCATTGTTGGATACTGTCTGGACTACAACGAGCACTTTCGGGATTTGGACCACGTGTGCGTCATGAACTATGAATTGCAAAAGTATCATACTCGTATAAATTATGCATTACAAATTGCCTCACCCTCAGCATGATGAGAAAGAAAATTTGTAATGCTGATGCACCTTAAGAAAAAGATGCGTATATGCATGATTGCGATACGAGTATCAGATACTTTTGCACAGGATATGAACGGCAGTGGCGTGAAAAAATTTGCGAAGTGACGAGGAGCTTCGGTTGCCAAAAATGGGTGCTATGCATTGCAAATATGTAGTCGGGGTCCTCTGGAAGTAGGAATACGATGCAAGAAGATGAAACTTGTCATGCTAAGAAGTCTGCATCGTGCAAAAATCTGTATTGCAGCTGCGTCATTGCCAGCAAAAGTTGTGGTCCAGCACTTTTGGCCAAGTGAAGAGGGAGTTTCTCATGCAGGATAGGCACCGTAGAGATCTGCTCACAGAATTCACCGTGCTGGGTCCTACATGCCAGGCCCCACGGGTCATGGAAAATTATCCGTGTGACAACAAGTCTTGCAGGTTTCCAGACGTCCAGGGATGATATTTGCATTTGATGTGCAGTACTTATGAAGATGTCCTCCGCGGTTCGTCAACATGACGCACAATTTCTACGTAGATAGAAGAATGGTGCTTCAAACGATCACGTGCATCCACACAGTTCACATGCAAAAGGACTACTACAACATGCACTTTTTGAAACAGAGCTACCGCTTGCGGTTGTCAAAAAAGTCAAATTGCAATTGCAACGCAGAAGTCGAAGTAAGGGACAACGACCGAGGTGGTCATATAGAATTTTCGTGCGGGTCGCATCAAGCAAAGACAATTGATACGACTGTCACGAATAAATGGCCCTGCGTATACTGATTTGTTGCGCACTGAAATTGGTTTGAAGATGCTGAGAAGCCGTAAAACAAAATCGGCTTTACATTTTCGTCTTGGATTTCACTTCTGTTCGAACGATCGATGACGGAGGTGCGTGAACACCCTGTCTCTCGCCGTCATTGTGGACCTTTTATGAAGAAGTCAGACGTCGTGAGCTACAACTGGAGCTGCTGGTAGGTCGCTCGGTTAAAATTCAACTCTACTGATTCGGTGTTGATAGAAGTTTTGTTCAGGACGACCCAAGCGGCATTACATGAGGGATGTTGTCGGTATTGTTTGTACTTTAATTTTAACAATATCTTTACTTTTTCTTCCACGGAGGATGAGGAATCTCCTCGCTAACGGATTTGTCGTTCCAAGAGCATTTTTACATGCCGTCAAGCCGTGAATGCACATTCTCTCGGTTCATCTGCGGGCTCTTGTCATGAGTCGTTATGATCAGCAAACGTATGATCCTCTCGGTCTCCTGTATTGTTTGTCTCCCTCGGTGTATGAAGACTGCGTGCTTTTTGTGTTGTTTTCGGTCTCTACCGGAGCTTCTCGGTATTAATTGTGGGATCGAGTTCGGTCAGAAGATGATAGAAGGAGCCACTCGCTCCTCAGTGAAAAGTAGAACGTTCATCTGTAGTGCCGTCGAGATTTTATTAAATGCTGCGTTTTTCTGCAGTGTGTGCAAGATGTGATTGAGAAATTGATAGACACCCAAAAGGAGCTGCAAAACGCATTTATTCCTTCTCCACCGTACTGTCAACAAACCCACGAATCTACAGCTACCGGACACAACAAGATCCACTCTTGTCGTCTGGCACACAACAACTCCTGACCCAATTGTTGACTAACGATAAAAATTTTTGAATCAACCTGTTTGTTAAAACCACCTACAGCAACAACCTTCGAGAAGCAGCTACAACAGCTTTATTATTGTTCTCTCTACTTTCCTACACTTACATACATTTTTACGCAGGGACGGCGTACCACTGCTCGTTCATAAAGTGCAGTCTGCCCTTTTTCATTATCAACTCTAAGGCAGAGGAAAAAAACTTTTGAACCCTCACACGGTTCTTGGGGGGAAAAAAGTGTAGCGCTGTACTAGACGAAGGAGCAAGGACAGACGAAAGAGCAAGGACGGCGCATCTGAAGAGGAGCAAGAACATCAAGAGCGGAGCCTCTAGTACAAACATCAAACCGAACAGCGAAGACTTTTGACTACCCGCCGCACGACGTTGGGAGCCCAGCAGGAGGAACTGCCAAGAAAGGTACTACAGCTCCAGCATTTTGGACGATCATATTAAAGGAGCAAGAACGTATATTAAAAAACACAACACGACCTACAGCACAACTACACTGTTTTCAGTTGGTCTTCGTGTTCGTTGCGTTAGAGTTCTTAGTGACGCTTGTTCTTCTAGCGGCGCACGGCAGTAAGTTTTCTTTGCCCAAACAGCATGACAGACTGCATTTGAGTGCTCCCGAAATTAATATTTACATTGCTTGACTTCCGGGTTCTGGTAACGCATACCCCTGGCGACAGGTGACCTTGACAGGCGACTTCGACAGGTGGCCTCGACAGGTGACCGCGAGAGGTGACCTCGACAGGTAACCTCGACAGGTGACCTTGACAGGTGTCCGCGACAGGTGGCCGCGACGGGTGAACGCTCGCCCTGCCTTCCCCCACTTCTAGCGTTTCGCGCACTAAGCTACTATGCTCGCCCCTGGTGTGAGGCGAGGGGCGGACGCTGTGTGTCCGCCCCGATGCCGAACACCCTTCCCCCACTAGTGCTTCGCGCACTAAGCCACTATGCGCGCGCCTGGTGTGAGGCGAGGGGCGGACGCTGTCCGCCCCGATGCCGAACACTCTTCCCCCACTAGTGCTTCGCGCAGTAAGCCACTACGCGCGCGCCTGGTGTGAGGCGAGGGGCGGACGCTGTCTGCCCCGATGCCGAACACCCTTCCCCCACTAGCGCCACTAGGGACGGGCACAAGGCTCCAGCGTGGGGACCCTGTCCCCACGCTCGGGTGGGCCTTGTTTGTCATGCGCCACGTACAAACTGAGGCTCCAACTGGTATCGGTTTTATGCATCACAAATTTTTCGATTTTGCCAATTTCAATTCTGACACTTCCATAAAAATAAAAATCAGCTTCCAGAGGATGGCGGGAAGTACTAAGGCAGCCGACAACTGCTCCCACGGCGCCGCCGCTAGCAGCATATGCATTGAAAATATATCTGGGTCTGGAAGATTTTTGCAACTTGTATATCATACTAAATCTGAATCATGTAAAAATCTGTGTTGATGCATGAGTGCCAAAAGCTGTCCACCTCTTCTGACCAAGTTGAGAGCGAGTTTCTGCTCATGCAGGATCATAGGCATGAGCATGACGGAGACCTAACAGAATCTGTCATGCTGGGTCCCGCATTCCAGATCTCATGGGTCATCGTCATGCAAGACCAGCATGACAAGTCGTGCAACCTTCCAGACCGAGATCGGTGTTTGCGCTTGATGCAGCAGTGCTGCGTGCAACTCCCGCCGCCGCTCGTGTTCCCGGCGCGTGCTTGGCACCTTCTATGCACTGCAAAAGTATAATCGTACTCGTACTAAAAATTGCGTTTATGCATTAAAAAGTTTTTTCTTGAGGCAGATCTGCATTACTAATGCTAAGTCAATTTGTCATGCGATTTCTACTAGTACAACACTTTTGCAGTTCATACCTTCTCGGGACTCACGTTTCTCCATGATGTGACAACCGGTTCGGTTTTCCTGCAGATTCCGGGGGCCAAAGCCGTCCGGATGCCGAAGGATTTTTTGGCGAAAGCCGACGGGGAGGTAGTCGAAGAGGAGAACAGCATGATTCCCGCGGACGACACGAAATCTGCGGTGGAAACGGGTCATATGCATGGCAAATATCTCTGGGTCTGGAAGTAAAGTTGCACTTGCAACTTGTGATGCAAACGCTGGAACAGACAAAGACTTGTGTTGCATGAGCGCTAAAAAAGCTGCTCATTTTTTGCTGCAATGGCGGGCAGCTTCAGCTTCTCGTCATGCTTGACAGGCATCACGCCGCGTCCTCAAAACCTGTAATGCTTGTTTTGCGTGCATCAGACACCATTTGGGCGATCATCCGCAAGGTGCATGACAAGCGGGCGCATGTGAAGCAGCACACGAAAGGTACCCGGGACGCGAAGGGTACCTAGAACAGAAAAAAGCACACAAAACAGACAAAAAGACGTATGAGCAGAAAAGTTTTTTCTGACAACGCGCAGCATTTGTCTGTCCTGCGCGGAACATACAGCTTTTTTGTATGTGGAGCGGAAGTGGTGTGGCTGTGGTTGAATGTTCATTGTGGCATGCGGAAGACTCGCGCAGAAACGGCGCACCGCGGCTTTGCGGTTACCACAAGCAGGAGCGCTCGCGCGCGCAGCACAAACTTGGCGCGAAGAAATAGCGCGCGCGCGCGCGTTCGAGGGCAAGGGCAAATAATACGCGGCACGCAGCACTTTTTGGCCACTGCTCACATGGACACTCACTCTCGATGGCGTCTGTATTTTTGCTAACAGTCCGTGAGAATGCAGATGACCGAGCGACTGCCGAATGTGCGTAGTCGTAGTGCGGCGTAGCGCGGCCGCGGCTAAGCGGAACGCCGCGGTGCTAGCGCGGAACCATACAAAACGACGGCGCAGAGGCATTGTAGGTCCCTTCGCGTCCGGGGGCCCCGGGAAGTCCTGGGGGCCCCGTGCCGGACGGTAGAACCAGTTTCACAAGGGTCCGCCGGGAAAACAGCGGACCATAAAACATAACAAATTTGTATGAGAAAGCGATTTAGAGGCGGGGTTTCTTCTAGGACAATTAGGGGCAGGCCCCCTCGTGTCCTGACATACAAATATAATCTGGGGGGTCTCAGGAATACTGGTTCACATGACTCTTCCAGACCTAGACATAAGTATTTGCATTCGATAGACCAACGGGCAAAAGAACCGAAGCGCGTTTCGCTGCTGGCGATGGGGCGACAACGGCGGGAAAAAGAGCTGATGGCGCCGGAAGGAAAGAAACAAAGCTCCGAGCAGGACGGCGAGGCATCATCTGCGGCCTCAAAGGGATGCTCCAAGGAGGACCGGAAACGTCTGGCGGGCATTACTGCGGAGTTTTTGTCCAAACTCGTCTTCACGGAAAGCGAAGACCAACCCAAGAGCCTCAACGAAATCTTTGGGGAACAAATCTCTAAGGAGCTCGAAACCGGGGCTGCTGATCTCGAGCCCGGGGTGCAGAACGCGAAAGCCGAAAAGGAGGCTGCAGCAGAAGAAGTAACGAAAACGAAAAACAAGGAAAAGGAAAACTTGGCTCTTATTGCGAACAAACCTGAATCCAAACTTGCTTTTGAGGCTTACCTCGCTGCTTCCACGGCTCGGGATAATGCTCAGGCGCGTCTCCAGGATGCTACCACAGCATGGAAAAATGCTGCCAAGGCCAAGAAGGAAGAGCTTGGGCTGCAGAAGCTCACTGAAATCAACATCCTGAAGTTCTTCGCGGAGAACAAAGAGCGTTTTTCGTTGTTCGTGAATACCGTGCTATGGAGTGTAACTAAGCGGTGGCGGGTCTTCACTTTTTGGCGTAGATGATAACTAACAATCGTGTTGGCGAAGTAGATACTAGTAGGGACACCGCAGGAGTGCGGTTTTTCATGACCATGACATGAAAAAGATGAAGACCACGTTGGTTCGTCTGTGGCTCTAGAAGCAGGTCCCATGATGCTGGATGAAAAGGAAATGCATTCGCTTTATATTTGCGATTTATATATATAGCCACCGGGGTTTGGCTGGTTTCCTTCGGTTCGATATTAAAGTGGATGTGGAACTACAGACAGCAACTTCATGTTGCGCGAAACAATTTTATTCCGCGAAACGACGGAAGGGGAGCTGAAGCTCTATTTCAGCCGACTTACGCGTATGATATTCTTGGCATGGTTTTATTTCGGACGCCTACGACTCCTGCTGCGCATTTTCTCAGGATACATCTTTAACCTCGACTTGGGCTTCAAGTATGGGATAGCTCTCAAGCGTAACGCTCTCAGCTGTTACATCATGTTTTTTTTTGTCATGCAAATAAATTACCAGAAGCCGCCACACCCACACGACCGCCGATCGCGGTGATCCGCATGACAAATGCTCGAAGGGCTAAACAGCATCAAGTACGTAGATCCGTTCCAAGTTTGTCACGCAAGAAAACGCGCAATCTTCATCCAGCTTTCGCTTTGTTTGCTGTTCTTGCGTCACAACTTCATGTAACAGTTGAGAGCGTGACATTTGAGAACCCCATATGAAGGACGGCTGGACGTGGGAGAACAAGAGGGACATGGGCTCGCTTTTCGCCGGATACGTGCACCACATCACCTATGGAAGTGTAGTCAGGCTTGAAATCGACAAAGTTGAAAACCTATCAACTGTAAAAATGTCTGGGTCTGGAAGAATGCAACTTGTGATGCTGCATTTGAATTCCAAAAAAATCTGTCTTGCATGAGCAGCAAAGGGAATGCGATTTTTGCTACGCGGAAAGGGCATTTGTCATGCGGCATAGGCATCAAGATGCCCTCAAAACATCTGTGACGCTAGGGCATGCATCACAGACACCATGGGTCATGCAAAACGTGCATCACAAGTCTCAGAATCTTCCAGACCCAGACACTTTTGCATTTGATAAAACCTCTGGCTCTGCGTTGCTGCTGCATAAACCGGACACGAATCGGACCAACAGTTTCTAGTCGGCGCATGACAGATTTTCCCGTTGCCGTTAGCGAGTCTGTCATGCTGTTTAGGGAAACGACGCCCCCTTCTGTCTTGCTGATCAGCGGGGCAATTCTTGACCCTTAGCAGGGCTACAAGCTGCCTCCCTTGCGTCCTCTGCAATGCAGTCCCTTCCTGTGGTGCATTTTATGCATGGCAGACTATTTCAACTTTGCCGATTTCGGGCCTGAGGCGTCCATATCGTCACGCAGGATCCTAACATGGACAAAGACAGTGCGTGTTTTGAATGGAAGGGCATTATTATGAGAGTGCACAGCCCCCCCCTCCGCAATAATTCGTCATGCAAAACCCCAAATCCAGTCGCCGCCTTGTGGCGCTGAGACAGAGGTCGCGGAAACAAAGTGCTTCCTCGCCCACCCCCCGGGGAGGGGATCCTTGTCATGTGGCGCTGGATGCGGGTGTCCACTACATGATGACGGTGATGATGATGCTGGCACTGTTTGCGTGACAGACTGTGGAAGCCCAAACGCAAACAGTAATATTACATCAGGCACATAAGAAAATACGGCACGCACATGCTCCACGTGTGCTGGTGTTTGTATTGCTGTTCATGCCATACAAATGCGGGGGAGCGAGGAGGGGTTGTGCACTGTCATAACCATGAAAGAAATCGCGCGTGGAGTCGACACATGGGGGCCGCTTGGCAAGATTTGGCGGAGGGGCAAGTCAGACAAGGCGCTTGTGGGCCAGTACGTTGCGGAGGCGAAGAAGTGGCTGAAGAAGTTCACACCGACGAGCTGGCGCAGGTTCGCCGAGGCCTTCAACTTTGGCTACTTTAGGCAGGGAGCGGAGCGGATCTTCCTTGTCGTGGAAAGGCTGGCTCGACCGCAAGTGGATGGTGGTCGCGATGTCGGTCTGAATTTCTCCCCGGTGAGAAACGAGGGGGACATGGAGCTCGTTTTCGGTGCGTTCCAGAATGAGGTAAAGCGGCGCGACGAAGAACTTCGACAGAACGAAGATGAGCGAGGGCGGGCCCGAGCCCGCGGCGCAACTTCCAAACATTGAGCCGTAATTTCAGGCATTCGGTTTTTTGGAACACGAACAGGCAAGATTTCTTGAGTTATTTTGTCTTTGCCCGAACGCAACTCGCAAGAAAAATATCTGGCTGCGTGCCCAAGTTCGCACTCAACATTTTCTGTGATTTTGATCAGCGCCAGCTCTATTATTTCAATGTCGTGCTAATTCTATAAAAGCGACAAGCAACTCTCTCTCAAATCCGCTGCTTTACGGACACTTCATGAAAAGCAAAAGTCTCTACTCTGTGTCTGCCATGATTTTGCATACGGAAATAAAACTTTCGCCAGTCTCTATCTCCACTGGGACTAGCACTAAGACCTTCAGTGAATCTTGTAGGTCAAGCACGTTTATTGTCTTTGCCATTGCTACAAACATCTTTTTCGTTGTCTGACTGTACAACATATTACCGACGAGCTATCTAGTACTGCTTATTCGCTTTTAGTGCAAAAGCTTTATCTGCTTCTACCAAGACTTTCGTAGTTTATGACTCAACATATCTTCAGCTTCCTGACGTATTTGTGCTCGATTGTAAGAAGGTAAGCTGTTGCTGTCTCTAATTGTATCTCCATCGCACGTTTATCGAGAACCATTATGAATTTTTTCTTCACTTCATTTTCTAGAGTTTGTTTCGATTCACTCGTCATTTTAGCAGTTTCTTATTAGCCACAATGAAGCACCGAAATCCACCGCGCGAGATTAGCCACAATGACAGTAAGGACCACATCAGGGAGCATGAGCAATCATGTGTCGAGGTCGTAAGTTTCAGTCAGCATGACCACGCACGAGGGTAGTGCTGGTGTCCTCTTCTTCACAACATTGAAAAAATTGAACGAAAGCGAATAAGTAGTGGCAATTATAGTAAATTTTTAAGACGGTCTGCTAGCTCTACAAAGAACAGCGGGGGCGCCAGCAGTGCGCTCTGTAGTTCTCCCGGACGGAAAAAACTGTGTGATAAAGTTTTTCTTTGCTCGCGTGATCTAAAGCTGTTGCTGTACCTACTAGTCGGTCCCTGCTATAATTCTTTTGCGACAGTGAAGTAGATCGGGATGTGAAAAAGGACTAGCTGTAAGCTTTCGCCAGTGAACTACAGATAATGTCGGTACTAAAGGATTGCTGCACAGCAGGACTGACTACATGCTTGCGCTTTCTTTGAATTTGTCGGTTTGAACATGATGGTGCGCAGCAGAACAAGTAGTAACTTAAGTGCTACTTCTATCAACTGCTCCAAACTCGGTTTATTTGTGTGCGAAGAGCTATTCCACTTCCTCGTGGGCCGCAGCCGCTCTTTATTCCTATGCGCAGGGTGTAGAAGAAGAAGAAGAAGTCGGATCTCGCTGAAGAACAAACGTTTCGAATTTATTAAAAGTCGGTCGCTGAATTTTTTATACGATTTCCCACGAAACAAGACAAGTGCGTGAAGATCGGTAGCCGTAGCGACGCAATTCCAAGTTCATTGAAGGCATAAAGGGTCGACGTGATGAAGTAAGTAGATAATCATTGAAGTAGACTTATTAGGTTCATCATCTTCATCATGTAAAAATCACTTTCACGATCTACGTGGTTTTTTCTTTTTTACAGAATTTCTTCCAGTGAACAAGATCTTCATCCACCACCTGCTTTTATATAAATTCAGAATTTAATATTCAAATTCACCCACCACCTGCTCTTCTTCAAAACAAAGGGAAATAATTGATACGACATCAACTCGAAGAACTCAAAAGGTGTAGCAGCAAAATTTTTATTTATACATCCGTAGTACGATCCACGTCCAGACCGCAAGTAAAGAAAAAGAATAAAAGAATTACGTCTGGTGGACGACGATCAGTATCAGAATGAAGGATCGAAGAAGATGAAGTAGAGGATCATGATGAGCATGATGTTCTTGACGAAAAATTATGCAACGAGGAATTGTGGCACGAAAGCGAAACCCGCACTCGCACGACACTCAGCAGGAACGAGCTACATCTTCGGGGAGCAAGCATTCGTTTCCTGTTGAGAGCAGGAGGTCCGCCTGAAATATAAGAAAAGGCCTCTCGTCGGGTGGACCTACCACGAGAAGCCGGCTGCAGCTTGATCGTGGTCCGGGCTTCGTTTATTGCCATCGTCGAGAAATAAGATTGGCTGATTTATTATTTTCCCACATCGTGAAGTGAAGAAAAAGAGCACCGAAATGATCTTCCTCTAACTTTTTAAAGCACCTCTAACTCGTCCAGCGGCTACAACTTTTGGGTGTTTTGAATACATAACAAGTCAGCCATAATTTTACTAGTACAAGGCGAACTGCTAGAGAAGTGCTGTGCCGAGTATTTGTACATGATCAACGTAGAAATCTGTGGTCTTGACTATTTCCAAAAAACTTTTTACCACTTTCGTAGTTTATTTCTCTTCTGTGATATTGATTGCTCAAGAACCCTTCTGAAAAATTATGACCAAAAATCAAAGGTCTTCTCCGTGTAAAATTATTGTAGCGACGCCTTAGTTAGCAGTATGCGAATTCGGTTATTTTTACTATCACAGTAGAGCAGGATATGGAAGCGTCAGGTTTGAAATCGTCAAAGTTGAAATAATTTGTCATGCATAAACTGCAAGGCATGAAGTGCCTCGCTTGCAGGGACGGCAAGTGAGGCCGACTGTCAGCATGTTACTTGGGGTCTACGGTAGAGCTGCTAAAGTAGCATGACAAAAGACGCCTTCTGTCCCGAAACAGCATGACAAGCTGGATTTAGACGGTGCCGAAATTTGTCATGCACCGCTTGGAAATTTGGCTTCCAACTGGTATCGATTTTATGCATGACAAATCATTTCAACTTTGTCGATTTCAAACCTGAGACACTCCCATACAGGACAACCACACGACGCCGGTGGAGGTCCACCAGCAGCAGGAGAAAGCGGCTCAGGTTTCCGTTCCGCTGCTGGGCTATAAAAATGTCTCAATCAAGCGTGCAGCGTGATTCTTTCAATTCTATTATTCTGCGAAAATTTGTCTTGCAAGTATGCCTTGCAAGTATGCCTGGGTCTGGAAGGATGCAAGAACTTGTGATGCTATTTTTTGATTCTAAAAAAATCTGTGCTGCATGACAAGCAATAGGAGTGGTCCAGTTTTTGCCACGTGGACGAGAGGACATTTCTCATGCAGGCTAGGCATCAAGAAGTCCACCTCAGATGAAAATCTGTCATGCTAGGGCCTGCATCACAGACATCACGGCTCATGCTAAACGTGCATGACAAGTCGCAGAATCTTCCAGACATCCAGGGATATTTGCATTTCATAGCAAGCGTTCAGCTACGATGTCGGGTCCATGTATCTGACCCTGGGCATCCTGCTATGCAAGGAAAAAACTGTGTGGGTGTAAGTCTGTGATGCAGAAAATGCAAAACTGTTACACTTGTCATGCTGAATCTGCGTCATAGGCTACTTTCATACGTGTTTTCACGTACTAGCTGCGCATGACAGATTTTCCCTGTAATGCAAAACGAATTTGTGATGCTGCCCTTCCTACAAAGTTACACTCACACAGTTTTTTTCCTGGATACCTGCCCTATGAACTGCAACAGTATCCGATACTCGTGTATTAAATGCATTACAAATTTCCTCAGCATGAGAGATAAAATTTGTGATGCGGATTTACCTTAAGATAAACATGTTGTAATGCATGACTGCAATTACTACGAGTGCAATTGGGATAATATAAAAATGTCTCAATCAACCGCGCAGCGTGATTCTTTCAATTCTATTATTCTGCGAAAATTTGTCACCGTCACCGTTTTGCCATGTTCATTTTTCAACCCAAAAAATTTGATTTTTTCCTGGTATCCCACGCATGCTCATGTCGATCAGTTGTTGCAAATGTGGCATGCGAGGAGGCATTACACTTGGAGCATGGTGGCCCGGGTAGTTGAACGCAATCCAGAAGCGCCCCGGAATGGCTTCGCCGCCGTACAGACCGAAGACGCGGCGCGGGAGGGTGCGTTGCGAGGAGGCTGTCTTCTGGCGCGTAGGGGCCCGACCCTTGCTGGGGCGGGCTTCTGCATGGTGCGGCTTGCGATGTTGGGTTGCTCCTGGGAATGTCGGGCTCTTGTTACTCCTTGGCCAAAGGCCTCCGGCAAAGGACCTCCACAACCCAGGAAAAAACAGCAAAATTTCGAGCAAATTTAACGACCACCCGGTGACAAATCCCGGAAATTTTGCATTTTGCACGGTATGGTGGACTTTGAGAGCCCAAAATGGGAACCGGTGACAAATCCCGAAAAATTTACATTTTGCAGGGTATGGTGGACGATTGCGCACGAGCCAAAAATTCTTGCGCTGCAAGAAATTTTGGGCAACGCGCAATCGTCCACCATACCGCCCAAAATGTAAAAATATCCGGATTTGTCACCGGTCGCGAATTTGGCTCGGAAACGTCCACCATACCGTGCAAAATGCAAAATTTCTGCGATTTGTCACCGGGTCATCGTCAAATTTGCTCAAAATTTCGCAGTTTTTTCTTGGGTTTTCGAGACCCTTTGCCGGAGGCCTTTGGTCCAGGAGTGATAGTCTCAAGAGATTCCCAGAAGCAACTCAGCATGACGCGCCGCACTATTCCGATCCTTCGCGGCCGGAAATCTGGTCGCTGAAGTGTCAGGAGACAGCCTCCCAGCTAGGGACCCACCTTCTGGGGCCGCGGTTTTGGCTTGTATAACGGCAGCGCCGTTCTGGGATATGTCTGGACGGCCTTCAGCGTGCTGGGTCAACATGCTTGGAATGCAGTCGTTGGATTGCCGCACCCGCAGCATTTGACAGAAATGGACACATATAGGAAATCAGGCAAAAGTCAAATTTTTTTGCTGGGATATAAAAATGTCTCAATCAACCGTGCAGCGTGATTCTTTCAATTCTCATGCGCTTGTAGTTCTCTTCTCAATACTTTGAAGCGCTTGTAGTTCTTCATGTACCACGGACATATGGAAGCGACAGGATTGAAGTTGTCAAATTTGAAATAACTTGCAATGCATAAAATCGATACCAGTTGGAAGCCCAATTTGTTAGCGGCGCATGACAAATTTTCCGAGCACCGGAATCCAATTTGTCATGCTGCTTGGGCACAGACGACTGCTTTTGTCATGCTACTCTAGCAGCTCTACTTCAAACCCTGAACAGGCTGACAGTTGGCCTAGCTTGCCATCCCGGCAAGACAGGCACTTCATGCCTTAGATTTTATGCATGACAAATCATTTCAACTTTGTCGATTTCAAACCTGACGCTTCCATAGGACAAGTACCTGCTGTCGTCCGTGGTGCAGCAGGAATTATTGCGAGCAACAAACTTTTTATTTGCGCGGAACAATATTAAGTACAAGTACTTGATTAAGAGTGGAAGGAGCAGCTGCTTACAGCTTGTTCCTGTTTTCTCTTTTTGTTCACTCATTGGCAAGAACCTGTTGATGTACTGCGACCGCAACATCACTTCTACGACTTAAAAACCACAACTCCTACACCAGCAACCGATTGGGTTTGAACTTGAAATTAAATTTTATGTACTTTATTATCCCTCGCAAGTTTTTATTTCTAAAATCTAAATTTTAATGTTACCGCCCAGATTTGTCGTAGGATTTTTCACGACATGTGGGCCTCGTGTAGAAGCTAAGAGGAAATAAACTAGTACATCAAATGCTTGTTGAGCTTCGTTCTGTGATGTATTCCCCGCGCGACGAGGGGATAAAGATAAACAGGTTTCTGCTGGGAAGAGGAGGTGAAGAACCAGAAGCGCCAGCAAATATTCAACAACTTCTACCACACGCATTAACAAGCACACAGGGAGGACGAATATAACAAGCACATAATATAAAAATTTCTCAATCAACCGTGCAGCGTGATTCTTTCCATTCTATAACTTACTAGATGCCCTTAATATACTTATAGAGGAGAACACAGAACAAAAGCATCTACATCATCGACTCGTCCGCAGCGTTGTTGTAAGAGTTATTCACTACTTACATACCAGTAGTACACCCAAAATTTTAGCTGCCGCGCCTCATCGTGGTCTGTCATCAGCCGGGAAAGAAAACAAGTTCGAACGAATCCTCTGCAGGATCTCCAGAGACCACACACCACCAGCACAACAACGACGAACTGTGAAGTACAGCAGACATCGTCCTCGGCACTCCGGGTAGAAACAACGTCAAATAAGTAGGAGGCAGACGTAGAACTAGAACTCTAGAAGCACCAGAGCTAGTTCACGACCTAAAAACGCCGCAAGAGCAAGAACTTCCGGTGTAGAAGTTGTAACAAGTAGACGCTCAACGTTTTCTTGCGTCGAAAGTTGAAAAAAGCAACGAACAGCTGCAGCAACAAGATGAAGGTGAAAACTTCGCCCCCGGTGTCGCCCATGAAGGAGGTGTTTCACTCCCCGGACGACACCAGCAACGTTGATCTGCCTGGAGTTTTTGCGCCGTCCGTGTTGTCTTCAGCCGCTGTTCCTCCAGGGCGAGCCGGGGAGGACGAGAGTAAGACCACAACTGATGGAAGATTAAATCAAGAGGAGCAGCTTACTGTGAGGAAAAATCCCCCCTCCCCATGTCGAAAACGAAATCTGTGATGCTGTATTTGAGTACACAAATCGACGGGCATTCTTGGCAGAAGGCGGAGAGACGCAGCTGTGGCCTGAAGACCTGCAAGCAGTTTGTCATGCTGTTTCTTCCTTCCAGTTGTCTCCTGTCATGCTCAAGATGCAAGGTTGATTTCCCACGCCAGCCACCATGACAGTCCGCATCTTTTGCCTTCTAGCATGACAACGTGAAGAACAAGACTCGTGGTCGCCATTAATGCTACACAAGTCAAAGTCTCCATTTCAGTATGGGTAGGGGGGATACAGTTTCGTTTTGATACAGCAGCAGCCCTTCACCCCGCAGTCGGGTCTGATGGGTGTGGCAAGCAAGGAGAGCAAGGAAACCTCCGGTACTGAAGATCGCAGCAAGTTCAGTCCGAAAGCAAGACCACCCGGAAGTAGTAGTAGTAGAACCGCGTGGGGTACTCCTACTACTGCCCAACAAGACCACAAAAGCGCGGAACAAGCAGGAGATCGGGAGCCGCCTAGAGCAAGTAGTCCACCAAATAAAAGCTCATCCTCTCCTGCTGGCGGACCCACAAAAAATGCTGGGGCGGTAAACACGGTTGTACTAGCTTCTACTAAAGCTGCATCTTCACCAGGATCTTCTTCATCTCCAGTGGCGAAGTCGACGAAAGGTAGAGCGACGGCTTCGAGTCGGGTTTCCTTCAACGACGACCTGGAATCCACTCGAGAGGACGCGACCGCCACACCCACACCGCAGGCTGCAGCAAACGTCGCCGGTGAAACAACTACAAGTAGACGTTCTGAGTCTGACCGGTTTATCAGTACTAATAATGTTGTCCAGCAGCCAGCTATCGCAGGAAAAAAGTGTTACAGTTACACATTTGTTGGAATATCAGCATCACAAATTTGCTCTTCATGGAGAAGGAAACTTCTAATGCGCAGACTATAAGGGAAAACACGGACGATAGAATGAGGCTGGCAAGCGTTTCCTGCATGACAGAGATTGTCTGTCTTGCTTGTTGTCTTGCATGAGAGTGTGTACTTAACTGTAACACTTTTTTCTCAGGATACCAGCAAGCACAAGCACCTCGATGGCAAACACCAGCACGGCAGGTGCCAGGATAAAATCTTCCGAATATGAACTGCAAAAGTATCGTACTCGTATAAATGCATTACAAATTTCCTGCTCAGCATGAGAAATAAAATGTGTAATGCGGATTTGCCTTAAGAGCAAGATTTGTAATGCATGACTGCAATACGAGTGCGATACTTTTGCACAGGATACCGAAACTACTACGAGCAGCAGCATCAACCCCGCCTCCTCTGCCGTCCCGTATGCACTGCAAAAATGTCTGGGTCTGAAAGGATGAGACTTGTTATGCTGTCTTTGGATTCTAGAAAAATCTGTATTGCAGCGTAAGCCGCAAGAGGAGTCCAGTTTTTGTACACGCGGAAAGGGCAACATTTGTCATGCGGTATAGGCAACATCAGGAAGCCCTCACAAAATCTGTGATGCAGCTAGCGCATACGTCACACATATCGTGGATCATGCAAAATGTGCATGACAAGTCCTCCAATCTTCCAGACCCAGACATTTTTCCACTTGACATCCCGTCACGAAGTACGAATCTTTCGTCCACCGCGGCCACGGGCACCCGCCCGTCGACCCTTTCTTCCGGGGCGGGCATTTATCAGAATCCGCCCCCGCCCTCGGGGGCCTCGACCGCAGCCGCACAGATTGCCGTGCCCCAGGGCAGCGTCGAGGCCGCCACTGCGGCCCAGGCAGCGAGTCGCGGGAAGCAAGTATGCCTTGCAAGTATGCCTGGGTCTGGAAGGATGCAAGAACTTGTGATGCTATTTTTTGATTCTAAAAAAATCTGTGCTGCATGACAAGCAATAGGAGTGGTCCAGTTTTTGCCACGTGGACGAGAGGACATTTCTCATGCAGGCTAGGCATCAAGAAGTCCTCAGATGAAAATCTGTCATGCTAGGGCCTGCATCACAGACATCACGGCTCATGCTAAACGTGCATGACAAGTCGCAGAATCTTCCAGACGTCCAGGGAAGATATTTGCATTTCATAGCAAGCGTTCAGCTACGACGTTGGGTCCATGTATTTGACCCTGGGCATCCTGCCCTATGAACTGCAACAGTATCCGATACTCGTATATTAAATGCATTACAAATTTCCTCAGCATGACAGAGAAAATTTGTGATGCGGATTTACCTTAAGATAAACATGTTGTAATGCATGACTGCAATTGCTACGAGTTCGATACTTTTGCACAGGATATGCCCACCGACTCCCTCATCTCCGAGCTGGAGCAGTTTGGCGTAACGCAGAAGAACAGCAGCGACTCGGGGGTGGAACTATGAACTGCAAAAGTATCGTACTCGTATAAATGCATTACAAATTTTCTCAGCATGAGAAATAAAATTTGTAATGCAGATATCCCTTGGAAACAAGATTTGTAATGCAAGACTTGCATTTGTACGAGTGCGATACTTTTGCACAGGATAGGAACGGTCCCGAGACCACGTCGACGCGCGCCTGGACCCCAACCGTTTCATATTGCACTGAAAAATGCCCCCACCCCGGAATTTGCAAAAGTTTCTCATGCATAAGGTTTTCAAATGAAAAACTTTTTGTCTATGCATGAAGGGACTACGAGTCTTTCTGATGCAGAATCTAGGTGCGCAAGGTATCTTCTGCCTGACAGATCCGGCTGCTGTTGGGCTCCTTTGCAACACAAATTTACGCTATTCAGCATGGAAAATTTGTGATGCCGATATATGCAAGACGGGGAAAGTTTGCATTGGAAAGGTTAGCAATGCAAATGCTGCCAATTTCTGAGGTGGGGGCATTTTTCATTGTAATACTTGAGCCAATTAACCGGGAAAAAGCTTTCCGCCAAGGAAAAATTTCGGCGAATGTTCAAGAGCATGGCCGTGTCGCACGCGGACAAACTGCGCAAGGAGCTGTTTCGCTTGGATTTGTGCTTGCACCGGCTCTATCAAATGCAAATATGGATCTGGGTCTGGAAACTTGTAATGCTGAGTTGTGAATAGTGATTTCTCGTCTGTAATGCGCAGCCAAGCGTGAGAAATATTTCCGCGCCGGCTTCGTGTTGCGCTTTCCGCATGACAAACTGCGTTTTGCATGACAAGCAAAAGGGTCTCTTCTTGGACACGCATCACAAGCTCTTCAGTCTTGCCAGATCGAAGCATAACAAACCTTGCATCGTTCCAGACCCAGACACATTTGCATTTGATATGCTCACCGAAATGGATGAGGAAGCCGGGGAATCGGGGCTTGAGCGGTGGAAAAGCTTTCTGATGGGGCACAAGCAGCTTCTGGACGCCTCCGGAGCTGCATCAGCGCCTCCGGCCGGCGCGAACGTTAGCGCCCCCTCCTCACAGTTGTCAATAAATCCGCGGGCCCAGAACGAGGGGGGGCCGCCGAGCAACGCAGACTCTGGCATGACGCACACTTCTTCTACATTGCAGCCGCTCTCCTCGGATCAGAGCCGCTCGTCCAAAAATTCCAACGCGCTCCGAAGAAGGCCAGCTGATATGAGCAAGCTGGCTTCTATGGATGTGTCAGAGTTGAAATCGACAAAGTTGAAATAATTTGCCATGCATAAAATGGATGCGAGTTGGAACCCAGTTTTGCAACTGGCGCATGACAAATCTCGGTGGTCCCTCGAGCCAGTTTGTCATGCTGTTTAGGGAAAGAAGGGTGGTTTTCTCATGCTACTTTAGCAGCTCGAGCTGTAACCCCAAACAGGCTTACACCTGCTCTGCAACACACGTGCCTCGGGTCATGCGTTTTATGCATGACAAATCATTTTTTCAACTTTGTCGATTTCAAGCCTGACGCTTCCATAGCTTCCTCAAGGTTGGTCCCGACAGCGACCACATCCACAAATACGGGCGGCAACCTTATCAACTGCAAAAATGACTGGGTCTGGAAAGTTGGAACTTGTGATGCTAACTTTGGACTCTAGAAAAATCTGTATTGCATGACTAGCAAGAGGAGTCCAGTTTCTGCTACGCGGAGAGGCCATTTGTCATGCCGAATAGGCATCAAGAAGCACTCAGAAAATCTGTGATGCCAGGGAATACATCACAGACGTCACGGGCCATATAAAATCTGCATGAGAAGTTCGCATCCCTCCAGACCCAGATGACACTTTTGCATTTGATAAACCTTACCCTAAACACCATGTCGACGACGTCAGCGGGAGCAGGTCTGAACAAAATGAAGAACGGAGGGGGGGTCGGCGGGGCCCCGATTTTTCCGGCTACTTCTAGCGGCACGACTAGTGGTGCCAACATGATACAAGAGCAGTATATGAAGGCCAAATTTGAGCAGATGATGGAGCAGCAGCAGCAGCGCAGCGACCTGCAGATCAGTAGCCAAGCTTTGCGCGCCGGCCCTGCTACAACTAGTGGCGCCTCCTCATCGTCGGCGTCCAAAGAGCTTGGGCCTGCCATGGTCATGTCCCCGCGTGGTGGAGGTGGTCCAGACGGTGGTGGGAAAGGAAATGATACACCCACAGCAACTGCCACAGCCCCGCCGGTGTCAGCGGCTCTGGAACGCATCAAGCGGCAATCCAAGTCTGCGCCGCCCGGCCTGGATCCGGGCATGATGGGACTGCCCGTCGGAGGAGATTCGGGATCGGGCGACGTGGCCGCGTCTCCAAGGGACGGTGGGTCCTCCAGCTCTTTCATGAGCCAGCAGCTGCAGCAACAGTTCGGGTTCTCGACTCCCACGGGGATGGACGACGAGGGCGACAACTCCGACTACTTTGACGTCACCGGTCAGCACACGCCGCGCGAACAACAGGAACAGCACAGCATTACGCATTGCAAATAAATATGTCTGGGTCCTCTGGAAGAGTTGCAACTTGTGATGCAAACTCTGGGACACACAAAGATTTGTGTTGCATGAGCACCAAAAGCTGCCCATTTGCATTTCTACTTGCTACTTACGCAAGTCGACAGTTTCTCATGCGGGGCAGGCAGCAAGATGCGTCTGCAAGCCTGTAATGCTTTTGCGTGCATAAGACACCACTTGGGTGGTCCGAGAGGTGCATAACAAACAAGCGCACTCTTCCAGACCCAGACATATTTGCAGTGCATAAGCCTGCAGCAGGCGCAATTTGGCAGCCCTTTTTTTGGTCCACCCCCCGGAGGTCCGGGCTTCGACCCGAATTTCGATCCCGCTTATTACCAGCAAATGATGGCGGCGCATCATGCGCACATGCAGCACATGATGCAGCTTTACGCCGCAAACCAGCAGAGTGCCATGTCCGGCGACACTAGCACCACCGGCGTAAGCTACTCCTTTCAACCGCAACCCGGGGCCATGCAGTTGCCTCCCCCGGGTGCATATCCTCTGCAAAAGTATCGTACTCGTATAAATGCAAGTCTTTGTCTTGCAGCATTACAAATCTTGTTCGCAAGGCAAATGTGCATTACAAAGTCTATTTCTCATGCTGAATGAATTTGTAATGCATTTATACGAGTACGATACTTTTGCAATGCATAGTGCAGGTGGTCCGCCCAATCCGGGAGACCCAAATCAGTACGCCGCCTACCTTATCAAATGTAAAAATGTCTGGGTCTGGAAGATTCTGAGACTTGTCATGCAGGTTTTCTAGGACCCATGAGGTGTGGTATGTAGGACATAGCATGACAGATTGCGTGAGGGTTCTATCATGCCTATCCTGCATGAGAAACTGCCTCCCGATTAGGTCAAAAATGGACAGCTTTTGGTAATCATGCAACACAGATTTTTGCATGCTTCAGATTTAGCATGACAAGTTGCATTCTTCCAGACCCAGACACTTTTACGTTTGATATACCTGGCCGCGCAACAGGCTTATATGGTGGCGATGGCGGGGACGACCGCGGGGGGTGCGATATGCAATTTTGCAAATATCGATCTGGGTCGTCTGGAAGGTCGTGATGCAAGCTTGTCTTTCTAAATATAAAAATCTGAACTTATCGTACAAAAACGAAAATCTGTAGTGTTGCATGAGCATGGAGCTGCGGCAAAAACTAGCCAAATGACAGCGACGATAAAAGCGAGAAGTTTCTAATGCGGTTGCGGAACAGGCAAATCACAATAATGCTCTTGCACGACAAAGATAAAGAACTTCTGTGACGCAGCAGCTTCGAGATGAAGGTGCATTTTTGTAGTTCTAGATTATTTTTGTATTTTAACACCAGATGTTCTTCTTGGACATGACAACCCTTGCGCGACTCCTTTTTCCACCCCCAGACACATTATTTCCCATCGATATAAAAATGCGAACATCAATCGCAATAGCGGGGGGAAGAACAGGAGCAGTGGGCCGTCCGCGAGCAGCACAGCCTCTATTAACTGTAAAAATGTCTGGGTCTGGAAGCATTCATGTTTGTCATGCTTGTCTGGCATGACTCTGAAATCTGTCATGCACGTTACCCAAGAGCTCCGTTTTTCATTTTCTGTGATGCAGAAGCGCAGTTTGTCATGCAGAATAGGCAACACCTAGGAGCTCAGAAACTTGTCATGCTGAGCCAGCATTTGTAGCCTCATGATGAGACGCTGCCCAGCATCACAAGTTTCCAGACCCAGACACTTTTACATTTGATAGCCTCCGGGGGCCAGCAAATTAAAACCAGCAGTAGAAGGAGCCAGAAAAACAATAAAGTGCAGATCACCGCAAGCGACTCAGAAAAACAAATATGCAATACAAATTTATTGCACTTCCTCCCGTACTATAGGGATAACTACACGACGACGACGCACAAATAATACAAAACGCATGACAAGTATCTTCGCTAACATATTTTTACTACACTAGATCTCTGTCATTCTGAAAAGCATTTTTGAAGAAAAGCGCGGTCATGCAGAAATTGCATTTTTACTTGTGATTGTGTCAACTACTGTCGTGTACCAGTAGTACTACGGGAGTAAATTTCCTGTGGATAGGAAAGTGCAGAGCAGCAGCCAACAGGGGCAAAGGGCGGGGCAGTCGGCGGCGGGGGGAAAAAGCAGAACAAGTAAAGAACACAGCTGGTCGAAGATGATATGAACGCACTCAGCATTTTCTTCTTCTTCTTCTTCCTCTTCTTCAGCAGCAGTAGTAAACACACAAGGTGGTCGGGAGGTTGAGTGAAAATTCAAATGCCGACTGTACTTGTTCTGGGTGAAAAAAACTGTGTTGACTTTTTGCGGATTTTTCCTTTTAGGTGCGCGCCAGTTATAGTACTAGCTGCTCGATTTACATTTACATTTACACAATTTTTCGGGCTGCAGCTCCGTTGTTCTGCGACACTAGTTAGTATGCTATATTCCTTAGTTCGAGGATATACCTTATTGGTTCTTTATTTCATGTCGCAATCATTATCATTTGTTCTCTATTACTGGACGGCTTTCATAAGTACTTATCCACCGCGCTCCCGGAGGTCGATCGTGGGAGCAGCAGTGTAGGTGCTGCTGAAAATAATCTTTGAAGCGCTTGTAGTTCTTCATGTACCACGGACAAGTACCTGCTGTCGTCCGTGGTGCTCTTCATTTGATGTACATCAACTTCTATATCTATTGTTCATCGATTCTTGAAAACAAAATCAAAACCTAAACTGCTGCACAAATTTATCAATTTTCCATCTTATACATCATTTCATTCAGTACGTGCGCATTTTTCTTTCTTTCATTTCTACACTTTATACGCATTTATCATTTTAGTGCAGCAGGGCGAGCTGCAAGATGAAGAACGGATTTTTATACCTCATCCACATATCGTTATCGTTTTTTTCTCTACAAATATCCACCATCTTCAAGACGAAAAAGCTCGTAGCCCGCATGACGTTATGCCGGTCGCTCTAGTACTATTTTTATCGTATGTCGTCCTCGTCCTCGTGCACCAGTCCTGCTCAGACCCTGTAGTACGTTTATCGAACAAACTTCTACATCCCAGAAGCTAGTAAAGGTAAACGGCCCGTCGAATAAAAAAGGAACAGTCACACTACGCGTGCCGGTGCTCTTACTCCACTTCAATTGTTACAACTTCACCATGGGGGCCTGTTGATAGATAGTAGTTGTGTGCTCAGTTGTTTTATTTTCATCGGAGAAAGGCAAAGGAGACGATCTGGTAGTTAAATGCATCTTTTCCAAGAACCTGCAGACAAGTATCCAACAGCAGTAGAACAAGGCGGGAAGAACAACTGCAGCGGCTTGGTGAAAGCAAGTGCAGTTTTGTTTCTAGTGGTACACGATGAGGACGAGGACAACGACAACCTCAAGTCAAGGCTTCGTGGTCGTGGTGTTTTCTACACTAAAAAGTGCAGCAGGAATTATTGCGAGCAACAAACTTATTTGCGCGGAACAATATTAAGTACTTGATTGCGAGTGGAAGGAGTAGCTGCTTACAGCTTGTTCCTGTTTTCTCTTTTTGTTCACTCATTGGCAAGAACCTGTTGATGTACTGAGACAGCAACATCACTTCTACGACTTAAAAACCACAACTCCTACACCAGCAACCGATTGGGTTTGAACTTGAAATTAAATTTATGTACTTTCTTATCCCTCGCCAGTTTTTATTTCTAGATTTTAATGTTACCGCCCATATTTGTCGTAGGATTTTTCACGACATGTGGTCCTCGTGTAGAAGCTAAGAGGAAATAAACTAGTACATCAAATGCTTGAGCTTCGTTCTGTATATTCCCCGCGCGCCGAGGGGATAAAGATAAACAGGGTTCTGCTGAGAAGAGGAGGCGAAGAACCAGAAGAGCCAGCAAATATTCAACAACTTCTACCACACGCATTAACAAGCACACAGGGAGGACGAGAAGCTACTAGTAGAAGAAGAGCTTCGCCGCGCATACAACAGTAGTTGGAAATTTCGCAACGATCAAAAAATCTTCTGTCCTCACGCAAGAACTACATAAAGCCCAAAGAACGCGCTCTTGTGCCAGGCCTTCTCCGAGTCCGCCCGCGGCATGATCGTGGGCCACCGGCTCGGCCCTGGTCCGTAGCAGCTGATAATGTATCAGCTCTTGGTGGCTTTATTACTATTGTTCCACACATCACGAGCACTTCTTCTTGAGAATGACACGCTCACGTGACCGAGGTAGCACGAGCAGGACCCTGCTCTTGTTTCTCAGGAACTACGAAGCTTGTCCGTGTCTGGTCTACTTGTGCTGTTGAGAGTAGTTGTAGTACTTATTAGTTTATTTCTACCTGCTGTCTCGGTGATGTGCGTTTTAGATGAATGAAAACTATCGCGAGTAGTTGTTGTCCTCGGTCATCAAGAACTGGCGTTCGCATTGATTAGCAAAACAAACTCGGTTTTTGATTTTGCCGCAAAATTAATTTTTCGGTTTTCTTCTGCGGGTTCGAGGAATAATATGTCGGTTTTATTTTACGTACGGTAATTGATTTTGATTTTTCGGTTTTCTTCTGCGGGCTCGAGCACGATGATGCTCTCGGTTACCTCGTTCTTACGATGTGCCCGTGCCGAATTTTAGATGACATACCTTCGTTCGTCCGCAAGGCATAGTAGCTTCAAAACCTCTGAAAAATGCATTCGTGTCTGCATCTGTGCAAAAGGTAGTGTCTCGGATTCCCGAAGCGCTTGAAAGTACGCACGGCTGGCACTTAAATGCTGCGGCTGTTTTCGGACCTCCGGGACCTTGGCTTGTAGAAATCCCCGGCACTGGTGGTCCGTAGCTTCGAGTGCTTAGACGCCAATTTCTCAGCGGGCATGGTACTCACGCCGTCGCCCGCCCGGGTGCGAGGGTGTGTCTGCAGTGGTTGTTGCAGGCCAATTTGCAATGTTTTTTGTGGCGCGTCTCGGACGGCTGACCGCAAGACACCTCAACCGGCCTGAGTCTAGCGCTATGGCCGGCATTGGTGGCCTTCGCGGTTAGGCGCCAGAATTAGAGCGCATCACGCTGGGCTGTGTTTTACCCTGGCCCCGGTTTTTCTCTTACGCTTGGTTTCAGTGTGTTTTGCCCCAGTGCCTCTCTGACATTCTCCGCCCGGCCCTCTTTCTGGCGGCGGCGCTTTCGTTCTGCTTGGAGCCTCACGCGCCGTTTGAGTGCGGCGAGCTCCGATGCGTTGACGGCCAGCCAAAGGTCTTGGATTTGCATCCGAGCAACCATGAGGGCAAGTGCCGGCCTCCCGGGAAATAGCCTCTGGGGGTCGTCCTTGGGGGTTCAAGAATGGGGTATCCGACATTTTGCTCCGATGCATTTTCTCCATCGTGATTCGCTTCAGAAAAAAACGCATCGGTGCACTTTTTGTCGAGGTTCTTGTTAGATGTATTCTATTGGACAACATTGGATCTCGTCCGATCTGCTCTGATGGAGACAGGGATGCGTTTTTCGGATCGAAGCCCTGGGCCTTGAGTGCCTTTGGAAGGACCGCTAACGAACCTGAAGAGGTCCATCAGGGCAACTCACGCGAGCCTGGGGGCATTGCTCTCAGCTTTGCTGACGAAATCAAGGAAAACAATTCCCAGATCCCTGATCCGGAAAACGCATCCGTGTCTCCATCCGAGCAAAATGCATCACCAGCAAACTTGCTCCGCTACGGTTTTCTTTTACGGAGGCAGGGGTGTGCTTTTCGGATCAGAGATTCGGGCAAGCAAAGTAGCGAACTTGCTCTAGTGCCTTCTTTACTGCTTCGCTCTTTGTAAGACGGCTTGGTCTCTCTCCAAATGCATCAGAGCAACCTCGTGCCGAATTTGAGATGACATACCTTCGTTCGTCCGCAAGGCGCAGTAGCTTCAAAACCTCCACCTCTCGTCGTGTAGTTTTGCAGCTCCGTACAACTTACTTCTAGTACGTAGATAAAGCTCGGCTGGTGCTTGCCATTCCGATTTTTGATGCGACGGCACAGGTCCCCCGGAGACGGACGACCCAGAGGACATCATAAATTGTTGCAATTCAACATACAAAATTCAACTTTCAACTTTCATCAGTATAAAAACCATTCGAGTGTATTCCTTTTCGTCACAAGCAGAATCAATCTTCGCTGCAGTTGTTACGCGGTCGACGTTCACAACGTTGTATAGAAGGACAACTTCACGACTCGAAAGCGATTACTACTTAATCAGTTAGTGACCTGGTGTCTGCCGAAGTACTAGACGAACCGGTGGATAAAGTTTTTGCAGCATAATTTCAAGTACTTACAACAACATCGACAATTCCAAGTACAACAAGATCGACAGTTCTTGTCTCTCGGAACTACAAGCGGAAAAAGTATGACAGTGCACAACTAGCCCTACCCCTCATTTGTAATGCAAAATCCCAAAACCATAACCAGCTGCAGCTCCAGCTGCTGCCTTGTAGCACTGGTTGCATGACAAATCCTGGAAGGTCAAACAGCACTACGCTCCAGTGCAAATTTGTCATGCAAAGCCGGCACTGTTGCTGCTGCTTTTACTATTGCCGTTCATGCTATGCAAATGGAAATGAGGGGGAGCAGGGGGAGTTGTCCACTGCCATACTCCTCGTTTTCTCGGAAGAACCGGTCGATCATATCAAGATGAAAAATGCCCCCTCACATCGTCCAAAGCGAAATTTGTGATGCCGGATACATCTTTGTCTTGCAGTATGAAATCGCAGGTAGACGATTGTAAGTCTGGCGTGCTAGGAATGACAATGAAGTTGTTTGCGTAGTATATGTAATAGCTGATTTGCTGCATGATAGATGGCTGCCATGAAGTAGGTCCAACAACATCGGAATTCCACCGCGCAATTCGACGGACACCTCTGGCGTTGTCTTGCTGCAACGCAGATTTCCGCTTTAGGATGTTGGAGAGGGGTGATTTTGCCCCACGATAGATGACACAAAAAATAGTGGCTTCGTCTTCAGCGTTAGGAGCCATGAGCGGAAGGCCGGGAAGGAAGGTTGTGGTGGCTGCCCTGTGCGTGCTGTCGGAGCAGGGGGCGCTCGGAATGGACCAGCAGCAGCTTCAGAACACGAAACCAGGACAAGAAAGCTGGAGCGATAAACACCCTGGAGTAGCTTCGCGATTTGGTGGAAAGGGAGGCTATGATTACATAACCGCCAGCTTTGAGCCCGCGTTCGGCGGGCTTGCGGGCTTGCAAGCTGCGGATGTCGATGTCAAAAACATTCTGGAGAAGCACAAGAACGATTCTCGCGGCTACAGCGAAAATGCGCGCAACGCCCTTGACGAAGTGCTCAAAAAAGTGACTTCGAAGACCAAGGCAAAAAGTCCCAAGTTTGCCGACCAAGTGCCTGTGGCTTTGTCCGGCAAGAGGAAATCGGCGGAGGAGTTCAAAAAGAAGCTCTGGGGGCTTATCGAAGGCGGTGAGTTCGGTGCCGACACGAAACAAGCGAAGGACAGCGGAAACGATTCTTCTGCCGCAAACCAAGATGGTTCTGGTCCTGAAGAACCGCAAGCAGCTGGTACGATATTTTTGAGTAGGAGCCACTTAGTTTTCCACTATGCGTCCCGAAAATCAAGACCGTGGTACTTAGAACATGCCCAAAAACCAACGCGTGAGCCTGGTGTCCACAGATAAACCACGACTCACATCAGCGTCACCCTTGTAGAGTATTAGAGAGAAGACCTAGCTGCAAACGTGTGTAGCTTGCTGTTTTCCTTGGCTGTTACAAGGCCCCCGGGACGTCCTCGGCCTGCAAGGCGCACCACAGCAAAGGGTCGCGCGCCATTTTTTTTTTACCATTCGCGTGGTGGCCGAGGCATTTGTGGAGCAGGCAGCCTCTCGAAAATATCAAATGTAACTGCGCAGGCGCAGCTCCGGGCCCCGCAATGGAAATGTCGCTGGACGGTGATGGCGATGGTGATGGCGATGGCGATGGCGATGGTGAAGGCGCAAGCGATATCGCCGCGCAGTACGCGGGCCTCGGTATTGTGAAAGGCCTTCTAGCGTCATGCGTTTCCCTTTCTTTTTTTATTTGGATGAGGAGTTCATTTGGATGAGGAGGCGATGCAGAATAGCTTTCTTCGCCCCCGATCGCGACGCCGCTATGGTGGCTCATTTGTCTGCGTAGTGATATTGTGCGAAGTCACTGGTAGTGCTCCCATCGTTTTTTTTTAAGCAAGGACATGGGCGAAGGACCCCTCGCCAGGTTTTTTTTTTTCTGGCGGGGGACGCCCGAAAAGCAAAACACGCAAAGAGAAAATTTTTCGAAGTTGATTACTCATATCTGCACAGGCGCTCACGAAATTCACGACATCAGCAAACAGGATGACGATCCGGAGCCCGGGAGCCAAGGTAGCGTTTCTCTGACGCCGTGCTAGTTTCTTTTTCTTTTATTTTCTTTTCCGTCATGATTTTCAGTACATTTTGGCTGGATGGGGATGCAAGGTGACGAACGCCGGCCCCATTCCCGACTCAGCTAACATGCCTTGCCGTGCGCGTCGCTTCTTGTTTGTAAAACCGCTGGCGGCCAGCTCAAAAAGCCTGCGAAAACAAGACGCACACCACCAGCACAGAATTGGCGGGCCACTGGCAGAGAGGACGCCGCACCAACTGGAACTGCCAGCCCGCATGGGCTGCTACGCTGGTTCGCGGTGGCGCGACTAGGAAAGGAAGCGCGCCGCGCTGTATCCTGTTGTGGGCGATGTCTCTGCAGACTTGTTGGCAGCTGCCTCCCCCCCCCCGCGGCCGGGTCGGTGGGACAACCATGGTAGCCTCGGCCGAAGCGCCCTCGCGCCGGCCGGCCCCATGCTCCCTCGGCAGGAGCGCGCTGTGGCCTTGTCCCTGCCCGCCGGGCAAAAACAAGGCGCGCGTATATTTCGTCTTTGTCTTGCGAACCGCGCATACCAAATGCCGGAGGGCATGCCATGGGCCTTGGGCAAGAAAGATGGCCTGAACACGCGTAGCATTTGGCCCACAGGACAGCGAATTCTGCCAGGCGTGTGGCACGTTGGCTGCTGCAGTTTGCTTCTCATGTAATTAGACCGCGGACTGGCCTGCACTATGATCGAGAAACGCATTGCCCCGCAAAACCTGTTTTAGGCATTTTCTGCGTTTTCTTGCCTTAGATCTCGAAATGCCAGGGGGTGGCCTCCCCAGCCCCCGGGCCTCCCGGGTGTGTGATGCCTGTGTGCCTATTGGGGTCTGTTACCTACGAAGCGCGCCGCGCTGGTAGTGCGGGCGTGATTGGTAAGCAAATAGTGCCTGACTACTTAGCAAGCGCAAGTAGTGATAACTACTTGCGTTGGCCTCAAGCTTCCACGCCGAGCCACGTTTGTGGCCGGTGTCGTGGCTAGGTAGCCACCCCTGGTCCCTGCTGCTACCTCTGAACAAACACAAACGCGCGCCGTAGCCGTTACCGCCCGAGAGCAGACTGCGCTTTTTGTCTAGCCCGACCGCGCTCCGTCAGTCATGAGATTAGGGGGGAAAAAACGTTGCGGCCGTGCCTTAGACCAAAGACGCGCCCTATCTCCACGCAGGCCCTGGCTACTCCCCGCTCAACGTTGAAGAACCTGCCGGCACCAAAGCGAAATGGTGGAAGGGGCGGAACTGTTATGGCTGAGCAAGATAATAAGTGGCCAGGAGTTTCTTGCGATCGCGCAGGCGGTTGCGTGGAGAGAAAGCAAGAGGCCCGCGCATTGCTTGCACAGGTTGCAAAGGCTGCCCATAGTGCAAAGCCAACCTTTGTGGCGGCCTGTGTCTGCATTTGTTTAAGGCCTCACTCTGCAGCGTTGCAGCACACACGGCAGACGCCGCGGCCTGCGCCGCTTTCGCAAGATCGTTCAGAAAGCTGCTGGCCGTTTGTTATTTTGCTCAGTCATAGCCAGTGGGACTGGCTTGCGAAAACGGGCCAAGGCGCTTCCGAGTTTCGCACGCACCGCGGCCAGCGCCTGCTCGTGTGACTTGAGCCACCGTCGTACTCGTCAAGCATGCATGTTTTTACACGGAATGGCGGCGCAAGAAGATCCGCACTAGCACGCTTTTTCAGTAGGCTGAGGGGAGGCCTTCCTCTACTACGGTATCCGACACTTCGGTCCGCCAAATTCCATCCTCCCGCACCACCACAAAGGCCCACCAGATTTTGTATCGACTGGAAATATGTCTGGGTCTGGATCACTGCAAGAGTAGGTCTCGCAAGGCCCAGAACCAGAAGCAAGGACTGGAAGCATGGCCGATTTATTCATAATGCGTGTGATGGCAGGTCTTGCACTCTTCCCGACCCAGGCACATTTGCACTTGGTGATAGGTTTCGGGGTGTGCGAGCATTTCGAGTTCAGACTCTGAAGGAAAAAGGAAGAGAACAAAAGCGCTGCTTTCCAACAAGGACAAGCCACTTCAGAAACTTGTCGTACATATTATGTAGCACGCAGAAACTTGTCTTACATATTATATATATATGCCATAATGCGCAGCCTGTTGCTGTTCGGACTACAGGCACAGTCGTGCTTGTGTTATTGTTTCCCTGAGGGTGGGGCTTTTTTTTTTTGATTAAGTACACACTTTCACTCTGCGTTGCTGTTTTCAACATACACTGACTGACATCTTATTTATTTTTTACTTGCAGATGCAGCTATACACAACTCTCTTCCGGACGACACTATCGATAAGCAAAAGCACTAAGTAGTTTGATCTTGTTTACTAGATGCTTCGTCTCAGTTTTATAGTTGCCTTCTAGCTCCTGCGCTACCAACGGAAGACTCGGATATCCAGGAAAAAAAGCAACTGTAGTCAGCCTTGTGTTGCGGACCGACAATGCAAGACAGGCACACGACTCGACCTTGTCATGCTGAATATGCGTCATAATGGATTACGCATGCGCGGTCTACTCGCGTACTTCTATCTGCGCATCCAATAAGTTTTTACTGTCATGCCACACAGATTTCCTCTCTCAATCCCAAAAACGCTACACCTACAGTCTTTTTTTCTTGGATATCGTAATGGAAAATGCGTATTACTTGTTTTTTCGCGCAAAGCTTGTTGCGGAACTTCTAACCGCGCAGGAGGGCGTCGTCGTCTTTTTCGCGGGCGGTCTGACTTGGGGGCGACTGGTAGTAGCTCTTCTTCTTATTTCGCAGAAGAAGTTGTACTAGGATCACAACAAGAATTGAGATCCTCAGTTTTCAGTTTATCGCAGACGCTTGCTTTTTGCATTAACTTTAACATTCTGACATCATTATATATAGCGTCGAGTAGTTTCTTTGTTACAGATCTTGTTTTCGCACTTAAACTTATGTCACAGTGAAATTATTGCAGATGCTTTCCGCTTCAAAGTTGTACTTTTTACTGCTTATCGCATTCGATACTGCTTTTCCACACTCTTATATTCGGATGTATTATTCAACTAAATAACAATAACATAAGGAGGAGGAGCTGAGCACCAGCAGCAGCTACAATTGCGCCTCCTACGTTGCTCCGCGCGTATGCATTGCAGATCTGTCTTGGTCTGGATTTGTGATGGGAAATTTGAAGGAGACAACCAGATCTGTATATTCATGAACGCGAAAAATTATAAGGACCTGAGCTACATCATCGGCATCTACCTCGGTTTCTACCCGTGGTGGCAGTAGACGAAACTGCGGCGCAGCTCGAACTTTCTGTCTTGTCGCCGGAATTTGTTCGTCATCTTCTTAGGCTTTCTGCTTCTTTCTTTGTTCGTCTTCATCTTGGAATCCTGCTCTACTCTCTTTCGGACCAGCGTAGTTTTGATGAGAGAGTTGTTTAATAATATTTTTCCACATGATTCTGATCTTCCAAAAGGTTTGTTTGTTTGTTCATATTGGATACACGGGATCCGGGTGAAGATTTTTTTCCTCTCTCGTGTTTTAGCGCTACTTGAAGAAAAAGCCAGTCTGCAAGAGCCGCTTTAGGCCTGCACTTAAGAAAAAATAAAGTGAAGAGTTGCAAAGTTAAAAAGTTGGTGTCGAAGTTTAGGTTCCTACTGAAAAGTTGAAAAGTTAAAAAGCCTCTTGGAAGTGTTTCTGTCGTACAAGAAAATGCTAACGCTACTGGGAAAAGAGATAGAGACTGGGCACAGAATAAAAGATGTTGCTTTTCTCGCTGTGAAGTTGGTGAAGAACTGTTTTTTTTTTGAGTTTGTATTTGTAGTTTTAGTTTTTGTCTTTTTTTTTTTTTTATTTCCTTCGTGGTTGCCGTTCGCTGCAGATCTTCGTCTATCTGTCTTACGCTTCTTTCTACCGTTCGTAAAGTTTACTTACTGTCGCTACCAAAGATTTCTGCTTTTTTGAGTTTTTACTTTTGCTTTTCTGTACTAGACCGACCACAAGAACGTCCTTCGCGACTTCGGCGCGCCTCTGAGATAACTTCACTCGCCCAGCGCCTCCCGTCGTACTGTCACTGTCCATCCGCATGCCCCAATTGATATCACTACAACGCCCAGCCCTATCGGGTTCGTCAGGCCCGGTAGACTATGCGGCGGGGTGTAGTTCACGACTGTGGATAAAGGTAAACCATGGATAAGACAGGTAGTCGGGCTGCGTGCTTACTCGCCGCGCCTGGGGGTGCCGTTTTACCTACCCCGTGTCGTACTTTCCTTGCCAAAAATATCACCACACTCCTGGCCCTAGCCGGGGCGTCAATCCTGCTAGACTATGTCGGTAGGATGTGGGTCACTCGTGATTGGTCTTGTTTTTCGTGGGGTGTGTCGGTTCCCTTTTTTTTTCGGCGCGCGGGTTGTGTGGCGCGTGGCTTCCCTTTTGGTTACGCAGCGTAGCGCGAGTTCTCCTTCACTCAACTGCTAACAAGAGGACAAAATGATATCTATGGCGGGTCTACTCAAGAGTTGAGATGAGTTCTGCTCGGATGAATGTGGTGAGGGTACTAGTTGCAGGAGGCAGGAGAAAGAAAAACCTGAAGACTTGACGCTGAGTGAAAGAATATTTTTTGCACCAGCATGCAGGCCGAGTGTCTGTGGTCCGCTGCGGTTGAGAAGCGGAGTAGAGCGAAAAATGCACTACGTAGATGATAGAATTGCAGCTCTTCTGCAGCGTGGTCCAAAAGATGGTTTGATGGTATTGCCGCAGGAAAAATCTGCTTCTTTGTTTCATTGGGACGATTTCGATAATTTAGCGAGGTTTGTAGCATCACAGTTTCGCTGCTCTACACGACAGAGAAAATTTGCCATGTCGGTGCTTTCGTATCAAATGCAAATATGTTCTTTGGGTCTAGAAGCATGGAATTTGTAATTCTAGCCCTGCACTCCTGTAAAAATCTGTGTTGCATGACTAGCAAAAAGATGCCCTCATTTGTCAACATACAAAGGCGCCGCAGTTTCTCATGCGGACTGCGCATGAGAAAGTGTGCGGGAAACTTGTCATGCTCAGCTGCATTGGGAAGTATAGTATTTCAGTTATCCGCAATTTCAATTCAGCATCACAAATTTCCAGACCCAGACACTTTTGCAGTTGACATCTCGTCCCAAGGAACAACAAGAAACCGGAGAAGAAGAAGACGCGATAGAAGTGGTTATCCTGAATAAAAACATCCCCACCTCCCCATATTAGTCGAGATGGGAAATCTGCTAGACAAATGATCAGCAAGCTTGTTCGGCTTCTGTTGCGCATGACCACAAATTTGGCCTCGTAGTGTAATCCTGTTTAGCAAGTGCAGAAGGAGCGTCACAGATCCAGCGCATTATGCTGGTTGGAGCATCACAAGTTTCGAAACACGACTAGGAAAAGCTTCCCATGGGGCTCCGCATGATAAACATTTCCAGGCTGCAGATTTGCATGACAACTAGGGGGAGGGACCGTTCTTCCTTAGGATAGTAGTTCTGCGGTACGACGGCGGTCATTGGACAACCTTCGTATTCCGGCGCAACATATGAACTGCAAAAGTGTCGTACTCGTATAAATGCATGACGTGGCCTAGGTACGCACATACGACTCGGTACGCCAAATCGTATGTGGGGCGTTACAATTTTCGCGCTTTTTTCATTGAGAAAACCCGCCAAAAAGCAGCACCGAGCCCGGTGCGGTTTGTAACGTATGGCAGCACCGAGCCCGCCAAAGTATGTCTTTTTGCCCACCTACAAAATTGGTATTGTAGCGGCGCGCCTTCGCAATACATTTTGGCGCACCGAGGCGGCGCGCAAAAACGTCCCATCGCACGCCTTTCCCAGGTGGCGCCGGCGCCTTCGCCTCCTGCGTTTTTTACCTTGCCCTCGGACGCGCGCCAGGGTACGGGTTTTGTTTTTCTGCCCACCAAGGCCCGCGGCGTGACCTCGCGAATTAGCCGATGGGCCCCCGGTCCTCCCCCCCCGCCCCCCCCCCCATTTTCTCTGCGCTCGCGTGCTTCGCGATTTCGCGTGCGTTTTTTCGCTTCGCACACGCCCGCGCCTGCGTCGCCCCTTGCCTTCCGCGGGAGCTTCTGCTCGCGGCGTCGCGCGACGAGCACTACCTCGAACGCACGGCAACAGCATCGAATTTGTTTCACGTGTCTCACCGTCTCACCCCAAAAAAAACAATCTTGGCACCGCCGCGCCCCGAGCGCTTTTTTCCATTTCTGCTGTTGTGTTCCGCCCGTCTGCTGCTTTGTTCCCGACTACAATTTGGCGCACCGAGGCCGTCCGCCTCGGTGCACCGAGGCGGCCATTCCGAAAAACTGGCATTTTTGGCCTCGGTGCGCCATTTTGTATGCGCGTCCTAAAGAGCCTTCTTCTAGCCTCGGTGCGCCAACTTGTAGTGGCGTACCGAGGCCACGACACTACCGAGGCGACGTCATGCATTACAAATGTTCTCAGCGTGAGGAATAAAATTTGTAATGCGGATTTACCTTAAGAAAAGCAATCAAAATCATGCATTAAATGCATGACTGCAATGCAACGAGTGCGATACTTTTGCACAGCATACAACACGACCTAATGCCGGTTTGCAGTGCAACATCTTCTGGCGGCAGAAGACTTTTTCGTCTGCTTTCCGCTTCCATAGTGCTGCCAGGAGCTGCAGTAGAAGCAGTTTCCCTCTTAGACCTGCATATGCTTTGGTGCGCAAGTATCGACGTAGTACCAGGTGGATCAATAATCGCATTTACAACAAATAAATTTCCTCAGCATCATGAGGGATGGAAGTTGATGTCATGCGGAACTGCACCTTCGGAAAGAGATTTGTAATGCGTGACCGCAATTAGCACGAGACGACGAGTACGATACTTCTGCAGCGCATAGTGCACGTGAAAAGGAAGTCCGGCCGCGATGTCGTGGACTCAGGGATTAGTGCCGTCGGAGGTATTATGCAAGAAAAAAACTGTGCAGGTGTAAGTCTGTAATGCAAAGCATCCAGTACAACCAAACTTGTCATGTGAGCCAGCCACGAAGGTTTATTTTTTTCGTATGTGTTTTGTTCACGTACTAGCTCCGCATGACAGGGTTTCTTATTCTTTGTCATGCGCGACAATAAATGTGTCTTCATGTTGTCTACTTCCGAAGACACGACCCACTTTGACACAGTTTTTTTCTTGTGATAGATACGGCGAGCAGTAGCGGACACGCCCACGTAAGGGAGTCAAATCAACAGGCCGCGCTACATATGCATTGCAATAGTATCGTACTCGTATAAATGCATTACAAATTTTCTCAGCATGAAAAATGAAATTTGTAATGCGGCTTTGCTTTAGGAAAAAAAATTGTAATGCATGATTGCAAAAATACGAGTGCGATATTACTTTTGCAGAGCATACTACACTCCATCATCGCAGCAGGTGGAGAAGAAGATGACAGCAAAAAAGTGAAGCAGCCCACGATAAAGGGCTTCGTCTACCCCTATTACGGACCGCTATGACAGTGCACAACTCGTCCCCCTCTCCCTCATTTGTCATGCAAAACACCACATGCGTTGCTCGTCTCTCTTCACTTTTTGCATGACAGATTCCGGCAGCTGCGCAAACAGCACTATAGCCCGGAATGGATTTGTCATGCAAAACCTGTACTATAGCTGACGCTTGAGCTTGTATTGCTATTGCTGTTCATGTTATATATACAAATGAGGGGGACGAGGGGGAGTTGTGCACTCGCATAAGCGCAGGCCTTCAGTGACAAGGCCCACCCCCATATTGCAAGGAAAAATGCCCCTCCCCATACTCACAATGGAAATTTGTGATGTTGATTTGTGGCCACAAATCAGCTTTGTCTCGCATATGAGGCAAGAAATGGGAGCCGTGTCGTGGCGCATTCCAAAGCCAAGCTGTAATGCTCTTTTGCCTACTGCAGAGCTGTCTGTCATTCCTGAGTCGTGTTAGCCTTTTGCATGCGTAATCAGGCTTAGGAACAAATGCCTTCCAGGACTTGCTGCAATACAGCGCTGATTTGTGTACACAAATGCAGCAACAGAAATTTCCGTTTCAATATGGGGAGGGGGCTTTTTCGCTTTGATACTCCACAACCCCTGGGTCAGAAACGCCGGAATGAGTCCCTATCACAAGAATATCCTGTGCAAAAGTATCGTACTCGTAGTAATCGCATTTATGCATGACAAATATTTTTTTCAAAGTAAATCAGCATGAGAAATTCCCTAGGTTCTGGTTTTCGTCTTTTCGTAACGTACTGACAAGCTGCAAACTGCAGAGCACGCGCGAACTGCCGGACTGCGACCTGCGCAGCTGCGCGAGCTGACGGACTGCGAACTGCGCAGCTGCGCGAACTGACGGACTGCGAACTGCGCAGCTGCGCGAGCTGACGGACCGCGAACTGCGCAGCTGCGTGACCTGACGGACTGCGCAGCTGCGCGAACTGCTTCCGCGCTCGTGGGGCACTGAGTAAAGAAAGCCAACGCGTGGCCCTGCGCTTTTTTCGTGTTCGGGAGCCATCGCCGAAGTGGAGGCCCGCGGTGGGGCGCTGGTGGACTGCACGAACTGCCTGCGCATTTGCTTAGGCAGCCCGTGCCGATTGGAATAGCCAGGGCAAAAAAATAGGCGGGGGGCGGTAGGGCGGCGGCCCTGTGGATAGCATGAACGCGCAAAATGCAAAGCCGGACAACCTAAGCCATGGCAATGCTTTCCAAGTTCAACCTTGCCAAATTTCGGAAATTTCTTTTGCCGGAATGTCTGTGCCAAAACTGCGGCAAAGAGTTGGCTTTCGGCGAAGTTTTTATGTGCAAAACCAGGCAGGGAAATGAACTAAAGTAACAAAATTTTTTTCTAGGTTGCCACTTTGCGCTTCATGGCCTAGGTTGTCCGGTTTTCATTGTATTTTGTGCGCTCGCATTGAATAAACACTAAAACGCAAGAAAATGGGGGGGGGAGGGGGGGAAAGCGGGGTAACACATAGTCTGGGCGCCCCGCGCTCTTTTGCTCGACCTCCTTCCCTTTCAGTTCGTGCACCGACCTCCTTCCCTTTCAGTTCGTGCACCGCGAATCCCCCTTTTCCTTCTCGCGGGTGTGCAGTTCGTTCCCCCCCCCTCCTCCTTCTTCTCTGTATGTTGCCCAGTTCGATGAACCTCCTGCACAACCTTCTTCTCTCTCCGTTGTCCAGTTCGATCACGACCCGCATAAACAAAAGCCGTCCTTTTCTCGTCAGTTTGAACCCCTCCAAGAAAAAGAAACTTACTTTCTCTCTTTATTCATCTTCTCTGTTTTCAGTTACAGTTCGTTGTTCGTTTACTAAAGTTGTAAAACTCGAAAACCAGAACCACTAAGAAATTCCATTTGTCATGCTGAGAAATTCCATTTGTCATGCTGAGCAAATTTGTAATGCGATTACTACTAGTGCGATGCTTTTGCATTTCATAAAGAAAAAGCCGATCATATGCCATACGCTTTTCAAAACGGACAGATCTGTGATGCAGTAATGCTATTTTTATGCAAAAACATAAATGAGAGATTTGTATAGCAGAGCATGCGCGTTGGGCCAGATTTGTCATGCATCCTTGCAATCTGTATTAGATGAGCCGCACTTTTTTTTGGCTGATAGCGTGGTGGCAGCGGACATGGACGTGGAGGCACCCATGGACAGAGTAGTTTTGCTTCACGACCTGTTTGTTTGTGATGCGGGTGGCGATAGGCAAATCGTTTTTCTCATGCGAAGATAGAAACAAAACTAGACATATCACAAGAAAAAGTGTACACGTACACGGTTTGCAATTTTTCCCAAAAAAAATTTTTTGGCGCCCCCCTAGCGAGACGCAGTCCAGTGGCACCACTTGAAGCCTTCGCCCCGGCGTTGCAGAAACTTTCGCTCTACAATGGTCTGGCTTAACTATGGACGCAAGCTTTCAGGGTCGACGCCCAAGCCCGATGCATTTTGGTGGATGATATCCACGAGGCAGGCCTGCAATCCTGGCTCCAGATGGTTAATCCTTGGAAATATCCATATCTACCTGCATACTTGCAAAATGTAGCGAAAGGCAACCCGCTACCGGGCCTGCCATGTTCATCTTTCACGCCCGCGCCCGACGTTTTCGCGTCAGCGAGTTGCTGGGGAGTCGAGCGGAAGCCGGAGGTTCATTCTCTGGCACCGCTGGCGCAGTTAGTAGATAGCGAATACATCCTAGCGCTACCCCTTTGGCGAAGGGTCAGCCGAACGGATATACGGCTGCACCAGAGCCGCGCGAATCCAGGCGCGCTGATTGTTTGCAATTCTGGAACTGGGCCAAACGCAGCGGCTGTAGCGCGCGGGAACTGGCTGCAGCCTCTCAATAGTGGCGGTCGGCAACTCTTTTTAGCGACCGGCGTGGCGCGTCTTCTTGCAATTTTAGGATGCGGAAAAGCAGGCCGCCAGCATTCGCCAAAGCCGGGGGCCATTCGTGAAAAGCCTCCAGGTGGTCTCCCGGCCAGCGCGCATGCACCCAAAAAGCGCAGCAAATCCGAGGAAAGCACCTCCACCGAGCGCTAGCCCACCGCGCAACATGCCTAGTAGCTGTATTTCGCTGAGCATGTCCCGCTGCTCCAGAAACTCTTGGCCGTACTTCAGCCAGGTCGCAAAGCAACCGCCCACGGTTCCGGTGCGATCGGGAAATACTGTCAGGCATCTTGGGTTCGCATAAAGATGTCGCATGAAGACCAATACCCCAAACAAATACCCCTTGAAGGGGGTACTTGCTGGGGGTATTCGTCATCGTTGTGCACCGAGCTGAGTCCAAAAATCCCGGGGGGTATTGATGGGGGTATTCGTACGGGGTATTGCTTTGGGGTATCGCGTTGGGGTATTGCTTTGGGGTATGCGTTTTCGCATTGGGTGAGCTTGGCGAAGGTGAAACGCGAGCGGGAAATTTCCATCATTGCAAAATCCCAATTTGTGTTTCACCCAAACCCGAGCGGGGAATTTCCATCATTGCAAATTGTAGCTTGCCTCTCACCCAAACCCGAGCGGGGAATTTCCATCATTGCAAATTGTAGCTTGCCTCTCACCCAAACCCGAGCGGGGAATTTCCATCATTGCAAAATGGCGAGCGTCAATACTTTCAACTCCCCACACCGTCTGACTTCCAAACCCGAGGATTTGGCGGATGGCTGGTCGCCTCGCCAACTCCTACGCGCGCGGAGACACATCCAGACGAAGCCTGGGCGCACCCTCGCGCCCAGGCTTCGTTCGGGTGTAGAAGGTGCGCAACACAGGGGCGCCGCACGGCAGGCGGCTCCACACGAAAGTCAGAGCGCTGCTCCTGGCCTCGCCTGCAGCCCCACTCCCCTCTCCCTTTGGCTTCCCGGAAGGCCTCGGTCTTCGGCACTTTCCTTTGGCCAGTCCGGAAAACCGAGCTGGGAATTTCCATCATAGCAAAATGCAGAAAATGGCTTACAACGACACCTTCTGACGCCCTTTCCCGCACTTTCAGTGGAGCGGCAAAAGGAAGCACGAGAAGGAAGGCTGGCAGACCGCCGGTCAGCTGCCAAAAGCTGCTGCTGCGAGTCCTCTACATTTTGCAAATATGCGCACAAATATGGAAATTTTCAACGACTAAGATGGGGCCCCTTGCATCAGCGCAAAGCAGCTCCCCCTCCAATGCCCGACAGTGGCCTACCGCCATGAACACTCCACCCCCACCCACCAGGCTGTGTTTGGGGTCGGAAACATTGATGGGGGCTGCGGAATATTGTTTGGGCGGGAGCCAAACTGCTTCAGATTTCTCGGCAGGTTCGTCTGGCTGTGTTGTGTCCCGAGATCTGCGAAAGTTTCCAAATTTCGGATGTCCGGAAAAACGCAAATTTTTGCATACCTCCAAGGCTAAATTTTTCAGATTGGCCAAAAACCGTGTACATGGAACCTAGCCACCACGCTATGGTCCATGTACACGGTTTCAAAAGTGGCAAACTTGCAACAAAATTTATAGCGAGCCCAAAAAAACCGTGTACATCGCATCCAGACCCCACGGTATGGTTGATGTACACGGTTCAGAATGCTTGTCCCCGGGCCTGACCACTTTGCGGACCGTGTACATCCATCATACCATGCAGGCTAGATGCGATGTACACGGTTTTTTGGTGTTGCGCGATTTTCGCACTCAAAATTCAGAAAAATTTGCCTCTTTTCCTGGGGATTTTCTTGAGCCCAAGAAAAACCGTGTACGTCATCTCTAGACTGCATGGCATGGACGATTTACCTCTCCAAAAGGAGGTCCCGGCCTGGTTTTGATGGTGGCGGCGCGTTGCTGGGCGCCTTTTGTCGTCGGTGCCAGGAGAACCTGGCCCGCTGGGTGTAGGAGCTGCCGCCGGCCCGCCTCTAGATACCAGAGCGAGAGCTGGTGGCCATCTCGACCCTGTTGTCGCAATGATGAGATGAGGCCAAGAACGGCGGCAAGCTAAGCGAGTCTATTTTTCCCGGCTATCCTGGTCCTTGCTTACGGCCCTTTGGGAGTGTGAGCTAGATGCTCCAGGTCTGGCAGATTCCCAGCCTCGCTAGCTTCGTAGCGAGTGCTTTCAATGATACAAGCGATCTTCTTGTGGGAGGCAACAAAAATTGTTTTTCTCATGCGAAGATAGAAACAAAACTAGTAGAGCTAATTTGTGATGCAAAAAAAATCGCTTCAGCTTCATCCCTCGGACAAGGGACCGGACATTTTGGGAAAAAACCACGTATCCTGTGCAAAAGTATCGTACTCGTAGTAATTGCAGTGATGCATTACAAATTTTGTTCCTAAGCCTAAGGTAAATCCGCATGACAAATTTTATCTCTCATGCTGAGGAAATTTGTAATGCATTTATACGAGTACGATACTTTTGCAATTCATACCACGAGCCCTACTCTGACTTTCCCCTAGAGCAAGAGTCCGCAATTTGTCGAAACGCGATGGAAACCGAACTCGCCAACCGGGTCGTTGTCGCGCCGAAGGATGTATCAACTGTAAAAGTGTCTGGGTCTGGAAGAGCGCAAGTTTGTCATGCACGTTTTGCATGAGCCATGATGTCTGTGATGTTTGTCCTAGCATCACAGATTTTCTGACGGCTTCGTGATGCCTATCGATCCCGCATGACAAATGCCCTCTCCGCGTAGCCAAATTTGACTCCTCTTGCTGCTCATGCAATACAGATTTTTTTAGAATCCAAACGCAGCATCACAAGTTCCATCCTTCCAGACCCAGACATTTTTGCATTTCATAGGATGACTTTCCGGGGAGTGGCATGGAAAACAGCAACTTCTACCCCTTGCAGTCTCCCTACGACACAGTGAAGTTGCCGTATGGAAGTTTCAGGATCGAAATTGACAAAATCGAAATAGTTTGTGATGCATGCAATCGATTATACCAGTTGGAGCCTCAGCGTTCTTCAATTTGCGCATGACAAATTTGAGGAGCACCAAAATCCACTCTGTCATGCTGTTTGGGCAGAGTAGGCTGCTCCTGTGATGCTACCCGGACAGCACTTGGCCTTCTTCTATCGAAACAGGGTCCCAATCGGTCTCATTTGCCTGCTCCCCAATACAGGCCTTCAGTCCCCTACATTTTATGCGTTGCAAATCAATTCGATTTTGTCCATTTCGATCCTGACGCCTCCATATGCCGGTAGTCGCGTCTATGGACCGCATCAACCAGGGCTATATCCACAGAAAAAATATAAAGACCCATCGCTTCCAGTTTGTCATGCAAAAGACGAATCAAGTCCAGTGCTTTGTCATGCGAAAAATGGATGGGGAGTGATGGGTGTAGTTCATCTTCCTGGATAGGCCACGCGAGGTTTCTAAACCAGTTGCGCGCACGAGAAAAGGTGCGTCAGCATATCAAAAGGAAAAATCCCCCCTCCCTATAGGGAAATAAACGAAATTTGTGAAGATGCTGTATCTGAGTAAGTACACAAGTCCTCGACTTGTATTGCTAGAACGCCAAGGGCCGCTGCAGTTGTGACCTCTACTTTTGCAGGCAATTTGTGACGCTGTTTCCCACTTCCAGCTGCCTTCTGTAGTCATGCTGAAGATGCAAGGCCTTCCCACTACACAGCCCAGCGCTACAGTCCGCATCTTTATCTTTTGCCTTCTAGCATGACAAAGCTGGTTTGTGGCCACAAATCTGCATCACAAATTTTCGGTATCATGATATGGGGAAGGGGGGTTTTCTTCTTGATACAGCAGGGGGTCGACCGGGTGACCGGGTTCAAATCTGCGGACATATGGATTGCAAAAATGTCTGGGTCTGGAAGAATGGAAGGTCTGTCATGCCCTGCTAGCATGACCCACAGGTCTGTCATGCTGGTTACCCAATAAAAGCCCCGCCCGACTTTTCTGACTGTCATGCCGAAACAGGGCCTGTCATGCAGATCTATACGCAACTACACCTAGCAACAAGTCAGAAACTTGTCATATTGATCCGCCACTTGTGGCGTCCTCAGGATTTTTCGCCAACCAGCATCACAAGTTTCCAGACCCAGACGCTTTTGAATTTGATAGGACAATAATAACGACCAAATGATCACGTACTCCGAGTTTGAAGCGATTTTGAAAAACCAGTTCGGCAAAGCGACGGACGAGACGCAGGTATCCCGTGTAAAAGCGTCGCCACCCCATAGTTGTCATGCAATTCTGCATGCCAAAAAAGTTTCTCATGCACAGAGCGGGTGTGGCGCTGGGAGCGGGTGTCCACTACACGATGATGATGATGCACAGCCCTATGAGAAGCATTCTCTATTCGTGTTTTGGACTTTGCGATACTAGAATCAGCATGCTATGATGTTTCTGAACTAGCTGAACAGGATTACACTACGACGAGGGCAAACTTGTCATGCCAAACAATCAACCAAAGCTGGTTGATTTGTGTAGCAGATTTCCCATCTTGGCTCTGGTGTGGGGACGTGTTTAATCAGGAGAGCAGGAGCTGTGGAACGAGCACAAGGTGGTCGATATGAGATTACGCAACTACTCCCCCTCCCTGTCCCGCTCATTTGTACTTACTACTGCATGAACAGCACTAGAAGCGCCTGCAAGAGACAGAGAGCAGCTTTTACATTCGCAAATTTCCGCATGATTTTGTAGTGGTGTTTGGGCTCCCAGAATCTGAATCTGTCATGCTAAACATTCCCAAAGCGTGGTTTTTGCTTTTTGCATGACGAATGAGGGGGAGGGGGAGAAGTTGTGCACGTTCATAGTCGGTGGCTCCACGATGACGCCGACGAGTTTCATGAAACTGTACTCCACGGGATTCTATCCTGTGCAGAAGTATCGTGCTCGTACGAATAATGATGCATGACAAAAAATCTTGTCCTTGAGGTAAAACAGCATGACAGATTTCAGTTCTCATGCTGAGCGCATTTGTATTGCGGTTTTTACGTTGTGCGATGCTTTTACAATGCATAGATCTGACACCAATCTACACTCCCGCAACCGCGCGGACTTCCGGTTATGGCGTTCTCAAACGTTACATTCTCAACTGTTACATGAATTTGTAATGCAAGACTAGCACAGGTGAGAGGGAGACCCTTGCGCGTCTTGCATTACAGCTTTGGCGCGGATTACAGTGCTATTTAGCCCTCCGGGAATTTGTCATGCGAAGCACCTTGATCGTCTGGCGGGTCATGTTCATTTTGCATGACAAATCATGTAACAGTTGAGAATGTAACGTTTGAGAGCCCCATACCGGTCGTCTTTGACTTTGAATTGCCCGGTACGGGTGGGCCAGTGGGGCAACCTGGTATCCTGTGCAAAAGCATCGTACTCGTAGTAATTGCAATCATGCATTACAAATCTTTTTCTCAAGGTAAATCTGCATCACAAATTTTCTTTCTCATGCTGAGAAAATTTGTAAATGCATTTATGCGAGTACGATACTTTTGCAGTGCATACCTGGCGCTGTATCGCAAGAAAAAAGTGTATACAGTTACACACATAGTCTATGCAAGACCGGGATCACAGACAGCTTTTCTCATGCAGGAATTGCTTGGGAGCCTCGTTTCCTTCCTGTTTTATTTCCCTATATGATCTTCGCACTTTTCAAGTTTTCTCGGCCACACAGAGAAAATTTGTGATGCAGAAACTCCAAGAACAAATGTGTAACTGTAACACTTTTTTCTTGCGATACACTGTGTCCGGTGGGCAAGCCGGTCACCGAGGTGCGCATCAAGCGCAAGGCGTCGGTCGAAAATTCCGACAACCAGGGCCTTATCCGGTGCAAAAGTGTCGTACTCGTAGTAAAAATCGCTGTCATGCATTACAAATTTCTACCCCAAGGCAAAATAAACAGCATGACAAATTCTATTTGCCATTGGCCGAATTTGTAATGCGATTTCTACTAGTACGATGCTTTTGCAATGCATAGGCCTCACGGGCATCGAACTCAAGTGCGCAGATATGACAAGGAAAAATCCCTCCTCCCCAGATTCAAAAAACAATTTGTGTTGCTGAATTTGCGTTGTACACAAATGAACTTTGCATTGTGGCAAGAGCTTGTTGTTGGGATATTCGAAGCCCATTTCATCTTGCTGGCTACGCATCACCGCCTAGCAGCTCCGCATGAGAAACAAGTCTGACGTAGGCGAAAACGCATGACAGACTCGCTTGTTACGATGCTCCACATCATGGGTGCCGTTATGTGCCTTGTGCGCAAGACAAACCTGATTTGTGGCCACAAGTTAGCATCACAATTTTCGATTTCCTGTGGAGATTTTTCCTCACAATAGCAGACGGGTCCACGCTGCTCACCAGCAGCGCCACAACCGCGGAAAACGACGAGACTGGAGTTTGGTCCGATTGGAACATATGCATTGCAAAAATGTCTGGGTCTGGAAGAGAGCAAATTTGTCATGCATATTTTGAATGACCCATGATGTCTGTGATGCATGCTCTAGCATCACAGATTTTCCGAGAGCTTTGTGATGCCTCTACCGCATGAGAAATGTCCTCTCCGCGTAGCACATCAAACTGGAGTCCTCTTGCTGGTCATGCAATACACTTGTTTTTGGAATTGAGACACAGCATCACAAGTTTAGAATCTTCCAGACCCAGACACTTTTGCATTTGATAGAACAAGTGCTCCAACGAAAATCTGAAGATCAGCGGGTTCCGGGCTCGCAACCAGGTGTTTCAGCCGCAGTTGACCGATAATTCTGCGGTAAATGATATGGAAATGTCAGGATTGAAATTGACAAAGTTGAAATGATTTGTCATGCAAAAAAGCGATACCAGCTGGAGCCCAGTTTGCAAGTGGCGCACGACAAATTTTGGCGGTCCTCAAATCCAGTTTGTCATGCTGTTTAGGCAAAGAAGACTGATTTTCCCATGCTACTTTAACAGCTCGAGCTCTAACGACCCCAAACAGGCTTACAATCGGCCTCGCTTGCCTGCTCTGCAACACACGTGCCTCGCGTCATGCATTTGATGCATCACAAACTATTTCAAGTGTCACGATTTCGATCCTGACACATCCATAAATGACGTTAGCCTACTCTGTCGCGCCCACAGCGTGCACCACGCGTATGCATTGCAAGTGTGTCTGGATCTGGATTTGTGATGCGAACTTTAAAGGACAACAAGATCTGCAATGCATGAATGCGATGGGCCAGTTAATGGCATTTTGGAATGCTAAATACGAATGCATGCGCAACAAGAACAAGCCGCGGGAAATTTCTCATGCTGTTATTCCCTACAAGCAGCCAGTCTGCCATGCAAGTATCAGCAACACAAGTTAATATTTCCAGACGACCCAGACGCATTTGCATTTGAGAACGCGACCCCACAAGCAAACGTCGTCACCCTGCCCGATGAAGAGCTGCGATTTGGCGAAACCTCCGCCGCCACGCCAGCGCCACCGCCGGATTCAACGGCCCCGGTCCAGAGTTTCAAAGTTGCGGGCTTCGGAGCCGGCGAAGAGCCACAGGTGAACGAGGGGGGCTGGAGCAACAAAAAGTACTGTCGCACCGATACGAACTTGAACTACTGCCAAAGCATCGTACTAGTCTAAATCGCATGAGACAAGAACTTTCCTCAGCATGAGAAACGGAATTTCTAAATGCGGATTCACCTCAAGAAGGAGATTTCGATTTGTAATTCATGGCCACGAAGATAAGTTTTAGTATGAGTTCGAGTGCGATACTTTTGCAATGCATAACCGAGCACGCCCAGCTCAAGACGGCGTCGAGCTCGGAAGTTATCCTGAGTAAAAACGTACCCACACCAGAGTCAGGATGGGGATTTTGCAACACAAACCTAGGAGTTTTGTGAGTCACGCATGACAAGTTGCACTCTGCAGTGTAGTGCAGGTTAGCAAGTGCAGCCGCATCACAGATTCATCTGCTCATCCTGTTCACAGCATCACAAATTCCAAAACACGACTGGAAATGGCTCTTATGGGGATGCGCATTACAAGTCTTCCTGTCTTTGCAAGTCTGCATTACAACTCTGGCGTGGGTACGTTTTTACTCAGGATAGAAGTGATTTGCGGCTTCCAAACGCGGTCCGGAACGTATCGTAAGGAAAGATCCCCCCTCCCCATATTGAAATGGTACGTTCTCCAAAATTTGCGTTGCTGATTTGAGGTCACAAATCACATCTGTCTTGCAAGAAGAGAAGGGCAGAAACTTCCGCCCCATTATGAAGCCGGTTTGTCATGCTGTTGGGCCTACAGGGCAGCCGTTTGCCATGCTGACCAACTAGACCCATACGCCCCGACCTACCCTGGGCCTCAGGCGGCACTGCCTCCCTGCAATACAAAGCTGATTTGTGTACACAAATCCAGCATCAGAAATTCTGTTTTGATATAGGGAGAGGGGATTTCTCCTCACAATAGAACGCTCGGCGGTGCCGGTGGAGAGGACGAGAACAATGGTGGCCCGGAAGATATATCCTGTGCAAAAGTATCTGATACTCGTATTCTTGCAGTCATGCATTACAAAGTTTTTTCTTAAGGTAAATCCGCATTACAAATTTTCTCTCTCATGCAGAGGAAATTTGTAATGCATTTATACGAAAAATGCGATAGTTTTGCAGTTCATAAGACAAGCTGGGAATCACCGACATCCGTTTTTTCTGCTGCGAAGATTACACCAGCACCACGACGGGATTTTTTCTGATGGAGAAACCCTAGGAACGGGAAAAACCAGAAAGGAGGAGCAGGCGCAAAATAAATGAAACCTGCTCGTCTATTTTTGAGAAAAAATCGAAATGCAAATAAAGCATTTGTGATTTGAGTGCTGTGCTGCGAAAGAAAAGAAGACGAACTGCAACACTTCTCAGTAAAAATAAAAACCAAGATGATGATCAAAAAAAATATAAACAGTAGAAAATGAGTATGTATATGCAAATCCGGCCGGAATCTTGATTTTTTTCCAAATCAACAACGCACTATGTACTATGCTTCCATTTTTTAGCGAAACCAATACCAAAAGATGAACAAAACTCCAGGGGCTGCTCGCAGAGATAGCAGCTGAAGTGCTGCAAGGGGTCCGCCTCTGTGCTTGTGACTCTTGTTCAGTGCGACGTTCTCGACGGCCCCACTGAATAATTGATACAGGCACGAAAGATGATGTTGTCCACTCCTCCTCTTCAGAGTTGTCATTCCATATTGAAGGTTCGGTGGTGTCATTCTCATTCCATACTGAAGGTTCAGGTGATGTTGCACTTAGTTTAGTTAGTTGTAGTCTGTGGCACGAAAGAACGTATTGCACTGAATAAAAGTTCTCCTTTTCTTGAACTCGGCGTCGGTTTTTTTTCAATTCTACGAGTACCTTGAACATGGATGCTTTCGGTTGTTGATTGGAAAAAGGAGAACTAGCGCTGCGCACTGGTTGTGTGGTCATCGAAAACTTTTCACTTTATGTAGGATGAGACGGCAGTACTAAAAGCCTTGAGTAGAAGTGGATGAGTTTCTGCTTTTTCGGTATAATCGGTTGGAGTGCGCGGCGTCATAAGAGCTGTAGAGTATGGCATACTACTGGTACTGACGCCGAAACAACATCGGAAACTTGATTGTGAATAGCGAAAAGATGACGCTGATCATTTTATTTGGCACGGGAAGAAGATTGATGAAAGAAAGCCTACAAGTGGCACATCTAGTTCCCACCTAGTAGCCATGCACAGGAGAACGCGTCGTGTCAAGATGAACACCAGTGGTCTAAAAATCTCGGTTTCAGCGCCCTACACATGGCGAAAAGGTTCTTGAAGATGGGCGTTGTGTCCAACATCATGATCGGTTGAAAGATCATCATCTCAAGCTCGTGATCGGCTTCTATCGCAAACAAGCTCGGCCCTTCTCTTTGCTCATCAAGAAGAAAACAAGAAACGCGATTTTTATTTCTCACAAAGTTTTTCACGTCGTGGACTGATTCTTGATTACACCCTTTCTACTATCAGGCGAATCATGAAGCGTCGAGCGCTATAGGAGCTTTCAGTACATCACAGTACGACCACCACGACGGCTTGCGTCCTTTATTCTGCTTTCTGATCACTAATGACTTAAGTTACATTTTTTACATTTTGCAACACATGTACATTTACCTTTACGTCACAAGGTAATAATATGCAAATGTGGAGTCCTCGGAGTGGCGGGTGTTAGCGTGTGGTCCAGCACGACCTCCCTGCTCCTGCGCTCGTCCTCTACTTCCAAGATGACGTCCTCAAAACCTCCACTTCCTTGATGTAGCACCAGCAGTAGAGAATCCACTATATCAAAATGCAGAAACGAAACCTAGAACGACAGCAGCACCACACCGCTGCCAGTACTGCTCCCGAGCGGAAGGAGAAGGGGCCGGCCATGGGAACAGGCAGGAATCTGGGCAGTCAAGGAGACAGGATCGATGTAGTCCAGCACCTTGGCGACGGTTATATCAATAATTCGGGGATGACAACAACATCATTTGGTGGCCCGCCAGACCTTTACAATCCCGGACAATTTACTTTCCCGCCTTTACAGGACTCATCTTCGTCTGTACTGCAGCATAATCCGGGGGATCATAATGTCACTGTCAGCATGTCCTCCACTGTTTCTCCCGAAGCCTCGTTTACGAACCAGGTCTATCAACTGTAAAAATATCTGGGTCTGGAAGGTCACAACTTGTGATGCTGTCTGTGGATTCTATAAGAAATTTGTATTTCATGACCACCAGCACAAGGGGTCGGGTTTGTCCTACGCGGAGAGGGCATTTCTCATGCCGTAGAGGTATCACAAAGCCCTCTAAAAACCTGTGATGCTACGGCATGTATTACAGACATCGCGGCTCATGGAAAATATGCATGACAAGTTTAGAAATCTTCCAGACCCAGACATTTTTGCATTTGATAAGGTCTTGCACCGCGTTCTCACAGCTGCGTTCGCGAACGTGGATGGTGCAGGTCCCGGGCTTATCCTGTGCAAAAGTATCATACTCGTATTGCAATCATGCATTACAAATTTTTATCTTAAGGCATATCCGCATTACAAATTTTATGTCTCATGCTGAGGAAATTTGTAATGCATTTATACGAGTGCGATACTTTTGCAGTTCATAGGGCTCACGGCCAGCTACACGGGACAAGAAGGAGAAGTAGATAATGCTGGTGCTTTTGGACCAACTGGACCGCACGACCTTCCTCAGGACCGAACATCAGCACGACCCGGGAGAACGGCCGCGAAAGTAGAACCGAGCACTGGTGCGGTAGTAGCGTCCTCAGATGAGGACGAGGGGGAAGATCAAGATGACCAAGACGAGGAGCATAGTAGACTGTTGAAGAAGAACATTTTTTCCACCACGCCGGGAGGTGACGAAGATGAAGTAGATCACGACAGAATTATCCACGAGGAGCACGATGAGGAAATGAACGACAACGCTTTCTCACATTTGCACGAGAAAGACCACGTATCGCATGAAAAAGCTGTTAGTTTCACTGTGATGATTTTGCAAGATCTGCATCACAAGTTTGCGTACACATAGCACCGAAAATTTGCCATGCACTCTTCCCAAGCGATGTTGAAAACACGCTTTTATAAAAATCCAATGTCATCGTGTTGCCGGTGTAGCAAGACAAGTAGGCCTGTGCTCCATTCTATGCATCACAAGTTGACAGTGAAGCAGTTTTTTCTCGCGATACCACGTGAACGAAGTGGAATATCAGTCGAACGCCTATGACCTGCTCAAACGTTACAATCTCAAATCGGTTCTTACCATAGTATCTGGGATTTGTCTTGCAGGATGAGCATGACAAACTCGCAGAGCGCTCCACTTTCTGCAATACAAATTTCGCCAGATTATAGTGCGGTTTGGAGCTCGGAAACTTTTCATGCGCAATCCTGTAGGAAGAGGCTAGACCATGCGCTCTTGCATCACAGATTTCCATATTCTGTGGTAACCGATTTGAGACTGTAACACCTGAGTGGGTTATAACGCCTGTTTGAACCTCTGGCTGTGGCTCGGGCCCATTCTCGGGTGCGGCTTCTGCAGCGGGTTAGTCATCTGGCTCGTGATATGCTGAGCAAACACGTCCCCAACCCATAATCAACAAGTTGGTAAACCTGCAACACAAATCTACTCCAAGTTTTGGGAGTTGTGCATGACAAGTTTTCATCTGCAGTGTTGTGCTGGCTGGCAAGGGAAGCCGCATGAGAAAACCATTTCCTCATGCTGTTTACAGCATTTTTACAAATGCGAAAACACGAATAGAAATGCCTCTCATGGGGATGCGCATTATTTCAGATGCTCCTGTCATTGCGCATTTGCATGACAACTCTGCGAAGATGGGGACGCTTTTACAAACGATACGTGATTTTCCGGACGTTTCGGTGGCATCCGTTTTTCAACTACGAAAACGCGACGTTTAAGGACGAGGAGAAAAATTACCGCGGTTGTTATGCAAAGAAAAGAGTTGTGTTACACTTGCAGTTACACACAACTGTGTTGCAAAACGTGCAAGACAAGCAACCTCTGTCATCATGCGCAAAATGCTTGCGCGCCTCGCTTCATGTGTCGTGTTATGTCTTATCCTCTCTGCTGCATTGCAAGTTTAATATTTCTCTGCCATGCAAGGCAAGTTTGTGATGCGGAATTCACTACAAAAAGAAATGTGTAAGAACTGTAAGAACACTACTTTCCTTGGATAGTTGCTGCACAGCAAACACGGGGTGTGGCGACACGATAGCGCTGCTCAGCATCTCCTGGGCCACCGTGATGGCGCTGTTTTTTTCCGTTTGCTGCTTCCTCGCCCGGTGCGGAACCAAGTCGCTCGCCTTCTGGATCTGCATTGCGTCGACGGTAGCGTTGTGGGGAATCCTTGCCCTGTCCATCTTTCTGCACGGGGACAACTGCGGAGGGACTCCGACTATCCTGTGCAAAAGTATCGTACTCGTATAAATGCATTACAAATTTCCTCAGCATGAGAAATAAAATTTGTAATGCAGTTTTACCTTGAGAGCAAGATTTGTAATGCATGTTTGCGATTACTACGAGTGCGATACTTTTGCACAGGATACCGACGGGACAAGGCAGTGGAACTATCAAATGCAAAAATGTCTGGGTCTGGAAGAATGCAACTTGTCATACTAAATCTGAATCATGTAGAATAAATCTGTGTTGCATGATTACCAAAAGCTGTGGTCCACTTTTGACCTAATCGAGAGGCAGTTTGTCATGCAGGGTAGGCATGATAGAACTCATCGCACAGAATCTGTCATGCTATGTCCTACATACCAGACCTCATGGGTCATGGAAAACCTGCATGACAAGTCTGGCATTCTTCCAGACCCTGACATTTTTGCAGTTGATAGGAACTGGCGGCGTGCAGTGGAGCTGGCGTGGATATGATGTGCAAAAGTATCGTACTCGTAGTAATTGCATTTATGCATTACAAATCTCTTTCTCAAGCTAAATCAGCATGACAAATTCAATTTGTAATGCTGGGGGAAATTGTAATGCAATTTATACTACTACGTTACTACTCTTGCAGTTCATAGTGGAGAGATCATGGCGATGGGCGCCTGCGAGCTGTTTGTAGTGACGGTGGTCGTGATTTTGTTGGCACTGTTGATGCTCGTCCTCATTCCGCAGGCAAGGGGGATGGGGGGCCGAGATCGCGGTCAGAGCTCTGACACTGAGGTATCAAAATGAAAAATCCCCCCTCCCCATATCAAAACCGAAATTTGTGATGCTGATTGGAGGCCACAAATCAGCTTTGTATTGCAGAGCGGCATGGCGGCCAGATCCCCAGGCTAGGTAGGGGCGTATGGGTCTAGTTGTTCAGCATGGCAAACGGTTCCCCTTTATGCCCAACAACATGACAAACAGCTTCCATAATGTGGCGGAAGTTTCTGTCCTTGTCTTCTTGCAAGACAGATGTGATTTGTGACCTCAAATCCGCAACACAAATTTTTGGAAGCATATCTTTGCAATATGGGGAGGGGGGATTTTTCCTCTCAATATGAGGAAGAGGCATTTTTGACGACGACCTCGGAGGATGACACCGAAAGTTTAGATATCATAAGAAAAAGTGTTGACGTTACGGTTTTCAGTTTTTTGGAAAAAAATTTTTTTGTGGGTACTGAGCACCATCATTTCAATTTTTTTTTTTCTCGCCGCCGCGCAGCCTCCCTCTTTGCCCCTGCGGGGCTCTAAAGTGGTAAAACTCTGAGAGAGGAAGCTAGTGCACAAGGTGCGAAAACTATGAGGCCCCGCCACAACATTGCGCCCCTTCAAGCCCTGAAATGGCTACCCAATCCCTGTCCGGGCTCAAGAGCCATGATGGCTGTAAGCCGGTGGGCCAGGGCCCCGGCACTGCTGACAAGACCCGCCCACCAACGCGTCGCAACGATCGACACCGGAGATGGACCTGTTTTGGTGAGGGAAAATGGACCACAGCATGCTGTCTTTATATGATGTTGACGGTTTTTTGGGGAATTGGAAAAATCCGAGGAAAAAATCAATGATTTGACGCCATTTCGAGGCCAAAAAATGCAGATTCCACAAAAACCGTCAACACCTCATCTAGACAGCACGCTATGGTCCATTTCCCTTCACTCAAACCGGTGCGGGCACGGGAGCGCACCTTCTGAGCAGGCAAATCGAGCATAGCGTGCTGGCTAGATGAGGTGTTGACGGTTTTTTGGTCGATTTCATGCAAAAAAGCTGGCTTCTGGAAGACCCGATCGACCATACCGTCGTGTCTAGATGAGGTGTTGACGGTTTTTGGGGTGCCGGCAAATTTTGTGCATTTTGGTACCCAAAATTTGCCCATTTCCCTCATCCTCGAAAGTGCCCCCTTTTCTTCAATCATGGAGAAAATTTGACAAAAGGCGCCAAAAGGTCCGAGATGGAAACTTGCAAAACCGCACAGAGCTGAACTGGCGGAAACGCCATCTAGATGCCAGCTCATAGGCCCACATGTCCGAGGTTTAGCCACGGTTCGAGGTTTGAGCGTTCTGGCCCGGATCTAAGAGCCGGAGGCGGGGAGAAGGCACGGCAGGGGGCGGCCCCGGTAGGCGAAGTCCTACGCCGTCATATTTTGTGCACTAGCTAGGTCAAACCAAGCGAGCTTCGTCGCAGTCCCGCGAGAACTAATAGCGGGAATGGGTCGACTTACAAACCAAAAACATACCTCCAGCATACACCCAAAATTTTTTTTTTTCCAAAAAACTTAAAACCGTAACGTCAACACTTTTTGACGACGACCTCGGAGGAGGACACAGAAAGTCTAGACGACGAAGAAAAACAGAAGAAACAAGCAAAGAAGAAAAAGGCTTTCTCAAGAACTTCTCCAGACCATCATCTTCAACATCAATCACCTCCTCCCCGTGAAGATGCGCACCATGCTCATCAAAATACTAATTCCGTCACGTTTCATGTGCAGCCGCAGGAAGTCTTGGGAAACTTTTGTTGCTATCCAATGTTGCAAAGATGTCTGGGTCTGGAAGAATGCAGGGTTTGTCATGCACAGCTAGCATGGCTCTCAAGTCTGTCACGCGCGCCACACAAAAGCCACGTTTCTCTGTCATGCAGAAACGCAGTTTGTCATGCGGATAAGTAGGCAACACTGTAGCAACTGCAAAGCTAAAACTTGTCATGCTTGGCTGTCAATGAAGGCGTCCACATGATTCGCCAAACAGCATCACAAGTTTCCAGACCCAGACGCTTTTGCATTGCATAGCTGCTTCCTCTGCATGTGTCCGGTCCGAGTGATTCAGATGTTGGCGCACGTATTTAGCTGCGGAAGGTGTTGTGCGTGCTGGAGGAAAAATTCAAATTCTTCTTCGAAACAGAGGCGGGACTTATTTCATGATGACCATCACCATGACGAACAACAATTCTTCATTGTTGGCACGGAAACCAAAGCCCAACAGCGACAACTGGTGAAAGCTGCGTTGAAGGCGAAAAACGTCTCTCCGACAGAAGAGCAAGCCCTGTACAACAAACAGCGTCGGAACCTGGGATTTCTGTTCCCGGATCGAATCGACCGAAAGCCGTTTTGTATGTTGTCGAAGGAAGACGTCGTGAAGAAGGGAAATCAGCCACTACAAGGGAAAAAGATGAACAAAGAATCTTCCCTGGTCCTCGAGGGCGACGCCTCAGGTCGTGGACTACCAGAACCACAGCCAGCCGTTGACTTTTCGAAGGCGAAGCTCGTGACTTCCTGGTCACAGAAAATGCCCTCGGAAACGAAAATCCCGATTTGGCAGCTGATGACGATGAACACGACAGACAATAGTTACAAGGCGACTTACCATGTGACACCGCACCACGATATTAAAAGTGATAAGAAACCCACCACATCATCCAACACTGTCGCGAAGATGGTCAAAGAAAAAAACACCAACAATCTCGTTGTCTGGCACGCGGCGGTCGGGACCCGGGGGGAGAACCAGCCCTACGCTTTGCTCTCGTACGAATACGCAGCGAAGTATCCGAATGACAGTGTGGTTTTCGTGATCAAGCCGGAATACGCATCTTGGATAACGTATCCATTGCAAAAGTATCGTACTCGTATTCTTGCAATCATGCAGTACAAATCTTTTTTTCAAGGTCAATCCGCATTATCATGCTGAGGAAATTTGTAATCGTAATGCATACGAGTGCGATACTTTTGCAATGCATATCACAAGGTATGGGAATGTGTACCGAAAATGCGTTCTAGACGGCGTCTTAGAAAGACCGGACCTGTACGAGGTCAAGTACCACTTGGAAAAGGTGCCGGTGATGAAGTACCGCAATTCGGTATTCAACAAAAAAGCATTAGCGTTAGCGTTTTGGCATTTGCTGGCGAAAGCCAAATTTTTTTTCATTCTAGCTAGTGACGTAGCTGTGTTCCGTTCAGACAGAACCGCGCTAACTGGAAGCAGTGGAAGCAGTCTCTTCGGCCGAGAAGCGGATCGGAGATGATACCGCCAAAGATGTGGGCGACGGCTAGGCCGTGCACATGTCTGGGGCTTCAGGGACTTCCGGCTACGCGACCTCCTGGCCATGCGGGGGGCTGGCAAGCCGTCGCTCTTGGAGTGCCTGAAGACCCGTTTTTGGCTTGCGGCCTTTGAGCCCGAGCAAGATGATCAAGCTTCCCAAAGTCTGGCATTAGCGTTTCTGTCCTCGGAGGTCATTTTGACCCCCTGAGCAGAGGCGAAATTGCATGGTCGCAAAAGAAAACGCTAATAAACTCATGATAGCGTCGGGGGAGCGTCTCTCTTCTCAGGTTCACAAAAAACGCTAATAAACTCATGGTAGCGTCGGGGAGCCTCTCACGAAAGAAAAGACGCACTTTTGTAAGTTCACAACTTCCCCACGCTATCATGAGTTTATTAGCGTTTTTTGAGCCTTGGCATAAGTTTACATTTTCCGCACGCTATCAAGAGTTTATTAGCGTTTTTTTTTGCGACCGTGCAAAAGTGCAGGACTTCGGCAAGAAGTCTTTGGGTATTTTGCTGGTCCCCCCGAAGGCGCTAATGGACGCCGGGTCGGAGCTCCAACCTGCGCTACAATCTGCCGAATTCCCCGTCACATAAGGCAAAAGGCGGGCGAGCTTGGTCGCGATTCTTTCGTGTGCCGAGAAGGGCGCGTCAGTCCGGCGTTGCGGAGCATGGAGCCCAAGGGCCTGGCTGTCCCATACGGGGCAGGCGAGGGCTGCTCCGTCAAGCTGCTGTGGCGGGTGGGGCGCTTGTTTGAATGATATTGGATAGCAATCTTTCGTCTGAACGGAAAATAGCCGACTCGACATGCAAAATCAAAAAAAAAGTCGTTTGTTCGAACAAATCTCAAAACGCTAACGCTAATACTTTTTTGTTGGATATTCGGGATCAACATTGCCTGGAGACGGTCCAAATGATGAAAACTCATCATGTGCCAGGGCTTGTTGCACCTCGTCGTGCGCCGGAGCGCGAAGAAGTACCAACACCACCGGAACGACCGCGCGCCGGCGGCCCGGACAAGGACCTTCACGCCAGCGAAATAAGCATTGGCAGGACAAAGAAGGGCTGAAAGAGAAGAAAGAAATTTTAGACAAGATGGACGACAGAAAGAAGGCCATTGCAAAGGCAATGATTCTAGAGGGCTACGCAAGCTCGGATGAAGAGGACGTGTTTGGAGAGTTGCTTCAGGAAGAGGATGATCTTCATCATGCTGACAGCACGAAAAATCAAGATTTTGCCATCACGAAAGAACTGGATGGAAGTGCACCAGCCGCCGGAGCTGGTGCTGCGCAGCCTCTCATGATCTCGAAAGCGGTCAACTTGAATCACATATCAAATGCAAACATGTCTGGGTCTCGAAACCTGTCATGCTGAATTGGCGAGACTGAAATACTTTCCAGTGGAGCCAAGCATGACAAGTTTGCAGAGCGCTTCCTCATGCGCACTCCGCATGAGAAACAGGGGTTTTATATGACAAAAAGGGGCACGATCCTTTTGCTAGTCATGCAATACAGACTTTACAGGCGTGTAGGACTAGCATTACAAGTTCCATATTTATTCCAGAGCCAGACACATTTGCAATGCATATCATGCTATCGACGGCCATTGTGCCTTGAATGCGTGGCCGGGGAAGATGCCGAGCGAAATTTTTGAAACAGAGGAAATTGTTGTGGAAGCAGGACGAGATGAAAGAAGTACAGCTCCTGGTGGCAGTTCGAATAGTACTAAAACAGCGACGGGGGATGATCATCATGTTGTCAACAGCGGCCGGCGTGATGGAAGTAACATATTAGGAGCTACAGCTCCTGTCGTACTACCTGCTCAACCCGGTGACTCGAGCTCTACAAAAAGATCAACCGTCCGGAACAAAATGAAGCTGAGCTACACTTACCACTTGGAAAAGGTGCCGGTGATGAAGTACCGCAATTCGGGATCAACATCGCGTTGGGGGGACGATCCATATCCTGTGCAAAAGCATCGTGCTCGTGGTAATCGCAATTATGCAATAGAAATCTTTTTGCTAAGGTCAATCAGCAACACAAATTCCATTTCTCATCATTCTGAGGAAATTTGTAATGCGATTTCTACTAGTACGATACTTTTGCAATGCACAATCCAAGTGAAAACTCATCATGTACTAGAGCTTGTTGCACCTCGTCGTGCGCTATCAAATGCAAAAATGTCTGGGTCTGGAAGAATGCATGTTTGTCATGCTTGTCTGGCATGACTCTTAAATCTGTCATGCACATTGCCCAAGAGACGTTTTTTTCTGTCATGCGGAGACGCAGTTTGTCATGCAGATGAATAGGCAACATCTACAAGCTCAGAAATTTGTCATGCTGAGCCAGCACTTGTGGCCTCCTCATGCTACGCCACTCAGCGTCACAAGTTTCCAGACCCAGACACTTTTGCATTTGATATGCGCCGGAGCTCGAAGAAGTACCAACACCGCCGGAACGACCCCGCGCCGGTATGACAGTGCACAACTCCCCCTCCCCCTCATTTGTATGGCATGAAGAGCAATACAATGACAAGCACACGCGGAGCCTATGCATGACAAATTTGTGTACCTGATGTAGTACTGTTTGGGCTTCCGGAATTTGTCATGCAAACAGTGCCACAAGGCAGCGACTGGATTTGGGATTTTGCATGACAAATGAGGGGGAGAGCGACTGGACTTGGAAAAGGTGCCGGTGATGAAGTACCGCAATTCGGGATCAACATTGCCTGGAGACGGTCCAAATGATGAAAACTCATCATGTGCCACCAGGGCTTGTTGCACCTCGTCGTGTGCCGGGGCAAGGAGTACTAACACCAGTCCGCCAGCATCCGGAACAACGACCCCGCGCCGGCGGCGGCCCGGAGGTGGAATTGTTCCACGCAAGCGGATATCAAATGTAAAAATGTCTGGGTCTGGAAGGTTGCAACTTGTGATGCTGTCTTTGGAAGGTAAAAAACATCTGTATTGCATGACCAGCAAGAGGAGTTCAGTTTGTGCTACGCGGAGTGGGCGTTTCTCATGCGGAATACGCATGAGAAGGCCCTTTAAAAATCTGTGTCGCTCGGCCATGCATTACAGGCATCATTGGTTATGCAAGATATGCATGACAAACCTGGCAATCTTCCAGGCCCAGACATTTTTACACTTGATAGCGGAATAAGCATTGGCAGGACAAAGAAGGGCTGAAAGAGAAGAAAGAAATTTTAGACAAGATGGACGACAGAAAGAAGGCCATTGCAAAGGCAATGATTCTAGAGGGCTACGCAAGCTCGGATGAAGAGGACGTGTTTGGAGAGTTGCTTCAGGAAGAGGTGGACGATGATCTTCATCATGCTGACAGCACGAAAAATCAAGATTTGGCCATCTTCGCGGAAGAACTGGATGGGAGTTGTGCACCACCAGCCGCCGGAGCCGCTGCGCAGCCTCTCATGATCTCGAAAGCGGTCAACATGAATCACGCCATCGACGGCCACTGTGCCTTGAATGCGTGGCCGGGGAAGATGCCGAGCGAAATTTTTGAAACAGAGGACATTGTTGTGGACGAAGCAGGACAAGATGAAATAAGTACAGCGGGTGGCAGTTCGAATACTAAAACAGCGGCGGGGGATGATCATCATGTTGTCAACAGCGGCCGGCGTGATGGAAGTAACACATTAGAAGCTACAGCTCCTATCGTTCCTCAAACTGACTCGACAAAAAGATCAACCGTCCGGAACAAAATAAAGCTGAGCTACACTTACGCGTATTCAGTAAGGATAGAGCTTCTCGCGAAAACGAAAAATCACAACAGTCTTGTCGTTTATTGCGGTCCCGAGCTCGGGTTTTTGAACGATTTGCAGATCCGGAATGTTTTGGAGCACAATTTTGGGAATTTCCGGGTGCTGCGGTCCCGAGTGTCGTCCTTTTCGAACGCAGAGAACATTATCAACTGAAAATATTTCTGGGGTCTCTGGATGAGTGCAGAAGTTTGCAATGCAGGTTTTACATGACCAAGAGTGTCTGGTATGCAAGGACCAGCATCACAGGTTCTTCGAGGGCTCCTGCTTCACGATCCCTACTCTGCATGAGAAATAAGCCCCTCTGACCATGCCCAAACATAGACAACTTTTGCTGTTTATGCAACACATTTTTTTGTGTGAGCTGAAATGCGCATCACAAATTCCAACCTTCCAGACCCAGATATATTTGCATCGCATAAACATTTATCTGTTGCAAGAACTGGAGAGAAAGGTCGGGAAACGTATGACCTGCTCAAACGTTCCAATCTCAAACGTTACATATATAATCTGGATTTTGTATTGCATGACGAGCGTGACACACTCGGACAGTATACCACATTCTGCAATACAAATTTAGCCCGATTCTAGTCCGGTTTGGGGCTCCGAAACTTGTCATGCGCAATCCTGTGGGAGTAGGTTAGATCATGCACTTCTCGCATCACAGAGTTCCACATTCTATAATGTAACGTTTGAGATTGTAAGAACAGCTGAGCAGGTTATAAAACGAAAACTTCCGCCCGGGTGCTGCGCCATCAGTTCCGGGGTGTATCGGAAGGATATAAAACTGTCTCCGTCTCTCCAAAGAAGAAGAACCTTTGCACTGGCTCAGCAAGACAACTTCGCCGTCGCTATCTATGAGAGGCTGCAAATAAAAAACCTGTGATGCGTCAGGCTAAACAAAGGAGAACACGTATGAGAGATGATGACTTCCTTTTATGAAGACTACGAGCATGACAAGAAACTGTCTCGAGGTAGTGAGCGTCTACATTTTTACAAGTTGAGACTGAGACAGTTTTTTCTCGCGATAGGCTGAGTTTGCTCGGCATAACGCAGGAGATCATGAATTACCTGCAGGTGCACGTCTTCCCAAACACCAAACAGAACAACTACGATCTCCGACTGGTCGGGTTTCTCTTCATGTGGTTCTGCCACAAGCTCGGCGCGTTTTACCCCTTTTGGAACCACATGCGGCAGCATTTACGGCTCTTTTACTTCCTATGCATTGCAAATATGATCTTGTCTGGAGGGTCTGAAAGAATCCAAGTTTGTCATGCTTGTCTGGCCTGTGACTCCTAAGTCTGTGATGCGTGAGTAGGAAAATGGTGTCTTTTCTGTCATACAGAGACCCAGGTTGCCATGTGGAAAACGAAACACATAACAGCTCAAGAACTTGTTATGCCTGGCTGCGTATAATTTTAATTGCAGTCGTGCACCAACGCTTCAGATTCACAAACTAGCGTCACAAGTTTCCAGACCACCCAGGTCGATATTTGCAAAAATGCATACTTTCTGATTGACGACGAGACGGGGTTTGCGCTCTTCTTTGACCGCATTCTGAAGCAGCTGAAATTTCTCCGGAGCGAATTGTATTTCGAGGACTATAAACAGGCGAAGATGTTGGATCTGGCGATTCAGAAAGTAGGGACTGTTGCAACAAAAAATAGAATATCTTCTTCTCTGAACAAGAGCAGCACCACACCAGGGCACCATGGCAGCAAGGCGGACGCAATTCTGCTTTCCAGTCCGAGGGGGAGGATTTTGATGGGCGATATGGCCATATGCACTGCAACAATACCTGGGTCTGGAAGTAGATTGGTGGAACTTGTCATGCTGAATCTGAATCATGCAAATATCTGTGTTGCATGATTCCCAAACAACGCTGGTCAATTTTGATCAAGTTGAGAGACAGTTTCTCATGCAGGATAGGCATGATACTAGTGATCTCACGGAATCTGTCACGCTAGGTTCTCGTCCATTACAGATCCTATGGGTCATGGAAACCCTGCATGACAAGTTTGGCAAAATTCCAGACCCAGACATATTTGCATTTGACAGGCCACAGTCTCTAACGAAAACGAGGATGCAGCCTTTACCTACCAGTATCTATCACGAGAAAAAAGTGTTACAACAGTTACACATTGCTTGCAATCTCAGCATGACAGACAACCTTTCTCATGCCAGAAATGCTTCCGAGCTTCATTTCATACGTGTTTTCCCTTATCCTCTGCGCATTGCAAGTTTTCCCTCTCATGCAGAGAAAATTTGTGTTGCTAAATTGACATCAAATGTGCAACTGTAACACTTTTTTCTTGTGATAGTCTCTCCCCGAGGACTTCTACGACCCAGCAGCAAATACCAGCAGCAGCTTATCCAACAAAAAAGTGTTAACGTTAACGGATTTCATAGGTTGCAGATATGCATGACAGATTTTGCCTAGTATGCATGCTATGCATGACAAATTTGGGCACGTTTTGTGATGCATTACTGCATCACAAATTCCGTTAACGTTAACACTTTTTCCTGTGATACAGCTCCTTTCGCTCCGAGCAAGCAAGGCCGCTGTTGTTGCAACCACCAGCGATGCCGACGATTTTAGAAGTAGACACCGCAAGGAACTCACCGGTCGCTCGAAGGTCTGCAAATTTGATAGAAGATGCAGAGGACTTCTACACAAGTACTTCTAGGAAGACATATGAAATGCAAAAGCATCGTACTAGTATGAATCGCATTACAGATTCTTCAGCATGAGAAATGTAATTCGTCATGTTGTTCTTCCTTGGGATGGAGATTTGTAAATGCATGGCTCCTGCGATTACTACGAGTGCGATGCTTTTGCTCAGGATAAGACAACCGCTTCGACCATCCCGCCCACGTCGCCCACGACGATTGCCAAGAACGAGGCAGGAAGTAGTTCTCCTGCTAGAAATATGACCCCCGCACCAGTACAACACCAACACCAGAAGTTTTTCTACCCAGATTTGCCGAATCACATCATGTTTGCCACGTCGACGGTCTTGACTATCAACTGTAAAAATGTCTGGGTCTGGATGGAAGATTGCAACTTGTGATGCTGTCCCTGCATTCTACAAAAATCTGTATTGCATGACCAGCAAGAGGGGTCCAGTTTGTGCTACATGGAGAGGGCATTTCTCACTCATGCGGGATAGGCATCAGAAACCCCGCTAAAAATCTGTGATGCCAGGTTATCCATTACAGGCGTCGTGGGTCATGTAAAATCTGCATGACAAGTCTGGCGTTCTTCCAGACCCAGACATTTTTGCGTTTGATATTGACCCCGTTGGTACAAAAGGCGGAGTTCATCGACGACCTTTTTGTGCAGCACCCGGAAATGGGGCCAAACGAGAAAATATGCATTGTAAAAGCATCGTACTAGTATAAATTGCATTACAAATTTTCTCAGTATGAAAAATTGAATTTGTGATGCTGTTTTACCTTGGAAAGGAGATTTGTCATGCATAACTGCAATTAGTACGAGTGCGATACTTTTGCACAGGATAGAAGAGTTTCTTCCGGGAAAAGGTGTTGCTGCCCAACATGATCGGGAACATCCTTGCACCGCGGGGGTTTATGAAGTTGGAGGAGGTCAACAGTAACTACGAACGGACTATGCGTTGCGAATATGTCTGTGTCTGGGAGGATGCGGACTTGTCATGCTAAGTCTGGATCGTACAAAAATTTCTGTTGCATGACTACCAAAAGCTGTCCAGTTTTGAACAAGTTTAGAGGCAGTTTGTCATGCAGGATAGGCATGATAGGGACGTCCTCGCAGAACCTGTCATGCTAGGTTGCTGCATTCCAAACCTGATGGGGCATGGAAAATATGCATGAGAAGTTTGCATTCTTCCAGACCCAGACATATTTGCATTTGATACGGATGAACGAATTTTTCATACCCCTGAGCTGCAAAGACTTGATCGAGTATGTGCCCCCTAGTACTTCAACGTCGTCCAATATCGCCAGAAAAAACTGTTTCACTGTAAACTTGTAATGCAGAAGATGCATCTTAGAAGTGTTTGTCTTGCTACACATGCAAGACAGTGGATGTTTACCTGTGTAGTTTTCTCTTGGGAAGCTCGCATGGCAAATTTTCTCTGTCATGTAGAGCGAGCTTGTCATGCAAAACCTGCAAAATCCTTACAGTGAAACAGTTTTTTCTCACGATATCCAACGCTCTAGATTTTTTCTCATCAACCTTCGCGGGAGGAACAACAAACGTACTTGGTACAACTAACAAGCTCGCTACCAGTATTGTGAGGAAAAATCCCCCCTCCCCATATCGAAAGCGAAATCTGTGTTGCTGTATTTGAGTACACAAATCGCGTCTGTCTTGCTGGAGAGGACTGCAGACCCATAGCAAGCCTGAGTAGAGAGGCTTTGACTTAGGCGCTTAGCATGAAAAGCGTCCGTGATGTTGGCTCAACAGCATGACAAACCGCCTCCATAATGGGACGGAAGCTGCTGCCCTTGTCTTCTTGCAACACAAACGTGATTTGTGACCTCAAATCAGCAACACAAATTTTCGAAAGCCTACCTCTTCAATATGGGGAGGGGGGATTTTTCCTTGCGATAACCAGTCCGGGGAATAGTTTGAGCCAGCTTCGCCACAGATCAAAGAGGGCGTCAGTTTTAGGCGGGGGAAACGTCGCCGGCCTTCTCGACGGGACAGCGTTTAATCCTTTACATTTCCCGGGTAGTGGCGGGATGAACAATCTTCTTCACGAGGGCGTGCTACTTGGGAGCGGTATTTCGACTTCGTCACAACTACAACAGCCGCATTCAACATCAGCAAGAACTTTCCTCAGCTCTGGGATAATATCGGCTGACGACCATGACAGGATGTCAATCACGAGCTCGATGTCAGCCGTTTCGTCTTCCGTTGCGGCGGGCACTGGTGCAGAAGCTGCTCAGGAATTGAAGAAAACGCTAAGCCATGATGCGGCTGCGGGGGAATTGAAAAGACGGTCGACCCACTTGATGCAGCAGCAGATGAAAAAACACAGCGGGAGAAAGGAGAGACAGTCCTTAGTGCAGGAGCACTTAGTGCGGACAAAGTCGGCACCACCAGGAGGACGAGGTGGACCACAGAGTGCTGAAAGTAAAGCTGAATCTATAGCGGCGCAAGACGTTCAAAACTACAATCACAAAGCTGCAACCACCAGTGCCTCCTCCGATCGAAAAAACCGGTTGGTGCTGCAGTCAAGCATTTTGGTCGAGGATGATGACATCAATCAGAATCAGGACGCGGCGGCTCAAGTATCCTGTGCAAAAGTATCATACTCGTAGTGATCGCAGCCATGCAATACAAATCTCCTTCTTAACCGAAATCCGCATTACAAATTCCATTTTTCATGCTGAGGGAATTTGTCTTGCGGTTTCTACTAGTACGATACTTTTGCAATGCATATCAAGAACAGACGCAACATTTCGCCTCCCGTACCAGCGTGCGGTCGTTTCTTGCCGCAAACTATTCTGTATGACAGTGCACAAGAATTCCTCCGCCTCCTCCTCGTTTGTATAGCATAAACGGCAATACAAGCGCCAGCGACAGTGCATGTTTTGCATGACAAATTTGCTGCATAGGATTCTAGTGCTATTTGGGCTTCCAGAACTTGTCATGCAAACACTGCTAAGCGGCACAGCCTCGATTCGGCATTTTGCATGACAAATGAGGGGAGGGGGAGTTGTGCACATTCATACTCTGAGGCACATTTCCAAATCAAGCACGACCAATATGGCGTTCTCAAACGTTACATTCTCAACTGTTACATGAATTTGTGATGCAAGAACAGCAACAAGAAAATCGTCAAGCTTGCAGCTCTCGCATCACAAATTTCGAACAGATTTTAGTGCTGTTTAGCCCTTCCAGAATTTGTCATGCGAAGCAACCTTGGTCGTCTGGCGGCTTATGGTAATTTTGCATGACAAATCATGTAACACTTGAGAATGTAACAGTTGAGAACGCCATAACCAAGATTTCCAGCAGCTGAAGCCCTCCACGCGGGAATTTCTCAAGCGGAAACAGTTTCAAGATTACAAGAATTTCAAGAAGTACAACGAAACTAACGACTCAAAATTGATCCTTCTGACGTTTTCCAGCTGGCCGCTGTACGACGAGCTGGCGAAGAAGTTGCGAAGAGAGATGGAAGCGATAATAGCGCACAACGAGGATGAGAATTTGGCAAGCGCGGAGAATATCAAATGCAAAAATGACTGGGACTGGAAGGTTGCTAGGTTTGTCATGCAGCTTTTCCATGGCCCACGCGGTCTAGCATGCACTGCCTAGCATGACAGGTTCTGTGAGATATCTACCATGCCTTTCCTGCATGAGAAACTGCTCTAAACTTGTTCAAAAGTGGCACTCTTTTGGTAGTCATGCAACACAAATTTTTCCACGATCCAGATGTAGCGTGGCAAGTTACACCCTTCCAGACCCAGACATATTTGCATCTCATAGAGAAGACGCGGTACTACGTGTTGGCTGTGATGCCGGACTGGAGCGACGTGATTTTTCCCGAAGAGTATGGCGTGCTCAAACGTTACATGATTCTCAACTGTTACATGAATTTGTCATGCAAGACTACCTAAAGCCGCCAGATAATCAAGCTGCTTCGCATGACAAATCTCCGCGAAACTAAACAACATTCAAATCTGTGCCAAATCTGTGATGCGACAGCAGCAAGCTTGCCCCTTTGGCTGTTGCCATTCTTGCATCGCAAATTTATGTTGTAACAGTTGAGAGTGTAACAGTTGAGAACGCCATAAAGAGTACCGGTTCCGCACCGACGCAGAATTGGCGTCCGGAGAATTTACCGCATCTCAGCACCTGTTATCGGATGAGGAACTTTTGCAAAAAAAGGCGCATCAACAGGTGTACTTCCACTACTCCCGCGAAGAACCATTCTCCGTGCTTTTCAAATACTGCGACTTAATCATCCACCACGGCGGGAACGGGACCCGGGCGGAAGTTGCGCAAGCGGGCAAGCCCTCGATCATTGTAAGTTTCTCCGTTGACCAACCTTTCAACGGGCGGTGTTTAATGGCGCTCGGGTGCGGACTGCACATCACAGTGAATGATTATATCAAAAACACGGCAAGTAGTTCATCATCATCTTCATCCGGCCGACCTGGAAAGAAGAAAAATGGTTCCAAGAAGAACACGACTCCTGCTGGTGGCCCTGTTACATCAACTACAGCCGTAGTATCCCGTGTAAAAACGTCCCCACCCCAGAGTCAAGATGGGGATTCTGCAACACAAACATTGAAGTTTTGGGAGTCACGCATGACAAGTTGCAGGCTGTACTGTAGTGCAGCTTAGCAAGGGAAGCCGCATAAGAAATCCATCTCCTTATGCTTTTAACAGCATTACAAGTTCCAAAACACAATAGGAAATGACTCTGACGGGGATGCGCATTACAAATGCTCTTGTGCTTGCAAATCAGCATGACAACTCTGGGGTGGGGATGTTTTTACATAGGATACGTAGCCGACCATGATTTGTTTCTGTCCACCGCGATACCGTTGCTGTGCGACCCGGCTTTTCCAGAAAAACAAGAATTCGAGAAGAACATTATGAACTGCAAATGTGATGTCTGGGTCTGGAAGGTGGTAACTTGTCATGGTAAATCTGAAGCATACAAAAATCTGTGTTGCATGAGTGCCAAAAGCTGGTGTCCACTTTCGACCAAGTTGGGAAGGAGTTTCTCATGGAGGATAGGGATGGCAGTAGAGACCTCGCAGAGTCTGTAATGCTAAGTCCCGCATTCCAGACCTCATGGGTCATGGAAAATCTGCATGACAAGTTTCCACTCTTCCAGTCCCAGACACCTTTGCACTTGATAAACATTCTCCGGGTGCGAAACGAATACAACGAGGAACTGCGAAGTAGCAACGCGCGGGTATCAAATGTAAAAATGTCTGGGTCTGGGAGACTCCGAGCTTTGTCATGCAGTTTTTCCAAGCTCCCTCACGTCTGGAATGCAGGGCCTAGCATCACAGGTTCTGCAGCTCCTTGGTGATGCGTATTCTGCATGAGAAATGCACTCTCAGCATGGCCAGAAGTGGGCACCTTTTGCACGTTTATGCATCGCAGACCTTTGTAGGATCCGAAAAACGCATCATGTGTTCGGATCCTTCTAGACCCAGACACTTTTGCATTTGATAGCGGGAAAGGGCACTCAATTTCATCCATGGAGGCGGGTAAGGTTGTTGTAGGGTAGCGCGCAGAGCAGTTTGCTTGCAATGCCTGGCAACTTTTCTTCTACTTCTTAAACCAATATGATTTTCGTGCGTGACAAGGACAAGATTAAATGCAATTGATCCATCTCTTCTATCGGCAATGCTAGTTGGTACTACTTTGACTCTCAACACTCATCATGATTCTCAGTTTGACATTACATTACTCTATGATACATGCACTGACACACATGGAAGAAGAGGCGCCGCAACGCCTAAAGAGTTAGTGCCTCGTGGCAGGGATTTGCACGACTGTGTCGGGTCTCCTCTCAAGGAGAGGCACAACTGCATGATGCCTGGTGACTTTATTTTACTACATACATTTGATTCGCATAAAAAACAAGACGAAGAATAAAATCAGTCTTAAGTTAAATTCTACATGTTTTTTACCTCATTTCGGCACGACACGTCCCTGTCCTTCGGGAGGTCCGGTCCATCGCATTCGGGCGTGGGTCATCTTCTACGGGTCGGTCGGCCCCTGCAAAAAACGACGGAAAACGCAGTCATCATTTTGCCTGTAAGTTTTCTGATTGGTTTATTTCTCCCGCTCCTGATGTGTGAGCATGAGTATATCATGATGACGAGATGATTCATGTGATGAAAAAGCCACGACCACAGATCAATTTGCCGTCATTGGCCTCTGAATTCAGTCGCTGCAACTCCGCGACTTAGTTGATCTGCGTGTTCCGTCGTCGCAGGTGTGAGTTCCGGATAGGATGAGTCAATAGTTCTGCGCCGCATGGCTGCAAGAACACTCAGGTCGTTCCTATCCTGGACGATCGGCGCTCTCCTTTTTATTGCTTCTTGTGTGCTTCTTGTTTGAGCATTGATGTCCTTTTTGTCTTGCAGTTTTTCGAGGTCTACTCATTGTGTGCCTTTAGGCTGTACAATCGTCTTCCTTCCGCCCGTTTGCAAAGGCCGATCCATGTTTGCTCTTCCGAAGATCAAGATCTTTAAACTTTTGACGTTGTGTTTTGTAATAGAGCATTTACTTAAGACAGAAATGTAAATGTATGTCATTCCAACATCAATCTTGATTGTTGCACCCGCCGCATTTTGATTTTCATTTTGGTGAGCCTGCATGGGAATAAAGTAGTTTTTAGGACGGCAAAGGCAGAATTATAATCTGCACGCATGAACAAGATGAAGCTGAAGCTCGAATGATCTTCCCGCGTTGTCTTCACATGACGATCCGGCGGAAAGAAGCACGGCCTCTTGTTCGTTTCTGCTGGTGCTGTCCAGCTGGTCGATGTCGATCCAGCATCCAGGTGCTGCAATAAGCATGGGTATAAACCACGGGAACCAAGATCATGACCACATGCGATCAGACTCCACAGACAAATTTCTAAAAACACCGACCACGAGCTACAACAGCTGCACATTATTGCGGCATTTAAGTAACGACGGCGACATGAGAAGAAGATGATCACGGCTTCTCCCGCGCGGAAAATTTTTCCAGCTGTTCCGTTTCTTATTTGCAGCACAAGTTAAGAGAGACCTTCTTGAACCCGCCGTCGCCATGGACCACGCCGCCGCCGGCCCGGCGGACTTTGACGAAACTTGTTCAGTCCGCACGAATGCAGATATACGGAGATGGCGGGAAGTGGAGCTGACCCGGACACCCGTCGTCGACACGACGGAGCGGATATGCAGTGTAAAAGCATCGCACTCGTAGCGATGGCAGTCATGCATTACAATTTTTTTTCGTATAGGTAAATCCGCATGACAAACGTTGTTTCTCATGCTAAGGAAATTTGTAATGCATTCATACGAGTACGGTACTTTTGCAATGCATAGCGGACGAGCAGCAGCCAGCACAATGCAAGCAATAACGCTGGTCAACAGCTGAATTCGAACAGCAGAACGCTGTCTGCCGCAGAGCAATACCAACAGAACTTAGGTTTGCAAACTAATTCGAGCAGTTCCTCTAGCAGCACAAGGAGAACCGGGAGCACAGGGAGCAACCATGTTGTCAACAAGAATACTACAGCAGGAGGCTCTACTGGTTCATCTGGTTCCAACACAGCTGGTGGTGCAAATCAGCAATACAGCAGCCCCAACCCGCACGACAGAGGGGGGAACAGTGGTAATCAGATGAATTATATCCAGGAAAAAAAACCCATCCCCATCCATTCACTGCATGACAAATACGTGGATTTTATGCATGTTTTGCATAACAAGATGGGGATGGGTGTTTTTTCCTGGAGAAATTCGGACCCCAAAACCGAAATTGTGAAGCCGGTGGAAAGATCGGGCGCCTTATGCAATACAAATATCCCGTACATGTACAGGATGCATCACAAACTTCACCGATTGGGGGTGTAAATAAAGTTGCCATGCGAAACTAGGATCGAAGCCACGTTTTGTCATGCAGAGGCCGCATTTCTACGTGTGCGGGAAATTTATTGTGGATACGCCTCGGGGGTGGTTTATGGACGGTACCTGTGGCTGTATGGAGGCTACAACGGGAGTAGGGGCGGGCGGTTGGATGATCTGTTTCGGTTTGATCTAGAGAAAAGACGGTGGCAGCGTATAATACCGAAGGGGGACAAAAAACCAATGGCAAGGGAAAACAACGGGGCGCTGGTGGTCAGGGGCAAAATGTATATCGAAGTGTCTTGCTCTTGCTGTTTCATCTGCATGAGAATTCGAAGTCGAACTGTCATGCTGCTCCTGCATGAAAAAAAATTTAGGTTCTTCATATCCGATCGTCTGAGACGAAAAAAGTACAATCTACTGACCCCTCAGGTACATCTTCGGCGGTTATTCAGGGTTTACCTGGCTCAACGACTTTTGGTGTTTCGACTTCAAAACCAAAATTTGGGACCGGGTAGAAGGCGGCGACATCGGCCACGTCCCGTCATTGCGATTTGGCTACGTGTCGGCACAATACAAAGACCAAACAATTTTTATCTTTGGCGGGTACGATGGGTCAACTTGGTTAAATGACATGTATGAATTCTCCTTATGCACTGCAAAAGTATCGAGTGCACGTACTTCTAGTATGAATCGCATGACAAATTTCCTCAGCATGAGAAATTGTAATTTGTAATGCTGATTGAACTTGGCAAAAAAATCTGTAATGCGACGTAAATGCTGTATTAATACGAGTGCGATACTTTTGCAATTAATTCTCCTTCGAGCCTAGCAAAAAGTCCTCTGCGAACATCCAGAACTCAGCGCCACCGAATATCAAGAATAAAAACCCCCCTTCCCGCCCATATCAAAACGGAAATCTGTGATGCAGATTTGTGGTCACAAATCGGCTTTGTCATGCTACAAGGGCAAAGATGCAGACACTGTAGTGCTAGGTGGCGTCGGAAGGTTTTGTATCTTGAGCATGACAGGAGGCAGCTGGAAGTGGGAGACAGCATGACAAACTCCCTGCAAACGACGCCGCAGCTGCGGCTCTTTGACTTCTGGCATGACAAGTCGGTTTGTGTGCTCAAATACAGCATCACAATTTTTTTCGTTTTCGATATAGCAGGGAGGGGGGATTTTTCCTGTTGATGCCGAATCTCCAAACCTCCGCCGCAGTCAGTGCTGCAGCGGGCGGGAGTCCGACCCTGCAGGGGAACTCCCCCACGTTAAGTTCAAACACAACGAACCCACCACCAGTGCCGCTGCAGCCACTGAAGTATCGGGAATGGCTGAAGACTCAGCAGTATCCTGTGCAAAAGTATCGTACTCGTACTAATTGCAAATATGCATGACAAATTTCTTTCCTAAGGCGAAACAGCATTACAAATTCCACTTTCCTTCTTGCCAAAATTTGTAATGCAATTACTATACATTATATTCATGCGAAAAAAGAGGTAGACAGAGGGTCCCAGAGAGGTGGCCAAGAGGTCAAAAAGAGGTCGACAGAGGTAGAAAAGAGGTCGACAGAGGTGGAGAGGTGGCGCGGGACCCCGTTCGAGAGGGTCCGCGAGAGGGTGCGCGAATAAGGCCCGCAGTAAGCGCCCACCCTTAGGCGCCGCCTAAGTGGCACAGAGGGTGCAGAGAGGTCAAAAAGAGGGGGCGCGAGAGGTCGACAGAGGTGGAGGAAGGTGGCGCGAATAAGGGGCGACCTCTCGCGGACCCTCTTGGCCACCTCTCGGCCACCTCTGTCGACCTCTACCCGCGAGTATAGCCGGATTATTAGCGGGGACCCCCAAAAGAGGTCAGAAAGAGGGTCTGCGAGAGGTCTGCGAGAGGCTAAAACACAAACAAGCGGTCGCGAATCCGCATGGTGCTGCCAATATTTGCCATTGCAGGCCATTCGCGGACTTGTTTTCTTCGGCGGCTTTCCGCGCCACCCTCTCGCGCACCCTCTCGCGCCACCCTCTCGCGCCACCCTCTCGCGCACCCTCTCGCGCCACCCTCTCGCGCACCCTCTCGCGCCACCCTCTCGCGCACCCTCTCGCGCAACCCTCTTGCGCCACCCTCCCGCGCCACCCTCTCCCGCCGGGCGGGCGGCTTCTGTTCGCCCCCGGTGTTCTTTGCGGCTGCTCCCTGCGCAGAGCGCCCACAGGCGCGGGAAGCGCGCAAGTGGTCCTGCGGGTTGGCGCGGCGCAAACAGGGGGCAGGAATCCAGTATGTTTCGTTGTGCATAGGCCCTTGGCGTTGTGGTCCGATCGGCAAACAGTCTTGCCCCGGCCCAGCAGCCTTGCGCTCCGGCGGCAGCCGGAGCATGGCTGGTTTATACTAGTGCGATACTTTTGCAATGCATAAGCAGGAGGGCAACATCCCCACGGGAAGGAGTTGCCCGGCATGGGCGACGCACCAGGAGTCGTTTTATCTGTTCGGGTATCAACCGCAGTTCTTATGTCTGGGTCTGGGACGTGGCAACTTGTCATGCCAAATCGGGAGCATGCAAAAGCTTATGTTGCAGGATTACCAAAAGCTGGGCACTTTCGACCAAGTTGACAGGGGGTTTCTCATTCAGAATTAGAATAGGCATGATAGAGGTCTCACAGAATCTGTCATGCTACGCTCGGCACTCCAGACCTCATGTGTCATGTAACACCTGCATGACAAGTCTGCATCTTTCCAGACCCAGAGATATTTGCAATGCATCTCGGGGGCTACGACGGTGTGCATCGGTTAAACGACTTCTACCAGTTCCGCATGCCCAACCGCACCTGGACGGCGATTCGATCCTGCGGTCACGTGCCCGCCAGCCGGTACTTTCATTCCGCGGTAGTGTATGGTGACAGTTTGTTCGTGTTCGGGGGCTACAGCGGGCACGACAGGCTGAACGATTTGTACGAGTTCCGGTTTTATGCATTGCAAAAGTACTATCGTACTCGTACTAATCGCATTTCTGCATTGCAAGTTTCTTTCTCAAGTTAAATCCGCATTACAAATTTCCTTTCTCATGCGGAGGAAATTTGTGAAAATGCGACCTCTACTAGTACGATGCTTTTGCAGTGCATAGGTTCGACATTCACACGTGGTTCGCCGTGCACGCGGAAGACCCGCCCACGGGTATCCTGAGCAAAAACGTCCCCACCCCATAGTCGAGATGCGAAATCTGCTAGACAAATCAGCCAGCTTTGGTTGTTGCGTGTGACAGCTTTGGCCTCGTATTGTCGTCCTGTTTAGCTTCTTCATCAGCGTCACAGATCTAGCGCATCACGCACATGCTGATTGGAGCACTACAAATACCTCCAAAACACGACAAGACAATGCTTCTCATGAGGCTCCGCATGAGAAACATCCGCAGCAAACAGATTTGCATTACAACTACGGGGTCGTGGGGACGTTTTTGCATGGGATAACGGGCCGCTCCAGCTTAGTAGCCGCGGTATCCAACAACTCCCTCTACGTGTTCGGGGGCTATAACGGATCCAGCGTGTTGAACGATTTCTACGAATTCCGGTTCGAGCCCGTCACCATTCCGCCCTCGCATTTGGTGGAAGACCTGCGGTTATGGAGTGCATCAAAAGCATCTTCGTACTAGGAGTAATTCTAATTGCATATACAAAAACAAATAATATACAAATTGGCTTTTACAAAAACAATCAAAGCTGCTGGACATGTCAAAATTAGCTATACAAACTTTGATCTGTGATGCAAGATTGCCATTTTTACTCTGAGAATAATCGGATGCTTTGCCAATCGATAGCGCTCAATCGTGAATAACCCAATCCTCGGCGACGTCACGTTTCTCGTGGAAGACATGCCGGTGTACGCAACCAGAAGTCACTTGGCGGCACGCAGCGACCACTTTCGGGCGTTGTTTTACGGCGGTACATTTTATCTTGGGGTGTTTTTATTTCTCAGACGACGAGAAGCTCGGCTTTAAGTTTTATTTCCGTCGGATGTAACTTGCCGTTGTGGAAGTGCAGCATGATTTTCTTTTTGAAAAATCACTTGTTCCTGAGATCGTGAAAAATTGCGGCATTTGTGCGTCGCTGTCGTCGTCGTGTACAGGAAATTTACTTCTAGTGGATCATAATCAGGTATCCCACGAAAAAACTGTTTCACTGTGGTGATTTTACAAGATCTGCATCACAAGCTTGTTGCACATGACGCGGAAAATTTGCCATGCGCGCTTCCCAAGGAAAAAAACGCATGAGAATCCAATGCCTTGCATATGTAGCAACACAAACACCCTGGTGCTTCGTTCTCTGCATCACAAGTTCACAGTGAATCAGTTTTTCCTTGCGATATCAGGTATGCGAGAAACCATCCGTCCGAACGAGCCGATACCGATTCCGGATGTTAGCTACGAGGCGTTTATGAACAAGAAATGCAAAAAATGCGGCTGAGTTGTTTCAATATCTGTTTTTGCGTAGAAATTTGCCATGCAAAGACGCCTTCAAGAAGAACAAGAAGGAACATAATTTTGAGTGACTCCTCACACCACGAGGATGGAGTCCGTCGCTATAATTTTCCGTAATATGCAGTTGCAGTATGCGAGCGTGCACAACAACAAGCAACGTTGGAAAATGAATTGAGCAAGGTGCTGTACCCACATGAAGATCAAGGTGACGAATCGGAATCGTCTCGCTGTATTACACACAGGGGCCCCCACGTCGTAACAGCAACTACACTAAAACAGATGTGGTAATTTCACCATCACTGCATGATGTTAGCATGTGCATACGGAAAGAAAAAAGTTTGTCACAGTCACTAACTTGCAGGTTTTGCATTACAAATTTTCTCAGCATCACAAACTTTCCTTGTATTGCAGAAACACTAGGGAAATCCCTATATAAAGTTTGGCTGTGATGCATTTTTACGCATGACAAACAATTTTGTATTGCAAGAATGCGCATGAGTGATCGTGACGAACTTTTTTCTTCTGATAGTGCATACTCTTCGTCACCTTGCTTGAGTACCTCTACACGGACATAATACCGGACCACCTTTTATGAACTGCAAAAGTATCGTGCTAGTAGTAATCGCTATACAAATTTCCTCAGCATTAGACACAGAATTTGTAATGCATATTTAGCATAAAAAAAGAATTTGTAATGCATGAATTCGATTAGTACGAGTACGATACTTTTGCACAGGATACCTTTCGACCGACACTGCCGTGGAACTATTGATATCGGCGGAAAGGTACAATTACCTATAATACTATTTCAAAAATTCTGGCGGGCGCGGGGGTGCGAGGTGCTAGTAGAAATGCTGCTAGTAGAATTGTGCTAGTGGAAAAGCAGCCACTAGTAGAAATCCTGCTAGTGTTTTTAGCGTTACAAAAAAGCGCGAGCGGTACTAGTGACAGGCGCCACTAGTGAAGGCGCTCACTAGTGGAGCCACTAGTGACAAAAAGCCCGATTTTGGGGAAAGCGTAACCACTAGTGAGAAAACGCGCCAAATTCGGAAACTCGCTCGCAGGGACCGAGACGCGCGCTGCCCGGCCCCCGGGTGGCCTTCGCGCCTGCCTGCCAGCCGTGGTCTGGGCCCTTGGCCCTGGCTTAGATGCGCGGCGGTTCGCGCTTGGTTGCCCCGGGCTGAAGTCGATCTTCATTCTGGCGCCCCTTCCCCTTCCAAGCCTGTTGCGAGGGATGTGGCACCAGTCTGCGCCTTTCTCTGCTGCCTGTGGCTCCGCAGGCCGGGCTTGGTCGCGTGCGCCCTGCGGACCCCGGGGGCTCTTCGGCCGCGCCGGGGCTGCCTGATTTTGCCTTGCTTCCTTGCTCTGGATTGCCTTGCTTCCTTGCTCTGGATTGCTTCCTTCCTCACTGCATACTCTTCGTCACCTTGCTTGAGTACCTCTACACGGACATAATACCGGACCACCTTTCGATATCCCACGATAAAACTGTCTCACTGTAAAGATTTTGCAAGATCTGCATGACAAGTTTGTTATTGATGTTACACATGACAAAGAAAACTTGGCATGCGTACTCCCTAAGAAAAAACACAGCCAAAAATCCAATGTCTTGCATGTGTTGTGTAGCATGGCAACCACATTTGCGTTCCGTTCTATGCATCAGAAGTTCACAGTGAAACAGTTTTTTCTTTGCATATTCGACCGACACTGCCGTGGAGCTGTTGATATCGGCGGAAAGGTTTACTACTTACTTTGCGCTAGATTTTGGTGTCATGCACCTCCACCACCACACGTGGCCTACTACAAGTTGGTCCGCCCAAGTAGGTCTGCGCGAGTAGCGCATTTTGATGAAGCAAAAAATGCGATAATTTCATCTTGGTAGTAGTGTCATGATGATTACTAACCAGACCTAGATTTTTCCGAAACCGATGATGAACAACGAGGTTTTACTAGCATTCATCCCATTCGCAAAAATACAGGTATCTCCTCCAACGGCTCAAAGCTCTTTGCGAGGACTTAATCCGCAAAGGCATCGGCTTCGACAATGTCGTGCCGATTCTGCTCACCGCGAAAAAACACCGCGCTGACGGGTTAAAGGACATGTGCATGGATTTTATTGTCTATTCAATGCAAACAGGTCTGGGTTTCGGTCTGGAAGGATGCGCGCTTGTTACGCGGACTTCGCATCACACAAAAATCAGTCCTGCATGGAAAGCAAAAGTTGCGTGCTTCTTGGTCCACCAAAAGAAAGGCTTTGATGTCATGCGGACTTTTACGCATGAAGAGACCTTCTCATCAAAATTTGTGCTGACGCTAGTGCGTGCACGGTAGAACCCCTGCTAGTTCGTGCAAAAGCTGCATCACAAAAATTCTGCATCCTTCGAGAACCAGACACAGGCAGATTTTCAATGCATATCGTCGCGAACGAAGCGAAAATGAAGCAGCACGAGACGTTCAAAGATTTGACCGAGGAGCCCATGTTGCTTTACGACCTGCTCATGCGACGGAAAGCGCAGGAGGAGAAACTGGTGAACTCCATGTCCGGGCACCAGAACCGCAGTGACCTCTCCGCGCTGTCTCCCGGCAACGGTTCCAGCCTCTACAGCGGGTACAGCACGCCGGACCACTCTCTATCGCAAGAAAAAGTGTTAGCGTTATCAACGGTTTTCACAGATTGCAGCCATGCATCACAAATGTAGCCCAATATGCATGCTATGCATCACAAATTCTGACACGTTTTGTGATGCGTTGCTGCATCACAAATTCCGTCAACGTTACCACTTTATTTTCCTGTGATGCTCTCCTTTGCCCTTTCACGCTCGACCTCGGGTGTCTGGCGTGGCGAATCGGGCGGGGCAAATGTTTATGCACTGCAAAAGTATCGTTCCCGTAGGAATTATTGCAATCGTGCATTACAAATCTTTTTCTTAAGCAAAATCCGCATTACAAACTTTATTTCTCATGCTGAGGAAATTTGCAATGCATTTATGCGAGTACGATGCTTTATTTGCAGTGCATAACGTTGGAGAACTTCCTCGGGGTGGGGGGCGGAGGCGGGGGAAGTAACGACCGGGGGAGCGGAGGTGGGGAGCCTCATGGTAATAGTGCAAGGAACCAACACCCACCAACGCAGAACACCAGGTGAAGTGGGTGGTGTACTTCTTACCATGGTGGAGTTTTGCCTGCTACGAATTTGTAGTTGTATAGCAGCTTGCGGAATAAATTCTAAATAAAATGCTTTTTCTTTTTATTTGCAAACAGAAGCGAAATTACGAGATTTTTACATCCTCGAGGATCACTGTAGGCTTGACAATGAACAGATCACAATAAAAAAAAAGCAAGAAAACAAGCGAGACGTTTTACAACCAACCTGCAAAACGAAAGCTCAACAAATCGGATTTGTATTTACAAGTAGTTGCAGCTGCTCTTGCTGCATATGTAGTTTTTGTTGCCAAGGAGCAGGGACGAAGCGATAAGCGATGTGCAAGCGCTTTTTATCATCTACTGCGATAGCACGGCTACGGTATCGCGACTTCTGCACTAACGAAGATTTAACTAACAGTTTTAGCTAAATGAAATTTTCCTGTCCGTCTCAGCTGTCATTCGTAACAATATTTTTCATCGCACTCGAAGGTGAAGAGAGGTCCAGAATTTTCGATGATTTTGCTGCATGTGCTCGGTCGCGATCATGTAGTATTAGAGGACGTTGGTTATAATTATGTGTGGTTTTCAGCAAGGAAGTAAGGTCACGACGACTAGATTTTCTAAAATGGTTTTCAAGACGGCTTTGGTGAAGTAAAAGGGACAAACAGCAGGGAAATGGCACCAGCGATGAAAGCAAAAGCAATGATGAATGCCTTTGCCTTCGGAAAATTTTTCGCAAGCGACCCATAACGACTGTTCTTCTGTCTGCTGTTTTTAAACCATGATGTCTATTCGGCGACACTGACCAGACTCTATGTGGAAGCAGGAGAAGATAAACGTTGTTTTATGAAATCGCTGAATTTTTTTTTCTCTCTACAAATCGTCCCGCCCCCTTACGATTCTTTATACATAGCAGCTAGCTCCTGCGTTTCTTCTTCTTTACATCTTTTCTAAATCTATTATCGTGTTTTATTTACAAAAACTGTATGCCAAGTGGAACATCATGATGTCGAAGACGCTTTTTTTCCGGCGCGTGGTTGTCCTAATCTACACCGCCTCCGCTCTGCCTGGGGCCCTTGCGAGGGGCGGTTGGGCGAGCAATATTTCTGGAGGAGTTGTGGATTCTTGTTCACAGCCGGTGGTTGCACGACCTTGTCATGTAGATGATCTGCGGAGGACCGTCGAACTAGGCGGGGTGGCTCTTCCCGCAGGTTGCCGGGCTGAAGGAACTTCTCAGCCGGCCGAGGAACCAGACGTCGGAGGACAGGGACAACAAGCAGGCGAGGATCACATCAAGAGCGCTAATATCCGTATCCCGACGAGGACCCCGTCTCATGGACGAGGACTCCAGGTCGGTGCACAGCACGAAGAAAGAAGAAAAAAACACGACTCATACGGCCTGCTAGAGGCCGATGCGCCGCCTCTGCTTGTTCATCTGCAGCCGCCCGGAACATGCAACTACTCTCTAGCAGAGCAGGACGAGCAGGCAAAGCTGCGCTGCGGCCTCAGTAGGGATGAAGGGACATTGTCTAGCTGTGCATGTGCTCGTCCACGAGGACACGGCCAGGACGATTCGGAGGAACAAGATCAACAGCATGAGTGCAATATGCTAGTACCAGCTTCGTCAACAACCACACGTGCTGGCTATAATTTTCTGGATATGTTGCACAATCCACCTGTTGTCCCTCCTGCTGCTGCTGCACCTCATGGAAAATCATACCCTAGTTCCAGTACTAGTGTTCCTCCGCGCCAGGGTCAGAGCGGCCCACAGGGTGAACGACGCGAGCTGCGTGAAGTAGATGTAGATCACGGCCGCCGGAGGTCGTCGTGCGCGGCCAGTTTACATTCTGATCCTGGGCCCAGGACGTCGAGGTCGACCTCCGCCTGGAGTTGTGAAATAAGTGAGCCACCAGTTGCTGACGGCAGCATCTTGCCGGCGCGACAGGAAGAACCACGACCGAGCGACAGCAGCAGCAGCAGAAAGATAACCCCCACCGTAGATGAAGAAATACAAGTAGAGGCCAGTACCACCACCACGTCAACAATCCCGGTCCGAAATTCTCTGACCGGGGAGACAATTCTGGATTTTCCCAAGCAAAAACTACCTGCCCCGCCCGTCTTTCCGTCTCAACATCTCGGTGCCGCCGTCCTTGCCTCGTCCTCGACCTGCTCTGCAGCAGTAGAGGCTTCTGCTTCTCCTTCTCCGCCGGCTGGAAATAAATTTATTGGCTCTTGCTCTTCGTTGAATTTTTTATTACGAACCGAGTTTTATACCGACGAAAGGGAAAAACAAGGAGCTACACGACGAGTCGGAGAAATAAGCAACAGACAGTGCAGTAGCACTGCACAAACTTCTACGGTTCAAGACTTGATCAACAGTGTTCGGGACCTGAAATCCATTGCTGCCTCGAGTGGCAAGGAGGTAAAGATTTCAGCGACGTACGAAAGTGGAGGTCCTGCTGCACCACCGCAAAAATCGCCCCCATTAGGTCGTCCCAGCTTCCTGGACCCCCGAGAAAAGGTGGATTTCACCGGAAAAACCAACTACTTCGCAACCATCCTTCCCCAGACCCTGCTTGCGTCACACTTCCAAGAGCTGGCGAATGACGCTTTAGTTGAGGACGCGGACTGCTTCTGGAAGAAGTTTTTCGGCGATGATGATGATGATATTGCAACAGGTAAAAATGTTGTTGCGGACGAAGATCTTCGTACAAAAACAAAACCAGCACCGGGGAGGTCGTCCTCACAAGGTCCACAACTTGATGCCGGTCTCGGTGGTCCTGCACCTGCTTTTGTCTCCCCTGCGGAAGTCGAATTCCACAGACAGCACGTGCTTTCCGCACTTCTTGATGAAGGTGCAAATGCGGACGTCGACGAAGCGCAATTGCTCCCACGAGGACGACACGCGATCACGACGGGGCAGCTGTTGCAGCGATTCATTCAGACGCAAAACTTGATTCTATCAAGTGTAAAAATGTCTGGGTCTGGAAGAATGCAACCTGTCATGCTAAATCTGAAGCATGCAAAAATCTGTGTTGCATGATTACCAAAAGTCGTCCTGTTTTGACCAAGTCGAGAGGGAGTTTCTCATGCAGGATAGGCATGAGAAAGATCGCACAGAATCTGTCATGCTAGGTCCTGCATTCCAGACCTTATGGGTCATGGAAAAGCTGCATGACAAGTCGCGCATTCTTCCAGACCCAGACATTTTTACATTTGATAGATTCCAGATGAAGACGAAAGGGCAGCAGTGAAAACCGCTTTGGAAACAGATACCGGGGTGTTCCACAAAACTGCTCAACTACAGGACGTGTGCAATATTAAAAGTGATGGCTCACCCTGGTCCCACCTTCAAGATACTACCGGCGCCACGCTGGAAATCTTTGCTAAAGATGCGTCCTCCGCGAAAATAAAACCGAGCGCAGATGACGAGATTTTTCAATCTGCGATTTGGTCCGAGACCTTACGGCAAGGTGGGGATAGGTACAAAGACTTGTTGTACTACAATTCTGGTGGTGAAAACAAGATGAAACGGAAGTACCAGCGCGACGCAGAAGACAGTCCTCTCATCCCGCCCACTTTTCTCAACCAACTCGCGAAATTGTTGCAGCAGGAAATTTTCGACGCTCCTGCTGTCCCGGAGTTTTCCGTGCCGATCTTGCATCAGATACTGGGTGGAGATGATGATGAAGGGTTGCTGAATTATGTTGGTTTCGAGGATAGTACGACGAGGCCCGCCAACGCTGGTGCTGGACCAGCAGCAGACGCAGGGGGATCTTTCATCCGGAGCAGGCCGCCAACAGTCAAATGGCGGGTGAAAGAGATGGAGATTCATTCCAACACTGGATTGAATGACATGGAAATGGGCGAGAATGGTAAGATTTCGGCCCGCACAAACAGGTACAGGACGGACCCGCCAATCACCGTTGAGGATTTCGTATCCTGTGCAAAAGTATCGTACTAGTAGAAACCAGCCATGCTCCGGCTGCCGCCGGAGCGCAAGGCTGTTGGGCCGGGGCAAGACTGTTTGCCGATCGGACCACAACCCCGCGGGCCTATGCACAACGAAACATATTGCGCCTCGCCAACCCGCAGGACCACTTGCGCGCTTCCCGCGCCTGTGGGCGCTCTGCGCAGGGAGCAGCTGCAAAGAACACCGGGGGCGAACAGAAGCCGCCCGGCGGGAGAGGGTAGCGCGAGAGGGTGGCGCGAGAGGGTGCGCGAGAGGGTGGCGCGAGAGGGTGGCGCGAGAGGGTGCGCGAGAGGGTGGCGCGGAAAGGCGCCGAACAAAACAGCTCCGCGAATGGCCTGCAGTGCCAAATATGGGTAGTGCCATGCGGATTCGCGCCCGCTTCTTTGTGTTTTACCCTCTCGCAGACCTCTCGCAGACCCTCTTTTTGGCCTCTTTTGGGGGTCCCCGCTAATAATCCGGCTATACTCGCGGGTAGAGGTCGACAGAGGTGGCCGAGAGGTGGCCAAGAGGGTCCGCGAGAGGTCGCCCCTTATTCGCGCCACCTCTCGCCACCTCTGTCGACCTCTCGCGCCCCCTCTTTTTGACCTCTCTGCACCCTCTGTGCCACTTAGGCGGCGCCTAAGGGTGGGCCCTTACTGTGGGCCTCATTCGCGCACCCTCTCGCGGACCCTCTCGAACGGGGTCCCGCGCCACCTCTCCACCTCTGTCGACCTCTTTTCTACCTCTGTCGACCTCTTTTTTACCTCTCGGCCACCTCTCTGGGACCCTCTGTCTACCTCTTTTTTCGCATTAATATAATGTATAAGTAATCGCAATACAAATTTCCTTAGCATTAAAAATAAAGTTTGTAATGCGGATTTGCCTTACGAAAAAAAATTGTAATGCATGACTGCGATGAGTACGAGTAGTACGATACTTTTGCACAGGATATTTCGACTATGAATTCCGCCGCAGACTGTTCGACAAACAGATGTGGGACTTTGTATGCATTGCAAAAATGTCTGGGGCTGCTGGAAGGTAGTAGCAACTTGTGATGCGGATTGTGGAACGAACAATAACAAAAATCTGCGTTGCGTTGTCACCAAAAGACGTCAGATTTTTGTGTCCACGATCGGATTGTATTTCTCATGCAGACTAGGCATCATGGAGAGACCTTCGCAGAATTTGTCATGCTTCGCATGCATTCCAGACCTTCTTTATTCAGATGCAAAAACTGCATGAAGAAAATTCTCCAGTCCCTCTCCTCGTCGAGACCCAGATCGATGATTTGCCATGCATACTTCGCCCTGAACGACAACAGCCTAGACACCCGCGTGATTCGCATTTTTGGCCCCTATAGCGAGGACGTCGAGACCCAACTGCGCGGGCCGCGAGTCCGCAGTGACAAAGTCTACGTCTCGGTTGCTTACACGACCAAAATATCAAGTGCAAAAATGTCTGGGTCTGGAAGAATGCATGTTTGTCATGCTTGTCTGGCATGACTCTTAAATCTGTCATGCACGTTACCCAAGAGCTCCATTTTTCTGTGATGCAGGAACGCAGTTTGTCATGCAGAATAGGCAACACCTAGAAGCTCAGAAACTTGTCATGCTGAGCCAGCATTTGTGGCCTCATCATGAGACGCCACCCAGCATCACAAGTTTCCAGACCCAGACACTTTTACACTTGATACAAATTTGACGTGGAGAGGCTGCGAGACCACCCAGAATACGACTACTCGCACCATTTTAATTTCAAATCAGACCTGCGCCCGCCGGTGAGTCATCGGTGGAGCGGGCAGACGCTGATTTTCACCTACCGTTTCGATTTCAAGCACCACCGTGGCCGGAGCGAAGCGATAGCGCGTCGGCAGCAGATACCGGAATGGGTGCGCGGAGCTGAGTATCAACTGCAAATATGTCTGGGTCTGGAAGAATGCCTGACTTGTCATGCAGGTTTTCCATGACCCATGAGGTCTGGTATGTAGGACATAGCATGACAGATTTTGTGATAGTTCTATGATGCCTATTCTGCAAGAGAAACTGCATCTCGATTAGGTCACAAGTGGACACCAGCTTTTGGTAATCATGCAATACAGATTTTTACATGATTCAGATTTAGCATGACAAGTTCCAACCTACTTCGAGAGCCAGACATATTTGCAATGCATACCGAACAAGTGCAGGCGGACGATGCAGAGTCGGAACGAGAGCGAAAAAATCAGGCGCTACGAAATGCAAATATGTCTCGGTTTCCTGGAAGGATGTTGCAAGGTTTGTCATGCTTGTCTGGCATGAGTAAAGAGTTTGTCGTGCGTGTCCAAGAAAAGACGCTGTTGCTCGTTATGCAAAAACGCAGTTTGTCATGCGAGAACCGCAATAACAAAGCCTCGCAAATACTTCTCATGCTTGGCGGTGCATTACAGAGCATTCGCTATAATTCGCAGCCCAGCATTACAAGGTTCCAGACGACCCAGACATATTTGCATTTGATAGGAGTTCTACCAAAACAAACTTCTCCCGCGAATCTCCGGCTTCCAACTTGACGCCTTCCCGTCACGGTACGACTTTTATTCCGTCGACCGGCTTACGGGGAAGAGCGAAATCCAGTCTATCACAAGAAAAAGCGTTAACATTAACGGTTTTCACAGATTACAGTCATGCATCACAAACGTAGCCCAACATGCATGCTATGCATGACAAATTCTGGCACGTCTTGTGATGCATTTCTGCATCACAAATTGCGTTAACGTTAACACTTTTTCCTGTGATACAGTCGGGGAAAATGCAACGGTTGCGTCTCTGGTTGGAAAATGGGCCGGAGGATCAGGACGCGAGCCCAGGGTTTGACTAAAGAATACAACTATGTATTGGTGAGTCGAATAGTTGGGAGATTTACAACCCTACCTGATGGACAAAGGAGGTCCTAGTAAAGCTACTTATTCGCAATTGTATAGCTCCTGCATATTGTTATTTCCTTTTTTTAGCATGGTCATCCATAATGAGATTTTGGTGCAAAAAAAGAAACCCTGCACAACTTCTTCCCACAATATTTTGCGAAAAGATTTATAATTGCGCCAAAAATTTTGTGCTCATTTTGGTGTTTACCAGTACCGCAACATTCTCTGGCCCCGCATGCAGATATGACTCTTTGTCATCCTTTGCAGGCATGTGCCCCACCATCAATCCATATATTAGAATTTCTCTGTTCAAAATAGAGGAAGACGAAGGGCAACTTTGTTTTCCCCAGAAGTACCCATGTACGGAATCTTCGAGAGACGTCCTTTTTTTGTAAACAACAACAAAGCGAAGGGTGCAACAAGAGGAGATATCCTCTGAGAGAGTTCTTGTACAAGTCGAGTCAGGAGTGATGTGACGTCTTTATTTTTTTTTTCTTGGTCACATTGAGGAAGTTCAAGTAGATCTTCTTCTTTGATCTTTACTGATTCTCATCGTCCGAGGGGACCCGTCGCACAGAAGTTCGTTGATCTTTACTCCGCAGCGAAATAAACAGAGACTCGACGATATGCCGAGGGAGCCATGAGGTGAACAAAAATGCGTGTAGCGGCCCCCGCGACATCAACATCGGCCTCCACACGACCACCACGCCGGGCGGGGGTGCACATGCAGTGCAAAAGTATCGTACTCGTATAAATGCATTACGATTACAAATTTCCTCAGCATGAGAAATAAAATTTGTAATGCTGGTTTACCTTGAGAAAAACATTTGTAATGCATGATTGCAATACGAGTACGATACTTTTGCACAGGATAGTGCAAATGCAATCATGATCAGCAAGAACATCAGCATGGAGGTTAATATTTCCTCCCTCGAATCCAAGTTGTTTCTGTTGCGGAAAAAGCTACACAAAGTCCAAGACGAAAAGCGGTGGCAGCTGCAGCTGCGAGACCGGGTGTTCTCATCCTTCGTTCCTGCGAATTACGAGTTCAGGCAGGAAAGTCGCAATATGGGGGTGCCAGGATTGAAATCGTCAAAGTTGAAATAGTTTGTGATGCATAAAACATATACCAGTTGGAAGCCCAATTTCCAAGCGGCGCATGACAAATTTCGACTTCATCGAAATCCAGATTGTCATGCTGTTTAGCGAAAGAAGACATCCTTTGTCATGCTACTTTAGCAGCTCTATCCCAAATCCGAAGCAGGCTCACAATCGGCCTCACTTGCAATTCCTGCAAGACAGTCACTTTGTGCCTTGCATTTCATGCATCACAGATTATTTCAACTTTGTCGGTTTCAATCCTGACACACCCATACGCAAGTGGCACTGGATAAAAACGCAGGCGGCGGTGCGCATTCAAAAATCCGTCCGGGGATATTTCACGCGGAAGTACCTGTCCAAAACCATCTACCCGGCTTTTTTCGACGAAAACACAAAATTGCTGAACGAGGCGAAAACAACCCGACTGCTGCCGCAACTACTGGAGCTCCGAAGGTATCAAATGCATGTACTTATACGTCTGGGTCTGGGTCTAGAATAAGCAACATGTAAACTTCTGATGCGCATCGTAGAGCAGACAGAAATCTGTCATGCATGGACCGCAGAAGCTGCTCAGGTCTTGTCCTCACCCAAAGAGGGGACTAGTCATGCGCATTGGGCATTGCGAAACCTGCTCAACAAAACCTGTGATGCCTGGAATTGCATACCAGACATTCTGTGTCATGCACAAACAGCATAAGAATCTACCTCCAGACCCTGACATACACATTCACATATTTGCATTTGATAGAAGGCAGTGCCACTCGCTGCTGTACGATCGCGATGAAGAGAAGCGAAACGCCAGTGCGACTTTGATCCAAAAAACCTGGCGGGGCGCCCGCGTCTATCGGCGGATTTGGGTTTGGAAGCGGTTTTTCTATACGCATTGCAAAAGCATCGTAGTCGTACTCGTATAAATGCATTACAAATTTATTCCTCAGCATGAGAAATAAAATTTGTAATGGGGATTTACCTTAGGAAGAAGATTTCTCATGCATATTTGCAATTGTACGATACTTTGGCGGTGCATATTCTACATCAAAAGACAACTGGAGCTCGAAGTAGAGGCGGTGACAATTCTGGCAAGTTTTTGGATATCTTCACAGGAAAAACTGGTAACGCTCACAGACTTTGTGATGCGGCAATGCATGACAAAACGTGCCCAGTAAATTTGTCATGCATAGCATGCGTACTAGGCTAATTTTGTGATGCATGGCTGCAGTCCGTAAAACGTTAACACTTTTCCTTGTGATATTCAAGAGGGTACAAGCAGAGATTCCTGTTTCAGCACCAGCTGGAGCTGATTCGTGCGGAAAACGCCGCGATTGTGATCCAGCGGTTTTTATGAATTGCAAAAATGTCTGGGTCTGGAAGGTGGCAACTTGTCATGGTAAATCTGAAGCATGCAAAAATCTGTGTTGCATGAGTGCCAAAAGCTGTCCACTTTTGACCAAGATCGGCATGATAGGTATCTCGCAGAATCTGTCATGCTAGGTCCCGCATTGCAGACGACATGGATCATGGAAAATCTCCTGCGTGACAAGTTTACACTTTTCCAGACCCAGACATTTTTGAAATTGATAGTTTTGGCGTAGGTGGCTACGCGATCTGCAAATGATCGTCGGGCGTTTTACGATATCCTGTGCGAAAGTTGTATCGTTCTTGTAGCAAAAATCGCAAGCTTCACGCATTACAACACTGGTTCCAAAGGGTATTCAGCATGACAAATGTCACTTCTCATGCTGAGCTAATTTATTGTAATGCAAGCACTCATCACTAGCACGATGCAAAACATTTGCAGTGCATATACGACCTTCATGTCCGAGCAGGAGCGCAGCGAGATGAGCGACCTTTTCGAGAGACAGGACGAATGTGGAGGTGTTGATGATGCCGACCAGCATAATGATTCATCGCGGGGACGGCACTACAACAAGAACAACAACCTCCACCTCTACGGCTTGTTACTAGAGCAGCATGATGAGCAAGATCATACCTTTTCCTTTGGCGAGGGAGAAGCAAGTGAAAAACACGACCTTCAAGAACCTCCGGCACTCCACGACCTGCGTGGAGAAAAAATCGGTGTAGGTGTAGGAGGAGCGCCTTCAACATCCTCAGGCGGGGCAAGAACCCGAACCGCAATAACTACGCCGACAACGACAACCTCCAAGCGGGGCCGGAGTCGGTTTGGCGCTGTGCGAATGCAGAGTGCGCACTGGAGAGAGAAGAAGGACGAGAGCGAGGAAATAGTAGAACTTGATGGGCCGCCCGCTCTTGATCTTGAGAAACATAAACACCACGCCAATGACACGACAGCGGCAGATGAACAAGTGAGTGTCTCAGCGGCGACCTCTTGCTCGGCTCCCGCTCCGCCCAGCACATCTTCCTCCTCTTCTTCTAAAACAAAACTCTTGGAGCGCGTCCGGACCGCGAAAAGTGTGGTGTTTGAAGATGAGGGAGAGCGACCAGAAATAAAAAATGGTGGAGCGAACAATTTCTCGGCGCACAGCTGCACTACGGCTACAACAACTTCCTCCAACGCAATGAAGTCCTCTTCCTCCACGCCAAGGGCAACAGCCATCCAAGGCAAAAACGCTGCTGGCAAGAATCACGACACAAGAACTACGACCGCTATACAACAACGGACAACTACTACTCGTGGTGTACCTGCCGCGAAGATGGCATCAGGTGTTGAAGCTGTAACTTTAAAGACGGCACCAGATTCAAAAACTAGCGGTACAACAACCTCCAGTACTAGTAGCAGGAGAACAAATACAACTTCGCAAACGAGAAAATCGAAGAACCAGCATGCTTGTGCTTCAACAAGGATGAGGACGAAAGAAGGAGACAACAATCAAACTGCAGGCGTTCCCGGAGGTCCTGCTGGCGCGGTACCAGCGCCCTCCTCGTCTTCGACCCGACCAGGTGTAGTCGGTTCTGCTACGGGCGGCGGGGGCAAAAAGTTGAAGAAAAAGACCACGCGGACGAGGATTGATTTGGACGCCGCGAGGACTACAAGCACGCTGGACAGTGAAGACGTCGTTGTCCTCGGAACTAGTAGTACAACGGAGAAGAAAGGTGCAGTTGGAGGAGCAGGACAGCAACGTCAAGAACGGAACAGTGACATGAACCAGGTCAAAGTCTCCAGCAGCTCCGCCAGTGTCGAGGCCCTGGTGCAAGACGAGAAGGAAGGTGACACACCGCAAAGCCAAAATGATAGGACGAAAGCAGCAGTTGTTGTGGTAGAGGCAGCTGAAAGCAATGGTGTGGACGTCGATTGCCCAGGACCACCTGCTTCAACAGAAGAAGATGAAGCTCCTCAATTTGTCCACCCGATGCTGGATATAGATTTGGATACCATTCAACATCTGGAAAGTAGAGGTGATCGTGATGGTTCCGCGCACCCCGGGAGGTCCTCTGCACTCGACCTGTTTCTCGACGTAAAGCAGTATTCGCCGCTGTTGAATACGAAGGACGTGTTTTCTCCATAGGAATAGGAATTCCATAGGTATGAATTAAGTAAGTAGAGTACACGAATTTGAGTTCTGATTTCCCCTGCTGTCGTCCCTCATTTGCAATGCAAAATTGCAACTTAAAGCTCTTCCTCCAACAGTCCGAAGCCTTCATTGGCTTGGTTGAGTTGACACTCAAACTGGGGCATCGAAGTAAGTTGTAACAGTAGAATGAAGCTGTACGCAGTGATGAAGTTGTTGACGTCGGTGCCAGCAGTAGTGATGACGTCGGTGCTTTCGTATTTTGATGCACTAGTGACCAGCACCTTGTTCTAGATGCCTTTCCTCCTTCATGGGAAAAGAGATCGCAGATGTGAGGAGAAGCTCCGCTGATGATGAGATCGGTGGTCCTGGTCCCGCTCGGTGAAGTGTCTAAAGAGATTCGGTGTAATGTTTCTGCAGAACGTATGACGATGACGGCCACGAAGAAGGACTACATACCAAAATGAAGAATGTGAATTAGAATGCGAAGCATATTCATCTAGACACCTATTTATTCGCGACCTCAGCGATCGCAAATTGCGGTCGCAATAATTCGCGACACCTATTGCGATTCGCAATATATAAAGATTTCGGTCGTCATAAAAGTCAATGTCGAGAATCCTCTTCCTCGTATCAGGAGGCAACGAGTCTGCTCAAGGGACGATTTTGCATAAATCTAAATCACGTAGCGCCCCTGACAAATTGGAGAATTGCGATTGACGAGTCATTGTCATTTTTTTTTTTTGAAGCAAGCAGACAAATTTTAAGCAAGCACCAGTCTACAGATCATATTACCATTTTTAATTGTACCTCGAAAGTATGGTGAAGTTTGGGGTGTTGACTGCAGTTTTGATGCTTTGCGCGCAGGCTGCAGACGTTGAACAAGAAAAACAAACGTCGGCTCTCCTAAACGACCGCACCGACAGACGGCTGGGGCCAGAGCGACAGTCCCGCCCGGATTGGCTTCCAACTTTCGACCTTTTTTGAGCTTCTTTTCTGAGGAGTTAGCTAGTTCACAAATAAAAACTTTAGACCCTAAACCCTAAACCTTTTAGCTAAACGTGCCAGCACTTTATCAAATTACAACTCATGAAGATGATGATGAAGTCGTGTGTTCTTCCTAGCTACGACGATGATGAAGCAGTGCGGTCTTCAGGCTTTCGGCAGGGTCGGATCCGCAGCCTGACGTCGGGATTCCGGCAACCCTGAGACCCTTTTTTTTTGGATCCTGAACAGCTGTTTTTTTCGACCCTTAAAAATTTGAATATATCGGTAGCGGTAGTAGTTGCACTTTCGATACCTGAGCTGTATATGATCATATCATGTGAGCAATACTTTCTAGCTGTATATTTGAATTTTGTAGTTTCGCGCCCCCCACGAGATGCGCGAAAAAATGAGATGACAGGCGTCCTGCCTCGTGTGGACTGTTTTTTTTACCCCGGCCGCCTCGACGGGGCCAGCGCGAGCGTGCGCACGGAAAGACAGGGGCGATCTCATTGACCGAATAAGTGGAGATGTGCAAGATGAAGATAAAAAAGAAAAAAAAAGCCGGGAACTACTGGTGCCGAAATCGTTTGGCGACGGCTGGAAGGACCATGTGTTCAGCTTCAGGCACTTGGGTTTCTTGCTAAAATCTATGATAGCCCTGAGCGACGGTTATTTGTTTTCATGACCATAACCGCGATCCGGTCCTATTGAAAAATAACTACGAGGGAGAGATTGTTCTTGTTATGTTGAGCGAGAAGCGAGACGACGATGAGTCGGAATGTCCCACCTCTTTCCTTCTATCTTTCCGTGGCTCTGTGACTGAGTTGGGTCTTCTTGTTGGTTTGATTTCTTCGGCCTGGAGATCATCTTCTGCACAAAAAGTGATAGCTGATGTAGTTCTTCGGCCAATACTTATTTTGACAGGCACACACAGAGCGCTGCGTTGCCTTCGGGAATAATATCGATCCTCGAAAACCAAAAAAACACTCAAATCCGAAGATGGAGCGCTTCCTCCGGAAGGTGAAAAACCTCCCCCGGGAATGGTTTTTGCCTTTCCTGAAGGACTACGTTTTCTACGCAGTTTTCATCGTGCTTTTTTCCCAAATCTTCCAGGCACTGGATGGTATGGTGAATGGTGCAGCAGATGATGTTGAAGCAGATCCTCAGGCGGAACTTCTTTCACACGACGACAAAGATCTCGCTCTCGTCGATTCCCGGATTCTCCTCATCGCGATTACCACCTTCCTCTGGGCCTGGGTGTTGATTTTTTTCTACATGGCGCTGCAAAAGTCGGAATATTTGTTGGAAACCAGTTCTCTGGTGCATGGGCTCAGCACGGAGATGCGGAACACGTACACCCTGCCGATATGCAGCGGAAAACTATTGTATCAACCGGAGTCTAGTTGGTCAGCATGAAGAATGAAATTCAAATTTGCAATACCTGTTAGCGTACAAAGATAGATCTGTCATGCTGCACGACTGGGAATCATTACAACTACGACTACGATACTTTAACTTTTGCAATGCATAGCCGAAGTTCATTGGCGAAAAACTGTGCTTCGACGATGTCAAGTGGAACTGCCTGCGGAACCAGGTTGTGTACTATCCTGTGCAAAAGTATCGTACTCGTGGTAATTGCAGTATATGCATTGCAAAGTTCTTTCTCAAGTCAAATCCGCATTACAAATTTCATTCCCCATGCTGAGGAAGTTTGTCATGCGATTTCTACTAGTACGATAGTTTTGAAATTCATATGTACTTCGTGCTCGCGATGTTTGTTTTCCGCTTATTCGCAGTGGACTCCTTCGCTGCCGCGCCGGCGAACTATGACAGTGCACAACTCCACCGCCTCCTCGTCATTTGTCATGCAAAACCTCAAATCCAGTCGCTCCCTTATGGCACTGTTTGCATGACAAGTTGTGGTAGCCCAAATAGCACTACACTTGAGTGATGTAAATTTGTCATGCAAAACCGGCACTCTTGCTGATGCTTGTATTGCCGTTCATGCTATACAAACGAGGGAAAGCGGGAGCTGTGCACTCTCATACGAACGTAATCGAGGTCTTAATCGGTGTCGTCGTGTACATGGTCGTATTTGACGTCTTGCTCTCCATTGGCCACCGGGTTTTGCACACGCATCTGTATTTCTGGCACCGGCAGCACCATTCCCAAAGGGGGAGCCTGCCCGCGGGCGGATGGTAGTACTAGATTTTGGCTTTTTTTGGCCCACCTGGAGCCCACTGTTTGAGAATTATACCCGGGATGTGGACCGCTACAGATGTAGGTTGTGCAATAATAATTTACCGCGTCATCATCTTCGTCGGGTTGACGACGAATGTCACAAAAACACGGCATCATGAAGACAACTCACTTCTTGACTTCGCAGGTACATGCACATTTGCGACCTGTTTATTGAGCTGTGGATCCCGATTTTTCTCCCGCCTTTGCTCTTCAAGGCAAACTGGCTTACCATCTGGACCTGGCTTTTTCTGGTCGAATGGGACGGGGTGCACACGCACTCGGCGCTGGACTTATATCATATGTAAAAACGTCCCCACCCCATAGTCGAGTTGGGAACTTAGCAGCACAAATCCAGAAGTTTTGGGAGCCACGCATGACAAGTTGCAGTCCGTAGTGTAGCTCATGTTAGCAAGGACAATCGCAAATCAAATCCGTCTGCTTATCCTGTTTACAGCATCACAAATTCCAAAATGCGATTAGTAATGCCTGGCATGGACATGCGCATTACAAATCTTCCTGTCATCGTAAATCTGCATGACAGCTCTCGGCTGGGGACGTTTTTACATAGGATAACTTACTCCCCGGCATCATCCCGGGCCCGAAGCGGCACTGGCTGCACCACATGCTATGCAGTGCAAAAGCATCGTACTCGTGCTAGTAATTGCGTTTATGCATCACAAATCTTTTTCATAAAGGTAAATCCGCATTACAGATTTTCTTTCTCATGCTGAAGAAATTTGTATATGCATGTATAATAATGCGATGCCTGTCCTTTTGCACTTTATACATGCTCTATTTCTGCAATTTCGGACCGGGACTAGGCGACTACTTTCTGGACACAGAGTCGCGGCCGATCCGGATTTATCCACAGGAAGTAATTTATTCCCGTACACGTCGTACAAAGTTCATCACAAATGTAGTAGCCAACAACTCACAGCATGTTGATGCCACTTCTCATGCTCTACTAGGATCGAAGGCAAGCTTTGTCATGCAGAAGCCGCATAATTTGCACGTCGTGTATAGGAAATTTCCTGTGGATAGGATTTGCGACGAAGTCATGGAGAAGCTTCCGAAGGATGGGGAAGAACGCAGTGCGGTTGGTGGGGGCAGTGATATGGATGTCGCGGCTCAGATCGTCGAGAAAAACAAGGAGTTTGTGAGAAGCAAGACAACACGGGATCTGCTCACCAGCGTGCAAGAGTTTAAGCGGACGCAGAGAGGTAAGTACTTAAGTAACTGTACGTTAGATCTACTGCTCGAGATCACGACCTAGCTGTTTTTGTCGTGTACTCTTCGTTTTTGCAGCTAGGTGGTCTTGACAGAAACCTAGAATTCTTTCCTCCAACGTCTACGTCTGCGTCGGCGCGCATGTTGACCACGTTGACCACGACAGAAGCGATTGGAAATTCACTTTAAAAAAAACAGCTCTGTCGAACCAAAATTTCCGGCAAACCATGGTGGGGAAGCTCCTGGACTCATTCCAAATTCCCCTGTATCGCCAAGAAAAAAGCGTTTGTCGCTGCGATTTTAGGTTTGGGGAGCATGTTGTAGTACTCGATCGCAAATTTATCTTTATGATCTTGCAAAGCCTTGAGCGTCTGCAAGAACTGCATGCTAATCAATACAACTTGCGGAAACAGTGAATAAGTCGCTGTTGCAGCGCTTTCTCCGGACCGCATGACAAATTCACTTGCAACCGCTACCACTTTTTGTTGTGATACACTGGAGTTTGAGTCCAGTGACGAGGACCGGTTGCTCTTTTACCACGGTTATCCGGTGCAAAAGAAGTACTGTCGCAACAATTGTTACTAGAACTTGCGTCACACTAAGACAAATTTTCTTTCCTACCTGTTCCTGCATTACATCTCTGTTCTTACTGAAATCGAAATGTGAAATTATTTGTGATGCAATTACAAGCAGATGTACTGCTAGTTCTAGCACGATACAACTTTTGCAATGCATAACGGCATGGAGGTCCCCGAAGGGCAGCCCGCGTATTATGCGGATTTGGCCGGATTGGAGGGAGAGAGGCGAGGGCTGACGTATATACGGATGTAGGATTTTTACTGTTTCAACACTGGCATGTAGTTTATTCAACAATCGAATGTACAAGTTCTTCTCAACCTACAAATGCAAAAATCCTGTAGACCAAAGATGAACACAAGTTTCGGAAGCAGTTATTATAGCTAGTTCTGAGCTGTGTGACGATCAGCACATGTTGATCTTCCTGTTTCAGTGGATAATTTGTGTTGGGTTATCATGATACAGCAGCACCAAAGACTATAGACATGTACAGATTTTGACGGAATAGATGGACGAGAAAATCCTGAAAATGTACTTCTACAATTTAGCAGTTCTACTTCCGCTCCTTGCGTGGGGCGCACGTGGCTGGGCACTTCCACTTGCCCCTTTGTCGGCCGCAGGACCGAAATTATGTTTCGGTCACGGAAGAAGTAGCTGGATAAAGTAATGTGACTTCCTAGTACTTCGGAAAATAAAATAAATGGTTCATCATTTACTACGAGGTGGAGCTGGTGGGTGCGTTTTTAGCCTTGTCTTGGCTAGAGGACACGACCTCAACGAGATGTTGTGCGAAAAAAATAATCATCCCACTGAGGAGGTTAACTGCTCCAGAGCGGAGCGAAGCGCGCAAAGAAATATACATGAACTGCTAGTAGGCTCTACTTCCTTATAGTTTCCGAGGAGACAGATGAGTGGCAGCCACGATTGACTATTGCAGACGATATTGTTCCTCCTGCGCTATTATTTCTTGGGGAATCAAGCTATAAGATAGCCGTGACCTCCGCGGCATGACTATCATTATCAATGAAAATTTCCCAGTAGGCCCAGGCTACTGAGGCACCGTCGAGTGAGAGTAGCAAAAGGACGAGCAATGCGGGAATCAACGAACAAGATGTAGCCTCCCGACCGTTCTTCGCGGGACGAAAGTCTTCGCGCGAGCCGGAACGCCACCTCCGCGAGAAGCAAGAGGATTTCTTTGTGTTGGGTGGGACGAGCTGCAACGGCCAGCGCACGTCAACAAATTATGCGACGGAGCCGCAAGAAGAAGATGAGCTGGCCATGCTCCCGTCGAGGTCCTCTTCCCACGACGTCCCCCTCGCTGTTGCAGCAACTCGTCTTCCGTGGTGGTGGTCCAGGGGCTGCTCTCGTCTTCTTCTTTTCCTCAGCACCTTTGGCAGGCCGCGCGACCAGGAGCTGGTGGACCAAAGCACAATCACAAAATGAAGTGGACAGCACCAGTATCAAATGCAAATGTGTCTGTGTCATGCAAAAGCAGCATGGTGCTGCTTTTGCATGGGCATGGAAGCTCTAGCATCACAGGTTTCGAGAAGCTTCCGCAATGCCGAATCCGTGTGACAAATGCCCCACTTTGGTGACAGAAAGTGGGCAGCTTTTGCCGCCTCTGCATGACAGATTTTTATGTCGTGTTGTGAAATGCGCATGACAACAAGTTTGCTTTCTTGCAGACCCAGACAAATTTGCAATCCATAAGCAGCGCCAGCAGTAGAGATCAACTCGCAGCGGGTCGCGCAGTGGCTTGTCAGCAACAGGACCCGAAAATGAATCCATTCGCGGTCACCAATTTGGAAATTTTCGAATCCAGAGTGGGGGATAGCGTCGATGATTATGGGGTGGCACCAGACGGTAACTGGAACTCCAACTCCTTGTTCCCGGCTAGCAGTAGTAGTAGTAGTAGTGCACCGAATTTGCTGGAAAACAAGCAGCGGAAACAACTACAACAGGAGAAGGAGCAAAACCTCCAGAAAACGAGAGTACTAAAAGTAGCCTCTTCATCGCAAGAAAAGCAGCAGAAGTCTCAAGGCACCGAAAACCAAAAATCCTCCTCGTCGTCCGCCGACAATAACTACCTGAAACGCGGTGACGTTCTCCACCTCTTCTCTCCCTGGGAATCGGAAAGAGCAGGAAGAGAAAACGGAGTCAACCTGGTGCAGCAAAAAACGAGCCACTTGCTGATGCAATCAAAACAGGACTTGGACGCGGAAAAATGGCTCGCGAAAAACGGTATTAATAAGAAGCAACGACAGCTGCAGCAGGGAAGCTCCGTGAGGAATGGGTTGAAGTGCTTAGACGTGCGGAACGGAATGAATTCGGCGCAGCCGTTGGACTATGGGGATGGCTCCTCTATGTCATCGTCCGCAGGAGGAGCTTCACCATCTTCAGGCGGAGCAATATTCGCGCAGCAAGAAACGCGGTTCGCCGCGCCAGGTGGGAATCTAGGGGAATTCATTCTGGCGCTAGACACGTATTTTGACAGTACGAATTTCTACGAACAGGACGTGTCTATCTCGATGGAGGAGGAGAAAAGAAGAAAGAAAATTTATGCAAGAAGAAAACCGTGTATAGATGACAGTGTAACTTGGCGCTGTCCTCTTCACGTACTGGCTGCGCGTGAGAGGAGGGCTCCTTTGTCATGCCGAGCAATTAATTTACTGAAATGCTGTCACTGCAAGCCACCTATGCTAACACTGTTTCTTTCTTGGATAAAATTCTTGCGGATACCAATGCCTACCACTGGGAGAAAACTTCGACAGGTATAAACTTGAATTGATTTTTCTTGGTCTACGTCTACCCTCTTTACGCATGAAGATCAGAAAACCAAAAAATAATTAAGGGAAATCTGTACAAGTAGCTAATCAATGCAGAAGATCCCCCAGAGAACAAAATACCAACATCTCTCTTCAGGCTGGTGGTTTGTCCCTGACGCAAAAGCACAGAAGCAGCTTAGCGATTTGCAGCAATTGAGATCGTACGCATTGCAAAAGAGGAAAAGTATCGCACCTCAGCATGAAAAAACACCGCATGACAATTTTGAAAAAAAGTAAGGAACTTGTCGTGCAAAAAAAAATACATGAGACGGCAGATCTGTCACGCATGACAACTTCTGCCATTACTTTTATATGGGTGCAATATTGAAGATGCTTTTGCTTCTGCAGTGGATAGGCCATTAGGCGGGAAGAAGAAAATCCAGCAAAGCATGAAATTGTACAACGACTACGAGAAACAGAAAGCCGCCGCTTTGGAAACTGCTTCCGAGGAGGCAGGTACAACTAGTAGTACCGCATATGGAAGCGCCGTCAGGATTGAAATCGTGAAAGTTGAAATAGTTTGTGATGCATAAAATGCAACCCACAGAGTGCCTGTCTTGCAGAGTAGGCAAGGGAGGCAGATTGTAAGCCTGTTGAGGGGTAGGAATACAGCTGCTAAAGTAGCATGACAAAAGGCGTCGTCCTTACCCAAACAACATTACAAACTGGATTTCCGTTCTACCCAAATTTGTCATGCGCCATTTGAAAACTAGGCGCCAACTGGTATCCGTTTTATGCATCACAAACCATTTCAACTTTGTCGATTTCAGTCCTGACACTTCCATACCGCAGTAGCTCCTATTACAACAACTAGTAGCAAAGGAGAAACCTCTTCTCCATCCTCACAGCTCCAAACCAGCACTGGCAGCGACATATGGCGTTGTCAAACGTTACATTCTCAACTGTTACGCGATTTGTCATGCAAAACGAACACCAAACTCCACACGGTGAAGCTACTTCGCATGACAAATTTCGGAAAATCTAAACAGCATGGGTATCTGTGCCACATTTGTAATGCAAGAGCTGCAAGCTCCGTCCTTTCGTTCCCTTTTGCCATTCTTGCATCACAAATCCATGTAACAGCTGAGACTAATGTAACAGTTGAGAATGTAACAGTTGAGAACGCCATACGACAGCACCGCCTCAGGGACGAAAACCAGAGGACAACAGCAAGACGGCGAAGCCACTGTCAATGCACTTCAAGGAGCAAAGCAACAGGAAGTAGATGAAGACATCGTTCTTCTCGACCCCAGCCTATGCATTCCAAATATGTCTGGGTCTGGAAGTAAGTGCCAGATCTGTCATGCATATCTTCCATGACCCATGATGTCTGTGATGCTTGCCGTAGCATCACAGCTTCTGCGCGGGCTTTCTGATGCTCATACCGCACGAGAAGCACCCTCTCGTCCGCGCAGCAAAAACTGGAGCTCTTTTGCTGTTCATGCAAAACAGATCTTATTTAGGATCCAAAGATGGCATAACAAGTTGCATCCTTCCAGACCCAGACACGTTTGCAGTTGATATAGCCTGTACAAGGACAAAATTTTCGAGCGCAACACGGAGAAACGACAATTGTTGAGTAAGAAGGTCTACTACTACTTCCGCAAGTGGGTACAGGAGGGCGAGAAGGCGGAGAGTGGGGATCTGGGGAAAAAATTCCACTACTGCACGGACGACCGGGCGATTGCGCATATCAAATGCAAATTAATATGTCTGGGGCTGGAGGAGTGGAATTTGTGATGCTAACTTTGGAGTCTAAAAAATCAAAAATTTGTGTAGCATGAAGAGCAAGAGGACTCCAGTTGTTGCTATGCAGAGAGGGAATTTCTCATGCGGGAGAGGCATCAAGAAACCCGTGAAATAAAACCTGTGATGCAGCTTTGGCATGCACCACAAACGTGATGGGTCATGCAAAATGTGCATGACAAACGTTCCAGTCTTCCAGACCCAGACATATGTGCAGTTGATAGTGCATCTGGAGAACCAATTACAGAAGGAGAACTTGAACATTTTCGACGTGCGAGGCGATATGCAAAGAAAAAAATTAAAGTTTTACAAAAATTACACACAGTGATGCAAAACGTGCAAGACAGATGACCTGTGCCATGCCCAAAATGCTTGCGGGTCTCGTTTCGTGTGTGTTTTGCACTATGATCTCTGCATTACAAGTTTTCTTCGTCATGCGAGGCAACGTTGTAATGCTGAATTCACTACAAATCCAATGTGTTGTGTAACTGTAACACTTTTTTTTCTTGGATAGGCGAGGACCCGAAATTAGTGGAGAAAATGCTCTTTCTGCTGATAAAGACTGCAGAAGCCCCCCTCACCGTCATTTGTATTGCATGAGCAGCAGTACAAGTGTCAGCGAGAATGCAGGTTTTGCATGACAAATCTGAACAGGAGTGTAGTGCTATTTCGGCTCCTGCCAGAACTTGTCATGCAAAAAATTGCAAGAGGCACAGGGTGGATTTGGTGCTTCGCATTACAAATGAGCGGGACGAGGGGGAGTTGTGCCCTCTCATAGCTGACCACCCACCCACAGAACCAGGGTGACGCGTACTTGCGGCTGCTGTTGAAAATGCCGGAAAAGTTCGGATATCAAATGCAAAAATGTCTGGGTCTGGAAGAGGCGGGACTTGTCATGCACATTTTGCATGACCCGTGAGGTCTGTGACGCAGGTCCTAGCATCACAGATCTTTTGAGGCCTTCTCGATGCTTATCACGCATGAGAAATGCCCTCTCCGCGTGCCAAGAACTGTCTCCTCTTGCTCCTCATGCAACACAGATATTTTTAGAATCCGCAGACAGAATTACAACTTGCATTCATCTTCCAGACCCAGACACTTTTACATTTGATATCGGAACCTCGCGGTATTTGGTGCAGGAGGTGCTGAAAAATTTCTACTTGCTTTTGTGGGAAAAAAACCGGAGACTGGAGCGGCAGAACAGCATCGCAAAGCAGCCCATGCGGATCAATGACGTGAGTCTGGTGGAACTCGACGTGATTCGGGACGACGAAGATCTTGACAGTGACGCCGATTTTTTTTACAACAGCAACTCCGGAGGTGCAACCTCCTCAACATCCACCCTCCGTGCCTTCATCGATCTCGAGACTTCCCAAGGAACGAAAAGCATCGAAGCAAGTTTGATGGAGAGCCGGCGAGAAGAAGATTTTTCAGTAGCTTCTGCAACTGGCAACTGCCCGGAAGATCTCTCCGCGGAAGCGGATATTTTAGCTACGCCGATTTTTGTCGGGTTGAGTGATCCAGACGTCGATTATGGTTTGGCGGTATCAAGTGTAAAAATGTCTGGGTCTGGAAGAATGCAACTTGTGATGCTGCATTTGGAGTCCAGAAAAATCTGTATTGCATGAGTACCAAAAGGAATGTAATTTTTGCTACGCGGATAGGGCATTTGTCATGCGGAATAGGCACCAGGAAGCTCTCAAAAAATCTGTGATGCTAGGGCATGCATCACAGACATCAGGGCTCATGCAAAACGTGCATGACAAGTGTCCGAATCTTCCAGACCCAGACATTTTTACAGTTGATAAGCGGATGGAAGTTCGGGAGGAGGTGCGGATGGAAAATTTTCCTCCTCCAGTACCTCTCCAGCGATGCTGACCCTAGCAGAGACGAAACGCAGGCGGGAAGATCTTGGTGACTCAGAGTCTGGACGAACATCAAGCGACACAAGTGCGGGGAGTAATATTAGGGAAACCGCTGATTTGGAAACCGGCACTGGCATTCTTGCAACAACTACAGCATCTAGTTCCCACGGTTTGCGCGAGTTTGGGAGGAAGGCCGAGAGGAGGAGGAACAAGCAATTTCAACACGAAACAGGCCGTCCAGGAGGCTCGACGGAACTAGTACCGGGTGCTGGAGCGAACATTTCGTCTTCTCGCCGGGGAATGAAGCACGCGAGCAGAAATCACAGTGTGACGCAAGAACGGCAGCTTCTGACATCACGGAATTCATCCCGACAGCCTCTTCTCGGACGGCGCGGTATCAAATGTAAAAATGTCTGGGTCTGGAAGGATTCATGTTTGTCATGCTCGTCTGGCATAACTCTTAAATCTGTCATGCACATTACCCAAGAGCTCCGCTTTTCTGTGATGCAGAAGCGCAGTTTGTCATGCAGAATAGGCAACACCTAGGACCTCAGAAACTTTTCATGCTGAGCCAACATTTGTAGCCTCATCATGAGACGCCGCCCAGCATCACAAGTTTCCAGACTTCCACCCAGACACTTTTACATTTCATACGCGGCGTGACTGCACAATTTCAATCCCAACAGCAACAGCAGCCTGCGACGAACTTTATCTACGGCTACAATCCGTATAATCCACCGGGGCAGCTGGTGGGAATGACAGCAGTCTTACCTCCTGGCGCGCCTGCGTATAATTACGGCTACACCTACAGCCCAATGCAGCAGTTCCAGCCTATGGCGGGCGTTTTTATGCCACCGCAAATTGCACCAGGAGGAGCTCCGGTGATGATGCAGCAACCGTCGCAGATGATGATGCCAGCGGGAGGTGGCGGTGGAGCTCCTGCGCCAGGAGCCGTGCTGCCACAAGAAGGTGCTAGTATGTACAATGGTTTCATGGGAGGTGGATCACCCGTGTCCACGTCTCAACCGATGATGTACAACTTCAGCCCACAACAGCCACCGATGCAGGTGTACAACTACGGAGCAGCAAGCTACGGCCCACCCGTGCAGCAGCAAGAACTGTTGCAGCAGCAAGAGGCGAGAACGAACACAGGAGCATCTTCTGGCGCCGGTGAAATAACTACGGAAGATGAAGTTGTGTCGCCTGATCATCAGACGCAAAACGGAGAACTGGAACAACGTGGGGGGCAGCTTGTTCCGGACGATGCTGTTGTTGACCAGGACCAAGATCAACAAGAACGGGATGAGCAGGTGTCGTCGACCAGTAGTACATCAGATGACCAAGCAACTGCATCACCACCTGCAGGCACCACTCGATCTACAAACGAGCTGCTCCAAACGTCGTCCGCAGGGGGTGGCTCTTACTTTCTCCCGCCACAACAACCGGCATTGTACTTTACGTCGTTCCTGCAGGAAAAAGAACAGTTCTCGGCGAGCGCTGGAACCAGCAGATCATTCACCAAAACCACTAGCAACAAGAGAAAATCCAACCAGCTCAACGTGATGATCTACTACCGGGATGCGGTGCGGCATGAGTAGGAATTGCAAAAGTGATGTCGTGCTAGTTCTACTAGTAATTGCAATCCAAATTTTCTCAGCGCGCGCATGCCAAATGGAGTTTCTTGTAATGCTGCTTTAGCCTAGAAAGGCGATTTGTCATGCATATCTGCAATTAGCACGACCACGAGTTGCGCGATCAGACTTTTGCAATGCATAACAAGCGGCGGAAGCTGATTCAGTTTTTCGACCAGGAAACCAGTGATTTTCCGCTGGACAAGGTGGAATTTTTCAAGACGTTGGAGGAGAAGGGGGACCGGAATTTGCGGCTGTTGCTCCAGCATTCGGTGGCGGTGGACAAAGACACGCCGTATTTCAACCTGGTGTATTCCTAGATGAGAGGATGAGGAACGATTAAGTTTAGTACGGGAAGCAGCTCCTGAGGAGGGGTGTTGATGATGGGGAGGAGCTGCATCAACTGGGGGTGAGTGACCACGAAAGATCGTGACACTGGAAAGTGACAAGAGCCGCAACATACTTGTCTGGTCAAGAAGCTGCCCTGTCAGAAGAAGTAGAACCGATCCACTACCCACAACGACCGCAGCCACAGCAGGGCTGATAATTTGCAACTATTTCAGAACAGAAGAACACTTTTTTTTTCACAGACTTATTTTCAATAAACTTACCTTTCAGCATTCTATACTTTTCGCACAAATGGTAATGGTTTTAAATCAAATACGTTTCGTTTCTTTTTCAAAATGAGGACAGCATGGATAGTTGTTCGTCAAGCAGCGTTGAAGATGAAAAACTCCTGTACAGAATAACATTGATAGGATTGAGTTTGAACAGATCATTGGTTCGCAAGAAAAATGTATTTCTGCGACGTACCGATGATGTTAAAGCACCACGGGGGCTTCTTGCAAATATTTGTTTCGCGAGGCCGGTTCACTTGTGTTCCCGCTTTGCCAGCGAGGCGGCGGCGTCTTTGTATGTTGTGTCGAAGTTGTGCAAAAAGTATTCACCACAAGAGAAAACGAGGGAGGGGCGCAGCAGTGTGCTGGGTCTGTGAGGCCCTCGGCCGGCGAGGTGTTGCGCCCTTCCTGCCATGGAGGGGGTGGCGGCCGGCGGGGTTTTTATATTTTTCCCGAATGGAAACGACGGGCGCCGCTGCTCGTCAGGCGATTGCGCTGGTTCCTGAAGTTCTTGAGCGACTGTGGAGCGGGGCCATCGGGGGGCACATTGTTGGCGCACCAGCGCCCGGAGGGCGACGCGGGCCGCCGTTGTGGATATGGGTGACGGAGTGGGCGGGCTATCGGTCCGGCCAGTCTGGCGGCAGGCTCGCTGACCCGGAGAGGGAGCCGACGGAGGTCCGGGCGGAGGTTTCTCCGGCGTCGTGCCACCAGCTGGACACGAAAAACGCACACCCGGGAAAGAAGCCGCCGGCGGGCCCCCTGGTCAGTCTGCCTGCCTTTCGTAGCGAGGGAGCGAGGCGCGTCAGCGGCCGGCGCAGTTTGTGCACCCATCGGCGCCGGTAGCGATGGGGGCGGGCCTTGTCTGTGTCGCAAGGAAGCCCTGCCGCGCGCTTGGGGGCCTGTATGGCGGCCGCCCTTCGCTTCGTGGAGCGAGGGCGGCCGCCCTTCCTTTGGGCGTGTGCCTGTGGGTTTCATTTCATTCGCGCCGGCCGCGAGCTAGCGGCTGCGGCGGGGCGGGAAAAGCGAGGCGGCCTGGCGCAATGATCTACCCTGGCGCCCGTCGGGCCCCGCCAGCGAGCGCTAAAAAGGACCTGGAACAACGCAGCCGCCTCCTCTGATGCGCCTCCCCCCCGGGCCGCAGAAGCCCCGGGCCGTGTATGTTCCCGCCGCCTGGCCGGCCGCCGGCTGGCTGCCGCCCGCCTCTCCCCGGGCCGGTACCTGGTTGCCTACCAGGCTGTGGACCGGTGGCCGGCCCTGCCAAACGCTGGTGGGGCCCTTTCTTTGTCGGCCCGCGCGCGATTTGTAGGCAGGCCGGCCGGCCCGGTCCGGACGGAGCGGTCGCCTCCTGTCGCGCCGCCGCCCGCGGTTGGGGCGGGCCCGCCCGCCGGCCGGGCGAAGGACTAAATTTGTTGGCTTGTGTTTGGCCGACCCCATTCATTGGCAGGCAGGCCTGGCAGAGTGATTGCTGGGCCTGCCAAGGCAGGGCCGGGCGGGCGCCCGCTGGGCTGGATGGTTCTTGCCTCCCCATCTTGCGAAGCACTCTGCGCGACCACGCCCCCGACGAAGGGGCCGCCCGGTGTTGCAGCATGCAGGGAGGCACCTGGGTGGGCACCCAGCATGCGTCGTCCATCCAACCTACCATTGACGGCCGCCTTCGTGCCGCGGTCGGTGAAACGAAGGATAAAAGGGCCCAACGTCAGGCGTCCCAAGGTGGAAGCGTGCATTCCCATAATCTCAGCCGCGTCGCAGCTGTGTGGGTGTCCTCTGGCCCGTCCTCGATCCCTGCCCTAGTTGTGTCTGTGTTCTCATTGTTGTCGCAGATGACGATTGTTCTGCGCAGAAGCTGAAGCAGGTCTCCTGCTACAGCGGGTCCTTTCCCTGCAGTCATCCGATGAGCCCCATCGGGGTTGAAGGTACCTCGCTAGCCGCAAGCATACCAAGTTGCCAAATAGCTACCTACCAGCACTCGCAGCACAGCATCTTTACTGCCACTTATTGCCGCACGAATCCTTCATCGACCTCCTCTTGGCAATATTGAGTAGATTAAGATATCTCTTCGCGTGCTGATGGAGTGACAACCTGCGCGACTTGACTATACTACATCAAGTTGAACCAACATGAAAACTTTCACGAACAAGAAGACGAGCACGACTGTTAATATTCGGAGCGTTGACCACGTCGAGAAGGAGAAGATGACAAAGCGCCAAAATTCATTAATTTCGTATGTGAAACACGCCTGCTCTCGTCCACCTGTGGATGTAGTGGCACTGCTCGGTGCAAGCAACATAAAATCTTCGAGAATACAGACGAGAATGTCCACAAGAACTACTTCTACTTGTACTACCTGGGGAGATTCTTCTGTGACGTGAAACTAGTAACTCCGCCGGCCTCGTCGTCTTCCCCGCCGCAATTACCTATCTATTGCTTCAATTCTTGGAGTTATCCCCACACCGAGAACGAGGCGGGCCAAGTGCGTGCAACATCGAGTGACCGCGACCCGCGCAGCACAGTTGCCACGATGACCGTGCTCTCGGCCGCTGGGCCCGCGAAAGAACCACCCGGCGTGATGAACCCGGCTTCGCAGGGTGGTGGTGCAACTGCCGCGGGGACCTCCAAACCGCCTGGTGGTACAGGGACTGGCGCAAGTGTCGAGGAAATCGAACAAACATTGTCGGAGATCTTCGACTTTTACGCAACACGGCCGCATTCCAAAAGTGCTTTGCTCTTTACATTTGTCATGCGTGCTACGACGTGGTCGAGAAGAGCATGGATTAGGATTTGTCCTTCATAATATTGGTAGCGCAGCAGAATGCATAGACTGCAACTTGTCGTGCTGCTAGGTCTGCGACAGTGACGAGGAAGATCATGCACATGATAATTTTTCAACACATCGTCCGCATTAACAAACCACTGCACCTTCAGGTACCGGCTCCTCTGTCCTAAAGTCTGCCAAATTCATGAAGATGTGTCTGGACGCCGACCTGGTGGACGACATGCAAAGCACCCAGGCTTCCGACCCACACGCGCGGTCGAAGCTGTTGACGTCTGCACGGTATCCTGTGCAAAAGTGTCGTACTCGTATTTTTGCAGTCAAGCTCATTACAAATCTTTTTCTCGAGGTAAATCACCGTATACAAATTTCATTTCTCATGCTGAGAAAATTTGTAATGCAATTCATACTAGTACGATATTACTTTTGCAATGCATACGCGGGTCGACTTGATTTTCAAAAAGTTGTGCGGGAACCGAACGACCATGACTTTTGAGCAGTTCATGAACGCTTGCGTCCAAATCGCGCTCACCAAATACCCGCACGTCAGCAAAGCCTACGAAGCCTTGTCAATTCTGTACGAGGATATGCATTGCAAACCAAGTACTCGTGCTAAAGATTGCAGACAAAGACATGCATTAGTGATATTATAAAATGTAAATCAGCATGACAAATTCCAGTTGTAATGCTGAGATACAATTGCAATTCCTGCTAGGTCGACGAGTATACTTTATTTGCACTCTATAGAGGAGCACTTTTCGAAATTTCTCAACCCGCACGCGGAGCTCCTTGGCGTGTTCCTAGGCGGGCAACAGGACCACGCGGGCATTGGGGAGGAGTCTTTTTTCGAAGCCATCGCACCGGTCAAGGAGGCCGTGCTGACGCTCTATCAAGGGTATAATTTCATTTTCACGTTTTTCTGAAACCACTCAACGCATCTACTTTCTTACTTTCTATCTCTAATTCTACGTATGCAGCTTGCACCGATTCGTTTGGATGATATTTTGTTGCATGACAGTCGCCCTTTGGTTTTGCAGGTGCTGTTGAAGCAGAAATTCATTCTCATGCGGGCTCTACAACAACTACATGAAAGCAGGATTACGATTAGCAACGCCAATCTCGAATCAAAGGTACTTCTGCCAGGAGCTTAATCCGCATTTTCAGCAGCAAACGGCAAGCCTCTATGCTGCGCAAAAGCATCGTACGAGTATGAATCGCATGACAAATTTCCTCAGCATGAGAAAGAAAATTTGTAGTGCGGATTTAACCTAAGAAAGAAATTTGTAATGCATGAATGCGATTAGTACGAGCACGATACTTTTGCGCAGGATAGCCTCGAATCGCAGTCGATGAAGGCCTTTCTCGCATGTCTGCACGACTTCGAGATCGCTCCGAATTTGGTTCCGAAACCGATCTGCTTATCGGTTTTCCGGGAGGTACTACTAGATGGCAAAACAGTTTTCATCTACGGAGGCTGTGGAGTTTGAGTTTGTCATGCATGCATGAACTTCGAGGGGAAGATGTGGTGCAATAGGGGTTTCATACAGTAGACTTGAAGTTCTAGGGGTTTCATACAGTAGACTTGGAATTTGTCATGCGGAAAGATATTAAAGCCCAAATCATACTTAATTGACCACGACAGGTCCTGAAAGCGAAAATTCCGGAAGAGTTTTTCGCTCAGTTTTTGAAGACCTCGGAGCTCACGGAGGAAGAACTGCAAAGCAAACCGATTTTGACACCTGAGGAGCTCTCTCTGAAGGGCCGGCTGTTCACCATCGGACACTTTGTGATTGGACTCTATTTGGTCGGAAAAAAACTCCGAAACGACCCGGCTGGGCTTTTGCAGCAACCGTCTCCGGCAGTGGTGATAACCGAATTGCTGGAGAGGATGGACGTGTCAACGCCAGGAAAAATCATCTTCACTGCGGAGCGTATTGATCAATGTCGATGTCGTTTAGTTTTCTTGTGCATGATTGATCGCATTTGCTAGTTATTGTTTGCGTGGCCCGCATGATGACATCAGCCTGCCAGGGCATATAACTGAAATAATCCTACAACTACATGACAAACTGGTGATCTCCCCTCATCTCTCATTTCAGGCGCCCGGTCCCTCCCTCTCTCCAGTGCTTTCAACGCGCCAGGGAAAGTTCCGTTTTCGTTCTTCCCCGAACCCAGGCCGCAATCAACATCTTCTCATAGTACCGGACAAACCGGCGCACCAGCTTCGTCATCTTCATCTAGTCAACAAAACTACAAAAAACCGACATCCCAGCACCTGCAACAAATCGGCGGCAGTTCGTCTTCCAGTAGCAGCGCGACGAGGCCTATCCAGGAAAAAACACCCATCCCCATCCATGTTTTGCATGACAAGCACTAGATTTTATGCCTGTTTTGCATGACGAATTGGATGGGGATGGGTGTTTTTTTGTGGATAAGGGCCAGGGCCGGGAGCACGCGAAGCCCAACCACGGGGATCATGAAGAATGGTTTGTCTAACAACTTCGCTAACCGGATTAATAATTCTGGGTCTTCCGCCGGGAGAAGAAATTTTTCGAAATTTCTCATTCCGGACGACGTCGGGGTTTTCCTCCAACAGCAACTAAAACTGAAAGAAGACGACGATGGATCGGTTCTTTCCGGCGAGGAGATTGACCACCTGCTCCAGCAGCTCTTCCTTTACTACAGCTCGCTCGGAGACCCTCTGAACCGAAATAGCATGAGCTCCATGAAGTTTAACCGGTTCCTCCGCGACGCGGGTTTACTCCCTAGGGATTGCAAATATTTCTGGGTCTGGATAAGTGGAACTTGTAATGCTGTCCGCGGATTCTAAGAATATCTGTGTTGCATAAGCAGCAAGAGGAGTCAGCTCTTGGCACGCGGAAAGGGCATTTCTCATGCGTAATTAGCATCAAGAAGCTCTCAAAAAATCTGTGATGCTAGCAACAGCATCACAGACCTCACGGGTCATGCAAAATGCGCATGACAAACCCCGACTCTTCCAGACCTAGACATTTTTGCAATCCATACTCCCCGCGGAATTGCCGAAGGGCGCTCTGTCTTTTGACCAGAAATCGCTGCAGGTAAAATCAAAGCTGTACAGCAACTACGCGCAATTACACGACGCCGGGGACTACCACGGGAGCGGAAAATGCACCAGGACCGCGAATCTGGAACGGTTGGTGGAAAACAGCGATTTCGTGTTGAATCAAGTGGATGTGGATTTGATCTTTCTGCAGGCAACAAATTACGAGAGGAAAAAACAGCATTCCTCCGGGCACCAAGTACGACACTTGCTGACCGTAAAAAGCTGGCGCAGGGCGGTCGCGGACATTGCAGTGAGACGGTACCTGGAATTGTTCGGCGTGGGGGTGGAACGGCTCATGCAGGAACAGCCGGAGGCGGTGATATTTGCAAGTATACTTTTTTACACAATCTTTGACTACTTTCGAGCTTTGCTGGACAATCTCGTCGGAGTGAACTAGCTACAACACAACTCTCCTGCTATTGACTTTGAATGAAACAAAAACTTAATAGCCGCCATCACCTCCTTTGCGGAGGCCATTCTGCAGCCGCTTTGCAACGCACTAGATTTTCAGTCCCACGTCGACGTTTCGAACTTTGCGGTGGAGATGGGTAGAAAGGAGATGGTGGAGTTATTCCATTCGCCAAATATCAGTGACGGAATTTCCAAAATTTTCGCCTATTACGTATGCATTGCAAAACTCTAGTATCTTGGTCGTTATCGCAATACAAATACTAGCGCTTAGCATGACAACATCAAATGGAATCTGTCATGCAAATTTTTTAGGTCGGGAAGGCGATTTGTCGTGCATGGTTGCGATAATTTATTACAACTACAACTACGGTGCACAGCTTTTGCAATGGATACCATGCTGACCAAACCTACACAACATCTGCGGCGAACGCAAACTCCGCAATGATGAACTTGAATTCCCTTCGCTGGACTGTCAACAGCTTTCTAAAGTATAAAATTCCAAGTTGGATAATTTTGATTTTTTAGTTCAGTGAATTTCATCAATTTTTTCCCATGTAAGTTTCTCTTTCTTCTCGATTGAGTGATCTGCTGGTACCAAACTGTCATGCAATAGATCCTAATGTTGTACTGTACAGTACTAAAAATATGAGCAGAAGACAACTTCTCAAAAGCAAAAGTACACCCATACAATCATGTACCACTTTTTGAAATAGGTTTTGTGCCGACTTTGAGATCCAGGAGGAGCTATCGCACCTTCCTATCCATAAACAAACACCCATCCCCATCCAATTTGTCATGCAAAATATGCGTCAGAGCCATTGTCTGCCATGCAAAAACTTGATGGGGATGGTTTTTTTTTGTGGATACTTCCCCTCCAGAGGATCTTCCAGGATTGCGCACAGGTGGAATTTATGCATTGGAAACATGTAGTGTTTGGGTCTGGATCATTGCAAGAGCTGCAAGACTTGGAATGCCGGAACGCATGTTGCGCAACGGTGCTGCTCGTCTGTGCTGTGCTGCAATGAAAATGCGGCTTTGCATGCACAGATCGCAGTAGATAGCCGCTTTTAGAAAAGCAAAATTGTCATGCGCTTTCTGCGTACGGGCTCGTCAGATGCACAACACAGTACGGTGACAACTAAGTACTTTGCATTTGCTCCAGAATTACGCCAGATATGTTTGCAATGCATAGAACTGGTGGAAAAACGAACAGCGAATACTCTTCCGACTTCCAAAGCGGAAAAGGCGTCGGGGGACCAGTTAACGCGATTGGGGTTTCAACTCTCCTTGGTTCTGCTTGCCGTCAAGCTCAACAAAGCCGACTCCTCTCTACCGTCCCTGCAAGACCAGGTGATCGCGCTGTTACACAAACTCAACCACGCTCAGGGCGGGATGAAGGTATACTCCTAAAATCATACTTGGGTAGTTATTTGGGCAGTTTGTGTTGCATGAATCTGGAGGTTTAGCATTTCGATTTCCACTAAAGCTAACAGTCCGTAATTCGCATGACACCACCTTGGGATATTCTTATTTACGTCGAGGTGCATGAACTAAAAATCAGGACCGTCCCTCCGTCGCCAGCTTAACCCGCAAAGGGATGCTGTTCACCAACTTACCGCCGCTTATGCAAAGCAAATATGTCTGGGTCTGGAAGGTTGAAACTTGCCATGCTAACTCTGAATCATGCAAAAATCTGTGTTGCATGAGTGCCAACACCTGCCTCCTTGTGAGCCAGTTCGTTGGGCGGGAGTTTCTCATGCAGGATAGGCACGACAGAGACATCGCAGAGTCTGTCATGCTAGGTTCGCATTCCAGGCCTCATTGGTCATGGGAAACCTGCATGAGAAGTTGACAGGCCTCCAGACCCGCCAGACATATTTGCATTTGATACCGCTCGGGACGTTACAACTGGATAATTTCCGGAGGAGTTTTGATTCCACTTCCGTGGAGAATGTGAATTGGAATTCTGTGAAATATATGGATTGCAAATATGCCTCGGTCTGGAAGAGTGGAACTTGTAATGCTGTCTGCGGATTCTTAAGATATCTGTGTTGTATGAGCAGCAAGAGGAGTCAGCTTTTGGCACGCGGAGAGGGCATTTTTTCTCATGGGTCATTAGCATCAAGCAACTCTCAAAAAATCTGTGATGCTAGCACCAGCATCACACACCTCACGGGTTATGCAAAATGTGCATGACAAGCCCCGACTCTTCCAGACCCAGACATATTTGCAATCCATAAAATCCGAAGAGATGTTTCTCCGGAACTCCTTCAATACCGTAGCTGGGACGACGAGCTCATCTTCTATGGGTGGCGGTGGCAGTACGGCACCGAAGCTGTTAACGGAGAGGTTTTTCAGGACGCTACGGACTTGAGAGGAAGAGGGTGTTGTAGCAGGGGGAGGAGTTTCTTCAGTTTTACTCGGCTAGTTTGGAGTAGAGCTACAACTGTGCTGGCTTGTTAATACACTTCATGTAGTCAGCACCCACGCAAATCTAAGGAAAAAAACGACATAGACAATAGAGCTTTCGCATCTCATCCACCAGGGACAACTCGCCGATAATCATTTATTCCACAGCTATACCAAAACGAGGCTTGTTTCGTGCTTTCAAGAAAATTTTATACTCGTGTCGAACAAAATATCACCGTGTCGGTTAGCCGTAAGGCAGCAGCTAAGACAGATTCACAGCAAATTCAAATATACGATATACGCTTTCGATCGCCGAAGAGTCCTTACACAGATATTACCACATCCACATTTTTACTGCAAGAGTCGCACATCACAATCACTGTAGCAAAACTACTATAAAGCGCATCAGACTTCACTCACAAGACGAAAGTTTCATTCGGATCGATAGGTGACAAGGTAGTTGTCGTATTGTAAAAACGCCTTTAGGTAGTTGTACTGCCGAGATGATGCACTCTGAAATTCATCTCGGACTACGACGATGCAACAAATGAACTTGATGCTACATCAAATTATAGTCGCACACATCCTACCCTGTTAGAATGAACGCAAATGTATCAACTGTGACGCTGCTGTAAGTGCCTCTTTCTACCATTTCAAAAATGTCTTTTTAACTCTGCTCTGTCGGTTCACAACTCGTCTCCTGAGTCTGCTTTTTTGGAATATGAGAAAACTGCACCTGAAAGTGGAAATGGAAATCAGAAAAGCGAAAGGTATGAAAAAAGCGGCTGCAGAGTATGCCCGTTGTGTGGGCCGCGGCATTTTAATGATAGTAGATGACGCACACACCGTCGTCAGCCGGGACGATCATTCACGGACGTGCTCACGCCCTTCTGAAGCTGAACATAACCAGCCGAGTTTTGTGCTCACTGTGTGCCAGATGATCCCCAGTATAACTGCGCAAACTCAGACAGCCTCCCTCACTTGACGATCTGGGTGCGCAGCCGCGTCGGGCGTGCTCCAACGCCCGGCCGAAGGAGTCACAAGCAGCGCGGGGCCGTGGCGCGACCAGCGTGCCGCGCCCCCATATTGCAAGGGAGCACACAGGCGGGGACGCCGCCCGAGCTGCGGCGCGTTTCGTCATTGGCTGCGTCGCGGATTGGCCTGCAGGGGCGGCCCCGACGATTGGTGGGCGGGGCGGATTTTGATGGGGGTCAGGGGGTCGCAAGTTGGGGCCCCGTCATTATTGAGGCATCCTACGCCACCCCCCTGGGGAGCGGAGTCCCCGCGGAGGCGCCGGACGGGGATGCAGGGCGCCGGCGTGTTCTTCAGGGGCGGGGGCACGGGGCCCCCGGGGTGGCCCTTTGGCGGTGTGGCGTCGTGCCTGTTCGGCCCCCCGCCCCCGCCCGCGCGCAGGCCGGCCCATCTAGGCCGGAAAAGTTTGTTGAAGTCACGCTTACCGAGGTGAACAGCGCAGCGGCGGCGGGGGCGAGCGGTTTTGTCGGCTAATATATATGGCCGCGCGGTTGCTCCGCCCGCCGGCCGACCCCTTTCGTTGTTCGGTGCTTGACCGCCGTCCGGGCCCTCTCGCTAATCACATTGCATGAAGAACAGCGCGCGGCCAACTTGCGCCGGCTGCGTGCGCAGCCCGCTCGGTGCAGTTGCCCGAAGAAGAGGAGGCCGTCGCGAAGGTTGAGCAGCTATGGCGAGGCTGGTGCGTCGATTAAGGGGACGGGCGGCGCACCCTTGGCGAGCCGGCCGACGCCTTCAAATCAACGAACCAACGCGACCAGGGCGCATCGGGGGCGGGCCGGCGGAATGCAAACGCCCGCCCGGCGGCTGGCGCCGGGATTGGTGTACCGACCCCCGCGGCGCCCCACGCGTTCGCGATGGGCCGCCGAAAATGAAACGCCGGAAAATTGGCGACGGCGCCCCCCCGGCTGACAAGGTTGCGAAGGACAGGGCCGCGGTGCGGCCGCACGTCCGTCGGCCCCCCCCTTCTTTGTTTTCGCGCGCGGGCGCTTGCGAATAGTGCCCGCCCCCCCCCCTTGTGTGGGCTGTGGTTGCGCGCGTATTTGTGTCCGCCCCCCTTTCACTCCGCCCCAAATTGTAGAGGCGCGCGGCGCAGTCGGGGCGCCGCCGGAGAGAGATAGAGTGGCGCGGCTGGGTCCCCGGCCCGGCCGGCATCATCTGGTGGATGGTTGGCTTGGTCGGCGTGGTCATTGGTTCCTTCGTCTTCTGGCCCATTACAACTTGGTTTGCGCCCAGGCTCGCCCGCCGGCTTGCTAGCTTGGCTTGTATTGGGGCGCCGTCGCACCCTGCAAACGTGGTTGGGTGTCCGCTGCCTGGCGTCGTGAGTGAATGAAGCAAGGCCCGCGGCCGGGCCTCTGTCAAAGGCCCCCCGTGGCGGGCCTAAGTGTGTTTATGTGTCTGTGGGCATGGAGGCCTTCTCGCCCTGCTCGTACGTTGTTTCTGTTCATCTCCATTTCGGCGAGATTATTGCTTGTTGGCTTGCATTTGGGCCGTTCCTGTTTCTTAATCAATGTTTTCACAGGCGGATCCTGCTTTCATTGTCACGGTTTCACTTCTCCACGGTAGCTCATAGCCTTTTCACGGTCGCCGGCAATGCCTACGCGTGCTGTTCGCGTGAAAAAGATCCATTTGTGTACGTACGCAAGCTCGTCGCTTTCTTGACTCTAAATTAAGGATTTTCTTGTTTCCGCTGTTGCTCGTCTATTTGGTGTTGTCGTGTATTTCGGTGTAGTTAAATTCTCCTTTACATACGCATCCCCCAGCTCCAGATGGTGATCGTCGGCGCCGTCCCGCACGAGCGGGGTTTTAACCAGCAGGAACTCCAAAATTACCCACCGTCTACATCTAGCGGTGTTCGTGTAGAAACCGGCCGCTTCGCCTCCTCCTCCTCGAGCTCATCAACAGCACCACAGTACCCCACCAATTACAATGCCAACCCCTACTCAACATCAACCCGAAACACCCCTTCCTACCGGCAGAACCAGTCCAGCCCCTCCCTCACTAAACGCATCAAAAATTTTCTCCAACTCCACTGTCGGGACTTCAAGGCGCCATTTAAGGTTTTGATTGAAAAAACCTGCTGGTGTTACCCTTCCAACCAGTTGAAGAAGAAAAGATCGCTGTATCATCAACTGGTGGAGCTCGAGGAAAACGAGGAGGATTGTACAACAGCCTCACCAGTTTTGTTGGAGACGCAATACTATGCATTGCAAAAGCATTGCACTAGTGCTGTGGATCGCATGACAAATTAGCTCAGTTGTATGAGTAGATATGGAATCTGTCATGCTGAATTGCCTTGGGATGGAGGTTTGTAATGCATGACAGCGATTACTACCACGAGTGCGATACTTTTCTTTGCGGTGGATAAATGCTTGGTGGATAAGGTCGGAGATTTCTTCATCTACCTCGCGATGGCGTTGATGGGCTTTTTTCTCGTGAAGGTGATCTTGCAAGACAATGATAACAACGCGAACAAGACCGGCGTGAAGATAAAAGACGATCCCGGAATTGAGAAGCATCCTTTCGAGGTTTTCGATTTTGAGTATCCTGTGCAAAAGTATCGTACTCGTAGTAATCGCCATCGCGGTCATGCATTACAAATCTCCTTCTCAACCTATATCCGCATTACAAATTTCATTTTTCATGCTGAGGGAATTTGTCATGCGATTACTATATATTATATTCATGCGAAAAAAGAGGTAGACAGAGGGTAAACAAGAGGTGGCCGAGAGGTCAAAAAGAGGGCAAAAGAGGTAAAAAAGAGGTCGACAGAGGTGGAGAGGTGGCGCGGGACCCCTTTCGAGAGGGTCGGCGAGAGGGTGCGCGAGTATAGCCCGCCGAAGGACCCACCTTAAGGCGGCGCCTAAGTGCCTCAGAGGGTGCAGAGAGGTCAAAAAGAGGGGGCGCGGGAGGTCGACAGAGGTCGAGAGAGGTGGCGCGAATAAGGGCCAACCTCTCGCGCACCCTGTCGGCCACCTCTGGGCCACCTCTGTCGACCTCTACCCTCGAGTATAGCCGGACTATTAGCGGGGACCCCCAAAAGAGGTAAAAAAGAGGGTCTGCGAGAGGTCTGCGAGAGGGTAAAAACACAGAGTAGCGGGCGCGAATCCGCATGGGAGTCCCCACATTTAGCGTTGCAGGCTCTTCGCGGAGTTGTTTTGTTCGGCGCCTGTCCCCGCCACCCTCTCGCGCACCCTCTCGCGCCACCCTCTTGCGCCACCCTCTCGCGCACCCTCTCGCGCCACCCGCTCGCGCGACCCTCTCGCGCCACCCTCCCGCGCCACCCTCTCGCGCCGGGCGGCTTCTTTTCGCCCCCGGTGTTCTTTGCAGCTGCTCCCTGCGCAGAGCGCCCACAGGCGCGGGAGGCGCGCAAGTGGTCCGGCGGGTTGGCGCGGCGCAAACTCCAGCATGCTTCGTTGTGCACAGGCCCGTGGCGTTGTGGTCCGATCGGCAAACTATCTTGCCCCGGCCCAACAGCCTTGCGCTCCGGCGGCAGCCGGAGCATGGCTGGTTTCTACTAGTGCGATGCTTTTGCATTTCATATTGGGCGGGACGCGCCGATCTTGATTATGGAAGCGTCAGGTTTGAGATCGACAAAGTTGAAAAGATTTGTCATGCATAAAATGGATACCAGTTGGAAGCCCCATTTCCAAGCGGCGCATGACAAATTTTCGGAGCACTGGAATCCAATTTGTCATGCTGCTTGGGCGCAGAAGACTGCTTTTGTCATGCTACTTTAGCAGTTCTACCTCTATCCCAAACCCAAACCCTGAATAGGCTCACAATCTGCCTCACTTGCCATCCCGGCAAGACAGGCACTTCATGCCTTGCATTTTATGCATGGCAAATCATTTCATTTTCAACCTTGACGATTTCAATCCTGACAGATCCATATTGATTTTGGTGACCATATGCGAGATTTTGTTTTGCGGGGCGAGTTGCAAAGCCGCGGCAAGTATGTTCCGCACGCGCGAGCACGCCCTGAAACACCCCCGGACGAAGTTGATAGCGGCGAACGCGATAAGTCGCAGCTCTGCTTCGGCGGATGTTCGCGGTGCAACTGCTCCTGCAGTTGTAACAATCGGCACAACTACCTCAGCAACTACTCGCGGGCAGCCAGCTGCTGGTAATGGTATTGCTAGTAACACATCTACTACACAACTCCCATCTGCCACCGACGTCATCCCCATTTTCCTAGAGAGAGCGAATTTAGCGGAAAAGTGGGGCATTCTGTACCGGCCGAGTTCGGATGGCTTGGAGTGCCTGTTGGTTGACGGGATATCGTGAGAAAAAAGTGTTACAGTTACACATTGTGTTGCAGGCCAAGCAAGACAGACAAGCTCTGTCATGCCGGATATGCACAGCAGCCTCGTTTCATAGGTGTTTTCCCGTAGGATTTCTGCATTGCAAGTTTTCTTTCTCATGCAGATAAATTTGTGTTGCTGAATTGACATACAAATGTGGAACTGTAACACTTTTTTCTTTGCATACGGGGTTGTGGATTATCAATACGACTTGGGCCCCAGTAGCACATCATCTTCAACTTCAGGGCAGCCAACTGCGTTTCTATCGCAAGCAGCCACAACTTCGCAACTCACCCCGGCCGCAGTCTGGAACCAAAAGTTTAACGCCTACTTAGCAGCAGACAGCGCGAGGTTCGGAGTGCTTCAATTTGGGCCAAGGAATAGGGTATCAACTGCACCAAATATGTCTTGGTCTGGAAGAATTGGGGAGTTTGTCATGCGGATTTTACATGACACACGATATCAGCCATGCACACTCTAGCATCAACACAGGTTGCAGCGCGAAGGCTTGGTCATCCCAATCCTGCATTAGAAATGCCCTCTACTTCGGGTTGCTGCAAGAGTCTCCGTTGCTTTTGCTGCTCATGCAATACAGATTTTTTCATCATCGAAAGTTAGCATCACAAGTTTCATTCTCTCCAGACCAAGATGACACATTTGCATTTGATATAGCGAGATAGATTTCTCGTTAGACCACGACTTGGCGATATTGGCGGTCAACGATTGCTATGCACTGCAAAAGCATCGTACTCGTAGTAATTGCTTTTATGCATGACAAATTTCTGTCCCAAGCCGAATCCGCATTAGAAATTTCATTTCTCATGCTGAGAAAATTTGTCATGCGGTTCATACTAGTGCGATCATGCTTTTGCAGTGCATAATTGCCACGCGGACGTTTTCTCCATGCAGAAGGAGTTGCTCACGAGTTTTTCCGTAGCTTTGTATTGCCGGCGAATCAACAAAGACACCATTCATATGGAGAGAAAAAAGTTTGTCACAGTCACTAACTTGCAGGTTTTGCATTACAAATTTTCTTAGCATCACAAACTTTCCTTGTATTGCAGAAACACTAGGGAAATCCCTTACGAAGTTTGGCTGTGATGCATTTTTACGCATGACAGCCAATTTTGTATTGCAAAAATGCGCATGAGTGATCGTGACGAACTTTTTTTGTTTGATAATTCACGAGATGGATAGTGGAAATAATAGAACGGGTTCAACGTCTACTAACGACGTGCTCCGTCCTCCAGTCGGCGCAAGCAGTGACGATATTTCTTCACGAAGGGATGTTGATCAACAGATGGGTGCGAGTCACTTTCGGAACCCTTCTTCCGTGATGGTTCTCATGGACCACAGAGTAACTACAACGAATGGAGAAACAAACGAGAATGGAGATGAAGGCAACGGCACAAGCACCATAAGCAACACCACCATGCAGCGAATCAGCGAAACAAGAACTGACCAGGAACAGCAGCAATCCACTTTATCCAGAACCTTCTCCATCACCAGTTTTGAGGATGAAGACCTGGTAACGCTGTATCAACTGCAAACATGTCAATGAATGTCTGGGTCGGGAGAAATTATTAAACCTGTGTTGCGTGGGTGTCAAACATAATGAAATTGAAAAATCTGTATTGCATGAACAGCAAAAGCTCGACACTTTCGCCATGCAAAGTCGCAGTTTGCAATGCGTGCTGCGCATGAGAAAACGATTGAAAATCTTGGACAGAAATTTGTCATGCTTCAGTGCACTTAATGGCGCACTCAATCATGATCATTCAGCATTACAAGTTTCCAGACCCGGACGTGTAATTTGCATTGCATTCACTAAGCCGCTGGATTATTTGCGGAATGATTTTCGGATGGATCACCCTGATCCCAACGTTTATGGAAGCGTCAGGTTTGAAATCGTCACAGTTGAAATAATTTGTAATGCATGAAATGCATGACGCGAGGCATGTGTATTGCAGAGCAGGCAAGTGAGGCCGATTGTAAGCCTGTTTGGGGTTAGAGCTCGAGCTGCTAAAGTAGCATGAGAAAATCCCTCTTCTTTGCCTAAACAGCATGACAAACTGGATTTAAGGACCACCAAAATTTGTCATGCGCCACTTGGAAACTGGGTTCCAACTGGCATCCATTCCATGCATGGCAAACTATTTCAACTTTGTCAATTATTTCAATCCTGACACATCCATAACGCTGCTGATCAAACCGCACTTCTTCAAGAGGCGGCAGCAATTGTTTCGAGAGGTTTTTCTGAATGCGGGCGGAGCAGCGTCCTCAGGATTCAACCTTTTCGTCAACAATTGGAAGAACTTCATTCTCCCACTCTGGCTTTTTCTCTGGGTGGTCGACGGGATAGAAATAATGGCACATGTGCGCTTGTTGGGCCCGCCGTTTGTGTACTTCCTGTCCACGCACGTGGTTTTGGCGAGTGTGGTCGTAGTGTTGGGGATGCGGTTATGATCCACAAAAGAAGACCCCATCTTGTTCATCCATTTTTTGCATGACAGGTACGGGATTTTATGGATGTTTTGCATGGCAAATTCGATGGGAATGGGTGCTTTTTTTCTGGATAACGGCTGCAGCAGAAGGATGAGGAATTGGTTTTGGAACAGAGGCGGATTCGGGACGGGGAGTTTCTACTTGGCAGAATTTCTATCCTGTGCAGCAAAGTATCGTACTCGTAGTAGTTGCAGTCATGCACTACAAATCTCCATCCCAACGCAAAACAGCATGACAAATTCCATTTGTCATGCTGAGCTAATAATTTGTATTGCAATTACTACTACGTGCGATGCATTTGCAGTTCATAATTTCTCATGCTGGACAAGAAGACGTTGGCGTTGCTGTAGCGGTCGAGGAAACCACCTCCTCTTCATCCTCGGCAGCAGGTGATGCTGACGGGGACCCCGGCGGAAAAAAGGAGAGCGAGGTAGAGAAAAGATGTGATGCTAGTACAACATCTTGTTCATTCCCGCTACGACCGGTCAGAACAGCGCCAGGACTCTTTGTTGCTAAACAACACTTTGGTCGTTTGTGACGGCATAAGCTGTAGAAAATGAAAGCAAAAACCCTTAAATTCCCATGCTGGTCTTCCCAATTTCTCGTCCCATTTATCCACTTACTTACAAAAAAAATGAAGAGGAACAAGTATTGAACATCTATGCCACATTACTTAGGTGTCCACCACTATCACAATCCTGACCCGAGACGGCATAATCTTCTACGACCCACGCAAGAACTTCAGGCGAATTAAAGATCCCAACCAGCTTCTTCGCGGGATATCAACTGCAAATATGTCTGGGTGTGGAAGAATGCAAGTTTGTCATGCTTGTCCCACATGATGACTCTTGAAGCTGTAATGCGTGAGCAGGAAAAGTAGTGCCTTTTGCCTGTCGTGAAAAAATGTAGTTTGTCATGCGGAAAGCGAAACACAAAGGAGCCCAGAAACTTGTCTTGCGTAGCTGCCTATCGCAGTGTTATTACAATTCATAAATTAGCATCACAAGTTTCCAGACCCAGACATATTTGCATTTGATATGGGATAGCGGAGAACCACCCTGAGATCGTCAATTATAATTCCGCAGAAACTACGATAGCAGGAGCTCCTGCTAACCAAGAGAATCAACTGACACAGGGTAGTAGTACCTTCAAGGCGAGTTTTGTGCCGAAAAAGATAGAGCTGGAGAGGAAAACTATCGGGGGTGATCAACATTTGGGGCAGGACGATCCAGAAGCGAGAATTATGTACCGAGATTTGCAAACGGACATCTTATTTGCGGATGATGTGGACGGTACGTTGGAATCTCTTCTAGAAGACGGTGGAACATCAAGACAGAGACAGACAAAAGCAAAACTCGGAACATCTTCTAGCAATGCCAATGACCATCAAACATCGTCATCACCCTCTACTGGTGTTCTTGGCTCCACCACCGCATCACAAACCACCAAAATCTGCGAAGAACCCGCGCCGATTCTCCTCCGGGAGCTTCTGATCTCCAACCCATTTGGGATTGTGTGGATAGGGTTATTTCTGTCTCTGACGATCATTCTGTCGCAATTACTCTACCCACTGCAGACGAAGCGAGGGAAATTGGCACAAAGTTACCTGCTAACCATGTACTCTTCTCTACTGTCCCTCCAGCTGTTCGGTTTGATTGTGATCTTGAACATGAAATTTGAGAATTTGCCGACGACGTACTTACACGCGTTTCTGCTCCTGTTCTCCTACCCCTGTTTGTGCAGCTACTGTGTCTGCTTGTGTTGCTCGGCGAACTACTCCCGGGCGGACATGTTGTTGGTTTTGGATCAGAGGAAAGCGGGATTGATGACGGGGAGATTTGATAGTGTTGGTGAGGGTTTTGGGAGTAGCAGCGGTGGTGTGGTGGAAGATGGAGGAAGCGCAGCAACAACAGCTGCGAATGGAAGTCGTGTAGTTGCAACAAGAAATGCGAGTGCGAATACAAATGAGCTGAACGTTGACAAGCATTTGGAAGCAATATTAGCGGAGGAAAGTAATAGTCGGGAAGGAATGTTGAGTTACTATGTGTAGCTGAAAATGAAAATATCGTGTTGGCGACGGACCAAGACTGTCGTCGTCAGTGCGAAGAAAAGCGCGTGCATCGCTGTGTAAAGTCAGTGCAAAAGTGCCTGACCCCGCTGGCGCAAAAGAACAAGGGCGGATTGCAGAAGCTGTTCAACTGTGAATAAATGGTTTCACCACTTTGCATTAGCTTCGTGCCTGGTGTTTGAGCTTCATCGATTTTCACGTTTGTCATTGTCCGGGCAGAATCTTTGCTCCGAATTCGCCGGCAGAGCGAGCCGGTGGGCGCGCATCTTCGTGCACAGTGGCCCCCCGGTCAAGGTGGTGCCAGGGGGCGAGAGCCGCCGGAGAGCGGCCGGCCCCATCCGCCGCGCCCGCCGCGGGGCGGCACGCAATTCAGCGGCGCCGAGCGGGAAGGGCGCGACGCCGGTACTTAAGCCCTGTCGCAGGCCGTCGGGCCCTTTCGCGCCCTCTGGTTAGCAGCGCACGAAACCCAGCGCCCGGGCTGCGTATTTGGGGCGTCCGACCACCGCGCAGGGCGAGGGAGCGGCAGCGGCTGCAGCACGCACATGACCGCCCGGGCAAGTAGGGGGGCCCCGCAGCAAATCGGGAAGCGCCACGCCCGTGCGTGTGGCGCGCGGCAGCTGGCGCCCTAGTGGCGCCAAGGATGCCGCAGGAACGAAGTGCCTGGGACGGATGGAGAAAGCCACGCCCGGCGGTGGGGGCGGCGGCACAGACCTACTCGGCCCGCAGAGGTGAGCGCGCCGCCGTCGCGGCCCCAAGCTTGCTAGCAAGCGAGGGCAGGCGACCGCGGGGCGCCTCTAACCGGCTTGGCTTGTGCTGTGCCCAAAGCCCAGTAGAGCGCCAAAGCCCAGCAAATATGGAGGCCGCGGGCGTTGTGCCTTCAGCTGTTGCCTGGTTTGTCATGCGACTGAAAGGGCCCCCGGCTTGGCGGCAGGCAGCCGGCGGCCTGTTCGGGGCGGGGCCCTAGGGCACCAGGGGCGGGGCCGGGCGAATGTTTCGAGAAAAGTAAGGGAGGGGGCCCGGTGGACAGGTGTCGCGCCCGCAAGTCTTCCGGGTGGCAACCCCATCCACCGGGGGGAGAGCGCCAGGCTTTGTCGGCGTGCTTGGGCGGCGCCGGCCCGCGCGGCCGATGGACCGCCGGCCGGCCCGGGCCGGCGCGTGGGTGCGAGTCGAGTTCAGCTACGCGCGGCCGGCAAAAGGTCCAAAGATAGAAGCGGAGCGCTCGCCCATGGATACCTTTGCGCTCGTTGTCTGCGCCAGCAGGGCGATGGGCTTCGATCGCGTAGCCACGAGAGCCGGGCCCGCCGGCGCTGTCCCGCCCCCCCCTTCCTGGGTTGAGGGGAGGAGCACGCCCCCGGGGGGTTTGGCCCTTTGGGTGGGCTTGTTTCCGCCGCCGGGCGGCTTCGTGTTCGCCTCGTTTGCCACCCCGACCCCCCCGGGGGGCGCCCGGTTGGCCCCCAAGCTTCCCAGCGCCTGGGGCCGCCTTCGCCTTGGGGCCCTCCCCATGGAGGGCCGCGGGGTCTTCGCCTGGCTTCTAGCGTCTTTGCCTCGCCGGCTCCGGCCTCCCGCGCAGCCTGCGGCCGGCGGGGCGAGTGTGTGTGGCCGTGCCCCGGCTGGCCCCACCCGGCAGTCGAGGTTGGCTATTGGTTGTGCTGGCTCGCTGGGCCATTGTGTCGCTCGTTGGTTGGTTTAAATGGCCCTCGTCGGACGGTCGGGGCGCGGGCCATGCTGCCCTGTAGCCGCCCGTAGGACCGGCTCCCCCGCCCGGTTGTTGTTATCCGCCGCTGCACGGGCCCTCGCGGGCAGCGCGGGCCTGCAGGCCCAGTCCCAGCGTCCGTTCGCGCACGTCATCTGTGACTTTCGTTCGCCACCGTCTGGTCAATGTTGTGTGTGTGTCCCGTCTGTGTGTTCGCAATTTTCTGAGAGGTCCAGACGCCGCAAAAGTAAAAAGAGTGGCGCCGAGCATTAACACGTATGCGCTGCATGCACTCTGCCGCGATGTAGTTCCTCTTGTGTGTAGATGTAGTGGCGTCGTGTTGGCAGTGATTGTTGTTGATCGGTGACGCGACCCGTCTTCTTGCCTGTCCCTTCTTCCGGAGGACGGAGCTGCTCATCAATCTCATTCCACCATCAGCAATCACTCACCATGGGTTGCAATCAGTCCGCGACCGCTTCCCCTGACGGTCCCCAGGCCGCGTCCCCCGGCTCCAACAAAACCAGTCCGACCGGAGAGAACAACCAGAGCCCCAATTCCAGTCGTGGCCCAAACAGCCCGGACTCCACCAGAGCAGGCAGTTCGTACCGTCGGAAAGTGAATGCGAGTAGTACAACAGGCGAACTCCAACTACAACAGCAGAACAAAAGTCCACGAAGCGCCGCAAACACACAAAATGCCCAGTCCCCACAGAACCGTTCGCAACAGCTGAAAGAGCGAAGAAATTTGGTGTTGCACCAAGCAACATTAAACAACCCCGTCGCCCCGCCACCCGCCCCTCCCACCCCGCCAAACACAGGGCTGCCGGCTTTCTCACAAATCAACAAAACCAGTCCGAATAGAGGGCCGGCGGCAGGAGGTGGCGCAGTTTCCGGGTTTAACACAACAAGCACTACTGGCGGCGCAGCTACCAGCTCCTCAAATTTTCCCAACACATCCCCGACCTCAGCTGGTGCGCCCGCTACGCCGCAGTATAATGTGAACTACATGGTGAATACGCCGCCTATCTCGCCAACGAGTGCGGCGAGCAGAAGAACGCCAACGGGAGGCGGAGGCCCAAGCGGACCAGCCTCTGGCGGACTGCTGCTTGGTGGCAGGATATCTCAAGAAAAAAGTGTTACAGTTACACACTGTGTTGCAGGCTAAGCAAGACAGACAATCTTTGTCATGCCGGATATGCATAGGAGCCTCGTTTCATATGTGTTTTCTCGTAGGATCTCTGCATTACAAGTCTTCTCTTTCATGCAAAGAAATTTGTGTTGCTGCCTGAATTCACTACAAATGTGTAACTGTAACACTTTCTTCGTGGGATACAGGACTTCCAACAGCATCCCAAGTCTAAACCCCAACGCACATCAGCAACAGCAAGCGCATCAACAGCATAATTTGTTCGGGCAGCAACAAGGAGTTGCAGCTCCTGGTGGTCAACAAATCTTAAATCAGCAAAATAACAACTATAACTCTTCCCTCAGCGGCACGGCGAATTTCGGTCTTCTACAGCAGTACCTCGAGCCGTTGACAGAGTTGGAATTTCACGACTCGGATCCAGAAGAGCTGAACGGGCACTTCAGCTCACCCAGCAACTCTCCCACACAGAAGTTGAACGAACGAAGGGCGGGGTTGGGCGGCGTGTCAACGATCAACATCTCCGTCCCGCCGACACCGACGAGCGTCAGTCACATGGGTATACGCATTGCAAATGTATCGAAATCGTACGTGTGCGTCGAGTATATCTGCATGACAAACTTTTTCAAGAAAAAATGTTCAGTTGGTCATGCATATTCTGGTGGGAAAACAGATCTGTCGTGCAAGATTGCGATGAGTAAGAATACTTTTGCAATGCATAGAAGAGTAGCAGCAGGCCGACGGTGAATTTTGGCCCGGCGACGCCGACCATGGGTGGCGGAAACAATCCCACCTCGTTATCCTGAGGAAAAGCGTCCCCACCCCAAAGTTGTCATGCAAATCTGCATGCTCAAAATGTTTCTCATGCGGAGCACCATGACAAGCATGATTTGATGTTAGTCGTGTTTTCTCATTTGTAATGCTCCAATCAGCATAATAGACTAGATCTGTGATCATGCCGCTGAACAAGCTAAACAGGATTTTTACACTACGAGGCCAAATTTGTCATGCGCAGCAACCAAATCTGGCTGATTTGTCTAGCAGATTTCCCATCTTGACTTATACGGCGGGGACGTTTTTGCTCAGGATACTCGTCCTCTACCGCACCTACGCCGACCCACGTATGAAAGCCTCAGAATGGAAATCCTCAAAGTGGAAATAATTTGTGATGCATGAAATGCAAGGCAAAAAAGACTGCATTGCGGAGGACACAATGGAGGCCGACTATTGTCCTGCTAGGGGTGAAGAATTGGGCTGCTGATTAGCACGACAGAAGGGCACCCCTTTGCCTAACTAGCATGACAGACACGTTTTGAGTACCCGGGAAATTTGTCATGCGCCGGCTACAAATGGCACTTCAACTGGAGTCGATTTTTTGCATTACAGATTATTTCCACTTTGAGGATTTCCAACCTGAGGCTTTCATACCACGCCTCCTCGAGCAGCACCGGCGGCGGCTTTTATCTGCAATCCCCGAAACACAGACGGATCTCTGACAGCATCAACAGAAACGTGCCGCTGTTCTGCTACAAGATTGCGCATAAGAAGGAGCTATCAACTGCAAAAATGTCTGGGTCTGGAAGATTGCCAGGCTTGTCATGCATATTCTGCATGACCCATGATGTCTGTGATGCATGACCTAGCATAAGCATCGCAGATTTCTTTTAGGGGGTTTCCTTATGCCTAACCCGCATGAGAAATGCCCTCTCCGTGTGGGCTCCTCTTGCTGGTCACGCAATACAGATTCTTTTGGAATCCAGAGACAGCATCACAAGTTTTTACCACCTTCCAGACCCAGACACTTTTGCATTTGATAGGAGCAGAACCAACCATCCGGGACTACAGGTACTTCTAGGGGCAACAGAAGGATAAGGAAATTGATCGCGGAAAACATTGATGTGAAGCTGGGGAACATGATCGGGAAAGGCTCCCACGGCACGGTCTACGAGGCAAGGCGGGAGGATACGGGGCAGATCATTGCCTGCAAAATCACCCCGGTCGACCATCCAGAAGCGCTGAAGGCGATGATATGCATTGCAAAAGATTCGTACTAAGTACAAATCACATTACAAATTAGCTCAGCATGACAAAGGGAATTTGTAATGCTGTATGAGCTCAGTAAAAAGATTTGTCATGCATATCTGGAATTAGTACGAGTGCGATTCTTTTGCAATGCATAGATGAAAAAGGAAGTGGACTTGCTACAGCGGTTGAACCACCTATCCAGTGCAAATATGTCTGGGTCTGGAACCTTGTGATGCTAAAATCTTACTGATGGGCGCACTGCAACGGGCAGCCAAGCATGACAAATCTCTCGGCTGGTGCTATTGTGTTTCGTTTTCCGCATGACAAGCTGCGTTTTTGCATGACTGACAGGAAGCCTGTTGCCTGCTTATGCATCACAGATTTATGAGTCATGCCAGACAAGCATGACAAACTCGCACTCTTCCAGACCCAGACATATTTGCATTTGATACGACCCAAACTGCATCAACTTCCTCGGAACGCGGGTGGTTTTCACGTATGGAAGCGTCAGGTTTGAAATCGTCAAAGTTGAAATAATTTGCAATGCATAAAATGCGACACAGAAAGTGACTCTATTGCAGAGGACCCACGGGAGGCAGATTATAGTCCTGGTAAGGGTCAAAAGTTGAACTGCCAACTAGCATGACAGAGGGCAGCTCTTTTGCCCTAAACCGCATGACAGACTCGCTTCCAGGACCGGGAAAATTTGTCATGCACCGACTACAAACTGTAGGTCTAACTGGTATGCGTTTTGTGCATGACAAACTATTTCAACTTTGACGATTTCAAACCTGACACATCCATATCACGGACAACGAAAATAATGGCTCACCATCTTCTCACGGACAGAAGTTTATCCACACATATTTGGAGTTCATTCCCGGCGGCACGATCTCGGATTTGGTCCAGACGTTTGGCTATGGAATGCAAAAGTATCGTATTGGTAGTGGTACTGCAATCATGGATTACAAATCTTTTTCGTGAGGTGAATCAGCATTACAAATTTTAATTTTATTTCTCATGCTATAGAAATAGAAATTTGTAATGCATTTTTTATACGAGTGCGAGACTTTTGCAATGCATATTGGCCGGATCGAGGACAAGTTTTTGCTCCGTTCCTTGACCTACCAGGTGACTTTGGGGCTGCAGTACTTGCACAAGAAGGGGGTCGTCCATCGGGATCTGAAGGGATCGAACGTGCTGCTAACCGTGTATGAATTGCAACCGTAGCGTACTCCTGCTACTCGTATAAATGCATTACAAATTTCGATTTCCTCAGCACGAGAAAGAAAATTTGCAATGCTGATTTACCTTAAGAAAAAGATTTGTAATGCATGACTGCAAAAATACGAGCACGATACCGATACTTTTGCACAGGATACCGTGTCCGGCGAAGCGATTCTGTCCGACATGGGGATATGGAGGCGTCAGGTTTGAAATCGTCAAAGTTGAAATTACTATCTATTATATTCATGCGAAAAAAGAGGTCTACAGAGGGTCGACGGGAGGTGGCCGAGAGGTCAAAAAGAGGCCACAAGAGGTCAAAAAGAGGTCGACAGAGGTGGAGAGGTGGCGCGGGAGGTCATTCGAGAGGGTGGCCGAGAGGGGGCGCGGGTATAGCCGGCCGAACCGTTCACCCGAAAGCCGCGCCTATAGGGACCAGAGGGGGCTGAGAGGGTCCCGAGAGGGTAAGCGATAGGGGGATAGGGGTGCCGAGAGGTTGTGCGAATAAGGGCGAACCTCTCGCGCACCCTCTGGGCCACCTCTCGGCCACCTCTGTAGACCTCTACCGGCGAGTATAGCCGGACTATTAGCAACACCTCTCGGGAGAGGTCAAGAAGAGGGCTTGCGAAAGGGTAAAAAAGACCCGAAGCCGCCCGGCACGCGGCCGATTTTGTTGGGACTGTTTCATGGCGCAGGCCCACACCTCTTGCGCTACCCTCTCGCGCACCCTCTCGCGCACCCCCTCGCGCCACCCTCTCGCGCTAACCGCTCGCGCCAACAGTTTCCGCCGGGAAGCCAGTTGGGAGGGCGGGGGCGGGTGTGTATGTGATCAACAGAGGGCAGCGCGGTCCCAGTTCTGCTTCGGCACCTATGCCGAGGCGGCTTCTCTTCGCCCCCGAGCTTCGTTGCAGCTGCTCCCTGCGCATAGCGCCTGAAGGCGCGGGAAGTGCGCAGGAGGCCCTGCGGGTTGACATAGCGCAAACCGGCGCCAGTACTTCCTTCGACCTATCACGCTGTCCGTAAACTAAAGCCCTGTCGCTGCGGCCCGATCCGCAAATAGTCCTGCCCCGCCCCAACAGCCTTGCGCCCCGGCGTCAGCCGGGGCATGGCTGGTAGTTTGTCATGCATAAAATGCAGCCCTCAGAGTACCTGTCTTGCAGAGTAGGCAAGTGTGGCAGATTGCAAGCCTGTTGAGGAGAAGAAACTGAGCAGCTAAAGTAGCACGACACAAGGCGTCTTTCTTACCCAAACAGCATGACAAACTGGGTTTCGGCTCTACCCAAATTTGTCATGCGCCACTTAGAAACTGGGTCACTACTTTTATCCATTTTATGCATTACAAGTTATTTCAACTTTGACGATTTCAATCCTGACGCTTCCATAGGGGACGGCGTTTATCGCGGTATCACAGTGCACAAGAACTCCCCGTCGTCCCCCTCATTTGTACTCATATCGTATGGACAGCAATACGAACACCACACCAGGTGGACGCTATGCATGACAAGTTCATAGCCTGAGTGTAGTGAGGTTCAGTAGTGTTCCCAAATTTGTGATGCAGACAGCGCCACAGACTAGCAACTGGATTTGACATTTTCGCATGACAAATGACCATGAGGGGGACGCAGAGCAGTTGTGCACTTTCATACGCGGGGAGCAAAAACGCAAATTTCTATGCGGGAGCGACTTTGTCCGCATTTCAGGGAAATGGGCGGGGTGGGAACAATAAACGGAACTCGCTGACCATACCCGGAAGTGGTCAACATTCGCAGCAAGACAAAGACCAATTGGAGGAAACCATGCAGAATTTACTAAACGAGACCACCAACCAACTAGGGCAGTCCGCCACGATACTGATGCAAACCATGTGCGGCTCCATTCCCTGGATGGCTCCTGAAGTGTTAACCGGAAACAACACCGGTCAGAGCAATGCTGCTTCGGGCTACAAGAAAACCGCAGATATTTGGTCTCTAGGGGGCTTAATCATCGAGATGGCCTCCGGATCGCCGCCCTGGAGTGAGAAGAAATTCGACAACCCGATAGCGCTGATGATGGCGCTCAGTATGGGCAAGGGGATACCAGGATTGCCGGAAGACAACAGCGCGCTCGGGGAATTCCACTTCAACAGCGAGAGTTTTTTCGAGGACGAAGAGGATGAAGAAGAGTATCACGGTGCAACCGGTGGTGACGCAGCCACCATATCTCCGGGCGCAAAGTTCCTCCAGGACTGCTTCCACCGAGATGCGGCCTTGCGCCCAAGCTGCACCGAACTGCTAGACTATGACTTCATCCGAGATATGCGAGATCTGCACTACAGACCTGTTTTGATCACTTCGCCGTTAAATGTAGATCTTTGACGCTTGATCAAGAACATGAGGGAATAAATAAGTAACGCGCTCGCATTACTCGCCCGAGAAGGTCAAGGTTCCTTTTGAAGTAAGTAAGTACGTAGATCTTTCCGGACAGCTTCTAATATCCTGAGCTGGCTATTAAAAGTTTAAGTTTTACTTGAGAACACTAGAAGCACATAGATCCTCACAACAAGTTCTTCGCAAATGATATATGATAATGAACGTCTGCACCAGCTTCAGCTTGTCGCTTTTATGGTACCAGCTCGTTCTTGGAATGAAATATGCGAATAGCGAATGCAAAAATGAAGTCGCTACAGCAAAAAACAAATTAAAAACGCGATCGGGATGATGAATTGAAGGATCGAGGTCTACTCGTCGATCTCCACCGAGGATGGGAGGAGCTACTTCATACTTCACGTGTGGTCCTCTTCCTCTGCTGTGGCAAAAATCCGTGAAATAAATCTTCTACATCGTGGTCTTTTGTTTTCCAACGTGATTGAGGGGTCGAAAACATGATAAAGAGCCGAGATATAGAAGTTCTACTTTGGTCCGTCTTAGAAGAAGTACAGGGGATGATGATCTTCTATCTACGGAGATGAGTAGAGGTTGATCTGAAGCGGAAAATTAAATCCACGTACTAGCAGTCTGTGTAGTTGACGAAAATGAATTTAAAAGTCTTGCTCTTCAAGTACTCTTCGCGAAAATTAGGTCGAGGAACTGCAGACTTGGATCTTGAGTTCAATTTCGAAGGGGTCCTTGATTAGAGGTAAAAGTAGAGTAAAAAAACACACCGTACTCAGAATCAGCAGCACGCAACATCGGGGCTTTAGTTGCATTTCGTGACAAAGAACAAGGATATCTTCGATAACTTGAACTTATTCAGCTGGTTCTTTCTGAGGGCAGTTCATCTCTAGTAATGCTAATACGGGACGACGACATGACGGATTTCACAAAGCGATAAGGACCTCCTGGTGTATGATTTATTAGAAAGCGACTAATTTTTTATGCAAGCAGTTGACGACGCAAAGAGACTCATTCTTGTCTCCTCGATACGGGAAACTACTCCTGCCAAAATGTTGATGCGCGACAACTATTTCCCCTAGAGGAAGAAGCCCCTAGCTTTTTTTTTCCCTACGTAAGAGTCTTCGAGGACACGACCGGCCTTCCGGGGAGACGAGGAAAAAGAGCGCCTGATATATTGTTTCACACAAGTTGAAAAGTCTTAGTCGCACATAATTGCTGAATTAGTGAAGTACACCAAATCTTCTAGAACCGCAGAAGGGGGACGAGCTTCTAGCGTGCTACGGGACAACGAGTTACTTTAGAATACAGATTAGGTTCTTTACATACTTTTTCAACATATTACTTTCTATCCTTTACCTTGAGTTGTTGTCTGATCTCATACACAACTCTCCTTTCTGTTTCTACACTACCCTCACACCACCACCGCTTATATCCTACACAAGATGGAAGTCCGTCCGAAGGAGCGGATGAACATTTCCGCCGCGTACCACATGGCGATGACGCACGCCGAAGAAGGCATGCAGCCCATGGCGGTGCCGCTCCCCCAGAACTTCAGCTCGTTCGAAGAGGCGGTAGAAAAGGCGGAGACCTTCCAATATCCTGAGCAAAAACGTCCCCAACCCATAGTCAAGTTGGTAAATCTGCAACACAAATCGCCCAGCTTTGGAAGTTGTGCATGACAAGTTTCCGTCTGTAGTATAGTGTTGCTTAGCAAGGAAAGCCGCATGAGAAAGCCAATCTCTCATCATATTTACAGCATTACAAATGCCAAATCACGATTTGAAACGCCTCTCGTCATGGGAATGCGCATTACAAATGTTCCTGTCGTTGCGCATTTGCATTACAGCCTTGGGGTGGGGACGTTTTTGCTGTGGATATCCAAGACGCGGTGATCTGGCAGTACCACCAAGCGAAGAAGCGAAAGGTCATCGCCAAGGGCGTGCCGCCGCGGCAGACCGGGCTGGTAATAAACGGCATCGGGCAGGAAAAAATCGAGGACATCTCAATGGAAAGCTACGCCCTGACCTCCATTTGCGCAAAGCCGAGATCAAACGGCGCCGCTGACGCACCCTCCGAATTTAGAAAAATGGCACAGGACATGCGGGCGGGGAGATTGAGAACGAGGAAAAGGAAGTTTCCCAGCAGAAAATTCCGTATTGTTATTGATTGTTTCTACGTACAATTTTTGTTACAGCGGCATTTTGGGTGGTTTGCGTTTGGTTGTTTGCATGACAAACCGCTCTTCCTTGATTGTCGTGTCACAACCAGAAACTACTTTGTGATGCATATACTCAATAGTTCTTTCATTATCGTTATCGTTATCAAGCAGCGCGTCAAATAATGATAGAATCCAAAAGCAAAATAAATCAAAAACATCACAGAGGACAAGGACATTCTAGACGGCAACATCTCCTCCGACTCCGAGGGCCACCCGGGGTACGGCTCTGACAAGGAAAAGGAACGGGCCCGTGGTGACTACATTGCGCAACAAAAAGCCCAGCAGGGCTTAAACAAGGCGTATGTGAGGCCGAATCGACACAGCAGCATGTCCTCCCGAGACGGGTCGGATTCCGGTTTTCTGTCCGTCGGCGCGAGTCCCATGAGCTACCTGCAAACCCCGGACCGGACGCCGGAGAGTGAATTTGGGAGAACGCCCGGCACGAATATGGATTTTTATCCCACGAAAAAACTGTTTCACTGTGGTGCTTTTGCAAGATCTGCATCACAAGTTTGTATACACATGTCACGGAAATAAATTTGCCATGCGCGCTTTCCAAGGGAAAACAGGCTTCAAAATCCAGAATGTCTTGCAAGTGTAGCAAGACAAACACTTTGGTGCTTCGTTCTCTGCATCACAAGTTCACAGGGAAACAGTTTATTTTCCTTGCGATAATTGTACCGGGGGAAATAGCAGCATGATGGCGTTGACAAACGACGCACACAGCGACGCGGGCGACAGCGTGGATAACCAGAGCTTGGCGCTGAGTATTTCTTATTGCAATCATGCATTACAAATCTTTTTCTTGAGGTAGATCAGCATTAGAAATTTCAGTTCTCATGCTGAGGAAATTTGTAATGCATTTATTATACACATGAAACTATCAGGCCAACTCGCGGCGGGTGATGGGAAAGTAGCCTACAACAAGAGAAAATTCGCCGCGCAAAAAGCCGAGCGCGTATGCATCACAAAAGTATCGTACTAGTAGAAATCGCATTACAAGTTCGGTCAGCATGACAAGAGGAATCTGTCATGCTAATTTACCTACACAACTAGATTTATAATGCATACCTACACAACTAGATGATGATGATGATGATGATGATGATGCATAAACGCGATTAGTACGAGCGCGATAGTTTTGTAATGCATAACGGGAAGCCGCGAATAAAATCTTGGCGGCCCAGAAGAACGGGTTTGGCAAACAGCAGTTTTTGATTGACCACAGAACACCGACGAGACTGACGGAAATCCTGGAGCATAGTACTAAATGTGGTTTTCATAATTGCTATTGCTCTGTAAAAAATGCTGGCGTGGTAATAAGGCAATAGGAGTGACGAGAACTTGTGAAGTAGATGTTGATCATGCACAGCATGCCAGCGCTGTTGTTCTTGTTGTATTTTTGCATGACACCGAAAATAAGAAATTCCGACACTTCAAGAATAGAGAACAAATAAATCGATTTTGTTCATCATTTAATCAAACCCACTTTATCAACAACAAACAGACAAGAGAATCGACAAGCACCCCCTCCCTGTGATTACCATCATCCTCCCGCCCCGCGCTTCCTCCCTCATCAACATTTGCAACTGCATGCCGTTTATCAACGGCAAATATGTCAGTCTGGGTCTCGAAGCTTGTGATGCTGAAGTATGCATAAGTCAGCTGCTTTCAAGTGCAGCCAAGCATGACAAGTTTAGTTGACACCGTCTGATTCGTAGCACGCATGACAAACTGCTTGGTCGCATCTCAAAAAAGTGGCGCCTTTGCTGGCTGTATGCAACACAGATTTTTCAGGAATGCAAGACATGCAACACAGATTCCACTTTTCCAGACCCAGACATGTTTGCAACTGCATGCCGTTCTTCGAAGAGCACAAGTGGACCCCGTTAACCCGACAGGAGAAGATGTTTTTTAACAGCTACCGTATCAACTGCAAATATATCTGGGTCTGGAAGAGTGTAAACTTGTCATGCAGGTTTTCTATGACCCACGAGGTCTGGAATGCGGGACCTAGCATGACAGACTCTGTGAGGTCTCTGCCATGCCTATCCTGCATGAGAAACTCCCTCCCAACGTGCTCGAAAGTGGACAGCTCTTGGCACTCATGCAACACAGACTTTTGTAAGATTCAGATTTAGCATGACAAGTTGCACCCTTCCAGACCCAGACATTTTTGCATTTGATATACCGCACGCCGAAACACTTCGAAAAGGCGCTGTTCAACAAAAAACACAAATTCCGGATCCAATTTGTGGACAACGCGAGTCAAATCGAGAACTGGCTCTCCGTATCAAATGTAAAAATGTCTGGGTCTGGGAACTTGTGATGCTGGGTAGCGTCTCATGATGAGGCTACAAATGCTGGCTCAGCATGAAAAGTTTCTGAGCTCCTAGGTGTTGCCTATTCTGCATGACAAACTGCGCTTCTGCATCACAGAAAAGCGCAGCTTTTGGGTAACGTGCATGCCAGATTTCAGAGTCATGCCAGGCAAGCATGACAAACATGAATTCTTCCAGACCCAGACATTTTTACAGGTGATACTCCGTTTGTGCAGTGTTTCTGGACCCGAAGATGGAAAACGACTGGCAGCTGAACGAGTACCCCTTCGCGAAGCACGTCCACTTGTTCACGGCGGTTAGAGGGTTTTTCGTAAACCATGAGAAAGCGCCGGTGAAGAGCACGATCTGCGCGAACTGCGACCTGAAGGAGTTAACCTTGCCGCAATCCGTCCGCTATCCTGTGCAACAGTATCGTACTCGTACCAATGCAAGTTTAGCATTACAAATCTTGTTTCCATGGCAAATCTGCATTACAAATTTTATTTCTCATGCTGACGAAGTTTGTCATGCATTTATACGAGTACGATACTTTTGCACAGGATATCCGCCACAAGGACGACCAAGTATTGGCGAACTTCTGGCTGGAAATGGAGCGATTTCTGCAAACGATATGAAAGCCTCCGGTTGGAAATCCTCAAAGTGGAAATAATTTGCAATGCAAAAAACCACTCCAGTTGAAGCGCCACTTCTAGGCGGCGCATGACAAATTCCCCGGGCATCTCAAAGTATGTCTGTCATGCGGGTTAACGCAAAGGGGTGGTCTTCTCTCGTGCTAATCAGCATTCCAAGTCTGAACCCGTAGAAGGACAATAGGCGGCCTCCATTGCGTCCCCTGCAATACAGTCTTTTTTGCGTCGCATTTCATGCATCACAAATTATTTCCACCTTGAGGATTTCCATTCTGAGGCTTTCATAAACGAGAAGTCACATGGCGTACATGCAGCCGAATTTGAAGTTGATTGACGCGGCAAGCGTGAAGCGGGTGGTGCCCAAACCCGACTGGACGGAGCAGCAGAAGAAGGAGTTTGAAGAGCGGGTCGAATCCAACAAACAGCTGCAACTGACCATCACGCACAACAATTTGGAAAACTCCGGGGCGGGCGTGATGGAGGTGGATAAGTCCAGGCCGCTGATTACCGAAACGATTGACAAAAATTTACTCATCGTCGACAAGGAATCCCTAGTATCCTGTGCAAAAGTATCTGATACTCGTATTGCAATCATGCATTACAAATTTTTTTCTCAAGGTAAATCTGCATTACAAATTTCACTTCTCATGCTGAGGGAGTTTGTGATGCATTTATAGATACGAGTGCGATACTTTTGCAGTTCATACCTGAACCCCCGGTTCTACCGACCTGATTTCGACCTGCAGCGAAAGCGAATGGGGAAACCAACCCTGGCGGAGGAGCAGCAGGCCCTACCGATCGCTCTGAAGCAAAAGATCGAGAAGGGAGAGAAGTTGACGCAAAAAGAGTTGAACGATTTGAACAAGGAGGGAAAAGTATTCCGAGGAAAAACGTCCCCACCTATCCAGAGTCATCAACTTGGGAAGTCTGCTAGACAAATCAACAAGCTTTGCTTGCTGCGCATGACAAATCTAACGAAGGCTCGCCGTAATGTAGTCCGATGTTTAGCTTCTAGCTCAGAAGCTGCATCACAGATCTAGCCTATCATGCTGATTCGAGCATCGCAATAAATCATCTCAAAACACGACTAGAATAAAACTATGCTTCTCAGCATGGGGCTCCGCATGACAAATATTTTCAGCATGCAGATTTGCATGACAAGTACGAGGTGGGGACGTTTTTGCACAGGATAGAAAGTGCCGGATTTCGATGCGGAGGATGAAAACGGCTTCGACTGGGCGGCACAGCCGATTGCCGCACACACCTTGGACATCGGCGCCGGGCGGCAGATATCAATTGCAACTATGTTGTCCGGGTCTGGATGAACACAGCTCAGGTGTTTGTCAAGCTGTCTCTGCTTGACTCTGAAGGTCTGGCATGCAAGCCCTAGCACGAACACAGGTTTTTGCAAGGCCTGCCAATGCGTGATCCGCATGACAAACTTCCGCTTTGTTCGGTGACAAGAAATAACGGGATAGTTTTCTTGCTGTTTATGCATGACAGATGATTTTCCTGTGATCTAAAATGCGCATCACAAGTCTGCATGTCTACTCCAGACCCAGACATATTTGCGATGCATAGGAGGTCAAGATGCACATCAACGACGAGGAGGACAAGACGAAATTTGACAAACAGATCATGAAGCTGATCGAAGACGTATTATTTGGCTTCTGATTTTTTTTCGATAGTTTCAATTTGTCAAACGACCCTTGTTTGATTGTATTTTCATGCTATTAATTTTTGAACAACTCCCATATACAACACAACATCATAAACAGTGCATCCTCAAGAAGAAGAAGGAGGACAACAGACCGGAGTTTATCGGAAAGAAAACCAAATAGCTTGGCACCTCCCAATAGCAGCTCCTTTCCTTCTTCATCTTCGTCTTGCATTTGTTCAAACTTGTAAAATTGTCATGCACCTTATGCAATGTAAATTTCCTGTACATGTACAGAATGCATGACAGATTTCGCTAACTTGCTGTGTCCAACTTGTCATGCTACACTAGGATTGAAGGCAAGTTTTGTCATGGAGAGACTGCATTTGTACATGTACAGGAAATTTACTGTGGATACACCTAGTAATTCTATATTCATCTCCGGTGCTTTTTTGTACCAGTACAACCGTGTGACTGAACGCAGATGTTGAAAAAAAGAGAACAAGGCTCTTCTAGGAACAAGCCCTGGGAGGTGATGATTTTTTCCCCTGTACACGCTTTCGGAGGTGGAACGACAAAATAGGCCGGGAAGAACTCCACAAGGAGAACTTCGTGAAGTGGGTGAACGACAACTTTGACTGTGACAAGGCCTATACGGCAGGGAAATTGCACGACGTTGGCTTTTATGCATTGCAGAAGTAACGTCCTAGTATAAATTGCATTACAAATTTTGGCAAGAAGAAAAGTGGAATTTGTAATGCTGTTTTAACTTAGGAGAGAGATTTATCATGCATATTTACAATTAGTACAAGCACGATACTTTTGCACAGCATAGCTTTGGCCACGCACTAAAAACTGACATCGGCTACTACTACCACAAGGACATCAAGCTGGACGCGTTTAAGAGTAAGAAATACGCCAGACACCGCTGTCGAATGAACTATCCTGAGTAAAAACGTCCGCCCCAAAGTCAAGATGGGGATTTTGCAACAGAAATCGAGAAGTTTTGGAATTCGGATTCACGCATCACAAGCTGCAGTCCCGATAGTGTAGTGCAGGCTATAGCAAGGACAAACGCACCACAGATCCATCTACTTAGCCTGGTTACAGCATTGCAAATGCCAAAACACGACTAGAAATGCCTCTCATGGAGATGCGCATTGCAAATCGATTCCTGTCATTGCGAGTCTGCATGACAACTCTGGGGTGGGGACGTTTTTACAAATGATATTCACACCGAAGTAATGCTCGTGGAGTGGTACGACCGCCCCGGCGCAAAAATGATCAGCTACATCACAGTATCGAATGTAAAAATGTCTGGGTCTGGAAGAATGCAAGATTTGTGATGCAGGTTTTCCATGACCCATGAGGTCTGGAATGCGAGACCCAGCATGACAGATTTTTTGAGGTCTCTACCATGCCCTTCCTGCATGAGAAACTCCCTCTCAACTTGGTCAAAAGCGGCCAGCTTTTGGTACTCACGCAACACAGATTTTTGCATCATTCAGATTTAGCATGACAAGTTCTAACCTTGTTCCAGACCCAGACACTTTTACATTTGATACACAGCAGAAGACAAGGCCAAGCAGGAACGCGACGCAGAGTATGCTGCAGCGGAGAAGGCGCAAAAGCGAGCGGCCAGGGACGAGAAAAGAAAGGAGCATATCGTAAGGAAAAATCCCCCCTCCCCATATCAAAAAGGCAGCCTTTTGAAAATTTGTAATGCTGATTTGTGGTCACAAATTAGGTCAGTGTTGCAAGAGAGCAAGGCCAGAGCGTGCGCCGCCTTACGCAGGCGGTTTGTAATGATGCGCCAACAGGGCAGAGCAGACGTCTGCCATGCTGAGTGCCTATCTCTAGCCAGCCCCTTCCAGGCACTGTAAGCATCTGCCTGCAGTCCTCCTCTGGAAGACAAAGCTGATTTGTGCACACGAATCCCGCAACACAGATTGCCATTTTGATATGGGGGAGGATTTCTCAGTTCGATAAAACAGGAGAAAAAAAACGGTGGCGATTGGGACAACTACAAGAAAAACGATGAATGGAAACAGTCTTCCAGCTGGCTATGCATTGCAAAAGTATCGTACTCGTAGTAATCCTAATCGCAATCATGCATTACAAATCTCCATCCCAAGGTAAAACAGCATGACAAATTCCATTTGTCATGCTGAGCTAATTTGTTTTGCAGTTACTACTAGGGCGATACTTTTGCAGTTCATACTGACAACAAGGAAACAACACTTACAACTCGTCCAGCTGGAATAACAGCAGTGGAAACAACTACAATTCAGGAAACGACTGGAACCAGGGAGGTGGTGCTGGTTCTTGGGGTGCTGGCGACTGGAACAACAAAACGACTTCCGGGTACAACAATAATTCCTCAAGTTGGAACAATGACTACGGTAAAACTAGCTGGAAGAATGACGATAAAAAAGACAACTGGGACAACAGTTACAACAAGTACGACAAAACTTCTTCCTACGAAAATGCTGACAAGAAGGCAGCGTCCTACAACGCGTTCAACGCCCCTGCCGCACCAGCGGGAGAGCCGAGTGATAAAAAGAATTCCTTCGAGGTTGAAGAGTCTGTTGTCCCCCGACCTGGTCGCGGCGGAAGCAAAGAAAAAGAGAGACAAAAGTCCCCAGAGCGAGGACGGGGAGGCAGTAAGGAGAAGGAGCGCGGTACTACGTCTGCTGCTAGCAGTTCTCAAAACAAGTTTCTCTTCTACGAAGGTAGAAATGAGAACACCCGTCGAGAGGACGACGTGGAGCGGTACCATCGATCGAGTAAGTACAGGGAAGATTATCATGATAAAGATGACTACAACTACCGGGGTGGCAGCAAGCACAAAGACTACAACCAGCCATCTCGGTACAGCCGCAGCCGGGGGCGGGATAGAGGAGCCAGGAGGTCAAAGGAAAAGGAGGACGAGAGAGACCGGTACGACCGCCGCGACCGTAGTCGATCCAAAGAAGTGAATAAAGAGGAAAACAACGGCCGGGGGAGGAGTCGGTATGGAAACAGACGGGACGGGAGTAAGGACAAGGATATCAAAGACAAAGGGGATATCAAGAAAGAAACAACTACCTCCCGCGACGCAAAATCGAAAGCAAAGGACAATATCACCGCCAAGGAAGAGAAGAAACCCCCACCTCCTCCGCCTGCTAAGAAGAAAGCTGCAGCTGCTGCGTCCTCTTCCTCAAGTTACAAACCCGGTGGCGGCGTGGAGGAATATTTGGCGGCGAAAGCGAAAAAGGAGGCTGAAGAGGCGGCGGCGGCAAGTGCGAGGGAGGTGAAATCTAGTCCGGTTATTGACTACACGAAGGTTAGAGCGGCGGATTTGTTGGCGGATGGAGACAGGTATGTTTATATTGCAATCATGCATTTACAAATCCTTTTCCTAACGTGAATCCGCATTACAAATTTCATTTCTCACGCTGAGGAAATCGAAATTTGTAATGCATTTATGCGAGTGCGATACTTTTGCAGTGGATACGTTTTTCATCGTCATGCCACCTGAACTTGTCATGCAAGTTGAACAAATCAAAATGAAAATCTTTCGAATCTGTGTTGCAACTTACTACTTATGTTGTAAACTATGAAACGAAACACGACAATCAATATGAATATCAGCTTCAAGCTCGACAAGGCGGAGTCTGTGGCGAGTAAGAAGGAAGAAGAGAAGAAGCAGGTCAGTGTCAACATGGACGAGTTGTAGTGGGTGGAAAAGAACGGGAGAATTGTGTAACAAGCCGACGATGACGAGAACGCCGAAGGGAATAAACAAAAGTAGAACACGAAGCAAAAATGACCAAAATGCAGCCGCCCCTCCTCGTCATAAAAGCACGAGCACCTCTAATTATACAACCTGTATCACCAAAATAAAGCCGACGAAGAACCTTCACACTACTCCTTTCAGCACATCTGCAACAGCAACACCCAAGAAACGGAGGTTTCAAGCAGGATACCGACGAGGAGGAGGTTCCTGCGGGAGTAGAGACATTTTTAAGATTTTTACTCAGATTCGAAACAAGACAACTACCCACTTCAGGACTTTAAATAGGATTATAACATCAGAAAAACGATAAAAGTGACGTATTAGTCCCGAACTTTTACGCCAGAGAAAGGACGCTAATTTCAAAACCATGCAACAATAATAGATACTCTCATATACAAAAAAAACACCAAATGCGCGAAAAATTCTTTTTTTTTCATTTTTTCAACACTAGGATTAGTCTGCGAGTTTGACAGGGGCGGGGGCGCAGATCTTCATGGGGAAATGAAGCAAGCGGCTTGTTTCTGTCGAACCGAAGAGAAAAATTGCAATCGAAAGATAAGAATTCAACCACGACTGGGGTGAAGAAGAGGATGTGAAGACTTCGCCTAGATTGCATATACTTCTTTTTACGCACCCCTAGTACTAGCTCCACCAAAAAAATTGTGTCGTCTTTCACGACCTTTGCCTTTCCAGCACTCATCTGATAGCCAACTAGTAACTGTGTCACACCACGGCGCGACAAAAAGTTGATATTTGGATAAGTACAAAGTCGTATTTGCTCATTTTTCCGCCTCAGGAGATGAACTTGCTTCCGGCGCAAGCAGGCGCAGAAGATGAAACTATTGCTAAAGATGGGCAAAGAGAATCTTATCCAAGTCGCAGTCACTCGTTTATTTTACGCCGTTTATTATTCTTTGTCTTTGTCAACAGAAACAACAGGTGTATCACCACAGGAATAGAATCACCTTGTTTAACGTCAGAATACAAATCTCAATTTTACGCTTGAAGACTTGTAATGCAGCTTTTTTGCATTCTCGAATGACCCTGTACAAAAACATCCTTTGATAGGACGAGAAATGGAACTTTTCAATATTGTCTTTCTCTTGTACCTTTTGTTCATCACCAGCTTGTTTTGCAGCCGGCGCACCCTTGTGTCGTGTTGTAACTGCCAGCGCAACTGCAGGGGTTCAAAATCTTCTGATGGTCTTCGTCGACGTTGTTCTTCACAAGCAAGTGAGTTGTGATGAGCACCGGTCAGAGTTAAAGAAGGCAGTGCACTTTGAGACTCAGAAGAGAGATGTAGGAGATGAGATTGCAGACTGTTGCTTCCGAGTTAGGAACACATGAGGCGCAGACGACATGTCGAGCATGACGAGGATGAGCAAAGGAAAAGAGAGGAGGCGCGCGCGGGAGGGCGCGCAGCAGTGCGCCCATTTTGTTCGTCGTCGTGCGGAATGCACCCAAATTAGGCTCCGCTAGCGTTGGTGTGCAAGCTTCGAGCCGGCTTGCATTGTGCTTATTATCCGCACGCCGCCCGTCAAAGTGGGCGGCTTCGCCGGTCATTGCTGGTTTGGAAGGCGGGCGCAGAGCCTGGGTCTGTGATTCGTCCGCGAGGGGCGTCGCGGCGACGGTGACCTATCCGGAGAGCGGCGAGGAGAGGGCGCTCCTTTTTTGGCGCTATGACCTCTAAGTGTCCAGTCTGCCGCCCTGCCCGAGCATCTGGCCCTGCAAATACCGCAAGCGCCGCCGTTGCAACGCCGCACGCCGCGGGCGTTTGGGGCGTCTGCCGTTCATAAATTTGCCCCGCGGCCAGGCCCACCAAGGCAGGCCCCGTTGGGCCCAAGGCGCAGCGCCAATAGTGCGCCGAGCGGGGTGCTCTGCTTACCCTCGTAGGCCATCCAACTTTTAAGCAACCACCGCCGCGGGGCGACGTAGCTACCGAAAGAATGGACGTCGGTCGGTGCGGGGGTGATGGAAGAATGGCTGGCAGCGCGTGGGATTGATTCGCGTCCCGAGGGGGCGAGGCAGATAATTGATTAGCCGCCCGCCCTGCCCGGGCGGGGGCCGGCAGGGGGGATCGATGGATGGATAGAAGACGCCCCGCCTCAAATGGCCTGGCGCAGCTGTAGAAATACGTGTGTGGGCGGTCCATTGGGTCCTGCCCATGCATTCAACTAGGACGGCGGGCGCAGGGGTTCCAGACCTCGTTTTCTTGCCGCGCGCGGCCCATCATGTTGCAATTAGTGGTGCGCAATCATGTCAAGTCAATGTATAACTTCGCCTCCTTCGTACATGTGTCATTTGGCGGGTTGACCTGTGTTATTCGTCGTTGATCTTGAGATGCCAAGAAGTGCTGCAGTGTTTAGAGAGCGTCTTTTAGGTTCTTGGGTCCTGGTGCGTGTGAGTGTTGAATGCTTGTTATTAAGATATCTCAGACAACGTTTGTTATTTGGAAAAGCAGTGCGTGAGCTCTGGGCCTAAACGGTTGTGGGACCGCTCGAGAAGAAGTGACAGCGTGTGTTGACCCGCGGAGCAGGCAAAAAAGCGCTGAGCATGCCGCTCCGCCCCATGATTACTCTTATGGAAACTCGTTCTCCGTCTCCGTTTTGTTGGCGCCAGGAATGTGGTAAGCAGCGCCCAGGGCCGCGGCCCGTGGCCAGTAGTTGTCTGAGCCGTATCGCCAGAAGCAAGGGGCGCGCGGGCAAGCGTGGCGCCGGCGCGGCCCTCAGTTGCGGCATGCTTGTGGGGCCCTAATGGCGTCGGGTTGGTTGGGGCCCCCTCTGATTGCGCGCGGCCGGCCGCGTCAGGGGCGCCGTGTGGCCGTCGGCCCCGCGCGAAGACAATGAAAAGCGAGCGCATTCCGGAGGGGCGTGCCGCGCTCGCAACCCCAAGGACGGACCGAAAAAAGCGCGGCGGAAGGCGCGCCCCGTTTGCTCTCTGTGCCGGCTGGCGCGCTCTTGGTTGGGTCGGTGGCTGGGGTGTTTTTGTTGCCGCCCGCCCGTCCGCCCCCTCGGGCAGGGCGGAGGCCCGCCGCCTGCGCCCTGCCTGACAGGCTGGCTGCTCCATCGTGGGCGCGCGGCAGGCCGCGCCGCCAGCCGGAAGCAAGGCGGACGGCCCGCCCGTGCGAGCGTGTCTGTATTGGCGCGCGCGCCCGCTGGCGTGCGTGCGTGCGTGCCCCATTGGCTTCCCATGTGTGCCCCTGCGCCCGCGCGGTGTCTGTGGTATTAATTCATCTCAATTGCCAGGGCCCGGCACGGTCGGCGGTGGCTGGGCGATGTGGTGGTCGTTGCACCCACCTGAAGCATTCGCCCCGGTGGCGCCCATGGATCCTTCCCCGGTGTGTTGGGCCCTGCCCTGGGCTGCCGTTAAAGTCAGAAAGAATGCCGGCGCGGCCGCTGCCTCCCAGTGTATCGTGCTCAGTGTCGCAGCGTAGCCATGATGCCACGACAGATCCATCGAACGAAGGGAAGTCAGTCTATGATGCCACAACGCCGGCGTCGCCGCTGCTGCTGGAGGCAATGAATCATGGCAACGCGTTGTGTTGTGGGCATTGGTATGAATACAGTTTTGCCTGTTCTTCTGTCGCGGTGGTTTATTGCGACGAGTGGAAATAGATTAGATTCAAAAAAAAACGCTGACTCTTCGATAAGTGTTAAACGAGTGTGGCGCCTCAGGCACTTTGATTCTTGTTGGGAGATACACACCAAAGATGAGTCGTTTCGTCCACATTGAGATTGTGATGTTTGTGAGATTTTTGATCACCGAGAGAACCACATAGAATTGTCGTTCCGTCACGGCCATAAGTATTTCAGTCCTTGGCCCCGCAAATGTATACACATGAAAGTCGGTCAGAAACGTGTCACGAAGCAAAATCGACGTTGATATCGCTCTCTCAAAAAAAACACTCATACAAGAAGAAGTAGAAGAATGAACAATTGCATGAGCAACTGCAACAGATAGAAGAACCGTACTAGGCGTAGTCAAAAACAAAAGCAGGACGAAGAACGAATTGCCAGTCCTCTCTGTTGAAAATCAAGATGTCCTCCTCCACCTCTACTTCTACCAACCGCCGCGGCAAGAAGCGAATGCAAGAACCTCAGATGATGAAACCACAACCCCGCCAGCAAAACCAGAATCCCCCCCTTCCCACCCCGTACTACGCCCCGAGCGAACCGACGGACCCGCAAGATACCCAGTCTCTTCTGGACATCCTGGCCAAGTCCGTGAACATAGAAAACCGCGCCGATATCAAGTGCAAAAGTGTCTGGGTCTGGAAGAATGTGACTTGTCATGCTACATCTGGATCGTGGAAAAATTTGTGTTGCGCGACAGATTTACCAAAATACTAGGTCCACTTTTGAATAAGTTCTTTAGGGGCAGTTTCTCATGCAGGTAAGGCATGATAGAGATCTGACAGTACCTGTCATGGTGCTAGGCCGTGCATGCCTAACCGCGTGGGTCATGGAAAACCTGCATGACATTCTTTCAGATGACCCAGACACTTTTACATTTGATAGCCGAGCAGGAAATACAACACCACCGGAACATGATCTCAAGCAGTAGATCTGCCAGTCGCAGCCCGGTCAGCGTCGTGCCGCATCAACCCTGCTTCACGACGTCAATGCAAAGCCAGGCGGACGAGGACGGGAGTAGTGCTAGTGGTGGCGCAGCTGCAGCACTAGCAACCAGATCGGCAGCACATCAGCAGGTCAAGAGCAGCCAAGAGCTCCAGCAAGTGAATCACTACGGCCAGGTTGTACATGTGCGGGGAACATCAAGCAGGAAAAGTCCGCGTCGCGGCGGCGGGGGAAATAAAAACAAGAAAAGCAATACTAGCAACTTCAATTCAAAACCAAACAGCACGACGCAGGGGCAGGAGCTTGTTCAGAACGCAAATTTATTTCCCTCTTCTAGTTGGGGCAGCCGCAGCGGCAGTGCCGTCACAAACTCCGGTAGTAGCAGGGTGTATTCATCGCAGATGAACACTTTGGATCCGACAGTCCAGGGTGGACGGCCCAGAACCGTGCACCAGCGCCCTCCTTTCGTGTTAGGACAGAAAGGTCGACCAGTTGGCGCTGGGGTAGCTAAGAATACCATCGGCGTCAATAGCAGTTTGAGTGGGAAGATTGGTGGGGATGACGATGAGGAAAATGAAAAGGAACTATACGAAGACGCGGACTTTTCCCCGCCACCAGCAATGCCAGACTTCGTGGCGGATGTTGAAGGTGCAAAAATGAAAAACGACACTGTGTTCTTCCCCAGTCCGCACAACGACGACGAAAACGAAATCAACCACGCCAACGAACCAAATTTCACCACCGAGCGCCGCGACTCCTGCCGCCGCAGCTTGAAGTTTTTTGCAGGGACGAAAGAGATTTTGAACCCCAATTCCGAAGACCGGAACTCGTCAGTGAATGAGGATTTCGTAGGAAATGCAACAGTATGTCTGGGTCTGGAAAGATGCAGCAGCTTGTCATGCGGAGTTGTAGAAGTCGCGATCACTACTTACAAACAAGAACTTTGCTGTATGAACCCCAAAAGTAGCTCCTACACGACACTTGTTACTTCGCAAAAGGCTGGCTTCTTATGGGGGGTAGACATGATCAAAAAGGAAAAGGTCATCTTCTCGCAGAATAAACATCTGTGATGCTTTTGCTTTTGCGTGCGTAGCATTCCAGACCATATGATCATGGCAGTGGTCCGCGATGAACTGCATTACAAATCCTCCACGCTTCGTCTTCCAGACTCAGACATGCCTATTCGCAGTTGATATTTCACACCACTGAACAATTTGGACGGGATCGGAGAGGGGATGTTTGATACCACGGCGGACCGCTTTGCAGCTGACGTGAAACCCACAGGTCAACATGCGGAAGAAGATGAAGTTCCGAACAACATTGTCTACCACTACGCTGGCCAGCAGCGCCACGCAAACACCTCTAGAACCTCCCGAGCATCCCGGGTTTCCGGTCGCTCCAGTGGTCAACTACACCAAACGGTCAGTAGAACACCGGATAGTAGCAGGGGCCAGCAGCAGGACGTGTTTGATAACCAGATTGGATCTGACCAACCGACGATGCAAGATGACCTGAATAGCAACTACAACCCGAACGCAAGCAGAGACTATTCCTTCGATAGTCCGGAGGTTGATGTAGATGAGGATGCAGTTTATTGTGCAGCTGGTGCAGCTCCTGGAGGTGGGCAAGAGCATGTTGATGTTGATGTCGATCTATGAAGTGCAAAAGTATCGTACAACTCGTATAAAAAATGCATGACAAATTCCCTCAGCATCAGAAATAAAGTTTGTAATGCGGATTTACCTTGAGAAAAAAATTTGTAATGCATGACTGCAATTACTACGAGTACGAGTACGATACTTTTGCACAGGACACGATCCGCACGGCTACAATTCTATCAACGAGGACGACGATAACGAAATCGACATGAAAAACCAGTCCTTCGGCTCGGACGTGGAGCACCACGTTATCTCCACGCCGTATTACACGCGGAGCAATTTTGACGAAAATTCCGTCATGTTGGAATCCGTCAACAACTTCAAGTCCGAACAAGTTGTCGCCCGGTCGAAGGGAGCTGCAACGGATGGCAGCGTATGAATTGCAAAAAGATCGTAGTAGTACGTAAAAAAAAAGTCGCATTACAAATTTGCTCAGCATGACAATTGGAATTTGTGATGCTGATTTACCTTGAGGAAGAGACTTGTCATGCCTAATTGCGATAATTACAACTACGAGTCCGATATTACTTTTGCACAGCATACAACGTAGGCTCGAACAAGACTTCGTCAATCCCGTATTACAATGAAAAATGCCCCCACCCCCGAACTTGAAAGCATTTGTATTGCAAATCTTTCCAAATGAAACATTCGCCCTCTTGCGTGTATCAGCATCACAGATTTCCGATCGTGAATAGCAAAAATTTGTATTGCAAAAGATCCCAGCAAGAGCGGTGCTTGTCATGCAAGCGATGCGAAACACGACTAGAATCTGCATCAGAAAGATTCTTACTCCTTTCATGCATGACAAAAAGCTTTCATTTGGAAACTTCGCATCACAAATTTGTTGCAATTTCAGGGGTGGGGGGCATTTTTCACTGTGATACCCCGCATCTGGTGGAAAACGATGCTAAGCAGTATGGATTGCAAAAGTATCGCACTCGTATAAATGCATTACAAATTATTTCCTCAGCATGAAAAATAAAATTTGTAATGCTGATTTACCTTAAGAAAAAGATTTGTAATGCAAGACTTGCATTTATACGAGACGAGTACGATACTTTTGCACAGGATAAGCAGTGCAGCTCCACAACAAGGGAGACAGCACCGCTGTCCGGGTCTTTACGCGATGTCGTGATTGGTGGAGTGACGAACAGCGGTGGACCTGCGTTATTTAGGGGAGCTCCGGGAGGCTTGAGGTTGGGACTGCCGCCCCTGTTGAGTGGTAGAATTGTAAAAATTCTGCTTGTGCTTCTTCCCGTGAGTCAGTTGTTCTATTATTCGTGAAGAGTTCTAAAAAATTCACAAAAACGACCTCCTTGTGCGCGACGTGTCACGCATCATAGATTTATTTTCAAACGTTCACAAAACAGAAAAAGCAATGCTGAATGCTTCCTCCAACACGTCGGCCTCTCGGCCGGGAAGTCCGGGAAAACAGTTGATGCTTTCCGCGAGGGAGTATAACACGCCGAAGATTCTGTCCCCGTCGCTCAACCATCTCCAACTCCGGCCCAATTTCATTCCGCCCAGCAGTTGCTCCAAGAAAAGTGAAACAGTCTCCCCTACTTTGGCCGGCATGACATCTTCAAATGCTGGAGGTGTTGCTGTTGACGCGCAACATAGTAGTCAACATCAACAGCAGTACTACTACGAGGCTGCTGATGTTCCCCCGCCGCACCAACATTCCCAGTACACTACCCCTGCGTTGCAAATTCCTATTCCTGGAAGTGGATGTGACACAACTACCTCTCCCACGCTTACAGGACCGGCGCCAGCAGCCGCTCACCCCGACCCGACGGTTGTGGCAACCAACCAACCCCACCTGCTGGTAGAGCAAGCAGCCAGTTTAGCCCACACGCTGTCATCTTCCCAGATGGAGCACCAAACGCAGTCTGTGAACGACACTTCTTTCAGCTCTTCCATCACGAGACTGAAGGTAATTTCCGAGTTGCAAGAGACGAAGAAACGGTGCGAGGATTTGGAGCACACCCTCTACACAGCAAGAAGTCAATGCGAAGATCTCGTCTTGGAAAACGAGCGACTGAGGGAGCAGGTTTCGCAGCAGAGCTACAGCTATCAGATCAGAGGAGAGCAGGAAAATAACGAAAACAGACATGACGGCACGTGCTACTCCAGCCCTGTGGTGAGTCAGGACGGGGTAATTCTTCGGGAAACAAACGGTAGTACCAGTAGAGAACGACAATACCCTGCTGGGTCGATTTCCAACTCATCTTGCAGTCCGGATGCCGGTCCTGCTGGAGATCAACAGCATCATGAACATCAATACTACACCAAAGTGGGCGACCTGAACCCGCATCATCAGGAGTTCTTCACGACACAAATACAGTCCGCAGGAGCCGGTGCTGTGAGTCAACATCGCACGATAGTACCTAGCAACAGACCATCTTTCTACAACAGTGTGCGGATTCAACATCACCATCAGAACAGCCTTCCGGTGTCGAAAATGATGAACCCGTCCTGTCACGAAGAAACCTACCACCAGATGCGGCTCCAAGGGTACTACTGGACGCTGCTCTTCCGGATATCAAACGCAAATATGTCTGGGTCTGGAAAGTTGGAACTTGTGATGCTAGCTTTGGACTCGAAAAAAATCTGTATTGCATGACCAGCAAGAGGAGTGCAGTTTGTGCTACGCGTGGAAGGCATTTGTCATGCGGAATAGGCATCAAGAAAAAACTGAGAAAACCAGTGATGGTAGGGAATACATCACAGACGTCACGGGTCATGTAAAATCTGCATGACAACCTTCCAGACGCAGACCCAGACATATTTGCATTTCATACCGGAAAATCGCGGACAAAACCCTGGACCGAACGGAAGAAATTCTACTGAAAAACTGGAAGTTACTCCAGGACGAGGCGGAAAACTTCCCGTCGGATACGGAGATCCAGGTGTTGAGTTTTTTGGAATTAGACGACAATTCGAAGGATTCTTTCAAACGGAATTTCACGAAATTCTACATCCGCTTCATGCTGCGGAGCGGGTTTGCGGTGGGGAAGAAGGTGAAGGTATCAACTGTAAAAATGTCTGGGTCTGGAAGAATGCAAGGTTGTCATGCTTGTCTGGCATGACTTGAGAATCTGTGTTGCATAGGCACGAAAAGGCCCTCTTACCTGTCACGCAAAAACGCAGTTTGCCATGCGGAATACGTAAGACATGGGAGCCAGAAAATTTGTCATGCATAGCTGCGTATTGCAGTCCGTCTACCATTCACTTTTAGCATCACAAGTTTCCAGACCCAGACATTTTTGCATTTGATGGAAGGTTTTGAAGGGCGAAATCGGCGAGAGGGGAAGGGTTTTGAAAGAACAGATATTAACCCTGCAAATGGACAGAAACGAAGCAAAGAAATTGTTGAAAAAGGCGGTGAGCAATTGTTCATCTTCGAGTAGTTCCACGATGTTGAGCGCGTTCTTTCCCTTTACAACAACTTCCGAAACTACTGCGTCAAAGTCGTATAACCCGCTCAGGTGTTACAATCTCAAACGTTACAATACAATCTGAGACTTGTCTTGCATGATGAGCATGATCTAGCCAACTCTCATAGGGTTGCGCATGACAAGTTCCGGAGCTCCAAACCCCCCTACAATCTGGGGAAATTTGTATTGCAAATGGTGGAACGCTGTGCGAGTTTGTCATGCCGATCATGCAACACAAATTCCAGATTCTATTGTAACGTTTGAGATTGTAACGTTTGAGCAAGTCATGATAAGTCGTCTACCGCTGGGACTGGTGGGTGGACGTCGACTACAGTACTAGCTTCTTCGAAGTCATCCAGTCTGGTGACCGCCCTGAACGACGTAGCCGGAGCTCCACCCGGGGTCGATCTCGTTTCTGATGATCATCGTGCAGTTTGTGATGCGGAACCGGAACGGGGCGAGGCGGAGAGGACGCTCGTCAAGCAGGAAGAAGACCGGAGGTTGATGGGGACGGATCATTCTCATTCATCCGGGGTGATGTTGTCATCTTCTGATCAAAAAGCCACTGTCATCTGCTCAACAGCAACTTCTCCGACCAGCACAGGACAAGAACTGATGAAAGTCGCGATGTTAAAAGCCAAATTCGGAAGCCGGAGCGGACTCGCGGAGTTTCTCGTGAAAAAGCCACTGAAAATCACGTTCGTCGAAGCGCCGAAGTTTGCGATCAACTGCGTTTTGTTTTTATGCAAGAAAAAAACTGTGTAAGTGTAAGTCTGTGATGCAGCAAATGCAAAACAGTTACACTTGTCATGCTGGAGATGCATCAGAGGCTCTTTCCGTATGTGTTTTCACATACTAGCCGCGCACGACCACAGGCTCTCTCTGTCATGCAGAGCAAACTTGTGATGCTGTTCCTCCAAGAAACTTACACTAACACAGTTTTTTCCTTGGATAGATTTTCCCAAGGTTTTACTGGCGGTGCGGGAATGAGGTGGTGGCGTGGGTGGTGGGAAGCGGTTGAAGAGGATGGTTTTTTCGGAGAACCGATAGACAAGCCGCATCTAGCGGATGTTTGTCGTTGTTCCCCGGGTTCTGAAACAACGATGGTAAGTCACTGGTATCGAATTCAAAACTAGACGACAAGGACAATGTCCTCTAGTCCATTACAATATGCAGCTGACAAAACAACTTTTTACGAGTATTGTTTTAATTTTCTTCCTTCCAGCGCCGGTTTCTACTTACTTTTAATCGTCCCGACACCTTTTTTCAAGAGCAATCAATTTCAATGCCATTGCCTATTACAACATACAAGAAGATAGACAATACAACAAGAGCAAGACGTTAGCCTATTACAACACCCAGCCTCAATTCAATTTTCCAATAAAAAATTAGTAGAGTAAGAGCTGATACAGATGCAACAACTATGTAGCCTGAATTTAGGATTAGGATTTGAATTTATTTGTTTCAACACGAATGTACGAGAATCAATGGAGGGCTGTGTCTTTTGAAATTTATTGATCAAGAGGCATGCGCAGGAGATTGCAACCACATTATTACCTCGATAGTGATTAGTCTATGCTGTTCCACCGCCGGTTTAGACGCGAGCCGCGACCGCAGTTTCGCTTCACAAACAAGGTGTGAACTCTTCAAAATGAGGATGAGCATTGAGCATGAGGTCGAGTTTAAATGTATGATACAACGTCGATAAAAAAACTACAACGACGGCACGCACATGCACATAGACACACATTCAGGAGAATACCAATACATAGAACGGACCCAGCCATTTTCCTATATTGGACGAATCAGAATTGGAGCTTCTCCTCCAGATGTTCCCGTTCTCGAAAAATGCTGTTCTTATCCCTCCTTTCCGTGCATAGATAAGAACACCATTTTCAGGTCGTTACAAACGTGTTCTTATCTATGCACGGCGTGGAGGATAAGAACAGCATTTTTCGAGAACGGGAACATTTGGCGCAGAAGCTCCAATTCTGCTTCGTGCCAAACACCAGCTTCAGGTCGTTACAAGCATGTTCTTATCTATGCACGGCGTGGAGGATAAGAGCAGCAGTTTTCGCGAGCGGGGACATTCGGCGCAGAAGCTCCAACTCTGCTGCATGCCAAAACATCAATTCCAGGTCGTTGCAGTAGGTGTTCTTATCTATCTTCCCGAAATGTTTGAACGAGTAACCGGCGGGGGGCTTTCAGGGTCTTCCGCCAGTGCGTCCACCATCACCGCGGAAGCGGTGCCAGCGGTGAGTGATTGGGGCGGTGGGTGAGAGATCGAGGCGCGTTTGAAGAGTTCCGAGAGGTCTCGAGGGGCCTGCGTACCAAGCCCGCACGAGCCGGCTTGCGGCCTTTTTTGGATCGCGAGTACGTAGGGCCCGGGGCCGCGAAAAAGATGCCCGCCTGCGCCTGTTGGGCGTGCTGTGAGTGCCCGTGGGTCGCGTCGATCTGCGCAGTGGGGGGGGGGGCCACTTTAGTCTATGTCTAGGCTCGTCGGGGTCTTGGCGTGCCTGTTGGTTCCTCTAGAAAGACGCCTGGGCCGCGTGAAAAAACCCGCCAGGGAAGGCAGCAGCACTCCTACGCAGATGCGACCATAAAAACTGCAGCGCCTGCGTTGGCGCAAAAAAAAAGGCAAATCCCGATGGTATGCTGCGAATTTCTTTAGGGATAAGAACAATGTTGAAGATCACCTATTTCGTCTCTATAACACATTCAGGAGAATGCCAATACATAGAACGGACCCAGCCATTTTCCTGAAAGAAAGCAACTTTTATTTAAGCGAACAATTTTCCATCCTGATATTGTTGAGGTAAAAAAAAACAGATTGAAAAAAAAAGAGGGACAATTTTGAATATATTCTTTCTTTCTTTCTTTCTCTCGTGCCTGGGCATGGCGTCAAAGGTTCGAAGGCCTACAAAAGCATCGCAATCCAATTGAATATATTCTGAGGCTGTGATCGATCGACAGGAATCTTATGATCCATATTTCAAGAATCCATCCTGCATCGTCAGATATCGAATAATCATACCATCGGAAATTTTTCAAATTCTTTCTGATTCATGTCTTCAAAAAATTCATGCATGGATGGTATAATATGGTTAAAGTTAAATCATTGGAAAATGAAATTCGGAATGAATTCTTATCAGGATCTGTGGTTCGTTATGTTTCTGTAAAAGTCGGAATCTTCATGATTTGCAAAATTTTTGAAAAATTTGTGGTCAAAATTTCCAACCAATCAGATCGATCACCGATATAGATCATCGAAAACAAGGACAATAATGATCAATAATCTTTTTCCATCGAGAAATATGATATGATCAATAATCTTTTTCCCATCTGGATTCTGGAAAATCCAAGATCATTATATTTAGATGATTCGATGAAAAATTCCGAAGAGATTGATGTCGATGAAAAATTATGAAAAAAATATGTATCGATACATATGGAAAATATTGTCCTACATATATCCAATCGATCTATCGATGATTTCGATTTTTATTTGATGGAATGGATTATTTGGGGAATCTGGGGAAATTCTATTGAGATTCTCAAATTGATTTTCATATTCGATCTTCAATATCTTACCCTAGATATTCAATATCTTTCTAATTATCTCTCTCATCATGAAAAATTTTATATGGAAATTGATATTCCATCATGTATCAATGCAGATCATAGATTCCAATATCGAAAATCTGAGATTACATCCCTTCAATTCTGTTGCTGAAAAGAAAAAAAAAAAAAATCAAACATATTCAATTCTATTCTTGATCTTCATCGGATGATTTGACTGAGGTAATTTTGGAAATCCATATTCCGAATCAATGTGATGATAATATTTTCCGATATATTGAGAATTGAAGATGATTTGACTGAGGTAATTTTGGAAATCCATATTCCGAATCAATGTGATGATAATATTTTCCGATATATTGAGAATCCGATTTATCTTATCCATGACCATGTCTGCTATACCGATGAAAGCGAAGAGATTCCAAAATACGAAATTCTACAACGACATCGAACAAATCCCGAGGAACGCTATGTTGAGAGTGAGTGCTTTTCGTTTTCAAATAAATGTTTGCATTCCACAGAAGGACACTGAGAAAATATTCAAGACAACATGAGAAGTCTTTTCATTTTCCGCGAGCCCCAAATTTGCCGGCCTACGGTTTCTCATCGTGTTTGGCTTTCAAATCTCGAAAATCTTGCTCAAACGTTTTCGGATCTCGTTATGATTTCATCGATAGCTGAGGTTGCAGCAATGTCAATCCCAAGAATCAGAAATAAAAAAGATGGGTGTGATTCTGTTTGAGATGAATGAATCCATGTTGCATACATACATACACGACGCATTTTGCCCTGTGTCGGGGGTGCGTGCCGCTCGATTTTTGATCGTGACACCGGGAAAGCGATCCACCCAAACGATTTGTACGGAGGAGCAAGAGTGTGAAGCTACCCTCTGTGTTCGCGATCTGGCTAGACCGGCGAACAGCGCAAGAGGTGAACATCGGAGCCGGGAGGAGATTCATCCATGTTGCATGAATCTCTTGAATTCCGAGGTCTGTACTATTTCCTCCTGTTCCCGGTCAGAAACAGTATTTTTTTATGTGTTTTCGTTTTGTATTTTCTTTTCACCATAAGATAGTCTGATGTGGAATATCGGTAAGAAAATGTAGTTGGAGTTGGTGTGAATGGTTCCAGGTGCATGTTCATGTTGTTCTTTCGATCTTGGTCTTTGCTTTTGCATGCCAATAACAATAAGTCTGCGTAGCCTATTCCAACTACACTGCAAGCAGTGGAGGTGGCCCCATCGCATCCATTCGCTATCGCTTAAAGGAAAAAATTGAAATATACGTTTGCACCATATTTCGAGCACTTCAAAATTGTTGCGTTCGTTGTAGCAGTTGTTCCTTCGTTTCTCTTTCTTCCTCCCTTCGTGTATTTTTACCGTCGGCGTGATCAATCAATGTCGGACAACAAATGCTCATGATCAATGCGCCCGCTGCTCCCGCCGGGCGGTTGCAGCTGCGGCATTCCCACGGCCGCAAAGATTTTGCTTTGCTGCGCCTCTATCTCGGCCTCGGTAGCTGCGGCCTCGTCTGCGTTCCCGCTTTTTTCGCGCAGCAGAACGTCCAAAAGCAGTGGCACTTGCTTCGACCTCCTGGTCGCCTCGTACGGAGAGAGGTGTGGTTCTTCAGATGTTTGATACTGATCTATTCTCCCAGTCCCACCTGAAGGCGGCCCAGCACTTGTCGATGGCAAAAATGTTGGTGCCGGGTGCATAGGCGGCGGCGTTGGTGGTTGGGTGAGAGTAGATTTTTTGTTGTTAGTGCTACTAGAACTTGTACCCCAATGTGCATGTGGGCTTTGATGTTGACTCACAGTCGTAGGACTCCCCGCGGTGGCTCCTGCGAGAGCGAAGTCAGGGCTCGGAGTTGTACGTGCTGGCGTGGTATCAAATGTAAAAGTGTCTGGGTCGGGAAGAATGCATGTTTGTCATGCTTGTCTGGCATAACTCTTAAATCTGTCATGCACATTACCAAAGAGCCCCAAATTTCTGTCATGCAGAAACAGTTTGTCATGCAGAAAAGGCAAGACCTAGAAGCTCAGAAACTTGCCATGCTGCGCTAGCAGTTGTGCCCTCCTCATGATACGCCACCTAGCATCACAAGTTTCCAGACCCAGACATATTTGCAATGCATACGTAGTCGATCCCCCGCTTGATGGTGATGGACCGCCCACAGCGTGTTGGCATGAGGCAGAAGATTTCGTGCCGTGCACACCACCTTCTTGGTGGACCATTTGCATGCTATCCGTTGGGTCAACTACGCCCCGCAGCGGCACCGGCGCTATCAGGTGCTGATGCTGTAAACCAGGGACTAGCGGTTCAACAGCAATCCCGCTAGTAGACAAGTCCATCGGCTGATTCGGTGGCGAATTCGAATTGGTCGTGTACACGCCTCCAGCTCCAGATGACATTGCAGGTGGGAGGCGAACCACCGGCACATGCATGTAGGACGACGACCCGCCCGCGTGATGCTGCATTCCCATTCGGTTATCAAATTCGATTTGCCCCGGACTTCCCGGCCGGCTTGGTAGCTGCTCTACTTGAAACGGAGGAATCACAGCGCCCCCGCTGGTCGGCCCGATCCCGACATTTACCTGCTGTTGAAGATTATGATTGTGCTGCGGATGTTGCACGCAGGGATAAGTAGGGTAAGGCTGTCCAGCGATGAAAGGACCCTGATACGTAGGCGCGGTTAGCAAATCCGGCGTCCCTGTACGGCTCGGAGCCTGCTGCTGAAATTGTTGTTGATCTATATTGGGCGGAGCTCCCGGAGGCAGGTAAAATGCGACTGGCGCAGCTGTACATGTACTAGGTCCCATAGGTGGAGAAAATTGTGATGTGAATTGGTTGAAATAAGCTGCAGCAGGAGCATATCACAAGAAAAAAGCGTTACAGTTACACATTTGTAGTCACTTCAGCAACACAAATTTCTCTGCATGAGAGAGAAAACTTGTAATGCAGAAATCCTACGGGAAAACACCTATGAAACGAGGCTCCTATGCGTATCCGGCATGACAGAGCTTGTCTGTCTTGCTTGGCCTGCAACACAATGTGTAACTGTAACACTTTTTTCTTGCGATACAGCAGGGTCACCAACAACTACACTATTGCCCACAGATAAAAATTCAGAAGTTCGGTCTCCTGGCAGGTTGAAACTGGCACTGTTTCGCCTCAGCAATCCGCTCCCACGACCAGATAGTACCGATGTGGCGGTAGTAGATCCAGTGCCATCTTTCCCTTTCGTAGTCACCTCGCGGGGAGACAAAGACAAAGCGCCACGATCTCGGGTTCTTGTGCTACTAGCGGGCTTTTTTTCGTTTGCAGCCTCTGCTTTTCCTTTTTCCACATCAATCGCAGAACCGGCGTGGTGAAGTTGGTTGCGGTCCCGTCTCTTCGTTTCAATTTTCGACGGTCGTTGGTCTGCCCGCCACAGACTGCCGGTGGTGGTGCCGAGTTGCAAAGGCGGGCGTGCCGCAGCAGCTGTACTAGTACTACCTGCATCTGCCCCACTTGCCTCCACTGTAGCTCCAGCTGCTGCCTCTGGGGTTTCTGCACTGCTAGCTCCGCCCGCGCTTGTTCCACTGGCGGCCTCTCCCGAAGAGGCAACCTTTCTTCGTCCACGTTTGCTTCGAGCACCGTACAAAGGCACAGCAGGTCCAGCGCCAGCCCGGGTCGGCAGAGTAGGACGCTGCGTCTTCATCTCGTCCTCTGCCGGCGCGACAGCTGTCGGTGCAGCTTTCCCGTTGCTGGCAGGTTTTTTGACAGCGCCAGTAGCAGAAGTACTAGCGTTTGCGAGCGAAGCTTCCGCATTTTCGGTTGCAGAAGCAGAGGCTTGGGTTTGTTGTTCATTCTCAGGACCGGCTGGACGAGCAGCTGCAGATGAAGCGTTCTTCATCTGCTTCTTCCACGTCTCCATCTTGTATTTCTGGAACATTGCCAGCCGCGCTTCGTGCGCCCGCACTGTCATGGCGTTCTGCGCTTGCGCCGCCCTGCATTCTGCCTGTTCCAACATGGTTCGCAAAACGGTTCGTGTCTTATGCAATTCGTCATTTTGGGTTCGCAAAGCGGTTCTGGTTTTTTGTAACTCGTCATTTTTCGCTTGCAACTCTTGAATCCAAGCGAACGCCTCCGTCAGTTGCTGATCTTTGGCTTCCAGCTGTCGCTGCAGTCGTTCGACTTCCAAGTTTTTACTCTGCAACAACGTAGACACTGCAGAAATATGCATTTTGCAAATATCTGCTTCGAAGATGATCTGGACTGTCGTGGAAGAATGACTTGTTCGAGAAGATCGTCGTTTCTCATGGTCGCCTTGTGACTCAGACTCCGACTCGAATGTTTGTCATGCACGTTCTTTACCCAAAAGGAAACTTAAAAGCTTTCTGTCTCGTGTGTCATGCCGTCATTTTTCTAGGATAGGCCCTCGAAAACTTGTCACGCTCTGTACTAGCACGGTTGCATTTCAATTTCCCCTCCATCAACCAGCTGCATCACAAGTAGTATGCTCCAGACAACTCAGATCGAAGCTATTGCTATTGATATTTGCAGTGGATAAGAAAACGCGTTTTGTGACTGCGTTTCCTCGAGGGTGCTAGAGCTGGGGTTCGGCGCAACAGCACCTTGAGCAGGCTGCTCTCTCCTACTGTCCGCTTCTTGCTGAAAAGTAAAACCAGGTCTATCATGGACCCATGCTGGTGGAGCTGGAGCAGGTGCCCCGTCTTCTTGTGAAGCCCACTCTTGCTGCTGCTGTTGTTGTTGTTCTGCCTCGGCCTCCAGAAGGGCTGTTAGGTTAACGGTTCCTGGAGGTTGCCGCGCTTGCTCCGGAGAGGTACTACTAGCCTGAGCCGCACCAGAACAACCTGCTGCATCAGCTCGAGAGGCCGCGTGTTCTGCTCCTACTCCTAAGTCATGCGCTTGTCGAGATGGATCTTGAAGAAAGGCGAAATTGTGTTGAAACAAAAATTGCAGATTGGGGAAATAATTCTTCAACCCAGGGTGGTGCCCCCACGTGTTGCTCTCCGGGGTCTGCAAGCGGCACATATTTATTTCATGGTCCACGTCGGGCAACTGCAGAGCTTCCTCGTGGTCTTCTAATAATTGTGCCGGACGCTTGTGGTCCAGCGGTGCCGTTGGAGGAGCAGATGCAGCAGACGAGCCACCGTCTTCTACTGTTACTGAGTTGTCCTGCTTTGTCGATGCAGGAGCGCCGCCACCATCAACTACACTTGTCATCCCCTGAAACTCGGCTTGAAACCGTTGATCGTGGTCTTCAGGCTGATGTCCTATTTCTTCTTTGACCCTATGTCTTCGCCCTTCAACAGCAGACGACTTCTCCGCGAAAATGTCCGGCGAATGTTGTGTACTCTGCTCGAGTGTTGAGTCTTTATCTCCGCAGGAGTCGCCGGGGCTTTTGCAACTTCCTGTATCGGGTACTACTTCAAGGAGCTTGTTCTGTGCACATCCAGAACAAGCTGGTGCAGGGTCTACAGGCACCGGCCCTTGCGCATTCGCTCCTTGTTGGGCGGCCCCTTTATTACGCTTCCGCTTCCTTTTGGGCTTCGATTTACTAGTGTTTGAAGTTGTACCATCGCGAGTGACACCACTAAGCTCCGGGAAGTCATCTACAGCTGGCGCCGCTTGATCTTGTTCAGCCATTGCGGAAACTGCGGCGGCGGAGGTCTTTTTCATCTTCCCAGACACGCCTCTAGCAGTACCTCCTGCTAGTTGTGGAACCCGAAGCGCCGGACCTCCCGGATGCGCTGGGGGAGTTGAAGGCAGGTTCTTTGGGGAAGATGCTGTAGTACTTGATGCTGAGGCTCTAGCGCTAGCGCTGGCTCCCCCCGTTGGCAAGACGAGTTGTAGAGCGGGCGCGGTAAGAACCCAGAAAAACATGACTGCCTTGACTGTAGCTCGTTGCGCCAAGCCGGTCAGGTTCCCCATCTCATTACCGCCAAGGACGGGTGGCTGGCTCCTGTGCCGCAACATGTTGACGGCGAGGAAGGGGATTCACGATTCGTGATGTCCCTGTTTCGTCGATCAACACTTCTGTTGAGTCCCAAGCAAGTCAAGAAGTTTGTGGTGCCGAAATATATAAAATTGTAAAATGCGTTTTTGATTTATTAATTGTGAAGAGAAGCGCGACACAAAATTTGTTTTCGAACAAATTTTCATGCACATGCACGGTAACAAAAACCAGGTCGCTGCAAAAATGCGTTCAAGAGCAGGATGACACTCTTCAAGTTGAAAAAAAAGTTAGCTGCTGATTTGTTCTTCTAGAAGAGAAGAGCTGCACACAGAATAAATGAGTGGCTTTTTTCTATAGCCCAGTTAGTATAACAGCTGCTAAAGCAAAATCGAACGATGCATCTACAATTTCGAATCCGTAGTTCTTGAAAAATTAGACAGCGACAGTGTTCTGAACGTCGACAGGACTGTGGGTGTAGCTTGTTCTTCTTGGGTGAGTTCTTCATTATATGCGCGGCTATCTTGAAAAATCAAACCGGACATCAATGTAGCATTGCGACATCTTCAATGAGTAAAGCTAACGCAACATGCGCGTCTTGCGTATCCGCTTTCCGCTTACTTTTGCTGTGATCATAGCGCGATGTTGAAGAAACAGAGCAGGATCTACCTCGAAGCTAGATAAATAGAAGTTGAAGATCTTTGATCTCCGAATTTCTCTGTTCTTATTTCTGTGTCTCACTCAAGAATATACAATGCCGGATCTTTCGATCGCCACATCTGTCCTGTGCATGATAAACACTCGCTTTCAACACAGTCAGTGTGACACTGTAACTGTTTAACAAGGGAGTGATGAATCGGAGCTCCTAGAGATCGCGAAATCTTGGAGTGGACGGTGGCTTATTCGCGCAATTACATGCAGTCCAGCATGACAGAAAACCTCTTGAGGTCGTATGTAAAGCAGCTGGAGAACTGTTCTGTGCAATTTCGGTCAACATCTGGCTGAGCAAGAAGGGAACACAAGCTGGTACTTCTAGCATGCCCTCCGTATAATTTTTGCGAACTTCCTCACGGTGGTGCAATCGCGTAGTATACGTCGTGGTCTCCGTTCATCTGTCACCACAGGGTGCGCAACAATCAGATGTGCATGGTTGTTCTATCTTAATTTTCAATCCAAGCCAAAACATCGGGAGCTGTGTGCAAAATGGTTTTTTTTCTGGAATTTCTTCTAGGAAGACGATCTTCACGATTTTTACCATCTTCAGAAGGAAGAGCTAGAGTTGTGTTTCTGTCTCCTGCGACAATAAAATCCCGCACCGCGTCGACTACTTGGTATTCGCAATTCACGCATGCATTGCAAAAGTACCGCACTCGTATAAATGCATCACAAATTTCCTCAGCATCAGAAATAAAATTTGTAATGCGGATTTACGTTAAGAAAAAGATTTGTAATGCATGACTGCAATACTTGTACGATACTTTTGCACAGGATATCACGCAATCCGCACTGTAGTCGTGGACCAGTAAAATGGATGGCCTATCGGTGACCAACAGCTTCGACCAATGCTCCAGGTCCCACTTATCCAGAAAAACACACCCATCCCCATCCAATTTGTCATGCAAAACATGCATACAGTCCAGTGTTTGTCATGCAAAACATGGATGCTGGGGATGGGTGTTTTTTTCTGCATACCACTTCGTCTCCTCGTACGAATGGTCCCCGTCGATGAAGATCGCATCGAACTTGTATTGCTGATCGCCAATCACATTGTCCCCATCGGTAATATCGGGAAGAGCTTCTTCATCTTCTGCAGCATGATTCTGAAACTCCTTCCACGCTTCCCGACTGGAGACGGCATGGAAGTGGACGTTCGGTGATTTCGCAAATCGTATCAAACGCAAATATGTCTGGGTCTGGAGGAAGAGAGTGCAAGTTTGTCATGCTTGTCTGGCATGATTCTCAAGTCTGTGATGCATGAGCAGGAGAAGGGCCTCTTGCCTGTCATGCAACAACGCAGCTTGTCATGCGAAAAACCAAGCACACAACAGCACAGAAAACTTGTCATGCTGGGCGGCATATTGCAGCGCGCCCACCATTCGCAAATTAGCATCACAAGTTTCCAGACCCAGACATATTTGCAATGCATAAATCGAAACTTCACCTTGGAAAACCGTTTCTTCTGTAACTTCTCCGTCAGGCTCCACGGTTCCATCTTATGCACTGCAACGTTGTCACTGGGTCTGGAAACACAGAACTTGTAATGCTAGTCCTACATTCCTGGAAAATCTGTATTGCGTGGGCATGTTGACTAACAAGAAGAGGACGCCCACGACCTCTTCTGTCATTACAAGGCTGCAGCTTATGTCGCGTAGTGGGAGGGTGAACGAGTGGACAGGGGGGAAAGAAAAACGCCAGAGGGTGGGCAAGGGAGAAAATTTTTGATGCAGGACGGGGCCAGGCATCTGCGCCGCTTCTTGCTGAACGAACGAAGGCGGAGCGCCATGGGGCGCCCGTGGTTCCCGTCGTTGCGCGAGCGCGAGGACCCCGCCCGCACTGGGCGCGCGTTTGCGTGGCGGCAAGCCTTAGGCCCAAGCAACAACGCAAAGCGCGGCAGCGGGCGGGCGCCAGTGGACGGGGGAAGGAGGCAAGGGAACTAATAGCCCGCGCCATGCGAGGCGCTGGCACGTGACGCCCCGCCCGCGCGTTTGCGGTGTGGCCCGCCCGTGCCGCCTGCCCCCTGTGTGCCCCGCCCCTGCGCGCCTTGCTGCCCCCCCCGCCCTTCTCCCGCGCGCAGCCTTGCAGAGAAGGGGCTCGCTGATGCCCCTGCCGCGCGCGTGGATGGAGGACGGGCGCCGGGGCGGGGCAGCGCAGCCATTGCCCCCCAGGCGCAGGGGCCCACCACCCTCCCCCAGCACCCCCGGACAACAACGGCACCCCCCGCGTTAGCTCGCGCGAAATCTGCCCCGCCCCCGTCTGCCTCCCTCGCGCGCACCCTCCAAGACAGAGACGGCGGACGGTGGCGCCCTCTGCCGGCCTCCTC